CGAATTATAAGTATAATCCCACGGTATATAATCTACTAATAACCGGTTAGGGAACCGCGTAAGAGGCTATACTATAGGCAGATAGGCTTAAGTAGCTCTATAAAGAATTATCAGCTAATATTCTCTTTATTATATAGAGATCTACGATCTACTATAATAGAAAGCGTAGTATAGGACTAATACTTAAGAAGGGGGATAAAGTCTACTTACTTAAAAGGAATATTATAATTAAGCGACTAAGTTATAAACTAGATTATAAGAAGCTAGGACTATTCAGGATTACTAAAGTTAAGGGACTAGTTAATTACTAACTAGCTCTACTAAAGATAATAAATATCTACCTAGTATTCTATATATCTCTTCTTGAACTAGTACCGCTAGGAGTATTACCGGCTCCTATTACTGAAATATAACTAATTAATCCGAACGCTAAATATAAGGTAGAAGCTATTCTTAACTATTAGTATTTCTATAGTAAATTAAAATATTTAATTAAATAGAAAAGGTACTTATAATTAGAAAATACTTAAGAACCTAAATCTAACCTCTACTACCCTAAGCTTCTATAAGAATTCTATTAAAGAAATCTAAGTTTACTTAGAAAGAAAAGGACCTAAGGTCAGGGACTAAGCCTTTAAAGAAAGACGCTAAGTAAGCGTTAGGTTTAAAAGTAAGGAACTAAGAAATAGGATTATCCTTAATAAGCTTAAAGGGAAGCGTTAAAGAGTAAGTAGGGGTTATAGTTTTTCCTATCTTAAATTAATATATAAGTTATTTAGAAGTAAACCTTTAGATATACCCCGAGGTATTATAATTATAACGCTTTAAGCGAATACACTTAGAGTATTGTTTTAAAATAGATAAATCTAAGAAGCAGGTATAGAAAAGACTATAGTAGAAGAAATAAGGCTTTATAGGTTATATAGTACGCTTAATATAAAGCGCGAGCTAGATACTCTATTTTTTCTTTATCTAAGTGACACTTAATTTCTTTATAACACTAGATATAATAGATAAGGAAGATAGTCGTTAGTAATTATTAATATTTCTTAAGGTTATACTTAAGCGTAGGGACTACGCTAAGCTAAGAGGGAGATAGTATTATAGACCCCTTAGCGCTATAATTTAGTTAGCACTTATATAATAATAAAACTATCAGTAGTACTATAGGGGCATTAGTACTAACGAGGGAGCAGTACTATTAATAGGGTAGTACTAGCTAAGGAATAATATAGGACAAGCGAGTAGTACTACTATACACTCACGCTTTAGTAGTAATAGTTACCTAGATCACGGTAAATAATAGGTCACGTGATAGATCCCTAGATCCCTGAATCCCCTTATAGGAAGATAGATCTAAGGATCTACAGATCTAATATCCTAAGGGATCTAAGGTAAATAAAGGTTCTATATAAGACTAGTACATCTACTATTAGATAGGAGCTTCGTGCTTAACTTTAAATAGTATTCTAATACTTAGTAACTATCTTCTATCTACGTGATACACCTACCTCTCGATTATCAGAGATTAACTATAGCCTTCTGTATTTACAGCGAGTAAATACCGGACCGTTATATATATTTAAGTAGTAATATTATTTTTATATTAGATAGCTCTTATAGTTTCCTTTCTAGAAATATAATAACCTAATTTTAAATTATAACTCTTAACTTATAATTCCAGCTTATAGGTTTCTTCTTTAACTACCTCTTTAATCTCTTTAATATCTAAAAGGATATTATATAATATAGTAATAACTCGAACTTATACTATAACCTTAAAAGCTCTTAATCTTTATTAGTAAAAAAATCTAGCTCTAGGCAGCCGCCGGCTAGCTACTAAAAGCGCTATTTTCGTTATTCCAGCCTAAGTTATATATCGATTAATTTGATAGCTAGCAACCCCTAAAGCAGTATATAGTAATTTTAGCCGGCGCCCTTAGCGCCTTAGGCGCCTTCAACGCTATAGGTGCTTATAAGCCTAATTAGGACTAGTGTATAAAATAAAAGTAGGTCCGATTTTTTATTTATTATATAAGATATATTAGTAAGCTTAGAAAGCTTAATAATACTAATCCTAAGGATATTAAAGGTATTTATAGAGGTATACCTTATAAGAGAGTATTATTAGGCTTATATCGCCCGATTAGGCAAGGCGGCGACTCACTTTTATATAGAATTTACTCGAATTGAATTATAAGCTTATTAGTAATTTTTTAGTATAAATATTTATAGTATTAAAAGCTTAATAAGACTAGTTTTAAGAATATATATAGAAAGTATAAGTCTTTTTAAATTCTTAGTTAAATTCTACACTAGTCTAATTATTTTTAGTTAGTTTAAAATCTAAAAATAAACTTAACTTTTAATTTTTAATTTTAATTAAAAATATTATATCTTTCCTAATTAAGTCTAGCTTATATATAAAAGTAAGTCTTATAAAAGGCGCCTAAGGCGTATAAGGCGGCCTTTTATTATTTAAAGCTAATATATAGTAGCTTTTTATATTTTAAAGCGCCTTAAGTATAAAATATAATTATTTAGTGAAAATAGCGAAAATAGCAGGTAGTATATACACTTAGTATTAGAATTTTTTCCTGATATTATAAGGATTTTAAACTAAGCTTTAAGTACTTTAAAGGTACGCTTAATAACGTTCCTTAAAGCTGAATAGTATAAGTTAAAGAGCTCTTTTTTATTTTAAGGATAACGATTTACTCTCTCTTATTCCTTTAAGTGATATTAAACCGCTTAATATAGTATTAATATTAAGTTGTAATTTATAAAACTAGTATCTTTAAGAGTATATCTCCTTATTAGAATCTTTATAGCTTTACTATGTTAAGCCTTAATTTATAGTACTAAATCTGCTATACTACTTTCTTAGCTAGTTAAAAGATTAGTAAACCTTATATTAAAGTTATATATAGTAAGTACGTTTTAAGTAAGGTTTCTAGACTTATCTCTAAAAGAGGCTCTTTTACTAGATAAAAGAGATATCGGAATATATATACTATTAATTACTCTTACGTAATACTTGAAATAGTCTTTATATTAGTAGTTATAGAGTATCTAAGACAGAATAAGTATTATATTAGTTACTAATAGAACTATTAATTTAAATATATCTTTATAATAAAAATAATATATAATCTTATAATAAGTCCGATTAATTGTCTCCGTACTATATTAGAATCGTTCTATAAGCTTCCTTATTAATAAATCCGTAACTACTACGTATAGGAAGATTCCTAGCTATTCTATAGTCCTTATATAATATATATACTATAAGCTACTTTTCTGAATTAGGAAGTCTTTAATATAGTAAAAGCTATCTTTAGAAACGCTTAAATTATCTCGAATATATATATTATAGCTCTCTAAAAGCTCCTCTATCTATTTCTTCCCGGAGAGCTTAGAATCGTATTATTATTACTATATTAGGAAAAAATTCTAGCGTTAAGTATATATACTATCTGCTATTTTAGCTATTTTTATTAAATAGTTATATTTTATACTTAAAGCGCTTTAAAATATAAAAGGCTACTATATATCAGCTTTAAATAATAAAAGGCTACTTTATATACCTTAAGCGCTTTTTATAAGACTTACTTTTATATATAAGCTAGACTTAATTAGAAAAGATATAATATTTTTAATTAAAATTAAAAATTAAAAGTTAAGTTTATTTTTAGATTTTAAACTAACTAAAAATAATTAGACTAGTGTAGAATTTAACTAAAAAATTAAAAAGACTTATACTTTTTATATATATCCTTAAAACTAGTCTTACTAAGCCTTTAACACTATAAATATCTATACTAAAAAATTACTAATAAGCTTATAATTCGATTCAGGTAAATTCTATATAAAGGTAAGTCGCCGCCTTACCTAATCGGGCGATATAAGCTTAATAATACCCCCTTATAAGGTATATCCTTCTTAGTATCTTTACTAGTAATATCCTTAGTATTCTTAAGGCTTTTAGTAAGCTTACTAATATACCTTATATAATATAAAAAATCGGACTTACTTTTATTTTATACGCTAGTCTTAATTAGGCTTATAAGCACCTATAGCGCCCTAGTCGCTTAAGGCGCCTACAGTGTTAGTAAAAATTACTATATACTGCTTTAGAAGTCGCTAGCTATCAAATTAATCGATATATAACTTAAGCTAGAAATCGCGAAAATAGCGCCTATAGCAGCTAGCCGGCGGCTACCTGGAGCCAGATCTTTTTACTAATATATTTAAAGTTATTCTAGTAGTAAATAGATATTATAGATATAACTAGAATACTAGTAAAATAGGCGATTCTTTAGTTCTTACGCTAGTGCTGTATTAATAGGGCAATTAATAGTAGTATAGCGTATATAGTAGTGGTAGTAGTAGTAGTAGTAGTAGTAGTAAAAGGGAGTAGAGTTATAGAGCTATAGAGCTATAAAGCTATATAAGGTAGTAAAGTAATACTTTTTATAGGATTTCTACTTTTAGTAAGAACTATAGTAAATAACTAAAGTTAACAGAAATAACAGATATTTCTAGAAGTAATAAAATCAAGCTAAATAGAATCGTTACTTATTTATTATTTCTCGAAGTGATAGAAGTGATGATTTTATTATTTCCAGTTTTAGTATCACTTCCCAAGTGTCACTTCCGATCCAAACGGGCCCTAAGGTAGCTAGCTAGCTCTTCATTGCCGAAGAATGGATGCTGCCAGTATCACGAAGTCATGTTCTGAGATCGATGGGCTTCACGTGATATAATGAGCCACTAGCTCAAAAATTCTTAGCGTGGTGAAGCATCAAGCTCAGGGAAAAAAGTCCAGCAGGTCAACAGCGTCAAACATCAAACCGGCCACGACCACGAGCATTGTGTTACGAAGTATCCTCGCGCCCCTCTGTATTGTCCAATACGAATCGAACTCCTTTTCAACGGCGTTTACTGGACGACTTTCGGCTTTGGACTTCGCAGGCGATAATTTACAGACATCATAGAAGATGGATCATACACGAGACCCATGTCCGTGGGTAGCATTGAATGATTTTGGAGGAGCGTTCTGTATGGGGGTATGCAATTTCCACTTCTGCCGGCTCGGATGGTCTATTGCGATATTCTCGGGCTGGACAACTTAGTTCCTCTATCCTGGATCACCCAGCTGACATTTCCACATCTAGGCAATAGGAGGAGCAGTGTGGCACGGTGTAAAGGGTTTTCGAAATTCACCTTACGGAGAGAGACGGATTGGTGCTTTAACAGCAATCAAAGCGCGAGCGCCTGTTCTGGGAGGCAATTTTGGTGTTTGGGGAGGGCTGTTTTCGACATTCGACTGTGCAGTTAAGGGAATAAGAAAGAAGGAGGATCCATACAATGCCAGTACGTCCAGAGAATTTGGAATTGAGCCGGATTGAGTTGAAATCAGGAGCTAACAGCTGGGAAGTCATTGCAGGATTCTTTACCGGAGGTGCTCTTGCTGTTCGTGGAGGGTACAAGGCTGCGAGAAATTCGGCTATAGGATGTGCTTGTCTGCTGGCAGTCATTGAAGGCGTCGGCATTGGGTTCCAGAGAATGATGGCCGAAAATACTCGATTAGAGGTACGCTCTCCTATCCTGTTTCTCTTCAAATTTAATCTGACTCTTCCAGGTACCACAACCTCCTCCACCAGCAGAGACTGGCGGTACTGGCTTCCCAGCTGTTGCATAATTCCGACCCAATACCCGATTCTCACGCCTTTCGTCATACATGGCGCCTCTATCACTCTACTCTTTCGTCCCTAGCCGAGAGAGGCTGGGACTGTTGTATTCTTGTTTGGGCTACGTCCTACCTCTGATCGTGTCTGCATAGCTGGTGGTGTACATCTAGAAACTCGCTCGGCGCTGGTGAGTTGGCAAATGACATTAATTACGAGACTCTGGCATGTCGATTGCCAGCCGTGAACTTGCTTATCGCCCGTTTCCAATTTTCCAAGGTAAACCACCTCTGTGCAAGCCCACCCTTCGAACGTTCGAGAAAGCTATATTCTATCTTTTAGCACTGCTCCCGCAAACCCCGAGTACACAATTTGGCTAGTACTTTCTCCGGCTATTCTTTTTGTTGCAGATCGCAAATATGCACGTCATGCAAAGAAGGTAGCTTGTCGACGTCTACAGAAGACAATGCAACAAAGATATCTGAGAGTGGCAACCCTTGTTGCATGCCACAGTGCGGACATCCATCATTATTACCCTATTCGGGACATCGGGCACCAACTTGGACATAGCGGGGCTCGTGCGGTTGTACATGAAAAGGGATCTTGACTTTGCTGTGCCGTTACCACAGACATTGAAAATTACACCAGAGTCGCGTGAGGGCGGAAGTCTAAACCTCTGGCGTTTTGCTACAGTGTCTTCCATTGCGCTTCCCTTCGTATCTATCCCGATGAGCGGCATGGTCCTAGATCAGAACTAGACCTTTTTCCGCATTTCTATTGTGCTCTCAAGTATCGTGGCTTCAACTGGTATTTCTTTTGGTGATTTTATTCTACTTCCAATTCGTTTCCCCTCAATTCGTTCTCAAGCAGTGTCTTGAGGTTGTTTCTGTTCCATGACAAGTTACCAAAGTTTTGTTGGTGGCTTAACATTACTCGCGTGCTTTTCCCTATTTTAGACTCTCAGATGCTTAAGGCCGATCAACACGGATTGGAGGATCAGTGCATACGATATCTTCAGGTGTCTTGGCTGCGTCGATGGCTGTGAGGGCTGTACATCGAGATTTGATCACAGCTGAAGAATGAGAGCTACCAAGCGGCTCCTCCTCTATACTTTTAAACTCCAGGCTATTTCTCTGCTGGCGCCTCTTTGCTGCACTTATTTCTGGATCATCCATGTGTTAAAGACAAGTTGTACGTGGTCTATATTTACCACGCTTAACTCACCCAGAATCCTTATTCTCCCTTTGACTACTTTATCGCACATCTACAGTTTCGCAACTTCCCATATCAAATCCTCCAGTAGCCCGTCCAGCTTTCTGGCATTCTCTAAGAGCTGTCTGTCCCTGCTTCCCGCAACGACCAACGAGCTTGGGAGATTCCACAACAAATCAGTACCTCCGCCGTCTTCATTATTACGTTCTCTCACCAGCAACTCAACAGGCACCGCCAGTCCAGCCGTCAAGTCATGCTCCAGCATCGTCAATGCCACCAGTGGATTTCCAAGAACGATTCGCTTCAGCCCGAGACCGACGCTCAGATCGAATAGAGGCAGCCAGAAACCGTGGTTGGATTCCTACTTCGTTTGTTAGTCACTCGGGATGTTGGGTAATTGAGGAAGATCCGCGGACATGGAACAACATGAATCCCTTTGGGCCAACAGCTTGCTTGATTGCTTTAATAAATGCCAGCCTCGACGTTTCATTATACGAAGTTATATTCTTTGCTAGAATCGGGAATTGTGGTATTGTGCCGATCTCGGCGTACATGCTCTCCATTACCGCAGTGAAATTCTTGCGCGTGTGGAGTGTCTGGCGTTTGGTGACAAAGGAACCAGTGTTGATGCCATTACGAAGGTTAGGAATGTGGTCGGGAGATGGGCTACAATGTGCTGGAGTAATGAAGGCGACGACTGTGAAAATCGCCTACAGATGTCGTTAGCTAATTGTCCTACAGGGAACATCCTTTGATACTCGCTGTCATCATGAGAATGGGACGCATTTCGGTCAGTCTTGGCCAGTTAACACTATGGTAGGCAAGATACAACGCTCACAATGCTCAAGCAATGCAGTGTTCATTCATATGACCTTCAACTTGCTCAACTGCGACAATGAGGTCAGCTGCTTCTTGTGCATGGCTTACTGTGCATTTGACTCTTATTCATGTAGGTAATATCAGTTGCTCTATTTTCTTACATGCGCAGGCAAGGTTTCATCGTTCTTGGAGGCTACCATTCACCCCGCATTCTTGCATCATTCGCAGCAACGACGTTTCTTCTCAGCCGTCAGCCATGCATCAACATCTGCAATCACACTGTCAATTTTCGGATCCCATCCAAAGTCTTGATAAATCCGTATCGAGATAATGCATCATTCTCTGTGTTACAAATCCAACCAACCAAATCATTTTCAACATGCACTTCCCCCGCATTTTAACGCTCGGCGACTTTTTATTGGTGAGACTCGAGTATGCTTATGAATCTTCTAGACTCCATGATTACTTTCCAGAGACCTTCATGCGCTTGAAAAACCGAAATGGACTGGAACTCGGTCGCTTCCTCGTCTGAACTTGCCTCAGAACATTGAATCGCAAGCGCCAACGCCAGCAACAACTCCATCCATCCATCAACTGACATACGAAATCATACAAAACAACGGTTGTCAAGATGGTACAATCTAAATCTCTCATCCTGGCCCAGAACCCGGTTGGTCTTCCAATCCCAGGTCAAGATCTTGTCGTCACGTCGTCCGAATTTGACCTCTCAGCTCCCCCTCCTCCAGGCGGCGTGGTCCTCAAGTTGAACTACATCTCCTATGACCCGTACCAAAGAGGCCGAATGCGCGCAGCCGGGTCTCTTTACATTGCCGGGTACAAGCTCGGCGAACCCATCGACAACAATGCAATCAGCACCATCGTTGCATCCGATAATGCCCGCTTCAAAGTGGGTGACGTCGTCATCGGCAGCGCAAAATTCTCCGAATATCAAGTCATTGATAAATCCCGTGTGGACAAAGAAGCTACAGCCGGTGGCCTGAGCATCCTGAGTAATCCATTGGGTTTGGACGAGACGATTTTCCTTGGTGCTCTCGGGATGAGTGGCTTAACTGCGTATTCGAGTTTCTATGAGATTGGGCAGCCAAAGAAGGGGGAAGTTATTTTCATTTCGGCTGCCAGTGGTGCAGTGGGTCAGATAGTTGGACAGCTGGCGAAGAGAGAGGGGTTGAAGGTCATTGGATCTGTAGGCAGTCAGAAGAAATTGGACTTCATCAAGGAGAAGTTGGGTTTCGACGCGGGGTTCAATTATAAGACTGAGAGTGCCGAAGAGGCCCTTAAGAGAATTTTGGGGGAGCTAGGGAAGCAGGGCCTGGATATTTATTACGACAATGTTGGAGGCGAGCAGTTGGATGCAGCGATTGCTACTGCTTCTACCTTTGCAAGAATCGGTAAGCCTTTGGTACCAACTTTGAAGAAGACCGCATATTTGTACTAACAAATACTAGTCTCCTGTGGTAGCGTCTCACAGACGAGCAAAAAACCCGAGGAGACGTATGGCATCAAAAATATGCCTCTAGTGGTGGGCAAGAGGCTTCAGATTAGAGGCTTCCTTGTCTTTGATCCCGACTTCGGACCCAAATACACAGAAGAGCATCAGAAGAATGTGCAAAATTGGATCAAAGACGGAGAGATTTCAGTCCAGATGGAAGTAACCCACGGCATCGATAACGCTGCTGAGGGTCTGGTGGGCATGCTGAAAGGAGATAACTTTGGCAAAGCCGTTCTGAAGGTCGCCGATATATGATTCGACAGAAATTTTCAATCGTATAGAAACATGCAGGAAACTTGACAAGGCAGAAGTAGTCTGCTCGTCTTCCCGACGTTTTGAACATCAATTTCCAACAGTCTATCGCAGATACAATTAGACGGTGATAAAGAAATATTTAGCGCGAAGGGACGTACAAAAATATTTTAGTTTGCATAGGATTTCATAGTCATAGTGAGATGCATCATGTTGAAGTAAAGAAGATACCCGAGATTGGAAATATATTACAAAGTTGGCGGGAATGTCCGAAAGAGGGCTCATTAGATTTCTGCTCCCTGCCGATCTGGGCTGGTTTGGTGTCAGCTCCTGCTTCCCGTTCGCAAAGAATAGCGAAGGGCCGAGCATACAGGTTAAAGTAGGTCCGACGGAGTAAGTTTGTGGCGGAGGTTGTCTCAAACTTTCTTTCTTGAATGGCTTACGTACCTCCTGCTTTGATTTTGGTTAATAAGAAGCTATATGGTTTCATTCCTGGCGAGAAGACTTGGATATTGATGGGCGCGAAACCTTTGTTGGAGGAAGAAGACGGTGTCATTTATTTCTGGAAAGCAATGCTTTATTTCATCGATGATACTTGACCATGCACCGAACCAGAGACTCTTTTTGCCGATGATACCTAGTCTCTCTAATTGCCACTGTGTTGATGTCTTATGACAGGTAGGACAGAGGTTTCGTAAACCTTGGCTTCCTTTTAAACTTTGAGGAAAGAGCCGGTTATGGTAAGAGCACTTACAGTACGATGAGTGCGGGATCCGGATTGATTGTAAACTTTGAAGGACGCATAATTTGGCTGAAAGGACTGGAAACCAACTAAAGTTCCAACCTGAGCAGAATGTAAGCAGAAACCAATGCAGAAACCAATCAAATAATGCCTCTGAACATTGCTTCCACGAGTACCTTTTATACTAAGATTTGACGCTTGGCCCTTTGCTGACGTGCAACCAAACACAGTCTGACTTACGGATTGCTGGATCCTTCAATGACCAAGTAAATTGATCACGGACACAAGGTGTTCCTTCCTAATGAATGCATACAGATGTGCACATGTTTAAACTGACTCCGATAACCGGGTGTAAGCAATGCCAGCAGTGTTACCTGCAAGTACGAATGAAAGTCAAAGACACGAGACATGCTGAAAAGGAACACGCAGTATGAGAAACACCACGAATTTCTGAAGCACGACTGCCTGCCAGCGAGTACATCTTCGTGGCATCCTCACTGTTTGATATTCCGAGACAGACCTCTGAATATATAACTTGGTAGAAGGCGCCATCGTGGCTCAAAAGACGCAATACTGCCAGAGTCGATCCGAGCACGAACAGCTGGCACCCTTACATGACTGGACTGGCCATGACCATCCCCGTCCGAACACCTGTCAGGGAGGACGACGACTTCCATTTGCATCTGGAGCTGTGGAACGCTTGTGGGAGTCGACTTTGCAGTTCGAAAGCACCGTATTCGTTGACCATAATGTGCGACCCAGAGATCCCTCTGCTGACCAGCAGCGAAGACGACCTTGGGCCAGTGTGGACCAGCGAGGATGAAGAGAGCGAAGAGTCACAAAGTAAGCGCCATCAATTCTTATATTTCGAGTATTGGTGCCCCCACGACAAGCCCAGAAGGTGTGGTTGCACGGAATGCCCAGGATCACGAAGTATTATATCGTGAGGCTGATCTGATGGATAAAGAGTGGGTGGGATGTGAGGTGGAGCGGCTGGGCTGAGGAGACGGGCTACTGTAGCCTCGCCGACTCCTGACGGGCAACGGGCTTCGATTTCGCAACCCTCTGATCTCGCAACATGGCTTCGATTTTTGGCGCAAGAGGGCCACCTGTTGCGCAAACTTCGATTTTATCACATCATATTGCTAACACAGCTCCAGCCGAAGCCAGCGACGATGAACCCCCATACGAAGTCCTCAACCGGGCGGAAGAGGATCTGCCGTCAGCAGCACGACTGAAGGAGAAGCCAGAACTCGCCCATCATCTGCAGAATGACAGCTCGATCCTCACACTCGCGGTTGGCAGTCGGTATGTCTATGCTGGAACACAGGATGGAGAGATTGTGGTGTGGTCTTTAGCTTCATTTGAGCTGGTGGCTCGCATTCAGGCACATACTCGTGCCGTCCTCTGTCTCTTCCTCTCTGCAGACGGTAGCCTCCTCTTCTCGAGTGCGGGCGATGCAATCGTTAATGCTTGGTGCCCGGAAAACCTAAAACGACTCTATCATATATACAGTACCTACGATGTTGGAGATGTGTTTAGTGTTGCATATTCGTCACAGTTCAAGACAGTGTATATGGGAGCGCAGAATACCAGCATACAATGGGTCAGCCTGGACGAATCGACAACGAGACCTTCTCCAGATCCAGAAGCCCACCCAGATGCCCGAATCCATAAATTTTTCGACTCAATTGCCAAAGGAGGAACCTCTACGCCAAGACCTCAGAACAATCGAACGGGATCCAATGATGGCGTGGTGTTGGAGATAGACAAGGCACACATGATGCATTATGCTCATTTTGGATATGTTTATTGTATGCTCTTGGTTCGCGGTGTCACTCGACTGGTTGAAGCGGACGAAGATGTACTGGTATCCGGCGGTGGAGATGGTACAATCAAGATCTGGAAGCTGTCCCACGACCAAAGTCAAGGCATTAAGGAAGTTGCTTGTCTAGGGGATGATGATGCAGAATCTGTACTGTCCATGGCTGTGGATGGTTCGTTTCTGTACAGCAGCAAACTTGAGGGAGTTATTGAGCTCTGGGATTTGGATACCAAGCAGAAGCTTCGGGTTATTAGAGCACACAAAGGAGATGTTATGACTCTGCAGATGGGCTGGGGACATTTGTTTAGTGCTGGATCCACTGGCTATGCCAGAGTAAGTGATGTGGTCATGGCAACTTGGGGACAGCAACTAACTGCTTGACAGAAGTACAGCACTGTGCAATATGGCAAATACCAGTCCTCTACCTCCTTCAGCCAAAACTACCACTGCGTCAATCGATGGAAAGCTCACGAAGGAAGAATATTAGCTTCTGCACTCACAACCTTCAATGGACAACAATTCTATATCACGGGAGCGAATGACAATTCGGTCTCTGTATGGAACGTAACAGGCTGTGATGCTGGAAATTCTGGCAAATCTGACGTGCCGGAGAACCAGTTGATCAAGTCTCTTCAAGAATTTGTGTCCTTTAAGACCATTTCCTCTAGAGCAGATCATGCTGAGGATTGTCGTCGGGGAGCTACTTTCCTTCGAACTCTGTTCAAAAAGCATGGCGCCCAAACCGAGATGCTGAATACCGACAATCGCCACAACCCCGTTGTTTATGCCCGGTTCAAAGGGAACCCTTCAACTACGGGCGAGAGAAAGAAGATTCTGTTCTATGGTCATTGTAAGTGAAGATCAAGGTGTTCGAGCTTTTCGGCTAATTTTAGCATAGATGATGTTGTTCCTGCAGACAACAAGCAGAACAAATGGATAATTGATCCGTTTGAAATGAAAGGCATCAATGGTTATCTCTACGGCCGAGGTGTGACTGACAACAAGGGGCCTATCATGGCTGCTCTATATGGAGTAGTGGATCTTGTCCATGAGAAGGCACTTGAGTCCGATATCATTTTCCTCATCGAGGGCGAAGAAGAGTCTGGCTCACGAGGCTTCAAGGACGCCGTTCGACGACACAAGGAGTTAATCGGCGATATTGACTACATCGTTCTCGCCAACAGTTATTGGCTTGATGACGATGTTCCATGCTTGACCTATGGTCTGAGGGGAGTTCTCCATGCTACTGTCAAGGTTGACAGCAACCATCCAGATGTGCACAGTGGTGTTGACGGAAGTTTCATGATGGACGAGCCCCTTTTTGACTTAACGTCGATCCTGGCAAAACTCAAGGGACTTCACAATCGTGTTGAGATTCCTGGATTCTACGATGATATCTTGCCTCTGACTGCGGTTGAAGAGGCTCGCTACGACGACATTACAGAAACATTGATCCGCCGCAATCCCGAAAATGGACCTCCAGAGACACTGAAGGCTTCTTTGATGGCAAGATGGCGAGAACCTAACTTGACTGTTCATCGTTATAAAGTCTCAGGGCCAGATGGTTCTCTAGTATCATCCCATGCCAGCGCCGCCATCTCGCTTCGCCTTGTTCCAAACCAAGAAGTCGATGATATCATTAAATCGCTCACGGAATTCCTGAATGATGCTTTCGCAAAGCTCGATACCCATAACCACCTCTCAATTACCATTGACAACCAAGCCGATGCCTGGCTCGGTGATCCAGACAATGACATTTTCCAAACCCTTGAGAAAGCTATCATGGATGTCTGGGGGCCAATCGGCGAGACTCGTCGGTCAAGTGTACCAGGTCCTAGACCAAGGATCCAAGCCAAGAAACCCGCAACCCCCAGCATGAGCCCAAGCCTGAAGCCTACACCCGCGACGACGACGACTCTAACCAACGGAAGCGACCATACTTCCCTTGCCGCCACAACAGCAATCGACTCCGAGACTCCACTGTCTCCCGTTTCATTAGACGGTAACAGCACCAAGCGCAAAGGACGCAAGCCTCTCTACATCCGTGAGGGAGGCAGTATCCCTAGCATTCGCTTCCTCGAGAAAGAGTTCAACGCTCCAGCGGCACACCTTCCTTGTGGTCAGGCAAGTGACTCGGCACATTTGGATAACGAGCGTTTGAGAGTAAGCAATCTGTACAAAAGCCGGGAAATCTTTAGGCAGGTGTTCAGAGAGTTGCCGCGGAAGTAGCAGATAATTCAGGAGTAGAGGAGGTAATTTGATGTACGGGAGATGGACGGAGGGAGTGGGTGTAGGTGAGAGAGATAGGCCGGGTATTTTCCGATATAAGCGTGGCGTTCAGACTTTGTATCTGATATTCGGTAGCTTTTGTTTTCATTTCCTTGCATGGCGCGAGGCGCAAACAGCCAGGATTGATAGAACATGGAGTTTTTTACTTGCTTTACTCGTGGCTGTGGCAAAAATTTGATTGAAAATCAAATCGGTGCAGCAGGAATGGATCATAGCGTGCTGTATAGCCTACGGGCTTCAATTATAGAGCTATATGTAGCATTAGACTTGTGAACATGGAAGATTGCTCTTCAGGGTTGGGCATTGACGAAGAGACATGGTATTTTCCAAGTAAGTTCTGCCAGCTAGTCGTGACTTTTGTTCTTTGTAAACGGAGAATTGGGTTCCTTCTTTGGTATGCTTATAGCTATCATCCAGCTCAAGCCAGATTGCGAATAAGAGAATCTGAAATAGTTTAGCTACCTGACTGCCCGGTTCCACCATTTTGGGGAGATAGTCATCGTTACCAGCTTGATAGGGAACTCTATATTTTGCCCTCCCATGCTATCTGGGGCTGCGTCCCCAGCCTGAACCTTGGTCCGCTGTCGCATTCCCGCCGTGGCGGTCGTCGTCGACATCCCTACTTCCTTACACTGAGAGATTTTCGCCATCGTTTGACGCAGTCTTTCAAGGAACATCCGAGGCAACGTTTCCCGACATAGGTCAGACGAGCCTTTGCGAGGTACTTCGATCCTTCGTTGAGACCCTGCTGATCATTTTTAAGGCTTGGAAGCTTATCAGTATCACTGCCTTGTAATAGCCTCATCCAACATAACATCATCATCAAAATTTTTGAAACCGCACTTGACATCAAACCATTTTTACCCCCAGGGGAAAAGTGCAGCATTCCCAGTCCTTGCGTTAAGCCAAGCCGAGGAAAGCTGCGTTTTGAAATCAAACAGGCATAGCATTTCTCGTGTATAGGATCCTTAGAATTTGATAGCAAGGTGGGTATTTCTTGTATTCTGTGCTCTGTGGCTTTGATAGAGATAGAGAGAGGTTGTCGCTTTCAGCAACCTAATCGCAGAGTACGAAGGGCTTTGGTACGGTGTCTCCGTCATATCGCTCGCTGGACTTGACTGACCGAGGGTGCCAGATGTGTGTAAGATACGATGTGGTTCGTTCCAATGCTAGAAGAGGCTTTGATCTTGTGATGCCAAGCTTTTTTACTGAGAGATCAGGGATTTCTCAGAGTACCCCGTATCATTTTTGGTCAGATCGAATCAGGCTTTTGCTGTGTGGTAGGAGACCATTGACTGGGTTACACAGTAGTAACGTGTCAATTTCCTACTTCAACGCTGCCTTCGGTGACCACCTAATGATGGAAGCTACTGTATCTTTCCCAGGACAATCTGACACTACGTTCAGTTCAAGATCCGCAAACTTTCAAATTTTGTTGTTGTTCCAAGATGTTCCTCAATAAGGCCGCCAAGATATTTCGTAGCCTACTTTTCACTTCACGCCCGCCTCGCTTAGCTATTGTTTACTTCACCTGCACACCACTATATTACCTACGTTAGACGCTCCTTCCTCATGCACTTTATTCATACAAGTGAATTCAAGATTTATGAAGTGAATGAACTTGCTAGCATTGAAAAAAATCCTTGCCTCTTTCCTCCCACATCTTTTTCTTCTAAACTGCAACCTCTCAACCTATACCTTCTCGTTACTATCAACCTCACACGTGCTTCTGCTCTATATCTTTGATCGATTATTAATAGAGTACCTAGATCTTCTTCAGGCGAGCTTAGACTCTACCTCAAATTATTTCTTCAGTACAAACAGGTTACAGCCTCAGTCCTCTGACTCTGAGTCGATCTCGAGTTCGCTCTATTCAAGATCTTTCTGGAGGCACCTCCCCCCAGAAGATCACTTTTGAGTGTTCCTATTGCTTTGATAGCTTCAATCACATTTTCAGTACCGCTCGATCTTTTGGTAAGCCACAGTCGCATTGCTATTTCTGTTCCACGCCAACAAAGCTGGTTTGAAGCACTTCCGCTGACGTCAGACTAGTTCAAAAGCCTCTAATTCATCTCAGATTATGCTTCGTAAACTCATTATACCTCCTTTATCTTCAAGATGAGTGGGCCGAGGCTGGATCGTAGCCAACTTATGGAGAGGCTTCAGGCAGAAGAATTCGTGAAGAGATTTCCGCATGCATACATTGAAGATCCCAAAATGACTCCTGGTCAGTTCACGATTCAGATATGTAGAAATGACTTGGCTAATTTTGGTGTGTATTAGAAATATTTTATGAAATCTTGTGCTCAGTCAAGTTTGATATCAAGGAGGCTCAGCTGAAGGTGATTGCATTGGTCAGAAAACCTGGAGAGTTTATCATACCTGCCGCATGTTTCGAGCCATCTCTACCCACGCCACCACTCAGCTCCCCAACTTCACCTGAAAGTTATGATAATAGCTATTCTGGTCTCATAGGGTCAGCAAAGCCTATACCGAGCATCGAGATTCAAGGAGGTTCGAGGAGGTCCTCAACTTCACAGAGCGATGACTTAGACAAATCACGCTCCAACATCGCAGCAAGCGTAGATTTAAATGAGGAGAGGGTTCGATCTCCAATACCAGCAACATCATCTTATCAAACCAGTACAACGAATACAAAGCGCCGGGTTCCAATTGAAGACTCTGATGACGAGATCCTCCCTCCTGCTTTCCTTAGCAAAAGAAACCGGACCCATTTTCACTCCACCACGACTAACCATTCTCCTACTCTCACTGCATCGACGACTAGAAGAGTCTGCGGGTTTCCGGTAGATACGGAAAGTGATGAAGACGATGAGCCACCACGTCCTGCAACTCGCGATACCGTTTTACCATCATCTCAAACTCTAGTCCGAAAGAAAGGATCTCTTCGCCAAGATCCTGAGCAACTTCACCTTTTGCAAATTAGCTGCAGTGAAGACAACGAAGAGATTGCAGATGGATCGATACTTGACAAGGATATCAAGATCCGACGAACATTGTGCCAGCGCGGCTTCAGCACCGCCCCGGACTTTGGAGATGAGTCCGATTACGAGGTTCCTGTGGACAACGAGGAATTGCGAGATATTTCCCCTGATTACTGGCCATCAACACCAGCAGTAAGAATTAAACGCCACTATTCAGAATATACCCATGAGAAACAGACCCTTGGTTCTCAGTCGAAGATTTGGGTCACGCCTCTGATCGCTAACCATGTAAGCTATTTTCTCTCAACTGCAAAGACGTCTTGCTGACCTGATACATTTGTAGTGGAAGAAGTATTATCCAGATAGTATAGAAGAAGTACCCACTACTCGCTCTCGAGTCTTTGGCGGCCAAGCAAAAGGCTTAGAGGATGAGCTACAAGAATTACGTATTCAGGCCGAGAAACATACTAGTGCTTCTATTAGTGAAGTCAAGCTGAATAGCCTCATTCAACATGATCGGAAGCTTGATCGAAGATACTTTGCTTCTGCAGACATCGATGGGGTACGATACGCTCCTGGGGAGTACGTCATGGTTGCTTCGCAAGGTAATATCTATGAAATTGTTTTACGTGCAGCTGCTGATGGGAAGTACAGGCTTAGATGTACCTGAAAAGCGAGCAGGGCTTGATGATGATACAGAGACTGGGAGCACTGGGGATCCGTGGTTTGCTCAGATAATCTATATATTCCAGGACGAGGTAAGTTTCGGCTTTTACCGCGAAAGATGTTAAATTCAGCTAACAATGGTAAGCACGATGAAAAGCTAGCGCATTTACGATGGTTCGAGCACGGCTCGCGAACTTTACTTGGGCAAACTGCGAGCTCGCGCGAGCTTTTTCTTTTCCAAAGCTGCGATGACAATCCCCTGGGATGCATTATCAAGAAGATATCTGTGGAACTCGTTCAACGTTCAACAGAATACGACATGGAAAGTGTAGAAACCAGCTTCAACGATGAGGGAAATTATTTTTACCGGCAATATTGGCATCCAGAATCAAGAAGCTTCACCCATGTAGCGGCATCCCAACCTAGGACCAGAACTGGCCAGGAACAGCTGAGCTTCTGCGAATGCTGTTTTGAAAAGACAGAGAAGACAGCAAGTGAGAAAACTCAAATTCTTGGCACTATTACTTGTCGTAAAGGTCGGCCTACAATCCAGGCCTTCATTTTCCAAGGCACAACATATCGGCTCTACGACTTCGTTTATGTCGTCGATGGACAGAAAGAAGTATACGCAATCGGCCAAGTCACAAAGATTTATCTGCCACGAGGCATGATATCGGCTTACAATTCCCAAGCAAAGTCTCAAGAGCTAGACGAAAACTTAGAGAGAAGAATTACTCTCCGTATCGCTTCCTACCAAAGATACGATGATTTACTTCCGTCTTTTTATGAAGAGATTGAGTCGGGCGGCAAGCATAAGGTCAGAGACTCTCGCCGACTCTTCGCCACTGGATCAACTTTCCGTATCAACGCCGCTGATTTAGACGGAAAGTGCTTTGTTTTCCATCGAGACCATATTGATAATCTGGACAATTATAAGAACCAGAATAATACATTTTGGGTGGAAGATCGCCTTTCTCCGCATGTCAATCCGAGATCCTCTATTCGATTGCGAGACTTATGCCCTCTCGATCGTGACGAAATGACTTATTCTACTCAAAGCAAGCTTGAGCTTTCTTCTAGAATGAAGATAGTGCAGGACTTTGAAAAACAAGGACCCAAGCCTCAAACACTAGTAAGCCAGAGAATATCCATGTCCCGACAGTGTACTAACTGGCCTAGGAGCTGTTCAACGGAATAGGTGGCCTCACAATTGGCTTTCAAGGCATCTGCGGAATGACTAACGCGGTTGAAATTGATGAAGTATGCCATGTTGTCCCCTTTCACCTAGGCACCGCAGTATAGCTGATCAAGGATTCTAGGCTGCATGCCATACAATGACGTCTAATCAACCTGACACGACCGTTCATCAGGCCGATGCCAGTTTACTATTGAGTCGTGCTATCCGACGGGACCAAGGCGAAGAGCTTGATGCAATTTATGACAGACGTGGAAACCTGATACCAGATTTACCACGCAGGGGTGAAGTCGACTTTATCAAGGGCGGTTCGTATGGTCCTCTACCCTTGGTTGCCTCATTCTAAGTAAATCTAGGACCCCCTTGTCCCGGCTTCAGCGGAGCAAACTCTCACAAGCGTGTGGCGGAACCTAGAAACGGTCTAGTCGCGTTGTTTCTAGCATACGTCAACTTCTACCAGCCAAAGTATAGCCTGATAGAAAATGTCGTGGGACTGATTAGGCACGATGTGAGCACCATTTACGGATCCATAATTTCAGTTACTGATTGTAGGTGTAGCTTGTTGTACCTCAAGAATCTGAAAATTCTGGGTCTAGCACTGAGGTTGAAATCAAACATGGGACTATCAAGTATGGAAATTCTTTTTCAATTTTTGTAGCGGAGCTAAATATCCTTAGGATGATATTCCGAACCTACACATCAATGGTCTACCAAGTTCAATGTGCTATTTTAAATGCTGAGGAGCACGGTACGCCGCAATCTCGACCACGGGTTTTCATCTGGGCTACGCTACCTGGTTACCGACTCCCATAATACCCTCAACCAGAGCATGTTTACAAGTCTCGTGCAAACAGTCCGCTTTTCGAGTCCCAAAGAAAGCTGGGAACCTGGGATTTTTACTGGCACCGGCAACGTCGCTCAGCACCACACAAGGTCGTAACACTAGGAGATGCCTTGTTAGACCTTCCAGCATTTGATTGGAAAAACCCTCACACAGTAGTCAAGAAGACTAGATCTGACGAACAGCAAGAACGTGAACGATGGAAAAGAATCACGCTTTATGATCCTTTTGAGATGGAACAACCCTTTGTTGGAAGAAACGACCAATCTTACTCCTTGGGACCACTGACAGAGTACCAACGAAAATTAAGGGAAGGAAATACATCGAAGAACACTGTGAAGAACCATGTCACGGCTAAATTGCATGCTCTTAATACAGAAAGAGTCTGTAGTATACCTCTTTGGCCTGGAGCGAGCTACAAGGACCTCCCTGCTGACCTTCGAATCTCCCGAAAAGCTCCACAGGAGAACTCTTGTTCCAGATTGGATCTATTGGGTATACAGAACACCTGCATGACTGTAATGGGGATTCTTGGAAGATATGGCAAAGTAAGATGCACGTCACTTCTGGTTACAAGACGATTACTGACATGGCAGGTGATTCATCCGACTCAGTATCGTATTGAATCTGTCAGAGAATATGCTCGCGTTCAAGGCTTTCCAGATAGCTATGTTTTCGACCTGGAAAATTGGACAGTAGGAGATGCTATTAGAGGCATCGGGAATGCCGTTCCGATTCCTCTTGGACGAAGTCTTGCCAAAGGGTTCTTGGACTCTTGGATGGAGCACACGAAGCTTCCAGGCCGAAATTCAGACGCAACTCGCACCAGTGATGGTGAAATTGGCACCAGTATGGATGATGCGATTAACCTGATTTCAGATGACGATGAATGAAGGTTACGGGACTGCTTGCTATTTCAAAAACCGCCTTTTCAATCTATCTGTTTTGTTGTTTTTGATTCGCTCTTCGCTTGCAAAGTATCAATTATTTTTGACGTTCCATATCTTAAAGTGTAATACAAAGCACAACATTAGCGATGAGGAGCTTGCAGAACTGTCTGGATGGATGCTAGCTAGGAATAGGCGGCTGTCAGCCGAGGATATATTTAGGGGTCGATCTGAAGTTGCCGGGTGCAGTCACGAGACTCACGACATGTAAAGGTCAAGAACTTCACAAGGAGGACACCTCTATGGAATCTATTTTCAATTTACGGCGCTTCTATAAACAATTTTGTTTCCCAACGCAAGAAAATTCTCTGGGTGCTACTTGCCCACACTGTCCTCGAAGAGATAGAAGTTGAACCATTATAGAGCTTGAACAAAGGCCTGTCTCTTTGCGAATATCTCCATCTTCCTTGTAACATCACGTCTTATAGCAAACCCATCTCTAATATGGCTGTAGAGGTTAATTTGATAGGGTCCCGTCCATGTGTCCATAGCTGCTCGAATTTTCTCTCGTTCGATGGCATTAGTCTTACTCTCGGGGTCTTCTGCCCAGGCTATGCTTAGTGGCCTCTTGACACCCGAGAATGCATCAAGGGTGCAAATTGGTGCACCTTCAGGGGAGGCAATGAATCCCGCCACCATGATACAGTCTTCCCTGTCTGGGTTGGCGAGATGCCTCAGAACATGCTTGGCTCCATACCTGGGCCCTGCTATATCTTTGATGGCATCGTCGATAATTTTTTCGGCTTTTTCTTCAGAGTGCGTTATGTGCCTTGCTTCTATCAATTCGTCAGCTCGTAGGTCGTAGATTCACACTCATTCATTACTCATGTTGACTGCTCATGGAGGACCAATTACTCCAGTGTAGCCGCAAACACGGCTTTTAATTCCTGCCTAGTGGTTGTCAGTTTGAAATAAATACATGCAGAGATACAAGAGATCTACCTGTGCAAATTGATCTGCCAACATCATACTGTCGTGGCAGGTACCGTCTGAATCGGAAAGTAATAAGAGTCCGATTTTTTCGTAGTCCTTCGACAAGCGCCCAAAACAAGAAACATCGAGTGGTGTAACACAATATGTCCCGACATACGATTTCTCGGCATATTTGCCTTTGGGCACTCCTCTGCCACGCAATTAGCAGTTTGCTTCATGTCAAAGTGGCAGTGCAGGAAGAGCATACTCCCGTTCAAAGCCTACAGGTTCAAAAGTAAGCATGTTATCTTTAGCTCGTGCTGCTACACATACCATTGTAAGGATGAGCCTCCACCTTCCTCGGTGTTGGGGACAACGTGTCGGACATGATGAAAAAGCTAGATCTTGACGCTATATGGAGGTGGAATTGAAGGTAGATTATGATCACTGTATTCTCTACGACGGACTTGATGGAGAATTAATCTGTGGAATTGCCAAAGAAGACCACTTCAATATCTGATTTTGGATGATCTTTCATTCAACCGAGCTCTCGGCAGAGAATATGATGGATGCACCCTCCAGCGGTATCCTCGAGCGGAAGCCGGGGAATGCTACTGCTGAATGCCTTTCCTACGAAACAAACCTCCAATCCAATCAATATTGTGACGCGCAATCAATCAATAGTTTCAATGTGAAGAATGCACGCGATTTCTTCTGTGCGTCAGGAGTTGAAAGATGACGGGCTGTGGCCGTGTCTTGGCACGTCAACAGTGTCAAGCAAAGCGCCTGCATGTTAACATAGAAGTGGATTGGCATGCCCTCATATCCTAGCTCTAGTAATGCAGTCAAAGCGTCTTTGTGGCCCAGGAAGAAGACCTTTCGGGTGATACATTCCTGGGAAACCTTCCGTTTGCTTTCTTTCACTTTGCCAATCAACCCAAAATCAAAGCAGACGTAGAACAAGAATTGGGATACGAGGAATAGAATGATTGGTACACAGGAAATATCCATTGCGTTGCAGCTCGTGCGCAACTGGTTACCTTACAGGGGGAGCGGAAGACTCCATGGTGCAGTGCAGGGTCTTGATATGATACTGTGCAGTGCATATTTTCACATCGAGATGTGTGTGACGGCATGAAAAAGTACGCCTACTTAGCTGTGCTACAGACAGCGAAAGGGATTGTTGTTGAGGACGTGATGGATTTTAAGCGACAATGGAATGCTTAGGTAAGGTAAGGTTGACGTGCAGACGGGATGGATGGAGATGGAGTTGGAGGTGGAGACGAGAGCTTGGCACGCTAACCTGGATGAAGCGAACGTGGCAGGAACCTTGACCTTGGTGACCTCCTTCAGAATTCCGACCATCTTGACCTTGACACACAGCACCACCGTCGAGCAGTGCCTGACGACGACAGCTGATGCGCAAACGTACATGACTAATTGACATGAATCCTAGTGATGGTCTCAGTTGTGAGCTCGAGCTCACGGGAGCAGGGCATATTGCCGGAATGCAGTGACACCTCAGGAGAACAAACCCCATCACATGACGTGGGTCAAGATTCAAAGTCCGCCCCAGGATATACTCTGGCAGTCCAGGAAGTGACGCATCTTCCTTCGCCGTCACCATCGAGATCGCCGTCGCCGTCGCCTCGAAGCTTGTCACCGTCTCTGGTGGTAACGGACTCCTCGTCAGTGGAATACACTGGTATTCTTCCCCATGCTCGAAAGTACTCTGGATCATTTGAAAAGGCCATTCTCTCAGCACCCTTAGATGACGATGAATCTGCCATCGCTTCGCCCCTTCCGATATCAAAAACGCTACCGGCCCATGAGCTTCATGATATTCCGGAAGAGGTCAGGAAACCGAGAAAACCGTCGGTGAATAGGAGCAATGTCGACGATGTGCGATCTACAATCGTCGAGGTGGATGGGACCACCGAGGAGAGGATTAGGAAGCCGCGAAAGCTCTCAGTGAATAAATCCAATGGCGAAGTTTTGAAGCTATCAGCTGCCGAGATTGAGGAGTTAACCTCAGCTTCCGGTTCTTTACCGATATTGTCACCTACCCGGATGACAGTCTCCGCGCAACCTTCACTTGCCCCGTCGCCAGTCGTTGATCGGAGAAGCTCAATGTCTGATGGTCCGCATTCGGACGTTGAAGGCCAAAATGGAAGGCACAGAAAGATTAGCGCTCCAGAACCAATGGGCATTCCCGCTGAGACTCGCGATAAAAGTCGTGCCAGAGCCGAGACAGCATCAAATTTAGTCACAAGGCGTCCTGGATACTCATCTAGGGCAGTATCAACCCCGCCCACGTCAAGCAAAAATACGCTGTCACTCACCAAGGCCCAAAATCAGCTGTCGCCGAAAAGAAAGTCCCATCAGTCGGGACTGCGACCAGAACCCCTAGATCTTGAGGTGTTATCAGCGAAGCTACATGGCGGAAAACCTGCAGCAGATCCTCCTTCGCCGATACCTCTTCCACCTATGTCTATTCCGACCTACTTGCAACTGGAACTCTCGTCAACTGTGCCTTCTCAATTGTACATTTCTTCCGGTGGACATGTTGAGTATGAATCATCAAAAGTCAAATTTGAACGCCTTTTAAATTTCTTATTGCTGCCACCTCAATTAGAGCAAGTTCTCTACTTCGGCTCAATGGCATGTTTGGATGCATGGCTCTATACGTTCACCATCTTACCACTCCGATTTTTCAAAGCTGCGGCTATCTTAATTCAATGGTGGGGCCACGTTATAGCAAAAGAGGCCAGGTTCATCGCTGGCTTTATTTACCATGGCTCTGGACGTTTTTGGCACCGACAGCGTGGTAGACGAGGAAGCACAAGCTCAGTGGATCGCTCCAGGAGCGTATCCAGAGCGAGCAGGCCTCCAGTTTCCACGACTGCATCATACCAGTCACAATCGGGGAGAAGGCCTGATATCGGATCCCAAACCTTTACATCAGAAAATCTCCGGGCTGAAGTGGAACGCAAATCACGACAAGGCTGGGGACGGAGACATCGACGACAGAAGTCCCAGCCATCGTCGCTCTCATCATATCATAAAGCCGATCTCTTACAAGGTGCAGTGATCATTGTCAGCTGCTTCATCTTGATGAAGCTAGATGCAAGCCGGATGTATCATAGCATTCGGGGTCAGTCGGCGATCAAACTTTATGTTATTTTCAATGCTCTTGAGGTATGTTCTTACATTACTACTACATGGATTGAACCCCTTCTTACTGGAGCAGGTTTGTGACAAACTTCTAGCAGCTCTTGGACAAGATATTCTCGAGTGTTTATTTTCCAATGAGACTCTGCAGCGCGATTCATATGGAAGAAGCAAAATTTTACGACCTCTGGGCATGTTCGTTTTGGCACTCATCTATAATGTCACTCACGCCACAGCACTATTTTACCAGGTTATCGCTCTGAATGTTGCCGTTAATTCATACTCAAACGCACTTCTGACCCTGCTCATCTCCAATCAATTTGTTGAGGTGAAGTCGACAGTGTTTAAAAAGATCGAGAAGGACAATCTTTTCCAACTTACCTGTGCTGATATAGTTGAACGATTTCAACTCTGGCTGATGTTGATAATTATCGCACTTCGGAATATTGTTGAAGTTGGATATGGAGATGCTGCGGCAGATGACACCATCCTTCCCAGCAGTTTCATCGTCCTGCCCAGCTGGTCAGGTGAAGTTCTGGCTCCTTTTCTCCTCGTTCTTGGTAGTGAGATGTTGGTGGATTGGATCAAACATTCATACATCAGCAAGTTCAACAATGTCAAGCCAGCAGTCTATCAGCGGTACCTTGACGTTCTGGCAAAGGACTATTACACGAATGTGAGTTATTCAAATCTGTGAAGCTAAATCTTACTTACATATGCTAGGCATTCATCAACCAAAACCTGATCAAACGCCTGGGTCTGCCCGTCATTCCCTTATCATGTCTCTTCATCAGGTCTTCCATGCAAACATACCACATGTTTCTTGCTACACACCTCCCATCACCAGTTGCATCGACCGCAACAGCGCTATCAGTCGAATCAGCGACCACATCCCCAGCAACAACTGCTGCTCTAGAGCACTTCGACAATATCATACGACGAGCTCTCGGCCGCTCGACTTTCGGAATTCCAGATCCCCTAGCCACGAATCCTTGGTATCTTCCTAGCGCAGACGATATTATAGCCGCGCTCACAATGTTCATTTTCTTCTTGGGAGCCTTCTTTGTACTCCTTGCTTGCAAACTGGTTCTCGGTATGCTCCTCCTTAAGTTCGCTCGAAATCGGTACCGAACTATGAAAAAGCGCGAGCATCAAAACTATACCGCGGAAGGCAAAAGATTGGGAATTTGGGGAATGACTGAGGTGGATGAAGATAAGAAGCGTTGGTTCTATGACGATGATCCCGAGACGTTGAAGAAGATGAGGGAGAAAGAGAAAATCGGGAAGGAGAAAGCTGAAAAGAGCCAAGATTTTGGGAAGATCAGTCGATATGAGATGGTGAAGCGGATATGGTAGATACAGGGGGCTTGGTACGCATACCAAAAAATTGAGACTACCTAAAATAGGAACAACATCGCAGACGACATCTTCGATTTTATCATGTGCAACCGTGAAAGAGTGAGGACAACCATAAGAAGGTAGGCTCTATAGAATAATGCGGAAAAATGGCATTTTCATCAAGAAACTGCAAAGATCTAGACAGGAGCAAAATCTTGATGATTAATTGAAAACAACGGAAAACGACTGTGCTGAATCTTGAAAAACAACAACTCGAATGACCACCTTCTAGATCGTCCAAGCCAGCTGGCGTGCACTGCAGTCAGCCTGTGGCCCGTCCTCATGAGCCAATCTAAAGCATCTTGTACAACGGTACAACACGATGTTCCCAAGCTTGGAATCCACATCGCAATAATTACGTGCTCCAAACCCATCTCGATCTCGATCCAGAAGGTGCGCCTTCCAGCAACTAACCACCTGCATTCTCCAAATTCAAGAGAACGACTTCGGACCGGTCAGGTGACCGGTCCGCTCAAGCCGTCCGACCGTTAGCTCCTTGCGTTTTGGACGAGAACGAGAAAGGAAGAGAGACTTGCACCAATAAGGAGAAAGCATGAGACAGACTTTCTCGACGTGCGTCTCAACCCAGGGGACACGGGTCCGGATCTGGTGGTGGATGAGACGTAATGCGGTGCGGTGGAGGCTGGGTTTGCGGTTTGTTGTTAGGTATTCATGGAAGGGCATTGTGGGGACTGGAGGCAGGGGTACCTACCTCAGATACTGATACTGAGATGGCGTGTGATAAGTGAGGACGGTACTGAGATTTGTATATAAGGATGTGTACTGCTGTGTTTCTTCTTGAGAGGAGGAAGATACCCAAGACAATAGCTTTCAACCATCGTCTCTTTCCTCATCAGTCTTCTATATCAATTTCGACTTTGGTAGTCTCATCATCGTTCCTTTCCCTCCAAGTCTTGACATCTCTCCTCGATCGTCAAGATGCCCGAGAACCTCTGGACTCGCACGCCTCTCATTGAGTCCTCATCTCTCTCCTCGGCAGCAGGATGGTCCATCCTTTCACCCCATCATCTAACCTGAATCCAAAAATCTAACGTCTCTACAGTAGAATATTCCTCAAGCTAGACAATTACCAGCCATCCGGATCCTTCAAATATCGCGGCATCAGCCACCTGATGCAAAGCGCCCTTCTCAATCGTGATTCCGACTCCCTCACACAACTTCACTACTACTGCTCCTCGGGTGGAAATGCTGGTGTCGCTTGTGCAACAGCCGCTCGTTCGATGGGATACCCAGCTACAGTCGTCATCCCACTTGCTACATCTCCATTCCTGGTCAATAAAATCCGGTCCCTAGGAGCTATAGTACACCAAGTTGGCGCGAGCTGGGCCGACGCTGACCGGTATCTAAAAGAGAACTTGCTGTCAAAAGATCCACGTGGCTTCTACGTTCCACCATTTGATAATCCCATCATCTGGGAAGGTGCGTCGTCGATGTTCGAGGAGGTCTATGAGCAGATGGAAGACGAGGAGGGTATTGATGGTGTTGTGTGCAGCGTTGGTGGTGGGAGCTTGTTGACCGGAATCATGACTGCTATTGAGCGCAACTTCACACCTTCTTTGCGGAGACCACAGCCACCGAGGGTGCTGGCGGTAGAGACTCGAGGAGCAGAGAGTTTGAATGCGAGTCTGAAGGGAGGAAAGCACATTACACTGCCGAAGATCACAAGTATAGCCACGTCTTTGGGCGTTGTTCGTGTGGCTTCTCGTGCGTATGAGCTGGCCCAGCGGAGCAATGTCACGAGTCTGGTGCTAAGTGATGCGGAGGCTGCGATGGGATCGGTCCGGTTTGCTGAGGATGAGAATACCCTTGTTGAAGTTTCGTGTGGGGTTGGTTTGGCGGCTGTCTACAATGGTGAGCTGAGGAAAGCCATGGGAAGCAACATGAGTGATGATGAGTGGCGAAAGATGAAGATCGTGGTCGCTGTGTGTGGTGGTAGTGATGTGACGCCGGAGTTGCTGGAAAAGTACAGACAAAAGTACTCAGCGGAAGCTCCTAACGTCATGAGGCGAACGCCAGATGAGGGTGTTTCCTTTGGCAACTTCGCTGGACGAAGGTGCAGTCAGAGTCTCGGAGTACTTGGTTTCGATATATCCTTGTCGGAGAAGGAAGAGTCTTTATATAGCGTCAGGCCCTATGAGGTTGCCTGTTAATCATAATTAGAAGCCGTTGCCAAATATTCACTACCAAGTATGTAACAAAAACCATAAATTTTTCAGGATGATTCGTTGTAGAAGTATGTGGAACCTGGTGCTCCAAACAAAGTCCAGTCGTCGATTGTAAATGCCCAATCTTCTGGGATTTGGTCGAAGAGCGATAGGTTTAGTTGTTCAAGGCTTGATTGTGCTCCAGGGAGACTTTGAAAATCCAGACTAGCAGAAGTCATGCTGTTAGGTGGTACATCAACCCAATCGTCTTCTCGCCCAGATATAATGCCAACATCATTTGGTGGTCTGCCCTGGCCTTGAGATGGTATGGCTACAGAATCCTTTTGACCAGCAGTGAAAGTCTCTGGCTGAGCCCGAGAGGACTTCCCGTTCGATGCTGACATCGAGGCGTAGTCGAACACCTTCCACATTAGACTCATATCGTCGCCTGCAAGTCCAACCCTCTCACTCTCGACTGCTGGCAGAATCCCATCATAATCATCCTGTGAGTAGTAGAGAGTATGACGATGTCGAAGTCTGGCAGCCAGTTCTTCCACAATCCCGAGCTACGACCCCTTAGTACGAAGGTAGTGAGACTGCCTAGTTTCGACCTACCAATTCTGTGATACTGTTCCAGTACTTCGAGAGCTTTTTGAGATATCTGATGGCGCTCCTAAAACTCAAAGTTGCTGCTGCCGCAACATCTGCATGCTTACTCAGAGTATGTTCGAGCTGAATAGTGGCTGCAATTGCAGTAAGATAACCAATAAAAGGGTCGTGGAGCATCATGCCAGCTTCATCCATTTCGTCCAAAAACCTGATGATCCAGCGGGAATGGATAAGCGAGCTTTTATACGACTTTTGTAGAAAGCTAGGTGGGACTTTTCTAATGACGTGCTGCAGTTTGATAAACATGATGAATGGGTGATGGCTAACCTTGATTAGTATTTCGATTTGATTTCCAAGATTAGGAGCCCTACATGCAACATTGTATCGACATGTAAGTCAACTGAAAACATAGCCATGATGCAAAGTATGGGCGCATGTGTGGCTCCTGTATTGCTCGGCGAGGGAAATTGACCTCTCTGTATCGATGTGTAGAGAATTCTATAGAGCCGATTAGGCGGAATTTGGGAAGAGAGTGGGGGATAATTTTACCAGGTTCAAAATCTGCGAACCTGTATTCGATAGTGGCCAGATCAGACGTCGGATGCCAGGGAGGCATGTCGCTCTTGTCATTCGTCTGGAACACATATCTGATCGCATCATCCCAGAGCGAATACACGCCTACTAGGAGTGCTGACAGGTCCTGGTCATTAGACAGAGAAAGAGTCTTGGACGTAGTACCGAGATTTGTGTTTCTTTGGGACTCGTCGAGTAACAATGCTCCCTCCCAAGTTGGTTTCGGCAGCTGAAATGCTTGGTAAGGTTGGGAAGGGGAGACAAGGCGGGCCATGCTGAAAGTGCGATCCAGCATGAATAGTGTCCAAGTGCAGCGAATAACCTCTTGACTCTTGGCTTCATTCTCAGAATCCGTAGATTCAGAGAGATAGCCAAGAGATTGGGCGATTCGAACACCCAGCGAGATTTGGGTGTGAGCTCTCTGTACTCTCCCGTCTGTGAAGTCAGTGCGGACCTATGTTATAGAGAATTTTTGAGCAAAATACCTGCAAAATCAACTTGCGCCAGCAGACAGAGTCCTTGGAGATATTCAAGACTTGTGTCTCCTTCTCCGTAGCGTTGCAGGAGATTGTACCATGACCAGTCTGATAATGCACGAATCCAATCATTGATTTTACTTTGATCCTCCCAAAATTCATGAGAGGAACAACGAATGCTCAATGCCAGCATGGGATTGAGAACTACGGGGTCTAATGAGCTGTTCGGCCGCAGCGAAGCCGCCCGGCAAAGCAAATTGTAAGGCTGAGAATGGAAGCATGTGAAATATGCGATGATTCCATCTTCAATCACATCAGCAGGTAACCCTTCGCTCCCAAGATATCTTTTCAGTTAGCTCATGGTCTAGATCTCGCCGAGAAATCTTACTGTGTACTATTCTGTCGGCTGGGATGATGTGATCTTGGTAAAGGAAGGTTATTTCGAGCTTCAGACACCCCGTTTGATTCTTTAGGGCTCCTCAAGGTATTTGAGACATCTACCAGTGCAGTGGCAGCTATTTTGGGACTGTTTGAAGCTGGTACCACTTTCCTAGCATCGAGTTAGTGCTCGAACAACATGTTATTGAGTTGACTAACTGCATGGAAGCTGCAAGCTCCTCTAGCTTCTGCTCAATATTACCAAATCTTTTGGATACCTTCGTTTATCAGCCGGAGACTCTCAAGGAGACTACTTTGACTGCTCACCTCGCCTCCTGCTAGACTATGGCGATGTGATTGTTCAGGTGATCTCTTCCGTTTTCGACCTTCAGACTCGGGACTTTCATATAGACACCTCTGCCCGAGTCTTGCACAAATAGAGCATTGTGGTTTTTCTCCGGGACATTTGGATTTCTTGCGTCTGCCAAAGTCAATGGATGTCCGTCCCAGATTGGTAATAGTCAGGCATTACCGGCAATTCAGGCACGCCTGTCTTATCCTTCTGATAGGGCTGGATCGACGTCCAACGCCATGACTGTTTTGATCAGCCATAGCTGGATCGATAGTTATGAGCCGGCAAATGTCTCATCATTTCGAGGGAAGATGAAAGTGCAGTGAGAGAAGTGCAGTAGATGGTTGATGGTTTAGCGACCAAGCGCTATTCCGAGAAGACTCAAGCGCTACCTGGGGCATTCTTGGTGCAGCGATTCAGCTCCTTGCTTCTATTCGATTCAAACTTGCTCTCCTTCCAAGACCGATGCTTTTTGAACCCAATAATGTGCCCCAATTTCACTGTTCCTTTGCTCGACATATTTTTGGGATTTTAGCATTCAACCGATTTCTTCAAACGATTATTTGAACCCCGGTACTTAACAGCATGACAAAACCACTCCAGACAGACGCTTTTCTGGCCAACTTTCGGCTTTAGGAGCTCGTCGGTAGATCTCTCATATCTCACTGAACTTAGAATTGTGAGATGACCAAGGGAGCCATACACGAACGAGGCTGCAGCGCGCTCCACAGCTCGTACCAGCAGGTAATCAGTAGGCCGTTTAGAGATGATGCAATGCTTGCGGGCGTTCGATTCGTCCGTCATCAGACATATCAGGCATAGTGCGGTGTTGATCCGATAGCATCTTTTGACTTTATTGTTGCATGGTCTGAAGCTTGAGTCATTTTCACAAACACATTTCTACCTAGGTACTCACGTCGTACACTTCAATATTGTCCTCCATCTGTTCTCAGTGAAACTATAAGTACCTTTGTTTCGGGCTCGCAATGTCTAATCTCGCCGTCAACAATCTCTACGGAGTCAAAGGACTTGTTGCTGTAATCACAGGAGGCGGAAGTGGCCTTGGCCTGACTGTAGCAAAAGCACTCGATGCTAATGGCGCCAAAGCAGTCTATATTATCGGGCGTCGAGAGGAGAGCCTGAAGAAAGCTGCCGCACAGGGTGTCAATGGCTCAATCATTCCTATCCAAGGAGATGTTACATCCAAAGACTCCCTTGAAGCAGCTGCCGACCGTATCCAGAAAGAACAAGGCTTCATCAATGTTCTTTTTGCGAACAGTGGCATTATAGGTGTCAGCACAGCGTCCACGGGTCTTCCAACGGACAGACAACCAACAGTCAAGGAGTTCAAGGATGCGATGTGGAAACCAAGCATCGAAGATTTCAGTCAAGCCTCTCATGTCAACGTCTCCGGCACGTTCTATTCGGCGCTAGCCTTCCTAGAGCTCTTGGACGAGGGTAACAAACGCAAGAACGTGGAGCAGAAGTCCAACATCATTGTCACATCATCGGTTGCAAGTTTTTCGCGCAAGATGGCGGCAGGAATATCTTACTCGGCTTCGAAAGCAGGTACCAACCACCTCATCAAAATCCTTGCTACGACCTTTGGTCCGTATAAAATACGAGTCAATGGCATCGCACCTGGAATGTTTCCTAGTGAGATGACGGAGGGCCATCCTTCTTTCTTGAATGCCGACCCATCAAAGGAGGGAGGAGTGTCGAAGCAAGTCTGCCCGCTGGAGAGAGCTGGATCAGAAGAAGATATTGCGGGCACTGCGTTGTTCATGATGAGCCGAGCAGGAGGATATCTGAGCGGGAACATCACTGTTGTTGATGGAGGTAGAATTGGAGACTTGCCATCAGCCTATTGAAGCTGAACCGCCGTTGATGCTTAACTCAGAATATGGAGTGAGGGGGACTGGTGTGTCAAAGTCGACGGACATCTAGCTGATTCCAGTGTCAAATTTATGCTTGTCAGAGATACCTTGACTCGGAAGGTGAAAAATCAGTAATTTCGCAGAAAATAGAGACCCAACCGCTCATAGGCACTTGTGTTAAATCAATTTACATCATTAGTATAGAATGAGGAGAGTTGCACGAGCACAGGAGAGAAGGAAATTTAGGAAACTATGCTCACCATCGGGACTACAGAACAATACTTATACTAGGTAGGGTCAAGCTGCCAAGACCCACCCCGCGATTTGGCTCTGGACTCCCGATCGTTCTTGAATCTTGACTGGACCCAGTCCCGCCAGTCCAGTCAGCGCACTTGCCAATTGCTCCCGAAAGCTGTCCAATGATTATTCATGACGACCTACCTACCTAGCAGCCTTACAACATTCCTTACGCCCTTGTCCTCGGCATCATGACAATGCACTGTCTTTTCATACTTGCAGTAATTGCCCCGTTTCCGCTCGAGCAACCTCCTTGAAGAGCAACCGACGGGCACTCCAACTCGGAGACTCCAACTCGGAGGAGTAACGAGACGAGATGAGCTTCTACGAAGCCGGCGCAGCATGGCATGCTGGCGAAGAAGAGATGCACAAGCTTCTACGAGTCCCAGCTCAAGACAATCCCACACAGCCATACCTCACACCGCAAGCCTCGAATACCCTCATCCGGTCCCCGTTGATAGCACTGGGAACTCTCGATGAAGAAGGCAGACCATGGACGACACTATGGGGTGGAGAGGCAGGATTCTCCAGGGCCATTGCACAAGGGATCATTGGGGTCAGGACAACAGTTGATAGAGAGTATGACCCTGTTTTGAAGGTGCTGCTTGGAGACCAGGCCGATGGCGAGGTAGTACAGGTACAAGGGACAGGCAAAATGGTCAGCGGATTGACGATAAATTTGGAGACCAGGAAGAGAGTCAAGCTTTACGGAAGGATGGTTGCAGGGGCTCTTGCAGCCACTGAAGAGGGCGTTGGAGAGGTACAATTGGTTGTCAAGATTGAACAGAGTCTAGGTATGCCGTTTGTGACGTTCAGAACATTACCATCGCCTGACTTCACGCAGGAAATTGCCCGAAATACCTGAACAAGAAGCAAATCGTTCCCCATATTCCACAACCCAAACTTGTTTCTAAAAATCTACTACTACCCGAGGCAGCCGTGAATCTGCTTTCCAAAGCCGACCTTTTCTTCATATCCTCCTCAAACCATGAATCGGATATGGACTGTAATCACAGAGGAGGTCCGCCAGGGTTTGTCAGAATTCTCTCGAATACAGAAGAAGAAGTGACGCTGGTCTATCCTGAGTACTCCGGAAATCGTTTGTATCAAACCCTTGGAAATCTCAGGACAACCCCACGCGCTGGCCTGGTGGTTCCAGACTTTGAGACTGGAAATGTCCTCTATGTCACTGGAACCACGGAAATACTTATTGGGAAGGATGCCACGGACCTCATATCTCATACCAATCTTGCTGTGAAGATCAAAGTCGAAGCAACAAGGTTCGTCTCTGATGGGCTCGCTTTCAGGGGCCATGACGGAGAACTTTCTCCTTATAATCCTCCGGTGCGATATTTGTCGACAGAAACTTCTCATGGTATTGGCGGATTGGAAAAGCAGGTACTCGCTAAGCTCATCGACAAGAAAATGCTTACCCCAACCATTGCAAGGTTCCGCTTCCAGATTGCCGACCCAGGTCAGACGAGCAAATGGAAACCTGGGCAATACGTTGCTCTGAGTTTTGCGGATGAGTTGGACATTGGATATAGTCACATGAGAGATGATGATCCGAAAAGTCTCAACGATGACTTTCTCCGCACGTTCACCGTATCTTCGCGCCAGGATGCGCTCGATGAGTGTGACCAATTTGAGATCACAATTCGGAAGGTTGGTGTCGTTACAGACCTTCTCTTCAGGCACAATATCAGATCGGAACTGGAAGTCCCACTACAGGGATTCGGCGGCGAATTCATAGTCGAGCAGAGCGGATCAGAGAATGTAGCATTTGTAGCGGCCGGGGTTGGAATCACGCCTCTACTAGCTCAGGCTCAAGATCTGGATCTGGAACGACTACACTTATTCTGGACAAATAGAGCAGATGATGTCCCATTAGTCATTGAAACATTCGATCGAATCCCTGGACTTGCTCAAGCATCTACTATTTTCATGACTGGGAGCATCAATGCCGACTCCGAGGATTGGAAGAAGCTTGTGGCTTCGGGAGCGAAGCTTGAGAACAGGAGAATAACGATAGAAGATGTAGGTGCTTATTCGGCGGCTAAATGGTATTTATGCACTGGGCCTGGATTCCGAGCTACTTTGTTGAAGTGGCTGGAAGGAAAGACAGTATTTTTCGAGGACTTTAATTACTAATTCAGGACATGACTTTTGTGTCAGAATGCTGGACCGCTCTCCCTGACATATTCGCATTCTCAATTTCATGTTTCGACTGAAGTGTTCAAGACGTCAGGGACCACTCCTCTGTCGCCTGTTCGAGATGAGATAGATATCAGCAACTCGCGCTATCATGTCAGTGTGACTATTAGAACCAGCTCTGAGCGACCTCTGTTTTCGTTTTCGAAAGGATAAACATTTCAGTGACCAGCATATAACTAGTACATATTAACGGACTGTCAATCGCTGTACTTGAAAATAGCAGCGGCAATCGGGGGGAGAGTGGCTGAATGCACTACCCTTGGGATGGCCCATATCCCCGCCACTGGTTGCGCCGCGCAAAGTCGCCGAAACCCCACAGATGTTGGCAGGGTCTAGACATTCTTGTCTGTACTGTCGATCTCCTTCCATAAATCATATGGGGACTCGCCATGTTTCTTGTCGTATCAGGTATAAGAGTGGGTTAAATTATGGTCTCGCCAGACAGCTCTTTCTCGGGGGACTGTAATATGCAGGCTCTTGAGGTATGAAGCCATCGCATGACTTGTTGTGATGTTGACATGCCTTCGCTTAACAGAGTTTACACATCGACATCAGAGACTTCCCAGGGATAACCTGGACCATTCCCAGGTCTTTGCATCCTAACATCCTCCGCAAGAGTGGATGTTCTCATTACAAAAGTGTCGATCGCCACGTTTGTTTAACAGAAGTTTTGCCGCTCATGTATATTATGAGGGCATTTCGCCTTCTCCATTGGCAGGTTTCTATCCCCCACCCTTTCTACCTCTCCCTCTTTCTTCTAGCTAGTTTTGATCATGGTTAGCGTTCCCTTTTTCAGGCAGCTTTCGGCTGTGTCTCTTGCAAGCCTGTTTCTCCCTAGCAGTGCTTCTCCAGCCTCGTGCTACAATAACACGCCTTCGCCTTCTATCCTTCCTCCTCGCGTAACATTAGACAATGGTCTTATCGTCGACGGCGTCATCAACCCCTCAACCCCAGGTGTCTCAGAATATCTTGGTATCCCCTACGCCAAACCACCCGTCGCCGATCTCCGCTGGGCACCACCACAGTCCTACTCACCTGAAAATGGGACCATCATTAATGCCACATCTATTCCTGCATCTTGCTACCAATACAGCACCGACAATCCCACTCTTCTCACTAAAGAACTTCCTGATTTTGTTGTCGGATCAGCTGGTAACGCCGGGCTCAGTGAGGATTGTTTGACTGTGAGTGTGTATGCGCCTGCGAATGCCGTCAAAAATGGGTCAAGTTTACCGGTTGTCATCTGGGTTTATGGTGGTGGGTTTGCGACAGGGGCCATGGATGTTAAGTACCAAATTCCGTCGAAGTGGATTGAACGGTCGCAGGTACACATTGTGGTGACTTTCAAGTGAGTATCATATCCTCTAATTCGTTCCTACTGACACATCATCTCAAGCTACCGCATTAATATCTTCGGTTATCCAAATGCAGCCGGCTTAGAGGAGCAGAATCTGGGAATCTTGGACCAGAGACTCGCGTAAGTCACATTCTCCTGTTCGCTTCTCAATCCAGTTCTTGGATACTGATGCTCTCGTCAAGTATCGAGTGGACCCAGTCCAACATCGCCAAATTCGGCGGCAACCCTTCTCAAATGGTTCTCTGGGGCCACTCCGCCGGTTCCGTCGCTGTTGACTATTATAACTTCGCCTATCCAAGCGACCCTATCGTCAAAGGTCTAATCATGAATTCTGGTACTGTTCACTTGGACCAACTCGTCAGCCCAGACACTCCACACTCCAACTTCACCTTTGTGGCGAGTAATGTTGGATGTGCGAACCAGACTAACGCCGCTGCCGAATTGGCTTGTATGCGCAACGTTCCCGCTGATGTGATTGAGGATTTTTTGCATGCTTATGAAGACTCGGGTGTCAGTCCTTCCATAACCTTTGCACCAACAGTGGATGATGTGATTGTTTTTGGGAACTACACTGAGAGAACTGCTCTCGGCGCCTTAAGCACACTGGTAAGTCGTCACTCTTCTTACTTTCTCAACCACTCGTTCAAGCGTTTCACATAGAGCTAACATGCCCCCTCCACAGCCCGCCATCATCGGCAACACCGCCAACGAAGGCATGTTTCTCGCACCCTACGTGTCCACCGGCTCCGACCAGTCCATCGCAACCCAGATTTCCTACGAGTACTTCTGGTGTCCATCCACCAAATCCAGCTACGAGCGCCTCGCTGCCAATCGCACCACACATCGTTTCCTCTACTCTGGAAACTTCACCAATGTGTCACCAAAGCCGTGGATCGGTGCGTATCATAGCAGTGAGCTGCCGTCGGTATTTGCAACCCATGATTTGAATGGGGAGTCTGGGGAATTTGAGGTGGCTGTTAGCGAGAAGATGCAGGATGCGTGGTTAGCGTTCGCGAAAGATTTGGATGGTGGACTGGAGGCGTTGGGGTGGGAGGCGTATGAAGGAAGGGGAGGCGCTGTGATGGAATTTGCGGGGGAAGATGGGAGTGTAGGAACGATCGTGGAGTTGGGGGAGATTGAGGAGGAGTGTGCTGCTCAAGGGTTGGCTTAGATGCTTGAGAGTGAGGCTTGTGATGTCCTCAGGAGTGGATGTAGAATTACCTCGGAAAACTGCTTCCATTGTTAAATATTGTATATATCACGACCGATTCCTTGTCATATTCTTAGGAGCTTCGGGACATCAAGGGACAACCCAATTCCAAGTGCCTGGTACTGGGCTAGTATCTGATTTGAGACGGATGCCAACAAACCGATCGGAATGTGAATGTGAAAGTTCTTTATTGTTACAGTGAAAACCCTGATGTGGAAAGAGGAAGAGCTACTATGTACCCAAAGTAAAACGTTTCAATGGAAAGGGAACACCAATTGAGGCCATTGAAGAAGAGAATTGAAATTAATGACATGAGCGCTAGCGCACCTGATTTGCTAGGTTCTATCATTTTATTCTCTTTCTAAAACGTATTCGATAATGTAGATATCGTGCTGCTCCAATCATTGCTTATCCAGCGAACTCATTCTCTGGCCTTCCTTTCGGTCCATCCACGACCTTGTAGCTGAACATGTTACCGCCCTCGTCTGCTTTGCCTTCCATACCATTCCCACCTTTGGCAGACGTGACGAATAAGATGTCGTGATTCTCCCCTCCCCATGTTGGGCAAGTCAGCCGTTGTCCTGAGAAGACTAGCTCCTTTATTTTCTTCCCGCTTGGATCAAAGACCACTAATTTGTGTTAAAAATGGAATCCCCACTGAAGTAAATTGAGGATATGACTTACTGACTCGATTTGTCCCGTAAACTGCAATCCACAGATTTCCATCAGTGCTGTCTTTGTGTTAGCCACGAGTATCAAACATCATGACAAGAGATAATACATACTCCACAACCATCCCATCTGGTTCTCCCTGCGTACCATGAAAGTCTACCAAAGTCCTCTGACTCGAAATCTCTCCCATCTCCAAATCGAAGTCAAAAGCATAAACCATTTGCCCCACAGAATCATTCAGATAGACTGTCAACGTCAGTTTCTCGATGTTACAGTAATAGAGTTAGACATGAACCTTGGACATACAAGTCTTATTATCTGGACTCCAATCAATACCATTCCCACATACTACACCCTCAAACATTTGATGCAAACTGCCATCAGGATCATACCTCCATAATCTTCCCTTTGGCTTTCCGTAACTTTCAGGTGGGCCACCAAGTCCGAAAGATACAGCTTTCTAGTTCGTAGTCAGTATTGAAATATCTAGCTCCCACCCTCAACCCTCTTTCAAGAATTCTCAACAGTGCAGCTGCATAACCCAGAGCCCACAACACATAAGACTTAACAAGAAGGACAGAGACGAAAACCCCACCTTATCAATCTCCGCCGCCCAAAACCTCCCCTTCGCATCAACCCCTCCATCATTAAATCTTCTGCTCTCTCTCTCCCCCTCACTAATAATCTCCTTCAGCACCTCCAACTTCCCCGTCTCCTCATCCATAAACGCAATTCCTCCATGGTACGCACAGATATAACTGCCCTTCACACCCTTCCGGAAATAGAATACTGAGACGCTGTCCGGGAGTTGAAGGATCCGAGAGGGACCTAGGGGAACGCCGGTTTGGGGTGAGATGTGCAGGACGTGTAGTTCTGAGGGAGTTTTGAGGACGTCGACCCAGTGGAGGGTGGAGTCGCTGGGGCGGTAGAGGGGTGCTTCGCCAAGGGTCATGGGGTGGGGTGGGCGGTGGAAGGGCGGGATAGTAGACATTTTGACAAAGGAGTGGGGTGGGAAGTTACTGGAGCGTCGCGAGGCTCTGAAGAATGAGAGTGATTGGGTCTCGTTGATGACAGCGAAGCTGAAATGAAGTGACCGTGATACCTAGGTAGGAAGTGGTTTAACTTGAGGGGTGCTGGCGGGGTTCTCTGGATGCCCCGCCATTCTCTTCATCCCGCTCCCCTGGGCAGCGGCTATTTCCAATATCCTTCCCCCTGCAGACAGTTACGAATAGTGTAAGTTATGACCGGATGCTGAGGGAAGCCGACAAGTGGGAACTTGACGAGAGTGGAACTGGCAATTACAATACAAGCATGTATGTATGACCTCCCCGTGACAACAGTCTGAATGTAGATAAAGAAATAAAGAATACCTGGACTCGATCTACATGGGTGCACTACTTTGTTGTCATCCGTGTTGTGCAGGGGGACATTAAACGAGGACCATACTGTAGCATTGTTAGCCCCTCTCCCCCCTGAAGAACATAGACAATGCGGGAGACGGGTTGGTACCTTAAGCTTACTGCAATAATTCCTCGGTAGAGGCAGAGTATCAGGCGAGTTGCTTTCAGTACATAAGGTCCCTGCTTTGGAATAGGCTACCTTATGTAGATCGACTGCCCAGTGCAGGGGCATTGATTGGATCCGTTGATGGCCTGTTGAAGTAAACAAGACTGCAAGGAAAGTGCAGGTGGGAGAACACTCTCTATGACTTATCTATCTCCTTTCTTTGGAGGGGAGGATCGAATTGATACGACAGGCAAGGTTGGTAGGTGCCGTGTCTGACAGAATTGGCAAGTCGCCCAGGCCAGTGGAACACGATTCATAAATACATGCAAGGGGTAAATTGCAGGTGTCGCCGGCGCCCTCGTGAATTGATCGACGAGCGGGATAGCCTTACAGTAACGGAACAGCTCCTTAACTTAGCTACCTTACATCCTGCGTAATACAGTACAGTACAGGACAGTACAGGTTGTTTCACTCATCTTAGCTTCCATTCCACCGGTCCACCAGGGGCCAACTCAGATACTCATACGTACCCAAATGAATCGCTTGAGTTAGCCAGGTAATTGAGAAGGGGAGGGAGAGGGAATCTCCTCTCGGCCGACCCGACTCCCGTCCCGAGAACGCCGCACCTGCCTGTATGTATATACATCCACCTACCTAAATCTTGTACTGTCATACATCTGCGAACACTTCCATTCGCCTTAGGATGAGAAGGTATTGCACACTTACTTAGCCTTCCACCTTGCCTATTCCCTCTAGTTTCTCCATCAAATCAACCGCTGAAATATGAAAGTCGATCTAGCGGTCATATGACGACTTGAAGATCTATCCCCAATCAGAAGTCGCACTCTCAAGCCTTCCCCCGCATCTCCAGATCTCCTCAACCTCTCGACTTGGGTTACCACTTTCCAACCTACCTTACTGCACGGAGTACATCCGCTGGTCCTAAATAAAGTGGGTGTCACACAAAGGACACACCTACGACAGACTGCTCGACGGTCACACCTGTCCTACCTACACACCTTATCTTTCAGACAACATCAACTTCTCGCTTCCCTTCCCGACTTTTCATATTTTACTTCAATCGTCAAACAAAATGGCCACGGCTGCAACGCAGAGCATGCCCTCCGAGGCTACACCTTCGTACCAGCGCGTCGAGCCAGGTTCTGTGAACCTACCTATCGCAGACCTGTCTCAGATCAAGGCAGTCAAGCCAGAAGACGTTGATCAAGGTACTGAGCTCTGGATCTCATCTTTCAACAAAGCTATCCAGAGTCCTGATCTCGCTGGCTTGACCGATCTATTCTTACCAGAGGCACATTGGCGCGATCACCTCTGCTTATCATGGGATGCACACACTCTCAAGGTTCCAGAGTTCAACAAGTTCTTGAAGCAAGGGTGCAGACTGAAGAGCGTCGGCGTTGACAGGAGCAGCGAGTTCAGATCTCCAACTGTCACCGTCTGCGATGGTCAAGGAAAGATTCCAGGAATTCAGACGTTCTTGACGGTTCAGACTGATATCGGGTCTGGACTTGGCATTGTTCGCTTGGTGCAACAAGGCAAAGGATTGAAATGCTTTTCGTTGTTCACTAGCCTGAGGGAACTAAAGGGCCAAGAAGAAAACATCTTCGGAAGACGGCCTGGAGGAGTCGCTCATGGGGGTCAGCCAGGACGGAAGAATTGGTTAGAGAGACGCGCAGCTGAAGAGAATTGCGAGGACGTTGAACCGACTGTTTTGATTTTGGGAGCTGGACAGGGGGGCCTTACACCTGCTGCCCGTAAGTTCTTCAAGAAGCAGACGAATATCGACGCTTTCAGTGGCGATTTAGTCCCAGATTTCCTGCAGAGTCGAAGACTTGCTAACTCCCAAATAACACAGGGCTGAAGGTACTTGGCATTCCGACTCTTATCATCGATCGTAATCCACGTATTGGAGACAACTGGAGAAATCGCTATCATCAGCTTGTTCTACATGATCCTGTTTGGTATGACCACAGTGAGTATTCCAGGCTTTTCATTACTTTGCCGGACTTTCCAGGATATTTATGTGCCAATCCTATGAGGCGAAGAAAATTGAATGTTTTATGAGATATTCATGACATTTAGACCTGCTTATAGGACGTTTTCGTATCAAAGATGGGGGCATGATTTTGTTGTACGACCACCAGGCTAGCTCGCAAGAGTCATCGTCCTCTGCGTCATGTTGACAGTCTGCATTTCCTTCTATGGCAACATTATTCACTTGAGACTACACTAGTGCCGTACATTAACTTCCCACCACATTGGCCAGTAGGTTTCTCCAGAGAGATCTTCTCTTTCCCCGCAAGCCCACTCACTAATTCACCAACTTCGTAGATCTTCACACCCAAGGACAAGCTCGCCAATTTCTTTGAAAGCTACGCAAGCCTGCTCGAGCTGAACGTTTGGACGTCAACAACAATCAAAGAATCAAAGTGGGATCCTGCGAAGAAATCATGGACTGTAATCGTTGAGCGTACAAGGGAACCTGGAGTCTCAGATGTTCGGATCCTCCATCCCAAGCACATTATTCAAGCAACAGGCCATTCTGGAGAGATGAGTTTCCCTTCTCATATCCCAGGCATCAAGGATTTCAAGGGCGACCGGTTATGCCACTCAAGCCAATTCTCTGGAGCCAAGCTGAATGGCAATGGCAAAAAAGCTATCGTCGTTGGCAGCTGCAATTCTGGACACGACATTGCGCAAGATTATTATGAAAAAGGGTACGATGTAACTATGATCCAGCGCTCCTCAACTTGCGTCATTTCCTCGGATTCGATATTGAAAATTGGGCTTGCTGGACTTTACGATGAAGCAGGACCACCAGTCGAAGACGCTGACCTCGTCTTCTGGAGTATCCCATCGGCAGTCCTCAAAGCAATCCACATCGATGTCACAAAACTGCAAAACGACAATGACTCCAGGATACTTGAAGGCCTTGAAAAGGCGGGCTTCAAGCTTGACCAAGGTCCAGATAGCGCCGGTCTTTTTATGAAATATTTCCAGCGCGGTGGTGGATATTACATAGACGTCGGCGCTTCTCAGCTCATTATCGATGGAAAGATCAAGATCAAGCAAGGTCAAGAAATCACTGGGGTGCTCGCCCATGGTCTCAAATTTGCGGATGGAACAGAACTTCCTGCTGACGAAATCGTCTTCGCCACTGGTTATAAGAACATGCGAACACAAGCCCGTAACATCTTCGGCGACGAGTTGGCTGATCAAGTCCAGGATGTTTGGGGGTTCAACGAGGAGGGTGAGGTCCGTACTATCTGGCGCAAGACTGGACACCCTGGATTCTGGTTTTTTGGTGGGAATCTGGCTCTGTGCAGATATTGGTCTCGGATGATTGCTTTGCAGATAAAGGCTCTTGAAGAGGGTATCTGTGAGTACAGCGATCGTTGATTGATAGTTGGGTTGGGATTGACTGGGAAGACATGATTATTGCTCGACATTTACGCTTTGGAGTTGCTTTAGCTTGGGTCGCTTTACGACCTTATAATTGACCTTCCAAAAGCTATACGGTTCATCAAATGAAACACTTATGCAGGATGTCTGACTGTGGTGCTCATTACATAATAAAGTCGGGTTTGTGAGCGCCGGACCCTGATGGTAGAGGAGCCGTGGTGGACAATGTCGCATCTCACTTGAGAGACAACAGTGACTCTCTAAAACCAACCCACAAAGAGGTAAAGTAAAGATGGAAATTATGCCAGTGGATAATTTCAAATGTCCGTCCACTAGGACAACATGCCTTCTCGTCCGTTTCCAATCATGAGACCACCTCCGCATCCAACCACTCCCACAAATCATACTCCCGTCCCTCTCCATCATATTTCTCCAATCCACTATACTGTGCCTCCCTCCAAACACGCATCACAGCCTTGCCATGCCTATTGACCGCTGCTCTAAACATGCCTCCACAGTTGAAGTCATCGAGACAGTCCGATATCGCGGACTTTATCTCGCCATCTGCAGTCCTTACAAGCTTGAGCTCGATACCGATGACGCCGCCTTCGCCTTCTCCAGTTTGCTGCCAGCGGTCGCCTGCGCTTTGTTGGAGCTCACCATCGCGGCCGGTTATCTGAGCGAGGGCACACTGAAGGGAGGATGAGGGAGATCCATAACGTGCTATGGCGGAGATCGTACGGACGGCGTTGGTCCGTAGGAACGAATCCCCGTTGCCTGTCCCTGACATGGCTGTTGCGCGAAATACTTCGTCTTCTATTCTTCTCGATACAACATCGCCCTCGTCTCTGGGTATGGGAGAGTATGTTGTTAAGCTCGGGAAACAATCAGCCATCAACCCTTTGAGTGTTTCGCTCAGCACAAGTGCCGGCCCAGGTCTTGACAGAAATGTCTCTATCCTGGAGATATTGGATACATCCTCCTCCCACTCCTCCGCCCAAAAGCCCGCCCCAAGAGTTGGCGTATCCCCAATTCTCCCCGTTAACTTATTCGTCATTCCGCCGGTACTCGTAGCGGCACAAATTACACCCTCCGCATCCAGCGCAACAGCACCACACGTCCCCTGTGGAAAGAAATCCTTCTCATCCCACGTCGCGACACCACCTTCCTCCTCCACTTCCTTCTTCAGCCCCTTCAAATGCTGCTCCCACCTTGTTTTTGTATAGAAGTAACTCGGGTCCACCATCTCCAGTCCCCAATCCTCCGCCAACTTCTCCGCACTAAACTTATGCAACTGGCAGTGTCCCTGCGCGCCAGTACTTCTCCGCTCAGGGTCCTCACCATACAAATCCTCCTCCCCCCGTAACAACATCTCCCTCGCAAGCTTAATTGGGTTCTTAATCCGCGTAAGACCCATTACGCCCGTGCCTCTCTTCTTCTTCCCTTTTGATACCATAATCGAAGCTTCGAGTTCATTGATTCCTTCGCGTGTGAAGACAGCGCCGTGGCCGGAGTTGAAGAGTGGGTTGTTTTCGAGCAGGGTGACGGCGAAGGTGGCGGCGTCGAGGGCGGATGTTGAGGATCGATTGGTAGAGAGGGGAAAGGATGAGGGAGAGAGGAGGAAATGGTACGTCTGAGAGAGGATGGTGAGGAGGGAGTGGTGAAATTCGCGGTACTGGGAGGGCGGGAGGTTGGATGGTGTTATGTTGCCTGCGCCGCCGTGGATTATGATCCGTGGCGTTATGCCTTTGGAGGGTTTGCTGTATTCCATCGCGGAAATCAGTTTAAGGGTATCGTGCAGGTGATTGGGGAGGATATGACGGTTTCGAGTGTGAGGCAGGTTGGTTGATGATGTCGTCGAAGTGGGAGGTAGGATGGATAAATATGTCTCTTATCGGGAAAGCTTATCAGATGATGATAGGAAAAGCGGGGCAAGCACTTTTGTCCTTGGCTTGGTAGTTATTTTCTATGTTCAATTCAGTTTTGTGAGAAGGGCATGATCTGAGTATGAGACATTTCGACCAGATAAGTAATATTTTCAAGGACTAGTTTATTTGGCACTGTTTTCACACACTAGAGCAGCTGCTGTTCTACTTTGTCAGGTTGTTTACTGTTAAGCGATATTTGTGATGGCTCCACATCCCCCTGATTTTTCAGAGGCCGTCGCTAAAGATACCCGTGTCGTGGGGAGCGGTCACCAAGTTCTACATGGAGGCAAAAAGCCAAAGGAAACATTATATTAGACACAAAACTCGACATTACTGTGTACAATCCACCTTCCACAAAGAATCTCATTTATTCGGATCATTAGTTTCACTGCCCTTGTACTTAGTCGACTCGGATATCTTCGCCCATCGCGCAAACGCATTGTTGCTCTTTTTCAGCGTGTCCTTGAGCTCCGGAAAACGCCTGATCAGAAGATACCAAATTCAGGCTTTCTGACTGGGATAAGCTCTTGCCGACTAGTGAACTATCATTAGTTATACCAACGAAGTTAAACCATAATATTGGATAGAGGTGAAGGAAGTTCGGTAAAGTTCGGCAAAATTCAAAGTGCGAGGTGTAAGCCAAGACGGGATATAAGGCTGAAATTATATTGCCTGATTAGTTCGTTTTGAAGCTGAGATCCGCTTATCTTGCTTGCTATTTCACAATTGGTTGAAGTCGAACAATTTCCATCGGCTTCTCAACCATTGGGAGTCTGTATATTGACGATGGTCTGATGTAATCTCGACCTTCCTTTTTGACTCAACATGTGATTGATTAGTCGCTGCAGGAGCTGCAGCAGCTTTGAAATGGTAGGCACCTCTGATAGCGTCCGGTTAGCTCATACATGTTGTCAGCTGTAAGCATTGACTGGGCTTGAGGTTACCACGTCACAGAACAACGAAGCCTTTCCAACACGTATCGTAGACTTATTTTCAGCTGCTTGGTCCGCCATTTCGGTCGATTTTCGATTACCGCTCTTTATGTCCCAAGAGAATTGTGGAGAAATTCTTATTTTAAAAATCTCATTGTACAAAATGCATTTGGAGGTGATCAATGTGGTGAGGGGCTTGCTTGGCTTTGGATCGAAGAGTAAGGTCAGCCAAGATGTCAACACAAAAACAGACGACCATGTATACATTCGAGGCAATATTAACGACCGTGGGCCATGCCCAGCTTTGAATGCTCTATCCAATCAAGGCTATCTGTGAGTTGTAAGAATTTGCTCATGAAAATGTCTCGAGCTGACAAAAGCTTTAGTCCTCGAGATGGCAAGAATATCACATTACCAGAAGTGGAGGCTATATTAAAGTCTACTCTGCACTTCGATGCCCCTTTAGCCTCCTCCCTTGCACGCAGTCTAAAACCAATTCTCAGAAAGGACGGTACTTTCGACCTATTCGATATGAGAAAGCACGATGTGATTGAGCACGACGCATCAATCACTCGATTTGATTTCCGACAAGGCGACAACTACACTTTCCAACCCGCACTATTTGAAGCTTTTCTAGCAGATGCTGATGGGGGACCCGTCACGATCAAGTCGCTTGCGAAGACCTATATCCGAAGGAAGAAGGAGAGCAGAGCAGCTGGATCTCCAAGGTTGCCACTGAACTTGTGGTTTGTGAACTTGCTTCAAACTGTTTCACTTCTGAATACAGCCCAGACTGGTGTTACACTGCAAAAGGATTTACTGGTGGAGTTCTATACAGAAGAGAGAATCTCGGATGTGATCCTGCAGAATCAAAAGACTCGGACTCTGTTTGGCTTGGTTAGCAAGGCGTTGTCACTTCTTTTTTATACTATTTTTTTATGATACCTGGCCAGCGCATCAAGGAGGGAACCATGGCGGGAAAAGTAGTCTGTTTCTGTAGTTTGAACCTAATAGAAGCGGCATTTCTCTGTTCCTTGATTCTACAAAACTGCGCAAGTAGTGCATCGGGGCACCGATCCAAACACAAGCTTATGGTGGTGGTGGTGGTTTCTTGGCCTCGATGTGCATCCTGCAAGGCACTTCGAATCACTTCACGATTTTGACGAAAGCATGATGTAGAATACTTGCATACCTGCAGCAGTAAGTTCAGTATGCTTCTCGTAGCCCATATCAAGTTACATAAGTGCTTTTACAAAGCCAATTTCGCGTAGTGAGGACTGGATATCTGAAGGTAATCAATTGGCTCTTGATCACAAAAAGTGGATGCACTAAAACCCAGAAATTGCTCCGAAGTAGGAATATTGTGAAAGCACACGTCATTGCATATATACCAAACAGTGATACATAATGCAGGACAAAGCTTAGTTCTGCTTCGATCGCTGATCTTTTCACATCAAAATTGTCGTGAGCGGAAGAGCTTTGGAGCGGACAAGAACCCCTCCCAACCCCGCTCACATGACCAACTCCGCTCCATGTTTGGAGCAGTTCACCACGCTGAGTTTTTCTGACATCGTCGCAACCTCAACGATAGGATGATTATAGGCTTTCCGTATCTCCGTTGGAAGCAGCTTGTCCAGACCTGGAATATCTAAAACTTAAATAAGCCAGCTTTTCTCCACTGGAAAGCCGAGATTATAAAGAGAGCGGTTCAGCGGCTCGAATCCGCTTTCACCAATTTCTGGTGAGCAGGGGCTTCAAGATCAGACTTTTATTGACATTTGAACCTTGATTAGGCATTTATCAAGCATATACTCAGGACTCGTAACCAATAATGTCAACCAGACATGCACCCCAGGCTTGTGTCCCATGCAGGTACGGAGATCCGTTGCCTCCAACTAGTCATTAATGTCATGCTAACTTCGTACAGGACCTTGAAGAGAAAGTGTACCAAAGAGTTACCCTCTTGTTCACTAGTATGTCCGAAGCAGGTTATTCGCCTCGAGACACGGTATCTGATCTAGTACTCTCAGTGCCGCCAGCTGCGGAAAGAATGCGGATATCCGACTTCCTTGCGGATCCGATCTGCACGTCCCGAAGAGGTCACTATACTATCTGATCGAGTGAAGCTCCTGGAGCAGCGACTTAGCGGTGAAGTGACTCCAAGTGTCGCTTCAAACCACCCAGCACAAACACAGGTCGAGGGAACTTCAATTTCTCTTCAAGTGACGAGCGGCCATCGCCTGAACTTCCCCACAGCGTTCTTTCTAGACTTAGATTATTACCGGCCAATGCCTTCGGAGCAGCTTAATCCGAACATGTTTGTTCCGCCCGATGTCTTGCATTTCCTGGAGTCCAAGAACACGATGCAAGCTCTCTTCGAAAGGTATCTAACAGGAACGCAGAAATGGCTCCCTATACTCTGGAAACGGCGCACAACGGAAAAAATCAATAGCTTCAGTGAAAGCATGGAATCAGGATTGGTGCTTCTGCTCTTGTGTATGAAGATGGTTACCGAGCCTCCAAGGGACCAAGACCACGCAGCGTCAACACCCTTGTATCGAACTGCCAAGGGACTGTGTTTTAGACTGGAGAACTCTTGTGCAATATCTCTCTACCTTCTCCAGGCTATAGTATTCATCGCTGTTTACGAGCTAGGTCATGGGATATTCCCTGCTGCGCAATTGACGATTGCACATGCAGCCAGGTTGGGCATTATCATGGGACTTCATGATAGAAAACATGCTCCTCAGCTATTCAAAGATCCTGATACATATAATATGAGAGAAGAGGAAAGGCGAACTTGGTGGGCTATCATTATCCTGGAGCGGTAAGTTGGATTTGTTTGACATCTTCGCTCATCTCTCCTTGACTGCCCAGCCTTGTCAACAGTCCACTCTGTCCTCAGCCTAACATGTCCAGATACATGAGTTTGGGGACATATGGACAGCCTCTCGCAACACCTGAGCCACACCAGGGTGCACTTCTCCCATCTTCTGAAGATGCTTGGGATACTCAAGGCGGATGCCTCGGTTCAAATTTCCCTCTATTCGCATCATCATTTACCCCCACGACTGATATTGGATCATACGCCAGTACATGTCAAGCAGCCCATATCTTAGGCCTCGTTCTTCGACATCGTGACGAGCTAAAATCGGTCGTGTCTGATACCCACTACCGAATCACAGAAGCTCAACGCCTACATCAGACTCTTGTCTTGCTAAATCAGCACCTTGCTGGTCAAGTATCAAAAGACACTAAAAATTCCAGCAGTTTTTACACAGCTATGGGACTCTGCTACGCAGCTAGAGTCACGCTTTATAACCTGTATGCGTGCAATGAGCATTATTCTGCAACGGAAGCGAGAATAGCAGAGGAGACTGAGATGCAGCGAGCTTCCATTGAAGGTCTGAAGGAAGTCACACAGTGCGTGTATCGACTAGCACAGGCCATCCTTGATGCTGCTGTAATGGATGATCAGTTGATCTCTAGGAGTTTGCTTCTTACCCACTCACTGTATTTTGCAGCATCGGAGCTGGGATGGTTCATCAAAGAGATGAATTATCTTGAAGATGTACAGTTCTTGAAAGGAGTGGTAGAACTTCTAAAGCTGATATCAAAGACTTGGAGGGTGGCTGGTAGGTGGAGGTATAACTGCCTAAGCAGGTACTGATGAGCTGACTTCTTGCTAGAACATTATCTAAAAGTTCTCGAGGAGGATGGATCCTTGGCATCACTTGCTACCTGATACCCCAAAAGCCATTTAGGTTACTCTGCTAGGCTGATTTGTGTCCTTGCTTGACATGGCTGGGACAGAATTAACTGCAATGAATTAGAACGAGATAGCTTTAGATTCGACATAGGATAATTTGATGATCTTGAAAGCTGGCATATGAAACGTTTCACACTATCTTAGTTGAAGGATTTATAGATAATGGCACTCAGTGTACCACTTCACGTTAGTTCATTCTCACCTTCAATTGGTATCTGGCGAAGAATCACGTGGATTGGATACCATCACTCCAAAACTAGAGAGTTATTCAAGCCATTTCCATGCGCCCCTGCTCTGTCGAATCGCAGAGGAGACGCAAAGTAATCACCGATCAAATCCACCTAGTCTTAAGAACATCTAACCAATGATCGTACGCGTCTACCACCTCTCAAGTCATGAGAGCCATATGGGAGATCTCGCTAAAGTGCGGACAGCGGTCAACAATGCCGCTCTGCAACCTTTGCTCTCGACATGCACTATGATGCAATCTGTACATCATATACTATAATATTTCGGACTTAACACTTAATTTCAGGCCTTCCAGATGTTATAAGACCATTGTAATCCTGACCCTATGGTAAACTGTGAATAGAGAACATTTGCCTGCATTTCAATTCACATTCATAAATTGACTCGCTTCCGCTCCGTCCCATCCAAAATGTCCACAAACAAATCCCCGGTCTGGCTCAGTAAGTACTCCTCCGATCCGCTTTTATCCACCTCCAAAGCTAATCTTCTAATCTTCTCCACCTAGTTACCGGTTGCTCAACTGGTCTCGGCGCCGCCCTCTGCACTCTCGTAGCCAAATCACCAAACCACCGCCTCATAGCCACAGCCCGCAACCCATCTTCTCTCACCTACCTCCCCTCAAACTCGTCTGATATCCTCACACTCGCCCTCGACGTAACATCGCCATCCAGCATCAGCAACGTCTTCTCAACGGCCATCTCCCACTTCGGCCGCATCGACTACGTCGTCAACAACGCCGGGTACGGGATCTTCACCGAGGCGGAAGGGACAAAGGAGGAAGAAGCGAGAAGTATGTTCGAAACTAATTTCTGGGGAAGTGCCAATGTGGCTCTGGAGGCCGTGAGGACGTTTAGGGATAATAATATCGGTGATGGAGGGATGTTGGTGCAGGTCAGTTCAATGTTGGGACGTATTGCTAGCGGTGGGCAGACATATTATAGCGCGAGGTATGCCTTTCTCTTCTGATCAAAAGGCATGGCAAAATGGGAAACAAATACTTATATCTTCATGAAAACAGCAAGTTCGCAATCGAAGGTTTCATCGAGGCTATTTCCAAAGAACTCCATCCAAACTGGAACGTCAAGATCCTGATCGCCGAACCTGGCGCCATCAAATCCACAGCCTTCAACATCAATATTCTCGCTGAACGCGAGATACACCCGGCTTACAGCGATTCTGAGTGTCCGACGAATAAGACTCGACAATGGCTTGCCAAACCTGACTTGGAGGAGGGTTTTACACCAGCGGATGAGATGGCGAGGACGTTGTTCGAGGCTGTAGAAAAGCAAGATCTGCCTTTGAGGCTTCCCCTTGGTCAAGATTCTTGGCAAACTATCTACAAAGACGTATCAGAAGGAGTACAAGCATTGAAACAGTGCCGTAACTTGAGCGAACAGCCGTCAAAAGCAAGCGGAGGAGCCAAGCAATAAAATCTTCAACGACACGTGCAAGGGTTGATACCAATGATATCTGGCTTACGAAAGCATCATTACACAGCCGAGTTTCAGGTTGAAAACAGGCTTGGTGTGGTTGGATTAGCTGCATGTAAATCGATGTATAGAATACAACAAAGTCAGGAGTACGTAATGCATCATACTTTGGAGAGGCGGCAACAGATAAACTACCGACATTCAAGAGACGACTAAAAATCCTTCTCACTCCTCCCACAGTCAAACCTTGCTTCCAACTCCAGCTCCAACCGGGCAAGATGGCATGTTCGCTTGCCAGTTTTTCTTTGCGTACTCAATCATAGTCTTCTGAACTGAGAAGGTGCTGTCAAGGTAGAAATTGACATCATTTAGGGTGTAGTTGGCGCCAAGATCTCTCAAAATTCCGACTACCTTCGCCGCAAAATAGTCCAGGAAGATCACATCAACGACATCCGGTATAGATCCGTCGACAGGTAAAGATCCAATGCCTTGGATATATTTGGGGATTGGGTATTCAGGGATTGCCGAATGGGGCGTGTCATCTCCATCGGTACCAAAGTCATCAACTGTTGTATAGCCTGGGGTGACAACTCGCTGGCGCAGACTAATGCCTAGGTTCCTCTTCTCGGTGGTTCCGGAGACCAAAGCAATTGTTGGATTCTGACAGGAATGTCGCATTTCTGGCATGGCGCCCCAAGTGACGCCAGAGGAATCTCGTCTGGCAGGACCAGGTTGAGCATTTAGACTGTCGAGGACAGTTTTCGCCATCGCATAAGGTACGCTTGGGAGGTATTTGAATGCGTTCGAGAACGCAGCGACAATGATAGAATCATCTATAGTAAACGGACCCTTAACTAGATCGAATCGAACACCTCCTGTGTTAATGATGATAAAGCGAGCGGTTAAAGACCTGCTGGGGTTGATCACAATGTCACCCATCGCCCTTGCAATAAGATTATAGACATTTCGTGGGGATTCAATTGGCTGACATGAAATGCAGTATGTGTCTGGAGCACAGCCGAACAGGTATGTGATGTTGAGATTCTTTCGAAGATCGGTGATGACTCCAGTGACACGACTCCCACTATGATATTCAAAGGAACCTGATTGAGAGCTTGCTGCATGGTATTCGAACGTCCTTCGATTCCAGTCAAGGTATCTTCGAGAGTACACGAGGCCAGAAGTCGAATTACTGGTGGCTTTGCGCGCCGGGTTGGGAACATTTCGAGGTTTACTTATCCCAGTATACGTCGAAGAGTTCAAGCCGCTCATAGAGAACCAGCCCAAAGTCTCGCAGTATCGACCTGGGTTTGTCAGTTTAATTCAGGATACACCGCCAGCAATCCACGAACCTGCTTCAAATCCAGTGCTTCTGTCATCGTAGACCTCGAAATCCCGAATATGCGTGTGGCCACCAAAGATCTGAATGGGGATCGTAGGTCGAGCATTTCTGATTGTGTTGTAAACAATGGGCCAACTGCTCACAGGATCGGTGGTCCGAATGGGATTGTGCCCAATGAGGAGGAATAGATCAATAGGTTCAACGAAGTTGACTGCATCCATGAACCACTGCTCTTTGACCATATCAGCAGCCCTGATGACTTTTGAAACGTTTGAATTCCCAGTAAAGTCAAAAATAACGCCAAAAGTCATGATTCGAATGCCTGACACACAATCAGCTAAGTATTCGCACAAAAGTGGATTGGTAACGTACCGTGCTTTGTTGTGAAGTATCGGTATTTCGAACTGACATACTCCAATTGTGATGTTGCAGGATTGATGATTTGAACATTGCTGGTTACGTACTTCTCGCCCCAGAACTTGCTGTAGTTGTAGAAGCTAGAGGTGGGTGGTTGTATTAGATTCTTGGCAGCGAGACTTGCTCTATTGACCACATGTTCGACATCACTTACTGTTCATACGCAATCTCGCTGGCATACAATTCGTGATTACCTAGCGGTAGAGGTTAGCAGCTGCCCTATACTTGCGGGGACCAAGACTTGCCGATCGACAACGCATCATAATCAATCTCTGAATGAATTGGGTTTGAGAAGACTCCGTTTGGGGCGGTGGTGTCGCTGAAACCTGTACCATCATGAAGGTCACCTGGAAGTAAGTTAGTCAGCCTGAGCAAATGCCATAGTGGCATGCCACGTTAAGCCTCCAAACGAGAGCGAGACGAGTGACACATAAATGGAAGAGCATGCCTGTGTCAATAATAAGCAAGTCAACACCAAGACGGCCAGCCTTATGCTTCAAATGTTTCGAGAAGGAGACGAAGTCGCCCCAATCAGCAGAGTAGGTTACCTCCTTCAGATGCCCTTCCAACCATCCATGTGTGTCAGTCTATGGACGTTAGCTTTATCTACCAGACGTCAGAGTCGGGCTGAACTAGTATATAGACCTACCGTGTGCAAGAAATTGAGCTCTCCCCATTCCAACGGCCCACGGGGCTCGGCAACGGTGGTGTTAGATCCGGGCTGAATGCGACGAACTAGGCGTTCATGAAGAACTGTAGAAGATGGCCCATAGCATGCGTCGCAAGCAATGGCAGTGTTTAAGATGGCTGCCAGATTGAGTAATGTGGCTGGCTTCATGTTGTCCTGTGAGAAGGTGTGATTCCGGAACTGTGGTTTCGAAGAACTTGACAAGGCCCTGGGATGCGCTGAACAAAGATCGGAAAGAGAATGAAACAATGAGGGAAAATATGAGGCCAGCCAACGATCATGAGACGATCTAGGCAACCACACTCGTAAAGCAGGAAGGTACCTTACCTGAAGTGGCCGAGCTAAGAAAGAACCATGAAAGACCTCCTCCTTCTTACCTGGGTATAGAAAGTATTCTTCTTGTCCCAGGACTGGGAGACCAACCGCAGCTCCCAGTCTCTACGAAACAAGAGAAAGGCAGTAGTGTATGAAGATCTTCACTTCGCAATTTCTCCATGTTACACTTGTAAGATCCCACCTGCCCTGTTCTAAGTCTATGGTGTACCGTTATTCTCGCTCGCCTGGCACAGAATAAATGATGAATGCCATGCCCTAGAGGCTACTGTACCTCTGATTGGGATTTCGAAGGTTCGCGCGTAATTTCGTCGTTCTGAATCAAGACGAATCAGCCAGACAGCCACAACATGAGACAGATCCGGTTATACAGAGATATTACCAGTCTGATTTGCTGAGATGTTGACAATATGACGGTCAACACAAATCTCACATACCTCGAACGAAGCACGTTACCATCATACTAAGAGCTGAGAGTTAGATAGAGGAAGGGGAGAGCGAATGGCACTGGACTTGGTACTGATCGAGATGAGCCCATGTTCAGGAATCTCTCACTGAATGAGTAAATGTCTGAGTACGCGAGGCCATGAGAAACAAAGCACACAAGTCCATCGTATTCAACAGAAAGGAGCGTATCCAAAGTCTTAGGTGAACACTCGGAGGAAGATTGATACCCTAGTATTCTGCCCAAGAACAAGCAGCGAGAAATCTGAGTGATCTCGGAATTTGCATTCGGGGAAGCGACAAATGAAGGGAGAGGGCAGTCTAGCGAAAAGACGCTGAGCCAGTGTTTACACCCAAGACTCCCATTCTCTTAATTTCAACCGATCCAGCTCACCATAAACAGCACAGGGGTTGATTTCAATCCACCACCCACCACTGATATCGTGTTTGAGAAGCTAAGAGCGGATAAATCCAAAACTTTGATCATTTCTGCCAAACCGGACGAACCGGCTATGAAAGATTGTCTCAAATTAGGTGAGGCCCAGACAGATCTTGCTCGTCTTCCCCAGTGGTTCAAAGATTACCGTACGGTGCTCAGTGACCCAAAAATATCTGCGCTTCATGTGAGAACCCGGGTGAGCACCTTTCTGGGATATATTCGGCGGCGATCGAGGTTAAACTGTGCATTTTGGGGTGGAGATCGTTATGACGGGGAAGATTCGACTTTCTTGTCCCGTGGAATCTTTAGTTGGCTTGGCTTGTTGATTCATTTTCATAGACTTAAGTGGAAAATTGTTCCACGTTCGAGACTTAATCATGAGGCATATTTCTGATAAGCTTGGTCATGGACATCAGCTTCTCTTTCTCGATGACCGTCAATGCGTCTTCTGTAATCTTCTTATCCATTGCCGCAAGGCCTACACCCACGAGAAGGCGAACCATCCCTTCGTTTTCCCTCTTTACAAGTCGAAGGGAGCCTCATTTTCAAGAAGATATGCCAGTGTATTGGTATGACCTCCTGCCGCCGCTGTGTGAACATGGCGTGTCCATTGATACATTCCCTCGCTGGACCGGAAACAACTTAGGCCATGTTTTCGAACGAGATGTTCCAACAAGGCAAGATCACCACGTCGGGCAGCGCCGGCGAAGCATGTAACAAGCAATTGAGCAGGGAGCTTCTCGGGGTGCGAATGGAGCGCCTTTTATCTGTCGTCGATGGAATAATTTATGTACAGTGGAAGTACATGGTCGAATATATCGATGCCCGTAGTTTCACAGACTATCTCGATCAGATTAGGATCGTGTGATGTATAAGTTCGTGCAAGGTAGAGAGCGAGAACCTCCCGCTGGTTGCCTTTACCCGCGTATCTGATGGCGTCGTCACGAGCACATTCAAATAGCCAAGGTTCATCGAGGGTTGAAAGAAGTATTCGAAACACTTCTACATTTCCTCGATAGGCAGCTGTGTCTATGGCCCAACCAAGCACAGGACTTTGCCGTATGGTGATGTTAGCTCTGTGCCAGCTTATGTCATTGGTCATTTAGAAGTACAGTCGTGAAAGGATCATACTACCTGCCTACCTTCCAAGGTCAAGTATTGCTGAATCCCGTACGTAAGCGTCTACTTAGGATGTAATGAGACACATGCAGATTTCCTCGTCCATCTTACTGCCGCACTTCTCTCTTCATAGATATGGACGCGCCTCAAAGGAGCTTGTCAAATGGGTTCGCACTGTTTTTCTCTCATCAAGACGAAGCAACACCTAATTATAAGTTACAGGGCGGGCAGCTGGGTTGGAGGTTGGGTTCATGAGAAAGGAGCTCGACCCCCGTGCTGATTAATACGTAGGCCCGTGTAGACTTTGGCATATCTTGGCAAAACTCTCCTGTCTTTCCTCCCGTTGTTGGACAAGTGCAGTGCCTAAGTACCTAGCCACCAAGCTCCTCAGGTATAAGTACTTATCCATCCAAGCTTCCGTCTCATCTGACCCTTGGGGCGGTACACATGTTCACGAAATCCTCACAACGAGGCGTATGGATGCGGATCCTGACCCGGCATAAGCAGCAATTCTGCCACTTGACCTGCACACTCCAACTGGCCATGGCATGGATAACATGAATGGACTCCATGGAGTCTGGCAACAACAGCTTCTTCTCCACGATCCTTCTCTCTGACCAGCTTCACAATGCTGTCCCGGCTTGGAAATGACAAAGTCAGTGGAAATGTGCATGCATACTTGGCAACTCTGGTTCATTGAATACTTCATGCAATACCGGGTTGGAGAACGTTCCCTTCCACACTCCTGGGACGTCTAGGCAAGGCTCATGGTCTAGGTGTTTCTCAGCTACCCCTCACCTGCCCTCACCCATTTGCAGTTGTCTTCAATTGATGCTCTTTGCCTCTCTTATTCATTCTCTGAACTTTGCGTTTACTGTTGCCAGCTGAGTACGAACAACTGCCAGCTCGTCATTGTTCAGATCAATGCAGGGACTTGATGGCAGTTTCACTTCAGTCTGAATGAAAAAGGGATTTTCTTGTCGGATACTATCGGACCTCTGCGTTTACAAACTTTCACTTCGATTGGAATTGCTTTGTGTGCCTGGCTTCCCTTTCCTTCTCTGACTGGCTCGGAGACGCCGCCCAATAGATATCTTGGGCATCTCGACACAGTCGCCAACGCTTGCTATGCAGCGGCCATTCAGCGACGCTCGTAACATAAAACATGTGCTTTCCATTCAATTGACCTCGAGAGAATCGACTCTATTTCATCGTCAAAAGTTTGCATGTCGTCGAAAGCGGCCAATCAAACTGTCGGAGATGGCCCACGTGTAGTTGCTCTTGGCCATGATCTTCGACCCGCAAGACCTTGGCCGCAGTGTGATGGTAGCCGGACGCCAGGCGTGCACCCTATAAATTGCAGGCAGTGCCCCATTTCCTGGCCGAATTAGTGGAACCAAGAACGAAATTCCAACTTTGGTCGTGGCACCAAGAGCCCCAAGAGCTCCAAGGATGACTTCAGCGGATGAAGACCTAGGAATGGTGAAAACTCAAGCGTTTGAGAAGAAAATTGTGTGCTTCCCAAGCCCGTGGTCTCATTTCTCGCCGTCTTCAGTGGGCACAGAGCTTGGAATACGCTGAAAAAGTGGGAAGACTTTCATCAAGAAAGGGCACAGGGTCAGATTCTTGATGACCATTGGACAAAGATGTCCACCCGAGTTTCTCGAGATGTGAAAATATGTGGAATTGCCAAGTTGGGGGCAATAGTTGTAGAATGTTAAATATCTGGACAAGCTGCAACCCTTTCAGCCTGTGAACAGCACTGCAATTGCAACATTTCCAGATCTGAGGTGTGATTTTCCTGCCGCCAACATGACGACCCTACACCAATTCGATTACATATTCGCTATTGCGATGATGTTTGCATTCCTAGATGCATGGAACATCGGTGCCAACGATGTCGCAAACTCTTTTGCGACTTCTGTGTCGTCCCGATCCCTCACTATGAGGCAAGCCATGGTGATAGGTTCAGTGATGGAGTTTGGTGGTGCTGTTGGAGTTGGGTGAGTGAAGCATCTATCGATTGTTCACCCCTACTGACACTTCTCAGTGCCCGAGTCGCCGATACAATCAGAACCAAAATTTTGAGTACTAAATCTTTTGAGCAAGAGCCGACTGTTCTTATGCTGGGAATGACATGCGCTCTTGTTGCATCGTCGACATACCTGACGATCGCCACTCGTATCGGATTGCCCGTCTCCACCACGTAAGGAGAACCATCACTGGGCTGGGATATTATGCTAATGATCATTGTAGTCACTCGATCATGGGAGGCGTCATGGGCGTAGGAATTGCCGCTCTAGGCGTAGACGGTGTCAACTGGGGATGGAAAGGTGTGTCTCAAGTCTTTGCGGCATGGGCCATCGCTCCTGGAATCGCCGGCATGTTCGGAGCCATCATCTTTTTGATCACCAAATACGGCGTGCTCAAAACAAAGAACCCTGTGCGCAATGCCTTTATCAGCGTACCAATCTACTTCGCCTTCACGACTGGTATCCTCACCATGCTCATTGTCTGGAAGGGTGCGGCTAGTGCAGCGGCAGCAGTCAAGTCCTGGGGCCCTGGCGAATACATTGGTGTCATATTCGGTGTCGGAATCGGATGTGGTCTTCTCTCTGCTATCTTCATCTTGCCATACCTTCACCGAAAGCTCAACCTGAACGACTGGGAACTCAAATGGTACGATGTCTTCCAAGGTCCACTTCTTCTTCGACGTGGAGAAGTTCCTCCCAACACCAGCGGAGAACTCATTGTCCAAGATTATTATCGCGGACACAAGACTAGAGAGGATCTTGATCGTGATGGAAGAGAGGTTGTCGTCCCCCGGAACGATATTGAGACAAGCACTCCTCTGGGCAAAGAAGCTGAGGCAGGAGCCCGCAGTTCTGGGGACATCTCTGACACTGCTGCGAGCGACCCAGCTGAAATTGGAAGAACAGGAAAATGGTACGAACCTCGAAATCTGTTCTTCGTCGCCAAAAAAGCTTTCTTTCATGGCGCAGACGTCGACGTTGTTGCGGAACAGAAGAAAAGTTCCATTCTGGTCGGCAACCTCGAAGAGATGCACGCCCGTGCTACTCACTACGACAACAAGGCTGAGCACACTTACTCCTTCCTCCAGATCTTGACGGCCGCAACTGCATCATTTGCCCACGGTGCAAACGATGTCTCCAACGCAGTAGGGCCACTCGCAGCCGTGTATCTTATCTGGAGTACTGGAACTCTTGCATCCAAATCGCCAGTCCCTGTCTGGATCTTGTAAGTCCAGCATCTAAGCCACGCATTGTGTCCTTCAGCTAATTATTCAGGGTTTACGGAGGAGCTGCCATCGCTATTGGTCTTTGGACATACGGCTACAACATTATGCGTAACCTTGGGAACCGCCTCACTCTCCACTCTCCATCTCGTGGTTTCTCTATGGAACTCGGCTCCGCTTGTACCGTCGTTATGGCAACTCGTCTCGCTCTCCCAGTTTCCACTACTCAGTGTATCGTGGGAGCCACTGTTGGCGTAGGGCTCTGCAATGGAGAAATCAAGAGTATCAACTGGAGAATGGTGGCCTGGATTTATGGTGGCTGGATCATTACTCTACCAGTCACAGGTATCATCGCCGGATGTTTGATGGGTATCATTATCAATGCTCCACAATGGGGTAATGCTCTGTAAGCATAACGGCTATTGACTTTCAGGTGCAAGCAATGTAGGAAAATGTGGTGATGGAGTTGACTCATGGACCATAGGCATGAGGGTCCTTGGGATGATGGCAACGGATTCTTTTTAATTAGACAATCTTTACAATAGTGATCTCTTTATTCCCATCTTCATCCAACTCGTTAGCGATTCTAACAAAGTGATGTTGGGAACAACAAATTGAAGTAGTGCCTCGAGAGTTCGCTCTGGAAGGAGGATTTCAGCATAGTATTCAGTGTCTCATTGGCCATGCATCGCACACCGCATCAGTCGACTCAGATACAGCCCTCTCCGGTATTGTGACAACGCAGCAACTGCGGTCTTGCGGCTGTCCAACTCCTCGACCTCGAGCTCACCCACCTAATCTTCGCTGTGCGCTCCCTCAATAGAGACATAACAACCCAACAGCCACCCAACCTTGCTAATTATACGGAGCAACCACTGGAGCCTAGGCTTTGAAATTTGCTCGTGCTCGTCCGTGCGATCTTTCGCCAGCCACGCCGATGACCACCCACAAATCGACATCACATTCCTTAACGCTGGCCTCACAAAATCAGTGTTCGTGTCGTTCCCATTACAAGCCACGAAAACGCTATCCACGTGAAGTTGTTATGTTCTTTAATCACAGGTCAGTCGCACAAAGTGGAAGCCTTGACGAAGCATCCCAATGAGTACTGTCGTACCCTTTTTTTAAGCTTGAATTACACACATGCCCTTTAGACAATTCCTGTCTCGATCAGGTTCTGAGGAGCAATGTTGAGAGCAAAGCCTGATGAACAAGCCTTGCATCGATACCTGCGAAGCTACTTTTGATCCACTGAGCTCGCTTAGCGGCAGATATCAACAAACCTAGGTATCATCAATAGAAACAACACACGTAATAAGAAGAAACACCCGTGCCTCGCCCGGGTGCAGATCGTCTTGCTGCGAGTTTGGCAATTAGAAAAAGCCGCAATACTCAGAAGGAAATTCAATACGTGCATGCGTGTGAGTTGTCAGTTTCCAAACTTAATCTAATAGTTTGTTTCATTCCGTCCGCTGGTTTGAGGGATGTTTATGTTAGGGGAGAAAGAGAGGAGAGGAGGTACTGCAGGGTGCTAGCGGATTGGGAGCCTGTGAGGAAAGCTGGGCACAATATTAGATGTGACAGTCTGGTAAGAGGAAAAGTGTGTTCCGTGGATTGTATAGTAAGGATGTGGGTTAAAAGGTGTTTTCCTTAAGTTCATTGCTCCAATGGAAGCTAGTATGGCGGAAGAAACTGCCTTGCAACATTTTCCCCTTGGGACTGCGTAGAGGCAGAGCGAAGTCTCATGACTGTGATGAGCGGGAATGAAGTTTGTCGTCCTTGAATTGCGTTTTTTCCTATTGCGCGTTTTCTTTCTTCATCACGGGTCTTGCAATAGACAATACATCATTTCCGTGTGATGAAACTCCATTCAGCAGCAAATGTTAGCACATTGAAACCAATCTGTAAGAAATTTGTGTTTCACTGGACTAATTGGCCTAATTCTCAGCTGGGAATGCACAAGCTGGATTCTGGCGAGTCATTGGTACTGAAAAGTTCTCACACAGCAGAGGACCTACCAGCCGGCAACAGGCGCATGGATCTATCTACTCTTATCGTCCGAGAGACTAGTATGAGATCTCATCATGAATATCCGGGAAAACTACTTATTAAATCCGAACCTGTTGAAAGGTCTCTGCCCTTGAATCGCACAGATACTCTCGCAGCACAAGAGCTTTTACTACTTATGTCTATGATTGTTATCTCGCGGAGGGATTACGGCCATTGATATTACTGAGAGTTTTGTAGACTGGTTGTTGATACTTTGATTCAACCTTGCACAGCTAAGATTGCTCTTGATACTCCTAACACCATTGAAACCAGCAACATTAATCTCTTGCTCCCTTGGGTATTCCATAAACTCCATCACGATAAGCAATCCGACCCATCGGGCCATAAACAGGTATCCCTTTCAATCAATAACGTATTTGCCCTTACCCTTAACAGCAGAATTTCCATCCATCGCGCCCCCGCTCCTAGCCAATAACCTTCTCGCAGCATTCCTGCCACTCCCCTCCCCATCAGCCGTTCCGTCGCCTCCCACTCCAGTCTCAATCTGATGTGCATACGTACTCGGCCTGTTTATCTCCGCCGTGTCCCTCGCCGCATTGAACTTTTCATAAATCAGCTCCACCAACCTTTCTACATCTTCCTCCCCTACATCCCCCGCCAATTCCAGCCTCGCAGCCGTCTCCTCAATAAAGTCCTTTACTTTCTGCATCTGATACTCATCCTTCCGCAGCCGATCTGGCAGACCCTGTCCTTTTAGCAACGCAAGTATACCAGCTGTCGATGTGTTCACTATGCCTAGGACGGTGATTGAGCGGGGATGCAGGCCGGACATGGGACCCAAAGAGACGAGCGTTGCGCCGATGAGGATTTGCGCGAGGAGTGCGGTGTAGTAGAGGGCTTCGATGGCATGGTAGTGGAGGGAGAGGCGCTTCTGGAGGCGGAGAACTTCTTTGTAGAGGCCGTGGGGTTTGGAGGGCTGACTCCCGGCTTCCAGGTCGGTATTGCTGTTGAGGCCGATGGCGATGCGGAATTTGACGAGGTTGGGTGAGAGGAGGGGTGTAGATGGTTTGGGCGGCGGATTCAGGAGAGGGGATTGTTCAGATGACATGTCTGCATTGCAGGTTGGTAGCTTTCAGAGTACGTGTCGATATGTCGGCTGTTGTTGTCACTGTTGCTGTCGTTGTCGTTGTCGTTGGATCCTCAGCCTCGTCGAAGAAGGCTCGCAAGTGGAGCAGGGATACAGATGGATGGATGTCGATGTCTCGCATGTGGGTGTCTTGGCAGCCAGATTCAATTTAAACTCATCCCATGATCCCATCCCCTCGTCTCGACGAGTCGACTTCCCGCCAATAATCCAATCATTATCAGTCCATATCCAAAGCCAAGGGACGAGACGAGCCGAAGTTTAGGCCCTGGACGCTGCCGCTCTCGGCCCAGTCGGCCTCCCGCTGAGTCGCGCAGCTGGCCCCGTCCCAACGCCATCCCTTGATCAATCCCTTCAATCCCACGATCCCACCCCATCCCTTTCATTCTTCCACTGGTAAGGTAACTTTCCCCTCCCCCCTGCTTTACAGTACCTTAAACCTAATGTCTCACTCAGCCTCGATCCTCATGGTGCCGACTATCAGCCCTCAAACATCTCCATTTTCCAATGCCCTTCCAGAACAATGTAACCTTTCAGATAGATATAAATAAATTGGAGCCCGCCAGATCATCTCACGAGCTTCGCCTCGGCTGCCGGGCTCCAAAGCTTTTTTATTACAGTAGATGTCCCCGACCTCAACCCAGCCAACCTTCCCCATGCGGTTGTCTCTCCGGTCCACTAGCATCGGCAGATGTCGAATCCAGCCACGGTTCCTGAGCCACGCTGGAGATGCGGATAACTTCATTGGTGCGCAGCACCACAGCCAAGGAGGAGACACCTCGGCCTGTGGCACTAATTGGTTTGTATGCAGAGACAAGATTCCAAGGGGGTCCTCCTGTAGAGGGGTAGAGAGCTCCTGTCATTAATGTACTGTACTACTGGGTGATGTGAACATTGAGATAAGTACTGCTGTCATTCCTCCTCTTTCTTTCTTTTGTCTTCACTTCCTCGCGACGACGTTGTCTTTCCTCAGTATACTTGGGGTCTTGTATTTGATTCCCTCTCCATCTCTCAATCAAAATGCAATTCTCAAGTATCGTTGCTGTTGCGCTGGCATTTGCCACAACTGGCCATGCGCAGAACCCTAACCCTCCAACCGGGGCAGCAGCAGTTGAAGCAGCTCGGGCTACAGCAAAGACGCTGAGTCCCGTGAGTTCAATTAGGGGAAAGACATTCGACCGATTCGTGCAAATCTGGCTAGAGAACACAGACTTCGACATGGCGGCCGGAGATCGTGAGCAATCCCCTAGTCGATTGCACAAAAAGTCACATAACTTACAGGTGATACAGCATCCCTTCAATGGGTAGCCAGTCAAGGAATCACCCTCACGAATTATAAGGCCATCACCCATCCCAGTCAGCCAAACTACGTTGCCAGCGTAGGTGGGCAGACACACTGGGTTTTGGGTGACTGGACATCCCGCATCGATAAGAAAGTAAAGACTATTGTTGATTTATTGGAGCCAGCCGGTGTGAGTTGGAGTGTGTATGGGGAGGACATGCCGTATTCTGGCTTCCAGGGAGACTATGTTAACCAGAAGACTGGCGCAAACGATTATGTTCGAAAACACAAGTGAGTTTGCTGCAAGCCGGTCTAGTGGAGACACATGCTAACATTATCAGCCCGCTCATGTGTTATGATTCCGTGACATCAGTTGAAGACCGTCTCGCCAAATCCAAGAACTTCACCATGTTCCAGAAAGAGCTTACACAAGGCTTGTTACCTCAGTGGATGTTCCTCACTCCAAACATGAGTACGTTCGTCATCATTGACTAAACAGGATTGAGCTAACAATTCCTTAGCGAACGATGGCCACGACTCATCTATCACAGTCGCTGGATCATGGGCAAAGTCCTTTCTCCAACCCCTCCTCACCAACAAGAACTTCATGGAAAGAACTCTCATTCTCTTGAGTATGTTTCCATTCCCACGTCTCTTTTCCCTGAACCCCATGGCCTTCAGAAAGCATCCATACATGTAATGTACTAACACACACCAGGCTTCGACGAAACAGAGGACTACTTCAGCAGCAACAAAGTCTTCTCCGTCCTACTCGGCGATGCCGTCCCTGTCGCTCTGCGCGGAACCAAGAATGACACTGCTTTCAACCACTATAGTGCTCTCTCTGCGGTGGAGAATAATTGGAACTTGGGAAATCTAGGGGAGGGAGATGTCAAGGCGAAGCCATTCTTTTAGTTTTAGCAATTATATCATCTTTACTGTTCAGCTTCGAGAATGTTCGGACGATATGAGCCCTGGCTCGAAAGATATTCCAGCGCTTCCGATCTATAAAATGAGCGATTTGATCACTCATCTAGGGAATAGACCGGTTATAGCAGTGTACAATCATAGGGGCCACCAAAGCGAGTCCAGCCAGAGGGTTGCTGTACCACTAGAATCCCTTCTAGGAGCCATCTCTCTGCTAGATATGCAGGCTGTCGAGTTGTTCCGGCAGACTACACAGTTTCTGCCAGCTGTGAACCATCTAGATGCTGGACCGAACACTACTTGTTAATTCGCAGGCGACTTCACTTTTCACTCGCTCTCCGGGCGGTGTCGAGGGATATCCAACAGTCGATTGATGATCACTCGTATTTTCACAACCATACACGAGAATCGACCGCACACCGGTTCTCTCGGAAACCCTCATACGGCTATTTTCTGCATGCCACCACGCATGGCAGGTACTGGTTTTCCAATCTTGACTATCGAAATCATAGCTCAGAGTGGACAATGCAGGAGACAAAGCAGGTCCTGCTCAAGTATCAGTATTCTCTGCGTACATGACGACTGGTTGCAGAGCACGGGTGCGAAGGCATGTACTGCCGTCAATTCTGTGGCCAGTTGAGACTTATCAGTTTGGATAAACTCTATAAATTCTTTGACCATTCAGGATTTCTTGGCAAAAGCGTGTATATTTCTTGATGTCTGGGCCGAGGATATGATATGACTTTACACGTCAGTTGAGGCCCATTGACTCTACCTTCCCTCGTATTTACGTCTCTGCTCCTTGCTCGTCGCGCTTCCCCAGACGTGTCATTCCTCCTCACAGCTCTTCACTTCGCCAGAGCTATCCAGGAGAACCAGTAGTAAATGCGGTAACGGGCTTCTGGGGCCGCATACGGACGTAACACTCGATGCTATCTTTGGCGTCTCGTATTTCAGCTCATTCGATATCTCCCTTTCTCCATCTTAGGAACCTCCAACTCAGCTCAATATGTGCGGGGCCTATTTTCTCAGCTTCCATGGGAATATACCTCTTCCTTTCCGGAGGTGTGCGAGGTCTCAGATAATCCTTTCTCATTTACGAGTCGCATCATCTTCACACCTTCGACGCTGACCTCGCTACCATCTTCGCCCAGCTCGGCTTTCCACCACCACCTTCCGGCTTCAATGTCTCCCCGTCACTCTTCGCCTTCACCATTGCCAATGGCAGCGGCATTGCCCCTTCCTTGCTTGACGAAGACACTCGCCTCCTACCAATAGGACTCTCAGGTGACATGCTCCTCACGGTCTCTGAGCTCACAGAACTCATCGAATCGTTCGTCTGGAGACTCGCCTTTGAGAATGTAGAGTGGAAGGAGCTACGTAATGTGCTAGTTGTGCTGTCTGGGTCTCTGGGGAGGGATGGGCGGACGGGCGTTCTTGGAAACTGCGCCTGTGTGTGGGCTGGTGCTGTAGTTTTAAGAAGGATTGGTGTTGTGGAGGGGACGGTTGTTGAAGAAATAGGTGTTGCCGGTCTGGTTGGAATTGGGACTCTGCTTTGGCGGCGTGGGGGAGGAGCAAAATTTGAATTATAGCTGCCAGTAGGGGTCTGTTTCGCCGTGTTACCGTTGATAGAACCATTCGCTATGACATTTGAGGTAACATTGGCATGGAAACTGATATGAAGATGGCTCAGATCTCTCCCTCGGCCTCTATTCTGGGACCCAGGTCTGCGCGATAGCTTTTGCATGCTCTTCAGTTGAGACTCAAGACTTTTGCGAACTTCGACTTCGTGGTTATGCTTTTCCTGGAGAGCTTTATACTGCTCACCTGCATGCTTCCGTTCTTTTTCTATTCGTTGTTGCCAGGTCCCGTTGATGGATTCGAGTTCCTCGATGCGCTTTTGTTTAGCTACAAGATCGGCTTTCATTTGTGCTAGCATCGTGTTTGAGGCGATGCTGTTGTCGTGGACTGCTTTTAATTTGTTGTCTGGTGATTGTTAGAGATGAAAACTGATGTGCGGGACCGAACGTTAGACGACTTTGTTTACTCACTGATCACTTGAGAAATCTGACGGTTTTTCTTGTGGCAGCACGAGAGATGATAGATCTGATCCAAGCCTCCGAACTCCAGTAACCTCTCATTAACCACTTTAGCCTTTGGCCTCTTTAACGGGTCATACTGAAGCATTTGATCGATCAAAGAAACAATGTGCTTGCAATTGAGGTTCGGATTATCCTCGTTCTCTAGAGATGCAGAGATAGCTTTCGTCCGAAGCTCCTCTAGGTAATTCGGGAGCATTTCGTACTTCAACTTCCAATCCTTCTCCTTCATGATGTGCTCGAATCGCTCTAACGTTTCTCCGTATATGACAGTGGCGATATTCAAAAATATACAACCGAGCGACCAGATGTCAGCACGAGACATACTGTAGTCTTCACCACCATCATACACTTCTGGCGCGATCCACGAAAGGGTGCCGCATCGTCCACTAGTAATACTATCATCTGCATCTCTGACATCTCGTGCGATCCCAAAATCGGCTAGATATACCCTCCCAGGATTCAGTAGTATATTCTTCGGTTTTAGATCGCGATGTCGTATCTCTTTCTCATGACAATACGCCAACGCCTCTGTAATGCACCCAAGGATCTGCTGCAAGAACCCTATAGCAGTACTTGCGGGCGAATATCCATCGGCAGTCTGCGGTGCACATCTCAACAGTGGTAAATCGTTAATTGTGCCAACGTCTCTCAAGCCTAACGTTTGTAGTCTTTGAAACGCATCCTCCTGGTCTGCAGCAAGCCCAGAACGGATCTCGTCGATGTCTTCAATGACTTTACTCAGATCGCAGACTGCGGCAGGGTACAAGAGGAGGTAGAGATTATTCCTTTTGGCAGTGTATGTGCCGACTAGCTTTAAGATATGTTTATGCGCTAGACGTTCCATGGCGTTGGCTTCGTCTCGGAGCTGCTCGACTGTCATTCCACGTCTGGGCTTGACACTAATAGATATTATCAGCATGAAGCACTGGTAAGATTGATTAATTGTATTTAGGAAAGAATTAAATGCGAACCATTTCCTTGCCATCGTGACAGTTCTATATGTGATACGCTCCACAATGCCATAGCTCCCAATCCCAAGCTCTCGACCGTAAGTCTTGATCGCTTTGTGATCTGTCCATTGTGTCGCATCAGGATGTTTTCCACATCCAGACCAATGCCCTTTCGATCTCTCCCAATACTCTATCTGCTTCTCTTCGCGGATCTCAGTTGCTGGGTGTGCAACTACGAGATGCCAGCCGTCGTCCGCGATTTCAGCCATCAGGCTTGAGGTGCTCGGGGCGGGCCGCTGTCAGTGTTTCGTCCTCAGTGGACCCGGCACTTGAGCTGTGACCCAGTTGCTGTCTTACAGGATATTCGACAGAAACAATTGAAGAAAGCTATTCGAATTGAAGCCTATCGCTCAAGAGATTATTGCGCTGCACTGCCTCCTGGCGCGGCTGAGAAATGTCGTTGGCGGGGCGGTGTATGCAACGATTTGCTCTTGTGAAGCCCCCGCGTCGCCTTTTCTATGCAGGTGAGATGTACCCTTGCTTCCGAGTGGAAGAGCCAACCGTCCCTGATTGAACCGTGGATAGATTCCATCATTGTTGTGAATCAGTGGACCAAATCAACGACAATTCTATCGAGAGCCTCTGATGCAACTCACTGGTGATAGAGTTAATGAAGTTTAATAGGGCAATACCACCATCCATGATTAACCGATGAATAGAAGCCCCCTCACTGCTCTGGTTCAGACTACTTGCTTGTCCCACCGATCTTACCTGCCAGAAAATACTGAGCATAGAAGGTGCCAAAATTTCAGATTTCAAGTTTCAAACGATGTAGCCAATGTCAGTAGCTATGTATGGCGGCGAAGTCACATTGTCCATCACATCAGATGGGGTGGCCAAGCGAGCGTATGAATGAATGTCTCAGCCGTAGTGATTCAGCTTACTGTTGTCCTCCAGAACCATCACTTCGTCATGCTCGCTCGCTGTAATGAGAAACGAGACCGGGGTAGGTAGGCACCTTATCAGTGGTGTGCTTTTGCTAGCTTCAAGTAACAGAACAACAGAGCATAGATGGTGAGAACAATTGGAGATTATTCAAGTACCTAGGGAGCTCTGGAATAGTCTTGAGGTGCTTGAGAAGTCTTGAGGTGCTGAAGAACATGAAGTCCGAAACACCTACCTACCTGTACTGCAGGTAGAGGTCAAAGGTCAAGGTCAATATAATAATGTTGTCGCTTAGAGGGAGCCACATCCAGCCTCCAGGCCAGCCAGGCACAGGTCAAGGGACAAAACACCCAAGGAGCCAAGCTGCCAAGGTAATGTTGGTGCCTTAGGTATTTACCTAGGTACGCGAGCAGGCGAGCTCGCGAGGTACGAAAGGTACCTTCCGTACTTGTAGGTTCAGGGGATGCCCCGATGACGACAATGGAAAGATGTGGCGCAGCTACCCCAACTACCTTGCACTGCGTATCCGTGCCTGCCTAGGTTGGAGCTTCGTATGGTCACCCGAGAATCAACGTCGAGCAACCTTCCACCAACAACAACAACATCAACAACAACTATCTACTTCACCACCCCTTACTCTTGCATCTAGCACAGCTTGTCATGAGCTCCATAGGACCGAAATAGACTGAAGAACACCCTCGGCCACTTCTCAGTAACCTCCGCTTGAAATAGCAATCTGCGCCGCTGGGCGACGCTTGGGAGGACTTCTGCAAGATGGGGTTGAGGCATTTGGCCGCCGCGGCGATCGGGCTGCTCAGTCTTGCATCCGGAGAGCTATTTACACAAAAACACGAGAAAGGGAGATGTGCTCTACGAGGAACTTGTGGGGGCGGAGGCTTTTTTTCCCCCGCTCTCCCGTGTGTGGACAATGGTCTCGCGAAAGCCCCGGAGGAAGACGTGAGGGCGCAGCTCCTGGAACTATGCCCGGAGGACAAATGGAAACAAGGGCCGCTATGCTGCGAAAAAGACCAGGTTTGATGAATCCTTTCATGATATGACAGCTGCTAAGTGAGACAGCTTGACGTCCTGTCGGACAACCTCAAAAAGGCCCAGTCATTCATCGCAGATTGTCCTGCATGCAAGAACAATTTTTACAACACCTTTTGCACCTTCACTTGCTCCCCCGATCAATCCCTCTTCATCAATATTACCCAAGCAGAAAAGGGCGCCGAGGGGTTGAGAGTGACGGAGCTGGACCAACTAGTCTCTGACGAATACGGGTCCGGATTCTATGACAGTTGCAAAGACGTTAAATTTGGACCTACGAACTCGAATGCGATGGCCTTTATTGGAGGAGGAGCAAAGAATTACACCGATTTTTTGAAATTCTTGGGGAAGAAATCCCCTCCTTTTGGTTCGCCATTTCAAATCAACTTTCCCAGGCCGAGCAAATATCCAGAAAAGGCAATGAATCCATTGCCCATGAAACCGAAAGCATGCAACGATACCAACCCAAACTTTCGGTGTCCTTGCATCGACTGTCCTGCCGTGTGCCCAACATTGCCAGATATCACCGAAGCTGGATCATGCCATGTTGGATTATTGCCATGTCTATCGTTTGGAGCTATCCTGACGTACAGCGTTCTTATCCTCTCGCTTGTTACGGCAATTTCTGGTCACGTTGCCTGGGCTAAGCACAGTAGAAGGAGATCCGAACGGTTGCGACTTCTTCAAGATGCTTCGCCAAGCGACGACGAAGACGAAGGCGATATGGTTCATAATGGTGCTATGTATGACCGCCCGCAGAGAACATACAAGCTTAATTCCTTCTGCGACAGCGCATTCAGTCACCTGGGCTTCACCGCCGCTCGATTTCCCGGAATCACTATTGGAACGAGCATTCTCATTGTTGGACTTCTCAGTATTGGTTGGATTCGGTTCGATATCGAAAGGGACCCTGCTCGGTTATGGGTCAGCCCCACATCTGCTGCCGCTGAGGAGAAGAACTTTTTCGATACGAACTTTGGTCCTTTTTATCGCGCAGAGCAAATTTTCTTGGTCAATGAGACGGTTTCGAATGCGTCGAGTCCAGTGCTAAGTTATGACACATTGAAGTGGTGGATAGATGTCGAAAAACGAGTCAGTGGCTTGAAAGGTGCCAAAACCAATACCACATTTGACAGTGTATGCTTCAAGCCTACTGGCGATGCTTGCGTTGTGCAGTCTGTAGCTGCATATTTCGGAAACGACATCACCACCGTCTCTCCGAGCACCTGGAAAAAGAAATTGCGGGAATGCGCTGAGTCACCCGTGGGATGCCTTCCTGAATTTCAACAGCCAATCGACCCTAGCATGATTCTTGGTGGCTTAGACGGAGTTGGTGATGTTGCAGATTCACCTGCAATGGTTGTTACCTGGGTTATCAAGAATTATGCTGAAGGCTCGTCCGAGATCGAAAAGGCGATGGAATGGGAACAAAGCCTGAAGGACACTCTGCTTGAAGTCCAAATGGAAGCATCAGAGCGGGGTCTGAGATTGTCATTCTCCACGGAGATCAGCTTGGAACAAGAGCTCAATAAATCCACAAACACTGATGCTAAGATTGTCGTTATAAGCTACATTTTCATGTTCATCTACGCATCCCTCGCTCTTGGCTCCACAACCCTATCAATACGATCAGTACTCCGAAACCCAGCAAGCTCTCTCGTAGAGTCTAAGTTTACCCTCGGCGTTGTGGGCATTCTAATTGTTCTGATGTCTATATCAGCATCAATTGGCCTGTTCTCAGCAGCTGGTATCAAGGTGACACTCATCATTGCAGAAGTCATTCCATTCATCGTTTTGGCTGTTGGTGTCGATAACATTTTCTTGATTGTGCACGAATTCGAGAGGGTCAACGTCAGCCACCCCGACGAGATGGTTGAGTTCAGAATTGCCAAAGCTCTTGGACGTATGGGACCATCAATCCTCTTATCAGCAATTACCGAGACTATTGCCTTCTCGTTGGGAGCGTTCGTGGGCATGCCTGCTGTTCGTAATTTTGCCGTCTATGCTGCCGGGGCTGTCTTCATCAATGCCGTACTTCAGGTTACTATGTTCGTATCAGTACTCACTCTAAATCAGAGAAGAGTTGAAGATCGAAGAGCAGACTGCTTTCCATGCGTTCAGATCAAACGTGCTGGCATACAGCTTAGCTCGACCGGAAACGGGTACATGCGACCTTACGAGGGACAAGATGAAGGCACCCTGCAAAAGTTTATTCGAAAGTCTTACGCTCCAACGCTTTTGGGTAAGAAGATGAAAGTCGGGGTAGTGGTGGTGTTCTTGGGACTTTTCACTGCCGGCATCTCATTGATTCCAGAAGTTTCTCTTGGCCTAGACCAAAGAGTTGCGATCCCAGATGACTCTTATCTGATCCCATATTTCAACGATCTATATGACTACTTCGAATCTGGCCCACCAGTATACTTTGTCACTCGGGAATTGAATGTCACCCAGAGGCTGCACCAGCAACAGCTGTGCTCTCGATTCAGTACCTGTGAGCAAGACTCCATCACAAACATCATTGAAGGAGAACGAAAGAGATCAAATTTATCTTACATCGCTTCAACTCCGGCGAGCTGGATCGACGACTATTTTCGCTGGCTGGATCCAAATCTCGCGGAATGTTGTGTAGAGAATGGGAAGACATGCTTCGCAGATCGCGATCCAGCATGGAACATCTCCCTGTACGGAATGCCTGAGGGCCAGGAGTTCATGCACTACCTTGAGAAGTGGATCGAAGCTCCTTCAGATGCCGACTGCCCCTTGGGTGGAAAAGCTGCTTATAGCAGTGCTTTGGTTATTGATGCAGAGAGGGGGACGATCCCAGCAAGCCATTTCCGATCTGCTCACACTCCACTTCGGAGCCAAGATGCATTCATTGACGCCTACGCATCTGCTCGAAGGATTGCAGATGGTCTAAGCAAGAGCTCAGGTGTGGATGTTTTCCCATACAGCGTGTTCTACATTTTCTTCGACCAATATGCAACTATCGTCCGACTCACAGCAACACTTCTCGGCTCAGCCCTCGGGCTTATCTTGATAATATCATCCATCCTGCTCGGATCCGTGAGAACAGGCGCTGTGGTCACTGCAACAGTCATCATGATTGTCGTTGACATTATCGGCACGATGGCCGTGTTTAATGTGTCTCTTAATGCTGTCAGTCTCGTGAATCTCATTATTTGCGTGGGTATTGGGGTTGAGTTCTGCGCCCACATTGCCCGCGCATTCATGTTCCCATCCCGCGCCGTGATGGAGCGCGCAAGCAAGAAGTTCCGAGGAAAGGACGCTCGAGCATGGACTGCTCTTGTCAACGTTGGCGGCTCTGTGTTCTCAGGCATCACAATCACCAAGTTACTTGGAGTATCCGTCCTAGCATTCACGCGAAGCAAGATCTTCGAGATCTACTATTTCAGGATTTGGTTGGCACTGGTAATTTTCGCCGCTACACATGCTCTGATCTTCTTGCCGGTGGCATTGAGTCTGTTGGGCGGAGAAGGGTATATGGACCCTGAAAGTGAGGGAGGTTTGGAGGAAGATTTGGCGAGTAGGCGCTATAGAGCGTTGTTGCCAGAGGAGGAGGATGACTCTGATGACGAATATTAGTGGTTTAAGATGTGCATGGTCCTAAATTTCTCTGTATTTTTAACGATTGCATGGATATTGCATACTAGATAGAGATATAGTGCAGACATGTGAAGCTTGAGATTTATCATATCTGAACTATTGGCTCTCGCGAGTAACAAACCAGCTCCGCCAATTGCCTGAGGATCCACTGAAAACATGTATTTCTGGCGTCCTTTGCTCTTTCCACTCATCCGCGATACTCGTAGGGCATCAACCCTTAAGAATGGAATTCAGATATCAGGCCTTGTATACACACAGGTTTAGTTTCCAGGACTCGAGATCATAATAGCAACGCCAGATTATAAAGCAGCGATGCTCTATGGGTCAGCAGCTCGGCGCTGCCAGTGCTGATATTTATCACATAGCCCAATTGTGCGTGGAACTCTTTCTAGTACAGTTATGGGTCGTCTCTTCAAAATGTGGAAGTGTCATACCGCTGTGAACATGGTTAAGACTGTACGCAGATACGTCTTTCGAAGGATAGAGCAGATAGAGCGATAGTGTCATTAATGCAGAGCCTAACTATGAACATGATAAGTTTCATACTTGGGAGTCAATCTATTTGATTGACACATGCAGCGTAATGGTATACAAAGACATCTATTCAATACACCATTCATACACCCGGCATCCATCTTCTGCGCCTAATAATACTCCTCCTGGCCCGCCCATATACAAATTATTCCAAACCACCCAACTCACCTTAAACTCCCAATAGCGATACTCAAACAACGATACAGGCATATACACAGCTTAGCCAGGCCTGACCAATCATTCTAAAAAAGATGCCAAAATAAACAAGCAGGAAATCTAGTCCCAACACTCCTCCCTCCACACCAAAACAGCCAAAGCATCCACCCCAAGCATCACAACATGCAAAATCACTTCCGCTACAATCCTCGCTAGCAAAACAAACGCGCCAAGAATGACAGCCATCAGCCCGATCGTTAGTGGTCAATGCCCACTAGGGAGTAATAGCCTCCTATTCTTCTTAATCAACGCATTCAGCTTCTTCTCAAGACCTTCCGTCTCCTTGCGAGCTATTTGCATTGCGCCCTCAGACTCGGATAAGCTGAGCAGAGATACATTGCCCAGAGGCTGGCCGCGGTTAAGCTCTCCACCGCCCCCGATGGCAAAGTGAGCTGTCATGTGCTCGAGACCTGTGGCGATCATGCCCTCGCGGTTGGTTGCATTGTAACCACTTTCAATGCCAGCTTCCGGACGAGGTGCAGTGGCGTCAACGCCCCAAGATGACCAGGCAGCATTGTCTCCAGAACGAATGATCTCGCTATCCAAAGCGTTGGCATTCAGGGCCTTCTCCAACTGTGAGTTGGTCGAAAGCGATGGAAGCACGTATTGATTGATATAGCTGAGAGCTTCGTCGCGCTGGATCTTGCTGACTGGGTCCATTGCAGGAGTACCATTGCCGACTGCTGGGAAGAAAGATGGGGGGCCGTTTGGCACAGCTCGACCTCCAATGAGTGCAAACCCGTTGCCTGCATGATGCTTGGCGGAGATGAAAGAGGTAGGGCCATATTCAAGAGCAATTCGAGCTTGCAGGTCGAGATATTTCTGCTCTTCTTCAGTTGTGAGGTTTCGGATACAATCACCATTCGGTGTTAACATGATCCGATGTGGTCCTTCAGCCACTTTGTGCACCGGTGTCCCAGCGAGAAGCGTTGCTCGGTCCTCGGGCGAGATCGTAAGCTTTTGATTGATAGTCTGGGGGTCGATTGGAGTCTCGAATCGATGGTTCATGACAGGGTTCTTGAGCAAGGAGAGGCTGCTGGTGTCGCCTATGACACCCTCGGCAAGAAGCTCTTGGAAGACCATTGCCGGAGTTGGGATGGGCTTTTCAGTAATCTCTTCCTCTACCTCAGGAGCAGGAGGATGAGGCTCTGGCGACATCGTGTGCTGGGTTTTCGCTTTCCCTTTGCCTTTGGTTTCCTGCTTAGAGAGCCTGCCGATTTCTGGCTCGACAGGGCTTCCTTCTGGCAAAGCATGAGCTGCTTGATCTACAGCTGATTTAGGTTTTGGCTCCTCAGGTTTTGTATCCGCAGGGCCAGGTGATACGGGTCTGCTGGCAACAGGCGTCGAACCACCTGCAGCGCTGTGTATAGTGCGCTCTTTCGGTTCTTTCTTTTGCTTCTTCTTCCGTCCCATTATAGGCGCAATCTCTGGTTCCAGCTCAACCTTGTGTGCTAAAGCCTCTAATTCACTTCTCTCCTTCTCCTTCTGAATCTCTCGTCGCTGCTTCTTTTGCATGCTTTTTGTAGTCATTCGTAAGGGAGCAGAGCCAACCTTCGATGGCGGTGGTGAGCTTGCCCTTGACATAGAAGCTGATGTGATCGAAGCATTGTCGGAAACAATTTCACTAGATGGAGTACCGGGGCGGTCCTGCCTTGAAACTGATACAAGACTAGGTTGTCGTGAGGGAAGGATATTGGGGGGAAACATAGACGTCACAGATGAAGGTGTTGCGCTTCCAGCTGGTGGAGTTTCGTTCTTGGGCGTTGATGTGAGCCGCAAAGTCTTCGGTGCAGATCGTGTGAGAGGCGACTCAATTGTTGTAACAGCAGGTGTGCTCGACGGCAGAGGAGGGAAAGCTGTAGAAGATTCTGCTTTGACAGTGGCGGCCTTATCACCACCAGGTCCCTTACCTGGTGGTTTTGCAGGCACCGAGATGTCCAAGGTCTGCGCAGAACCCTTCTCGAAAATCTTCGCTGTTGTTTCTGCGACAGCAGGAGCGGAGCCAGGCTGAGCGGTCGACTGCTTCTTGCTTGGCTTGGCAGTTGGCCCATTTCTAGGGTGAGAAACAGCCTTATTGAGAGTTGCTGCAGCCTTGGCTTTACCGCTGTCTAAAGCAGGGAAGTCCTCTGTTTGAAGAGTAGCCTGGGAGGCCTGCGTAGCAATAGCCTTCGAAAGACCAGTGTTCGTTGCCAGTGCCTTCACATCTTGTTTTGCCTGAGAAGTCGAGGCATTTCCCTTCGCTTTAGAAGCACTCTGTGGCATGGCTGGAACGGATACGATAGACAGGGGGGTAGCAACACGGGGGATGGCGGACACACGACTCGGTGTGAATGGAGCAGACGTTGGTACAAATCGAGATGGAGCCTTTGACACTGGCTCTTCACGAATGGTAGGCGCTGGATGTGTGTGAGGCACGCTGAACCCTGGAGGAATAGACGGAGTCGAAGAGCGTGATACTTGATTCGAGTTGGTCAGGCTGGGTGGCATGGAATCATCATCAGCAACAAGTGCATCTACTGAGGAAGTTGCCTCGTCGAGAGACGGGAGCCCTTGGTCATCTGGTGATACATGTTAGCAAAGATACTCAACTTTAAGTACTCTCAACAGAAACGGCATAGAAGCAAATCGATTCTAGGAACATCGGCAATCTGGTCCAAGCACAACATCAAGTCACGGTTCCCATCATCGTCTCCGAAGTAAAGAAGGTACTGGGGGCACAAAACGTGTGAGAATACTACATTTGACCAGCCATTGCTGAGGCTCGGATTCGGGGAATTAACGTACATGAGAAGGTACCTGAGACGAAGACGATGATGGAGCCCGGACGAAGTATTGTGCCAGTCCACCATGTATGCCAGTGCCAGTGCCAGAGGCCGTGATGCCCAATAAATCAACGCAACGAGAGAAAGTAAAGCCATGAGGTCCCTCATTTCCAATCGCTCCCCAACGCCAGAGCAGCCGAAGCTTCCATCTTGGGAGATCAACCATGCTCGCTAAACACAAATATGCTGACCAGTAATGCAGCGCCCTTCATAAGGGTCTTTGCTAACGCCTTCCCAAATGAAAGCAAAGCTCTACAAATCCCTTGCAGATACAAAACGCCCGCCAGCCCGCTATGTCTACCACCGAGAGAACCCATTGCTATACATCATGTTTGGATTGTACCCACCTTGAGCCTGACCACCAAACAGTCCCTGTCCGACTCCGGCATTGCTCTGTTGCTGGTGGAGCATTCTCGCTTGCAAGATACTCGGGTCTGGAAGATCGACTATTCCACCTCCCCCAGAGGAGGAAGTGTTAGCATGTCTGTGCTTCTTTCCCTTCTTCTTCTGCTTTTGACCGAAGTCTTGGAATGCTCCAGTCTGAGGACCGTAGAGCGATGCCAGGAAGCCTGAAGCAGGAGCTGGAGTGGAGGAGGCAGATGGGTATTGTTGAAGAAAATTAGGAGAAAAGTTGTACTCACGCTTGCCTGTATCATGCGATTGACCGCCTGTAACACGTCCTCCTCTATCGAGCATATCCCTCAAAAATTCACTGTTATTACCCTTCGCAATGCTACCAAAGAGGGAGCTACCGCCCATTGACCCTCCAAATCCGTGACCTTGTCCGAACATACCGCCAATTGGCGGAGTTGCTGTGGATTTAAGCCCTGGGGGTGGACCTGGCATGGAGGAGCCATAAAATTGACTCCCGTGATTCACAGACGGCATCATGGAAGATTGCTGCGCCATCAGTTTGGGGTTAGCCGATGGCTTCACGGACGACGAGGTAGATGATCCATCATTGGCAAAGTTATAGCGCGAGGACTGTCTGTTGTGACCTTGTTGTTGGAATAAACCGGCGCCCTGACCAGGATTACCCATTCCGGGAGGGTATTGATCTATGAATCCACCCTGAGATTGTGTGGATTTCAGCATGGCGAGCTGGTTTTGTTGATGTGCAGTCAGAGTACGTCCATTGATTGAGCTCAAGCTGCCAATGTTCTGAAGAGGGAAATTCTGAACTAGACTGGGGCCAAAAGGTCCTCCGTTGGACCCTCGATGGATAGGTGCCTGGGAACTTGGCCGTCGTTGATTGTGGTAGCTCTGGGGAATACTGCCTTCTCGGCCAGTATCTCTGTCTTCCGGCTCCCCTCCCAGTTGCAGACTCCCACTTTCCGGGGCCTCTTCTTCCAAAGGCTCAGCAATAGATTGCAAATCTGCTTGGGAGTCTTGCTCCAAGTGCAGTCTGGCTTCCTCTTGTCTATCACGCATAGCCCTTCGTTTCTCGCCACCACAGTCGTCGAAAAGGGGCGGAAAGGTAGAAAACCCTCCAGAATCTACTCCTGTAGTGCTCGGTCTCGTGAACGAAACTTCCGTTGAATTAATAGCCTTCAATATTGACACTAGAAGCGGATCTCGTTCGGGTGCTGGTGGCTCGTTTGATGATACCGTATCTGATGAGGGGAACGCATTTGAAATCTGCGGCGACGGTTCCTGTTGGGGTTCTTCAGCCTCCTCTGCTCTTGCAGGTACAGCTTGCGAAATTGCAGGACTAGACGCTGCTCCGCTGGTGGCATGACTTCCTCTTCTGCTACGCTCTTGCACTCCCCGATGCGCCCAGCTTGCCGAGGATGGAAGGGCTGAGCCATCACCACTGTCGGATCCATCCTTGCTATTGTCACGCATCATGGGTTGGGTAGCAGCTGCAATGGGCTGTGCTTGTTGGATGGGTGCCTGGGCTTGAGCTTGGGCAATCTGTCGGGAACTCGACGATGAGGATGACATGACTGGTAGTGGCCGCTGGGTGTTGACACTGTTAATAGAAGATAGATCTTGTCGAGAATAGCTGTCATCGTTATCGCCAGGTTCGTGGAGAAACATGCAATTCTTGTTTGTACATGTCTCATTGCGCAGGTATGCTGAGCAATACTTCGTTGTTCCAAGCTGTGCTCGCAGAACTCGATCGCCATTTTGCGAGCCGTTGACTGCTGCAATGCACCTCGCAGCATCCTCCTTCCGAGCAAAAGTGACATAAACTCCAAGTGATTGTGGTTGACCATTGGCACCTGAGTCTTTCTTGTTGCTGACCACTATTTTGATGATTTTGCCGTATTGTCCAAAGTATTTATCGCCTCTTAAAGTTTCGAGGATCTCTTTCTCGGCGATATTCGGACTGAGACCAACGACATAGACGAGATTTTTCTGCACGACTCGGAGGCCTGATAAGTGCTTTCTGTTCAGACTTTCCACCTCGCGCTTCTGTGCCTCCTTTTGTCGTTGCTCTTGCTTTCTCTTAGCGTTCTTCTGGACATTCGCCTTGAATTGTGCTACTCTGTAAAGCTTAGTTAGCGTTAGATGACAAGCCAACTCGGTATAATCCTACTCTTCAGGTGTAACGACTTTCCATTCTATCGTCTTCTCATCATAAGGTCGTCGACATGCTGGACAAAGGCCGTTCATATTGGTTTTGATATTATTGAAGCAAAACTGGCAGACCTGAACGCATAGATTAGACGACGCTCTTCACACTATCATGTCTTGTTCAACACTCACTTGGTATCCGCAGGGGCATGGCCGGAAGTTCTTGTCCGAGAGATCGAACTCCTCAACACAGAGGGGACTGGGTATCACGGTTAGCTTGTTGATGCAAGGAGGGAAATTCCAGGGGGGAGCAAAGGGACACGAACCAGCAGTCCTCGTCATCGTCGATGATAACATCGTGAGGCGCCATCGTGGACTAGCTGTGATGTGGTGAAGGTATCTGATGCTTGTGGCGCTGGAAGGATGAAAAGATTGATGGCGGATGGGACGCGCAGAACTCGTTGATGTGCCGCCTAATAGCTTGATGGACTCGGCGTCGATGGTGACGATGACCTTAGGTCAAACGCGTGTGCGGAAGAGGGCCGTGGATATTCTGAGGGCAAAGGCCAAAGCTGCCATGGATGAAGATGAAAGGTTTCCACGAGAGAACGACGGGCGACGATGTTCGATGTCCAATTACGCTACAGCTAAAAGTGGCTAGATCAGTCGCTAAGCCGGATGCGGTTGGTGGGCGAGCTTGTGTGAAGCATCCCATCCTGTCTGGTGCACAACTCGATGATGCCCTCAGTCACTTTATAACTGCAATTGGCGCCCCTATACCACGAAGTTCGCCATGGCTTTGAGGATATCGAACTCGAGGTCGCTGGCCGCAGCTCTACGGTCAAGCCGGACTGTCCTGGCGCGACGGAACGATTGTCACGCTGCCGTTCGGGCTTTCTCGTCCACCCAACATACCCAAATCGTCGTATCTCCAGATACGCCCAACATGCGACACGCTCAGAGAGCGCCCGATCCACCTGAGGGACTTCATGCTCCCATAGTCAACCCTGCCGACAAGTATGCCTCCAAGGCAGATGACCTGCATCGTTATGGGTCTTGGCTCATGGGCTGTTTGCCAAAGTATATCCAGCAATTTTCTGTTTGGAAGGACGAGCTGGTCATCTACATTTCGCCTGCTGGTGTCACTCCAGTCTTCTCTTTTCTCAAATGTATGTCCCCTAAACCTTTCTTTCACTGAATAGCAATTGAAACTTAGCAGATAGCACCGGTGCCGAGTTCACCCAGGTCTCCGATATTACAGCCGTCGACTTCCCCACTCGAGACCAGCGTTTTGAAGTCGTTTACAATCTATTGAGCGTCCGCCACAACTCCAGAATCCGCGTCAAGACCTATGCAGATGAGGCCTCTCCCGTCCCCAGTATTACAGACCTGTATGACGGCGCGAATTGGTACGAGCGGGAGGTTTACGACATGTTCGGGGTCTTCTTTGTTGGTCACCCAGATCTCCGACGAATTATGACCGACTATGGCTTTGATGGTCATCCTTTGAGAAAGGACTTCCCTCTGACAGGCTACACCGAGATCCGATACGACGAGGAGAAGAAGCGCATTGTTGTGGAGCCTTTGGAGTTGACACAGGCATTCCGAAATTTCGAGGGTGGAACAGCAGCGTGGGAGGTACGTACATCATGCCTGTTACATTCCTTAATTTCGCTGACCCCAAATAGCAAGTTGGACCTGGTGTCGACAGAAAGCCCGAGACCTTCAAGTTGCCAACAGCAAAGCCCGAAGAAAAGAAGGAGGAGCCGAAGAAGTAGACTCGACGGTTTGTATGTATATAAGCTTGTGTCAATATACGCGTGTTTCATGAGCTCCAACATACCTAGCCATGATGCTGTTAGAGTGGGATCATTTACTGTCCTGCTATTCCTTGAGTTGATGATCGAGTGTGATGCTGTCCACGACTACGACGGCAAGACTAGAAGTGGATTGCATTGAATGACCTCTGCTACACCTTCCTAGTCGGTTGGCTTTGTGCTCATTATGTCGTGTTATCCGGTGGGTTTCGATCACACGTCCTTGAGCATGGAAAATATTCCGAATTGAGGCTCGTGCTATCCTTAGTCAGTGCTCGCAGCAGTTAAGTTAGTGGTACTCAATCTGCTAAAGTTTCTTTGGGTAGTGGCTTGCAGCACAATTGATAAGTTCCATTGCTATCATAATTATGCTGCCTCTAACAAGCTTGTTTGCTTATGGAGCCATACAAGCGTTATATCTCGCTTGATTTATGTTCCCCAATTGAGGGAATCAAATCTAATCCTGCAATAATGGAGACACAGAGATCATTTGCTCACGTTTTATCCTAGTCATCGGCGAGTGGCTGATTCCTTTGTTTGAGGTATTTTGCCATCCCCGAGACAAAGTCGGAAAATATCACACAGATCGAGGAGTGAAATCACAAGAGGTTCTTAGTCGCTGTGTGTTACTAGCACATAGCCGTTTGCTCGGTCCCGTACATTCCTCGCCCATTTAGCAAGTACAATTGTATATCAGGTCACGATGCCATCATATCGCTTCATGGTTGTTAGGACTAGCTAGGCGTACCAGACTTTTGAGGCATCTCACTAGTATATTTGCAGATCCTTCCTTCCACAGATTGATCCAATTTCATCAAATTCATATCTCACGTTCTCCATCCTATCTACCATCAATACTGTTCGACCCCGCCTAATCAACGAGAATGGCCGACTCAGGCTTACCAACGACAAGTAATGCGAATATGTCGGCTATTACGCTCAACCACGCCCCCAACAGTATCGAATCATCCGATTCATTCTCAGCCCACCAACGCGAAGCAGCTGAAACAAAACTATACTATATGCGAGACGTCTGCGATCCAGAAGAATTCCAAGCCCTTGTCGAACAAGAGCTTGAGAGGGCGAACAGCATGCGTACATCATCGACAGCCGCGATGGCCATACAGAACGTCGCCGACAAAATGAAAATAGCATTGAAGAAGACTCTGTGCGTGCGAGTAATACATTGAAAGTACATTACCCAAGTCATTCTAAAGTCTGTCAGGGTCGAAACCCTTGTGTTGGCATAGGTACCTACACATCAAGAGATATGTTTGAGGTTTTCGCCAACGTGGAACCAAAGTTGTGAGGAAAGCGCCATCTATGGCATATTCACGGTACCCAAGACTACCTAGATACCTATCTATGCCGGGAGCCATGTTACGTTACTTTCGACGGCTACCTGGATAGCCAGCTGCAACCAAGATTGGCAAAGTATGGCGGGCCCCAACAGGTAGCTGATATGAAAACGCGAGATAAGAGGGCAGTAAATGCGACAGATGCTTTCTTCAAGCTGTAGTCTCCTGTTCGCACAACAAGGAGTACTGAAACGAAGATACCCACTTACAGGCCAGGCCGTCGCGGAATATTAAGACAGGAGCTGGAAGGGGGTTGTTGGGTAGCAGATAGCTATGTAGTCAGGCCATAACCATGTGTTCTCTTTTGTCGAAGGTTGAGGATACGATTTTGATCAATTACCCCATGAGAGACCGTTGTCCCTGTGTCGTTGATTTCTCATCGGAACTCCTGCCTTTCATTACACAGCATGTTTTCAACTTGATTGCTTCATTGTTTTTGATTTTGCACATGTTTGTCAGGTGGAAACCGAGATTGAAGACAGCCACCTCTTCTACCTCATCTATTCTTAACAGTAATAATAAAACCACTACAGAGGTAGCCACTTCTTCCCCTCAGAGTCAGTCATTGAGACTGCGTTTAGTGGTCCTGCTCCTTCTTATTCCCTCTCCAGACCAGGTATGTTTCTGTCTTCTAGTAACTCTCACAGTTGACATGTAGAGATGGCACCCATTATCACCTTTCTAGCTATAAGCGATGGCTTGAAGCAAGAGCGCCATAACAAACAGGCGATTTATCAACATTATAGGGTTATGTTAGCAAGTGCGCAGACCAATCAATAATCATTCTGTTCAACAGCTTAGAACAGAACATGCACTACCACGGTCCAAAAATAATAGACAACAAGTAGCACTATGGACCAATTATGCACAGATATGGTCATATACGCCTGCGAATCACATTCGTCTCAGTCTCCTTGTAATCCAACCTCACCAACAACAGGTCGACAAGGGATTTACAGTTAACTCGTATGGGGAAATGATCTCGTTGCAACCCATAGGTAAGGAAAAGGTACAAGATAGAAAGTTCATAGTTTCAAATGTACAAGAAAGAGTTTTCTTACATCATTACCAAAACCAGGGGGACAACAGTTGTGGAGTCATGGAATATTCATAAAATAGGCGTGTTTTATTTGCCAATAGTATTATAGAAAAATTGGAGGTTTGTTTCTCCTAATAATACGCTAGTTTGTTGAGAGGTCCTGTGTAGAGATATAGCGCTTCAGCCAACACGATGAAAAGGTTTCAATGCAGCGGCTCTGTTGGGCGTGGAAGATCTGGTTAGTAGGATGTCTCGGATTTTTTGTGTAATTCTCGCTTTATAGAAGTAATACTAACAAGACGGATGTGGTCTGAAGCACAACTGATGCTGGAAAATATGAGACCTGGATCCGAGAATGTCGTTTGCTTTTAAGAATGACATTGGGGTGACCCGATGAATCCGTCGCCAAGCAAATTGTTGAAGATGATATCAAGGAACACCCTCAACGTTTATTATAACGAAATCTCTATAGATCAGCAGTATGTTACAGAAAGGGGTGGCGCTGGCGCGCCAAGGTCAGTTTTCGGTATAAATAATGGTCAGCTTGTGTGTCCTTCGACGTGGATTGCTTTGTATGAATCGACCGAGAAATCGTCTAGGGCTCAAGAGTTGCAGAATCCAACCCAATCAGCTTTTAACATACTGGTAAGATCACGACTGTTGTAACAGTTCGCTGTGGTAATCCAGAGGTTCTTTGCAACCTCCTCGCTTATTGTCCAGCAATGCGAGAAAGGGCCAAATTAAGCGAGATGCACAACAACCTCACTCACGGTTCATGGGATCTTGGCAAACTGCAAGTCGTACCATAGCTTGGGGGCAACCATAGCTCTGGATTTTCGGGTGTTTTTACCGGTACCTCTCGATACATCTTCCATATGCATATATCGTAGTGTCCGGCAGCCTGCGGTCGGAGATCCAAGATTGGGATGTCGGACTTCCGATGGTTGGTGCGCGATGATGGAGACAGCGGACACTTGAGAGAGATCAAACTCAAGAAAGATAGTATAGATCAAAATCTATTGGAAGGCTTTTGATATTATCCAGTAACAAATGTCCCAGTTCTCGACACTCTCGGGCTGCTGTTTATGAGTTAAGCATAGCCGAGGGCGCATTCACTGAATCCTAGACACTCCGTCCCAAAATATTTGAATTCGCGGATCTGTAATCGGCATACTACTAGACCCCTGCTTCGAATTCCATCATGGCTTTTTCTTTCGTCATCAAGACTTTTAATCTTTTATTCAAATCATCTAATACCCAACTTCTGTTTTCTCAAATGCGCGTAAGCATCCTTTCTTTGAAATGATATCTTCTCAATCGTTCTATAATGACTCTCTGCTTGAGTTCAAATCCCAACGACTTGAGCTACTAAGTACGCACACTACATGGCAATATAGGGGACAATGAGCTCGCACGGATTGATACAAATATCCTGTCCAAAGCTCAATTGGTTGTTGTGCTGTTGGGACTCGCATTCGCCCTTCTAGTTGCATTCGTGGACCAGAATTCCATGGGAATAGCACTACTATGTACTAGATCAGATCTAAGCTCGTCGAATGCTATCTCGTGGGCTGGAATCTCAAGTCTGATGGCGAATACAGTCTTCCAAGTTCTCTATGGCAGGCTGTAAGACATTTTTGGGCCGAAAGTGGTATTTCTGTCGGCTGTCGGATACCCTGCTCTGGGAGACTTGCTCTGTTCCTTTACGAAAACTGGAAATCAGCTATATGCTTTTAGAGGCATCGCTGGTGTTTGGACTGGAAGTGTAAGTGCCCCAACCAATTCTTCGCTTGTTTTTCTACCCTTGCGGCGTGATCCTACTTACACCTTTCAGAAACCGTGCTATGTGCGATCGTTCTCCAGAATCTTTTGCTTGGCATTGTCTATTATTCACAATTGTGTGTCTTCCGGTATACTACCAGAACGTTCGAGGCTACTCCCCGATCCTGTCCGCGGCTCTCACCATACATTTTGTAACTGGCTTTTCAATGTTCTCAATTAGCTTAGGGCTACGTATCTCAGACTAAATGTTACAGCGAAATCACTGAGATAGAACACGCATTATGAACTTTCGGAAGTGGTTCATTGCTTCTCTTTGGCAGATCGACCCCTCGTTGGCAGATGGCTATATTCCTCATTATCGAAGGGGCTGGGGTTGGTTATATATCCAGCCCAATCTCGTGGCACTGCAAGTACACTCTGCAAAACGAGATCGAGCTGCCGTTATCAGCACTTGTAACTTCTTTTGAGCGATGGGCGGCTCATTTGGACTTGCCGTCTATTCAGTTGTCTTTTCATACGCATTGAAGAAGTCGCTCATTTCAGCCAATCCGCCACTTGCTTACGGTTTGAGATCGGGAACCTTAGCGACAAATCTCAGTGTCCCGAATGCTAAAAATCTTGCAACTTCTGGGGGGGAAAAAGTGGCTTTAAACTCATATATTTATGCTTCAAGGGCACCTGTTCATCCTGTGTCTGCCAATCATGGAAGTATGTCTGGTTTTAGTGCCTCCTGATCATGGACAATGGGCTCACTCGACCAGAACAGATGGTGAGATCTCCCAACGCAAGCGAAGCCCATTTTTGAGTAGTAGGAGAAAGTAATATTGACATGCAAGTACAAGTCCACCCTAAGAGAGGGTGAAGAACTCCTGGGCCAATGTCTCAATCCAGCCCTCCAAAACCAGCTTCGACAGGCGACCGGAACTTTGTAAATATGAGACTACGAAAGTCAGATCACTGATAGCCAGTACAAGCCGAAAGAATATAATACGAGTAGCGAGCGAGGGGTGACAGCAAATGCGACGTCGGAGAACTTCTGGGCTATCTGAGTCGAAGTGTTGTTGCCTTCAGTATTACTGTTGAGCTGCTCTCCTAGCGTGTTGTCATAGACTTATCTAGATTTGGTTCCGTCATTCAAAATTTTGTCCCGTATTGTGTCCTAATATGCCTGAAGCTCAACTGTAGCTGTAAATGAATCTGATATAGCTCATCTAGAAGGTTGCCCGAGTTTTAGCGAGATTTTAAAGGGGCCGGCGATTCCAAAATTGGAATGCCATTGATGGTAGCCACACGCGGTCGCAGCCTTCCTTCGAAGGTGATACCCAAAGTGAGGGACTATTTATTCTCTGTCTCGCTATTGTCCTTCCAAAGAGGCCCTTGCTAGAACGTGAGTCGGACTTAGAGTTCACGAGATGTCAAATGTGAAAAATAAAGGCAGTTATCGTGGTTAAGGCTCTTGACCGGAGATTCATCCAAAACATATTTCTCCGTTGCCATTATATTTTTACCTATCTTGGTCTCATAATCCACTTCAGGCAATCGATACATCCACCTCTTTACTTCTCGAGACTGGTAGCTGACCGAGTCTTTACTTCCCTGATCAGATTCTTCTCCTCCGCTCAAGCATTGGATACCATAAATACATGCAATATTCTGTAGTGTTCCTGCCATCATACAATGTATTCTTAATTGGATCGTCACTCATTCCTTGGTATCCTTCTCCCACAGCTTCTTCACTGCTCCCAGGACGGAAAACCCGCCGAATAGCCAGTCGTCGCCATGCCTTCCACAAGTGGTATAGCCGTTGATTTTCGAAGAATCGTGTGAATATCTCCTTGGTGGCTGAACCTTCTCCCTCGAGCGTCTTGTTGGTGAGGTGTGATTGTCAGTATCGAACTGTAGAGTCTTCTCACTAACTCCCACAGAACTTTGTGTGTCTACAGTTGATTGTGAAGCTCTGGTGCTGGTAGGAGTAATGTAAGAAGCCGTGGGAGATGTTTCTGTTTCGCTGAACGTTGGTTGTGAAGACTGGGACAGTGACATTGCTGGATGCCTTGATGATTGGATAGAACTGTATCGTTCCATCATTCTGGAAGTCGAAATGTCTTGCTGATATCCTCGTTCCACTGCGGTGGCGGAATCTTGAATCGTTCTTGATAGGTGAAACCCTAACTTTATGTTGTTATGTCTAGGTTGGTGATCACCAGAAGATCGAAACTTGAGGTGTGGGGTGAATCTGAGAGTAACTGTATGATTGTTAGACGGTACTTCAATAAGCAATGCTATTTGAAACTAACTAGAATCCTGCAGAATGCTTTCAGAGGTGGTGTTATATTTGTTATGATAGAAAGACAGTCACGGGAGGAGATGATGTTTATGGTGTTGTGGAGGGGGCCTCGTGGGGATGTTGGTGGATGCCTTGTAGCTGCCGAGGGGCATAGCACGTTCAGCATAGGGCTGACAAGACTGGAGTGATGCTGACTTGATCCGATTTGCCGTGATTGTGCGTTACATTGCACACATGTTGTCCAATGAGCACACGGCTTTCCCTTGAGTACTGCACGGAATCTCGTCTGAACGGATCGCGGCATCGTCATAGTCAACCCAAGATACCGGCTCCCAGCTCTCTACTTGGCCACCAGTCTCTGCCATCTCTACATCTCAAGGGAATTTCAAGTGGCGCGTGCTCCTAGTCGGATGCGAAGAACTCCATCTTGTTTCAATAAAGAATTATGTTGCAGTCAACTCCGATTAAAACAAAGAAAATGAAAGCTGGATCTCAACTTGAGACTGATATCCCAGTCGAGCGCATGTCTTGGTCCCGGGCATTGGTGCCGTCCCGAACCGATTTCATTGGATCAACATCCGTCTCACAGACCCCGACAAAGTCTTGGTATCCACAAGCACTCGTTCATAGTCATCTGCAGCGAACCCAGTATAGGCATTCAGCGTTGATGGATCACGGGGTCTCTGATTGATGCCATATTTCTCATCAGACCCGGGAGAAAAGGCATTCCGGCACGAACAGGTATTGATATTTGCCGTAATCCTCGTCACCAAGGAAGCTTGGCAGATGGTATCTTTCAGCATAGTACACGTACCATACGGATTCTATAACCATCCCTTGCATATCTTAACGTACAGCATCTTTGCCATTTACATTACGATCGTGTGCAGAACCACGCAAGCAACCAGAAGTCCAATGAAGTTGCCCTTAGGTTGAACCAGCTTAGAAGCTTTAGCATAAGGAGGCACGTATGCCAATTCAAGGCCTAGCATGGAGGCAAGGAAAGTGCTGACAACGATGGTCATAGATGTATGGCCTCGAAAAAATGTAGCTTACCGATCCGATTCAACGAGACAAGCAGCATCTGATTCAGAAGCCCCTACATAGACCAATGACAGTGAATCTTCTCCACGTCCAGAACACCATTAGATGGCCCAAGATCGTAGTGGTTTGCGTTCAAGAGTAATCTGGCTGTATCAATAGTGCTTGTGATTGGTCCAATGAACAGAAATCCATTTCATCAAGTCAAAGCTGATAATCAGTAGGGACTGGCAAGGTACTCGGAGCCTATGTAATTGAAGGCGATTATGATTTTCGACCGCAAGTCGTGCATGCGGTTCTGGAATACCATCTGGTCGGGTGAAATGGGATCGAATGGGAATATATCACTTGCAATTGTTTCGGAAACGATTACCAAAGTTTGCTACGAGAATCATATTTAGATACTACTGATTAGATCCGGGTCCGAACCAAAATGGAATGGCTTGACTTACATATTTCCAGGAGTACTCGTCTCAATCGTTGCAGCATCGAAAATTTGGACAGTTCATTCTCGGTGGGGATGAAATTAGGACTATGGTTCGCAACGCTTAACACGTTATGCACCGAGATTCCAGCATTTACAGCATAGAGAGTTGTCGAATCTGTGATGCCATCCCCAATGATGCCAACAATTTCTCCCTCAACCTGTAGCGCCTCAAAATCCTGCCCTTTTGCCTAGGTATAAGCTTTGCATATACTTTGCAATGCTGGACTACTTTGGTCTGCTCATCCTGATCCCTTTCCTGGCCAGATTTGGACCTGATATGGTTAGAGGTAGCTCTTTGTCAATAATTATGATTTGAGAATGAATGTCGGCAGATGCCCTCAGTATCGAAAATTATCGTCATAGCTGAGCATTTATAATACAATTAAGACGAGAGAATTTTTCTGGGTTGGCATCTGGACTGCTGTGACGCATTGCTAGCACGTGGGAATGTAGTCCCTTACTGTACCCAGCTAGTCCCATTCATCCATGGGCTGATAGACCACAGTCAAAGGTCTTGGTACGGAAGTCATTCTCGCAACGGAGACATTACTCGAGATAATGTTACAAGTAGTCTTGAAAGTAGAAATCTAATTTCGGCAAAGACGAGAAGAGACTTCTATACATAGCGTCGGCATCCAAGCGAATATGAGTTGTCATGACAGCCCTCCGGATTAGAAGGTAGTCACAACAAGGCCGGATTTCGAAGCTCAAGTATGATCTGGAAACTCTCGATATAGTAGCAAAGCAGTGTTCACAGCAAATAAGGCTCAGGACTATTGATGACTTCATGAGAGGCTCAACAAACAAGGTGTGAAGAACAGCGCAGAATCGGCTAGAGGGAGAAATCAACCTTCGGAAAAGGTATAGTCAAAAACAGATTCTCGAAGTACAGGGTTTTGCAGTCTGTAGCAGACTGGTCAAGGTAGGCAGTTGCGACTCGCGACTGAATAGTATCCCAAGACAAAGCTAGCATAGTACGGATGCAAGAAAAGGAAGGTCATGTAACACATCATGAATATTGTCTTCGGCAACGGTAACGTAGAGATAACAACTGAAGCGTTTCGGAAGAAATGAATTGGTCATCCGGTGCATTTGCAGGATTTCTGGTAGCGTAGGTACCTACCTACCTCCATACCTAGGTACTTCGTAGGTAGAAAGAGGTATGTGGTCACGTGCTTACAAGGATCCCAGAACGGGGCTAGAGAGCTTCAAAATTATTAACACCCCTTCGGAACATCTCGCAACATTGGGCCACTGAAAGGCGCTCACAGGACCTCCGCAAACTTCGACAGTGATGAGCGTCTCACGTCCAGCAAGATGCGTTTTTTCCGTCCATACGATGCCGACCTTTCGGCCACGCATACGATGTCGAAATTTCCATACCTCTCTTAAGCTCAGCGAGCGTCAAAGACCCAAGCGATTGCTGAAAAGTTCAGACATTAGCCGCAGGACAGCAGATGATGTTTTCAAGCAGTATTCGCAGGAGGAGAAAGTACTTCTGGCGAAGAAGTACACGCCCGAGCAGATCCAGGCAATTGAAGCTGGAGAGAAGGCAATCAGTGCAGAAGACCTGGACAAGCGCGGTGTAATTCGTACAGACTTGGGTGCTCTCCCATATCTGGATGATCTCAGTCAGACAAGACCTGTGCTGGACAGAAAAGCCAAGTGGAAGGGTCCTGTTGATCCCAATGCGAGACCTATGACATACGAAGAGATGGAGAGGAACTGGAATGAGGTGGAGGAACAGTACAAGAGGGAAAGAGATCTAGAGTGGGCCCGCAATCCACCGAAGGAGGAAGAGAATCCGCATGCAGCCCTGATGAAGGAAGTCGGCGCAAAAGACGAAGACAAAATCCCAGCTCGGGAAAGACTTTCCCGTCTTGATATCATGAAGATTGAGGACCGGCTGTCTTCGTTCACAGGTGCTGATGGACGACCGATACCACGAGAGCAAGAAATTGATTACACAGCTCCTGGTCTGCCAAAGAAGTTCATGGATGAGGACACCAACAAGCCAAGTTCAATGAAGTCTGAGGCAGAATTGGAAAACGAAGCAGACCCTCGAGATCCCGATGGACTCTACAACCGATTGATCAAGCAGAGCGGCTTGACCTTGGATCAGATCTTAGAGTACAAAGTCAAGATTCTAGTTAGGCATCGCGTCGTCAATCAGACTCGTCTGGGTAAGATTGCGAGTGTCTACTGCTTGGCTATTGCAGGGAATGGGGAAGGCAGACTGGGTATTGGCGAGGCGAAGGGACAGGAAACGGAGGAGACGCAGCAGAATGCTAGAATTGCTGCTATTCGAAGCATGCAGCCCATTCCTCGATACGAAGAACGGACTATCTTTGGAGAGGTGGATGGAAAGGTATCTGCTGCAGAGGTTACGCTTATGGCAAGGCCACCAGGTATGCGCTCTTTCTCTCGAGTGAGTGAGTGCATATGCTAATAGACCCTAGGCTTTGGACTCCGATGCCAGCATCTTATCTTTGAAATGGCACGCGCAGCTGGAATTCACGACCTCGCCGCCAAAGTCCCCCGATCCCGCAACAAGATGAACACCGTGAAGGCCACATACCAAGCCCTACTCAAACAACGAATACCAGACGAGGTTGCGCGTGGGCGAGGAAAGAAGCTGGTCGATGTGCGAAAGGTGTATTATGGTGGACGTGTATAATCTTGTATGTACAATTTAGACACTTCAGTGTAGGATTATGGGAGCATAGACGGCGCATAGCGAAAACATGCATGCATGTGTGGCATGACATGGTACAGGCATAGCGCAGTATTTATTGTATTGCTTACAATCCGCCCTTCTTGTTCTCTGTACGGCCACCTCTGTTGTGGGTATCTTCGCATGTATCTCGCAAACCAAATGTCCTGAACGCCCTGATATCTTCCCATGCAAATCCATAGCTCGTCTTTTCTTTTCACAACTTCGTAAATTTCACGCAACTCATTCATTCCTCCTGCCCGCCCTGGTCCCCAGAATATATCTCCTGCTGCAATACAATACTGTAGACACTCGCCTTCAGTAGCGTGAATACCAAACTTGTCTTTCTTTCCAATTGCCTCAGTCCATCCAGTATCTCTGCTGTCGGTCTGCCCGCCATTGAATCGAGGAGACTTGCTAACTAGAAGCTACTTTGAGTCGATGTTCGATTGCCGGGAAAGAGGGGGAAAGCTAAAGCAAAGAGAATAAGAACCTACCTTCTTCATGTTCTCAGCCAATCGCTCGTATTCGTCCAAGACGTCTTGCTCGAGGGGTGTGAGGTCTTCCGCGGTTGCGGGTAGCGTGGTCGTTGACTCGGAATCCATTATCCTTCTCTGGTTCGGAGGCGCGGGTTTTGGTTCAAAATTTAGGATGTTGTGTGACTGATAAGGCAGCAGACAAGGTTGCGCAGAAGATATCTCGTCGTTGCTCGACACTGTGCTTAATTTGAAGCTCTCAAGCGCGTTGAGGCTCGCGTTGAATTTAGCTGCAGGTGTTGCCCCTCATTCACGTGACTGCGTGAACAATTGCACAGCAAGGTCAACCAGAAAAGGGTTGACTGCTGTATTTCCAAAAGTTTCATTATTGCAAACTATTTAAGGCGGGTCCATGCTATCCATCGAATAATGTAGCTAGGATCCAAGATCCAAGATCTGATTAAAACTACTTTACAACCAATCCAAAGCGCACAACGAAACCAGCTGCAGAGAACTCCCCCAGATAAGCCTCCCTAATTGAGCAGTTGTAAATCTTCCATAATACTCTGATCCTCGATCATGCTTCGCATGACCTCGTCCTCCGTGAGATTCGCCCAGTAACCGACTTCAGCGGCTTGCTTCTTGCCTGCGTAAATCTCTTGCGCAACACCCTTGACTTGCCCGAAAGCTTTGCCAGCCGCGGGCCAGACTTGCCAAAGCGTTTTCAGCGCGCCTGTGTTGAGACGAAGTTGTTGCTTGAGGTCGTCATCATGCATTAATGGCATGAGGACAGACCAGCAGGACAGATGGACGATGGATGCGAGTGTCACAACGCAGGTGAAGAAATGGGTGTGCTTGACGAGTGGCACCGGTAGTTGGATCAACTTGGAAATGTCTTGTGCGGCTTGAATGGTCTTTGCGGCGTGGACATTGTGGGTTGGGCCTGGCATGACTGCCTTGTGAGGAGCGCAAGAGGTGACATTCCTGGCGACACTTGAGTCGAGCTCCGAAGCTTCTCTGTGGAGGAGGATTGTCGTTCTGACGCGGTTAGTGAGGAGTTGGAATGCATATCAAAGCCGCTTACGCTTCAGTTATCATATGAGCTTGGAACAGCATCTCATCCAGATACCCGTCCGCATTGATGAATGTTTTCTTGTCATCTGGCAAGTGTAGTCTCCAATTGACGAGGTATGCATCTACTCTATCCATAGTTGGCTCATCACTCGGCAATATTTGGCGAGACTGGAGGACTCTCCCAAGATTCCGAATGGCTGCAATTCGGTAAGTATATGACGAGTAAGTGAAATCTCTACCATCAAATGATTCGTCGTCAAAATCTTGAATCGAATGTGGATGTGGAATATGCTACAGCTATTAGCTTGACCACCCAAGCTGAGCTAATGATGGTCACACTTACACCAGTTATATACTCCCTTTCTTCACAGGGTAGAAGAACGTCAGCAAGTATGTCTTTCATTCGAAAATTACTCTTCTGGTGGACACCTGCAATCATGCCATCAGTGATGTATAATTCCCACCATGTTCGTCGCCAGCTCTCTTGTAGGACTTCAGAGCCAACTCCGTTCATGAATGCAAACTCGCGATTATGCATTCCCAATTCGAGAGCCAGATCCTGGGCATCCAGAAGGATTTGAAGAGCTTTCTCTTGATAAGTGTATCCATCCAGACCAATTGCAAGAATAAGCATTGCCTGCACCCTGAAGCCATCTTTGGGGCAATCTGCTTGGTAGACAGACCGCTCAGCTTCCAAGCCCAGGGCCACAGTTGGGGCCTGTGGGACATAGAAAGAGCCTACATATCGCATCGCCGCTTCAAGATAGTCGATGGGCCTCTCTTTCCTCAGGGCAAAGTGATTGTTTCGGGGAAGATTGAAAGGATGGGCCGGGTAAAAGTGGTAATAGAAAGCTTCAATACATCGTTCTCGCAGGTCCAATCCCGAGGGCAGGGCTTTCGGGTCAAAAGCTACCACATCCTGTCCAATATCAAACAGCGGAAGATCGACGGGGCGTGGGAGGGTCATTAATCGGTGATCCGGGGGCGTGGCTAAACCACTGGGAACATTGGGAGTACCCCTCACACCGTTAGGGTGCACAAGGGGGCAGCTCATATCAACAGGAGCACCCGAGATAGAGGAGGCTTTGTTCTGAATTCCATTGCGTCGAGGGCCTTTAAAGCCGCGGCGGCTCCTCACGTACTCACACTCGAAGCCGTTGGAAGAGCATCGAGAGCAAGGTTGAAGCCCGTCGCACTTAAGGTGCTTCGAGCGACACTGGACGCAGGCGGATGGGACAGTTGCCCTTTCTTTGTCTTTTGCTTGTTGAGCCTGCGACTGGGACTGAGACTGGGACTGGGGCTGTGCCTGATTTGGGCGAGACCCTGAGGAGGTAGAGGTCGAAGCTATGGACGATTGACGGATCCCTTCACTGCCTGGGTTGTCAGGCACAAATGCATCATCCGAGCTGGGAGACACTCCTGGCCCGGCGAGCTGAGCTGGGGATGTCTCAATGGGGACTGGCTGAGCGTGCGTGAGTGGGATATTGACGATTGCTGGCTGTGGATCCATGGCTCTGGCTCTGGCTCTGGCTATGTTCGCCGACCAAGACATGGACGTGAAGCCGCTCAGATTATGCGAGATGTGTTTTGGGGGGGCCAGGAGTTGCGGCGGTGATTCCACCCATGCTAAATACATCGAATGAGTGTGCTTCTGGGGCGAGGCGACCTGCAGGCTGGCCACCCCACAAGCGAGGTCCCCGAATAGAAAGCCCGGCCAGGGTGGAGAAGGGGGAGAGGGAGGGGCAAGAAGCAATAAGACAGAGAAAGAGAGAGAGAAAAAGAGGTCTTTCGCGACTTTCAGCCTTGTTCTTCAGACTGTGATAAGGTATAATCACAATGGGGCTTTCAAGAGTTCGTAATGCTCCATGCTGCGGCGGTTGAAGCAAGACATCTCTGGCGAGTTTTGCTTTATCATATAATTCCACGATGGCAGTCGATAGCACAAGCACTTCCGTTGGTATCGGGAAGGCAGTGCTCTCGTGGTACAATAAAAGTCTAGCTGGGTTACATGAAGTAAGGTCGAGATGGCCTCACCCCACATGATGCCCTTGTTTCCGATACTTTTCGGAGGAAGATCTACCAGGAAAAGGCTGCACAGCTACAATGCTAAGCGCTGTCTCATTTCGGCGAGGCCGTCTCGAATAATGATGGTACGAAATGTGGAGAGAAGTCCCAGTTCCAAGTTTTCTCTTTGAGTTATCGTGTTCCCATTTCCAGGTAAAACCTCCGGTGGGGTGTTTTATGAGGGCTAGCACCTCAGGCAGTCGCAAAGACCTTTTACTGTAGTGAGAAAATCGCGCTAATATTCTACAACTGTATTACTTCCTCACATCGCTATACTTAACGACAGCATCTCCTTCTAGCTAGAACAAGTCGCCTGACTTTTTAAAGAGGACTAATAACGATCTTCAATGAAAACAAAGTCAATAATAAAACTGAAGAAATAACGGTTGAAGTTGGTGACTTTTTGCTGTATTCTCGCTTATTCAGTCGCCTGGCCCTCATCAAAAACCCCACCGAGTATCACCAAGAATTTCTGTCGCTTCGAGTCTTGCTGCACATGCCAGTAGTCAGGCTTTTTCCGACATCATGTAACGATGTTCTCTTGTAGCATTCCGGATGGGAGCTGTAACGTAACGGGTTTGTGTGGCGGCGTGTTTTGCTTGGTTTGATTTGGTTCTGTCGAGCAAGAAGATGATGCAAATCGATCACGGTACAAGTTCTTTTGACCTATGCAATAAGTTGAACTGATATTCAGGGGTATGGAGGATCAGCAGTGGTGTGTGGGGGGAAAGCTGTGCTCCAGTACAGTACCTGAATAATAACGAAGTAATGGAGTTATCAGTCTCGATTGGTCGAGTCTTGCTTCAGTTGAACCCGGAAAAACGTAAGCGTTTAACATCTCACACTGCTGATGAATTTTGCTGTATAACCTTCACGGACGACTGTTCACGAAGATTCTCCTGACTCAAAGCGAAACGAGGAAGTCACATATCACCATCCATAGGTAAGGTAAATTTACCCCAGATACCTCAGTCCCTGCACTTGACCATGACGGAACAAGCTCGGCAAAGTAACCTGAAGGCAGGAAGGCAAGCTCAAGCCACAGCCGAAGCGGGGCGGGCGGGTATGAAGCGGGACGAGGCGCAAGGCTTAGCAACTACAAGATGGAATCGCTTCACTTCTGGTCTATTGTATCTCGCCTGTGGCAAGGACCAAAATTCGCCAATTCGGTACATCTCCTCAACTACTCCTTACTCCCCACAGCGCAAGGCGACACCTCTGCCTATGCCGAGTACCAGCCTCGTCTTGTCACGGGCTCCCTTCGTCTTCTCCTGACCTAGCTTTGCTCATTCGTCAAAGACATATTGTGGCTGTGCAAAAAAGGGGCAGGTCTGTTTGAGCAGGCTACTCTGCAATTCATACACAGTTCCATGTGGCTTCCTGGTAGTGATTTTAGCATTTCCTTCTCCCGTGCGATGTCCATTCGATGCTTGATTACATTCTAAGACACCCTCTCAAAAGTTCGCTTTGTAATTTCCATCAACCTCCTCGTCTAAACTGTCTTGCAGACTGTTGCATGTATCTCTCTTATCATGGATCCTATAAGCGCCGTTGGTATTGCACTGAGTGTTGCGGGCCTTGCTGGACAAGTCTTCAAGGGATGTATCCAGGGTAAGGACATTTTCCACCATCTCGTTCAGATCCATCTAACGGCCTAGGCATTCAATTCATCATCACAGCCAAAGGTCTCCCAGAAGACTGCAAGTATTTGAATCTCAGACTGCGTATGGAACAGCAGCGTCTATTCGCATGGAGCGAAACATCCGGATTACTAGATCTTCAAAATCTTGATGACACCAAAGTCCGGGAATCAAACACCTTCGTCATTCATCGAACCACAATACTGGATCTTTTAGTTCAAATTCAATGTCTATTCAAAGAGTTTGAGAAGGCTCAAAGAAAGAACGAAAGACTTATTACGGTCTCGCAATCGACAGATTCAGATGAGGAGTTGTCAAATGATCCGGCCAAAGATTCTTCGAATGCCCACGTCCCACTTCCGGAAGGTAGAAGGAAGTTTATCATGAAGGCCATGAAGACTTTCACTACTGGGACGAAAGATGGTCTAGGCGAAGGACGAAGGAGACTCAAATGGGCAGCATTTGACAAAGAATCTTTTGAGGAGCTACTGCAACGCTTCTCAACTCTTAATGACAATATGACGGACATCCTCGATGCTCGGCTACAGACTGAAATCCACCGGACGACACAAGACACTAACAGAGGCGTTCTTCAACTACACAAGGATCTGGCTAGTTTACACCGTCTGGTTCAAGCACTCGATATCAAGATGCAATCTCGGACCTACCCTGTCCCAGCGATCGCTCACTACGCACCCGCCAACGACGCCGCTGGTCTCCGTCTCCTCACCCAGCTCGCCAAATTCAAGGCCTTCAACGAATCCCTCGACACCGAAGGACCTGCACCTTGGAACGAAGCAACAGCAATGGTTCTCCAACTAGGCCAGCCGGAAAACGAAAAAGCAAACACCAAGATCGAGCGATCAAGCATCACTCTCGATCCTCAATCGGTTGGCGAAGACACTACTGCCATCCGGTGTGAAGCAACATATCTTCGGAATGGACACAGCCAAAGAGTCTGGATCGAGTGGAAAGAGTACGATTACCAGAAACCAGGCTCGCCCTTCCCGCCACCTTTAATAATCGACCGCGTCTCCAAACTCGCTTCCCTCCTCCATCACACGCCCAAGCCAGAAGCTTTCCGAGTCCCACACTGTCTCGGCTATTTTGACAATGCGAGGCGACCAAGCGATGGAGGCGCTGATAGCGAAGAAGACGACGGCGTAGACACACGCATCGGTTTCGTCTTCGAGAAACCGCACGATGAAGGCATATACCCAGATACAGCGCCCATCTCGCTTTTCGAGCTATTATTATCATCGCCCAAGCCCCGCGTCACAGAACGTATTAAAGTAGCTTACGCAATAGCCAACTGTCTGTTATATCTGCACAGCGTGAATTGGTTACATAAAGGTCTTCGCTCCCACAACATCGTGTTTTTTCCACACAACAAAGTGGTCGAGGGGAAACGAGAGTTGTCTATAGACTACGGTAAGCCCTACCTCTCCGGCTTCGACTTCGCGCGTCCAGCACGCGCTGACGAGATGACTGAGATTCCTGGGGATAACGGCGCTTACAATATGTATCGCCATCCGCATACACAAGGCCAAGGATTTGGACCTAGGGAAAGCTTCAGAAAAAGTTTCGACATTTATAGTCTTGGCGTGGTGCTTGTTGAGCTCGCGCATTGGCGGACGGTGGACAAGATTTTGGGCGTGGAGAAGGGTGGATTGAGGGTTATGGGGAGAGTGAGGGGAATGCTACTTGAGGAGGAGAGGATGGATGATATTGGGGGAGCTATGGGGGAGATGTATGAAGGCGCGGTGAAAGTTTGTGTGAAGGGGGGTGAGGATTTGGGATTGGGTCAGGGGGTGGATGAGTTGAGTGATTTGGGGGCGGGGAGAGTGAGTTTGAGATTTTATGAGGATGTTGTAAAGAGGCTTGGGGATGTGAGGGTTTGAAAGCGAGACTTGATCTTGAAATGATGAACGCGTGAATAGGAAAGTAATGAGATTGATGAGTAATGTATCCTACTTTAGAAGTGGAGCAGTTTTGCATACCGACCTGATATGTGTAATACGCTCAGTAAGGAGAAAATGGACTATTCCTTGGCTAAGGACTTGCTTGCCGCACCGGTTTCAGTTTCTGCAATTGTTTTTGAAATATGAAGTTCTGACAGTGACATGTTCGGGCGTAATTTCAGATATTGACACTTCTCTGCCGGAGAGTTTAGTTGCATGTGGCTTATTTCCCAGAGTTCTACAAGTTATTTTGGGGGAACAATGAGATTTTACAATTGGGACTGATCAGCTAAGTACATAGTTATATCACCTTCGTAAGTTTCTCTCACTTACTGCACTTGTCCCAAGGACTATGACACCCTGAGGTAATTGAGATAGTTGATATTGGCACTGCTCGGGATTTCATGGCTGAAGAGCCCAATCATTGCAAGACTTAGAATAAAATTACTCGCGATAATTCATATGGATATATGAATCCATCTGTGCTGCTTTGAGTATCTTGCTCAACATTCTTCCTTCATATAGATCACTTTGCCTTGCTTTCCTGAGTCAACGTTCAAGATTTGCCCAGTGATATTGCCACTCCAGTTCTCGCTTGCTAGAAACAGGATGCTCTTTGCTACACTGTCTGGAGGGACTGGCTTTTTCAATGCCGTTCTGTAGAGCATTAGTATGATTGAACGCGCCTGAAACAGTGATACGCACGTTGCCTGCGCATCAACCCAAAGCTGGTTCGGATTCTCCGCACACTCTTTCCTGAACTGTGGGGTATCAACAGGGCCAGGAGCAACAGCATTAACTCTTTGAACATCAGCCATGTGCAAGCAAGCGGTTTTTGACTTCTTTGGCATACCTAGCCCCCGGCCAAACTCTATTCACGTCTCCCATCAAGCTCTTGACCAGACCACCTTGCACAGCGCTCTTTCCTGCTGCATAATCCGCATTTCCCCGCTCCCCGAACGTCCCACTCTCACTCCCAACGATCACCAACCCAACATTCTTCAAGCCCCTCTCTACATCGACCTTCGCATGTTCTCTCAACTGCCTCAGCCACGTCCTTGCAGTCAAGAACGTCCCTTCAACATTGATCATGTGTGTACGCCGCCATTGCTCGACTTCCATATCTGCGAGCGACTCATGATGGGGCAGGACTGAGAAATCGAGTGATGCGAGTGCGATGCAGCAGGCTACTGGGCCGAACGTCTCGGACGCGACGGAGAAGGATGTGGTGAGCGCTGCTTCGGAAGAGATGTCGCAGGGGAGAAATCGGTACTTGGGTTGAGTGTCGCAATGCGAGGGCTGCATAGGACGAAGGTCGAGGTTTGTTACTTTTGCACCTGCTGAAAGGAGTGCTGTCACGGTTGAGGCACCAATAAATCCTGAGCCTCCGGTAATTACGACGTGCGTGTCTTCGAGGTTGAGGGAGAGATCCATTGTGCTGTTTTGTTGGTAGTAGGTTGGGAAGGGGTAGAAAGCAAAGGATGAGACTTGGAGCAAGGAAAAGGCGAGTTTGGATGAGGTGACGGAAATGCAGTCAATAATTCCTCGTTTTTTCTTCTTCTTCTTCTTCTTCTGAACTTGAACCCGACATCTTGATCCCGGGATAATTTAGTTCATAAAGTGGTTGGGATGCAATGGAATCAATTGGGATGTTGTCATGTTGATGTCAAAAATACCCTGCGAGGATGGGCCATCATTCGTGAGCATGGAAGCATCGTCTGACACTGTACTCGGTACAGTAACGATAACGATAACGATAACGATAACGATAACGATACAGTTACGATATCCCGCGGTTTTGCCGGGGCACGAACCTTTGCTGGCCCGGTCGCTTCCAACGTCGCCGACCCTTCGTTCTCCAAGACATCAACCGGGTCGTTGGAATTGACCTGTGTCACATAGATCCTTCTGATCTGCAGTCTCGATCGATCGATCGATATCGGATGCTTCTCTTTTCCATTTGAGGGCAGAGATGTGTTCCTTCCCATGCATGCGCGTGGCTTGCGATCCGATGCAGTCAGTGCAAACTGGCCAGATGATATACATTGGCAGGGCAGAGCAGAGCAGAGCAGAGCTACTGGCCTGATATTCTCGTCTTCGTTGCTGCTGAGAGTAGCTGCACAGTGGAGTCTTGCCCTCGTCAAGTTGGCCTGGATTACCTGTCAATAATTCCAGACGCAACGCAACGCAACTGCGGCGCGATGCTGCACAAACTTCGTGTGGCCGCAGCATGTCGCGTCGCCTCGATTGTCGAGGGCTTGTGTCCAGACAGGCTCAAAGGGACCTGACCTATGATCAACTCAACTCAGCGTTCTACAGCTCACCAAATGAACGACACTGGCAAGATTGACTTCCAATGACCAATTGGGGCGTCGGTTTCGGGGTCCCCAATTTGATTTAACGTGGGAAGCAGCACAGCAGCGGTGCATGTCGGCGACCTCAATTTTCTCGCTTACTCTACTCGTGCTCCTTTGCACGTTCTCGTTGTTGCTTTCCCTTGCTTGACTGGGTTGGGGACCGGAAGTCGGGGTTTCGTCCGCAGAACCCCATCCCATCCCATCCCATCCCATCCCTTTCCCTTCTCCTTCCACTGCCTTGCTTTGCTTTGCTTTGCCTTGCCTTGCCTTGCCTTGCCTTGCCTTGCCTTGCCTTGCCTTGCCTTGCTCTGTTCTCCCCTGCCCTTCATTGTCGGAGACGGGGACCAAGGTGGTCAATTCGTGGTAAGCGGGCTTCTGATGTTCGCCCTCCATGTCCGGGTCCGGGGACCATGTGTGGTGTGATGTGGGTGGTCCTCGGCATGCAACGGTTTCAGGCTCTCAGCCTCAACCCGCTTACCTTACTGCCCTCTACCCACCTCACCTCACCTCACCTCGAGCTTCCATTTCCAATGGAATTCCCAATCTCCATTGTTATCAATTTCATCTCCACTATTCTGTCTGAGCACTGGAAATCTTTAAGAAGGCACAATGGACCGCAAGCTTTCAACGTTCCTTCCCTTCCACAAATACTCGATTTCACACTGTCATACCTACGGTTACTCCTCGTCCTCGTCACTCCGTAACCCGGCTCTCGTCCTTGCTTACTCTATCCTTTCCTACCCTATCCTGCCTACACTTCAAGCACTTCCCCCGTCGATTGTCCTCTTCGCCGTTCTCATCCTCTTCCCTTCGCCGTTCTCGTTGATCCCCTCGTAGGTTTCACAATCCCAGCTTTTGCAAGTCGACACCGCAGATACAGGCAAACGCGATGCAGCAGTATCGAGCCGAAACACGGAAGGCTCCCGTCGGCCCAGCACTTGAGATGCAGAGCCTCTATCACGGTGGCGCCTTACATGATCAGTACAATGTTGATATCGAGCAGAAAGCCGGCGATGATACTCATTTACTGAACACCGCTGTCCGAAACTTTATCTGGCAAGATGTTACTGTCACGGTGAAGGACAACAAGACTGGGGAGCCAAAGGCGATCTTGGATGGTGTCGAAGGAATTGTGAGAGCAGGTAATAGAGCGCGAGTGCTTGCTTACTTTTGGCTGTGCTGATTATTTGACAAGGAGAGATATGTGCTCTGATGGGACCGAGTGGATGCGGTAAAACCACACTCCTCAATGTGTTGGCTCGTAGAGATGCAGCCGCCGGTGCTCGCGTCGAGGGAGTCACCTTGATCAATGGGAGCAATCCATCAACTCGTGCTTTCAGAAGAATGACATGTTATGTTGAACAAGAAGATGCCCTGATCGGATCTCTGACCGTTAGAGAAACCCTGCATTTTGCAGCTCGTCTCGCACACAAGAAGTGAGAACCCTGTTCATGGATTTGGGGCTTTTGCTGAATTCTTTGTAGCACAATTTCTAAGATGGATCGCATCAGACGAATTGACTCCCTTCTCGACTCATTTGGACTTAGACACCAGCAACACACACTCATCGGAACGCCTATCCGAAAGGGAATCAGTGGCGGTCAGAAAAGGCGCCTAAGTGTTGCCGCGCAGCTTATCACTGCTCCGAAGATCATGTTTCTTGATGAGCCTACGAGCGGTCTGGACTCAGCAGCCAGTTACGAGGTTATTCAGTACATCAAGAATGTGGCCAAACGCAACAACGTCAGTACATCAAAATGATTACTTTCTTAAGGCCAACGCTAACAGTTACTAGTTGATTGTAATCGCAAGTATCCACCAACCGTCCACGTCAACATATCAGATGTTTGACAGACTGCTGCTACTCTCTGGTGGGAAGCCTTTCTATTTTGGTACCATTGAGGGAGTCGAATCACACTTCCAATCTCTTGGGTTTCCTATGCCCTACCACACCAACCCAGCTGAATTCATTCTTGACTTGATGAATATCGACTTTGCGAGCAACCACGAGGCTGCCAAGGAGAGACTGCACGAGATGCAAATTGGTTGGGCCCGATCGCATAAGGCCCGAGACATTAAGGCTCAGATCCATGCCACATCTAGTCTTGTCGAACCTCCTACAGATACCATGCCACCAAGCAGGAGTTTTTTCACTGTCGTTATGACACTGGTCCACCGCTCATTCATCAAGAGTTACAGAGATGTTGTCGCTTATGGCATTCGTATCGCCATGTATGTTGGATTGGCAATCATGATGGGAACTGTTTGGCTTCGTCTTGGTACTAAGCAGAGTGATATTCAGCCTTTCATTAATGCCATCGTAAGTTGATGTTAGCCATATTTCACATGAAAATTGCGCTGACAATCTGTAGTTCTTTGGGTCTGCCTTCATGTCTTTCATGGCTGTCGCATATGTTCCCTCTTATCTGGAAGACCGCTTGACGTTCATCAAGGAGCGAGCCAACGGTCTCTATGGTCCAGCAGCTTTCATGCTGTCAAACTTTCTCATTGGCTTGCCGTACCTCTGTATGTTACGCCGCCAGACTATTTTTGATCTCACTGCTGACACAAGTGGAAGTCCTAATTGCCGTACTCTTCTCTATCATTGCCTACTGGCTTTCGAACTTTCAACCTACAGCTGAGGCATTCTTCACCTGGGTCATGTGGTTGTTTCTAGATCTGGTTGCCGCCGAATCCCTTGTAGTTCTTGTGTCCACTGTGGCTCCCGTATTTGTCATCGCATTAGCCGTTACCGCATTTGCCAATGGTCTGTGGATGTCGGTAGGCGGTTTTTTGGTCTCGCCTAGGATATTGAATGTATTCTGGAGATACGTTTTCCACTACATCGATTACCAGGTAAATTTTGGGTCTGGAATTCACATCACGTAGTCACTGACCCGGTGTAGAGCTATGTCTTCCAAGGAATGATGGTTAACGAGTTTGCCGATAGAACGTATTCCTGTGGCGACGAGTGCCACTGTATGTATCAGACTGAATTAGCATCAGAGTGTCGCATTTCTGGGACGGGAGTCCTAGATGAATATGGGTACAAGACCGGCCGCACAGGCCAGTGGGTTGGAATTCTCCTAGGGATCGTCGTGGGATACCGTCTGCTAGGTCTGCTGGCGATGTACATCAGAAAGTAGGAGGCGTAAGTTGCTTGTACCAATGATGCGTGTAGGCGAGTGCGACTTCAGGGGTGTTACAACTTGCTGTATTATGAGAGCACGTCTTCCTGGGATATGGGGTTCTGTTTGATTTGGCGTTCTAAGATGACTTTGTCGGTTCCTGGGTTTAGCGAAGATGACTTGACGTTTGCGGGATCTGGCTGTGAGAAACTTGAAAATGGGCAGGTAGCTCGGTCGCATGTTGGGTGGGCATCAGGAGTCTGGAGTGCACATAGGAATATTCCACGGCATTGATTAGCTCTAGATGTTAGTATACTCCAAACGCAGAAGGGAGAACTGAGATACACATTATCACGGTCGTGACTTCTGTGCCCATGGGAAGTGAGGCAAGTAGGGGATTGAATTCAAGGTGTCGGAGTTGCGTGCGTGTTAAATTGATGAGTAAATGCACAAGCTGATAAGCTGGACAGGTCGGAGCCTTCAGTTTCTCCTGGTCTGCAAGTGAGTGGTATCGAGCACACCATTGGTCATAGAGAGCAGGATGGCTCGAGGAAGCCACAACAAACATGCAGATAACCTTCCTTGTCAGATGTGATCGGAGTAGTAGATACAAATGCAAGAATATCCAAATATTAGTATTCATATCTATCACACAGTGTATCCCACAAGTCAAAATGGCAACATCGAATGCCATTACCCGTTGAGTCGTTGTCGTATGACAAGATCGACATTGAAGGACAGAGACATAACCAAAGGCAGAGTGTGACAATCAGAAACGAGTTATAAGCCAGTGTAACGGCCCCCAAAGGAGTAGAGCTCATGCAGTTACCACGTACTTTGATCCAGCTTCTTATACACCAAGGTCATCCATTCCTCCTCATTACCAGACCTTCCTCCTACTTCTATAGTAAATGTAAAAGCAAACAGTTCCTAAATATGGATCAGGTCAGAAGTGACAAGAGAGAAAACGATTCCTCTGCGCAAACAGTCTACGTATCCTCTCCATCCTCCTCTGCCCCGCCTGCATACCCTGCATCATCGGTATCTCCAGCATAAGAATCAAAAAAATTGGCCACATCCTCCACATGCACCACGCTACTTGGTTCAAGCCCGGGCCGTGGACTACGAATCTGCCTTTTCAGCCGTTCGATTTCCTCCTTGCCATTCTCGATCAGATCTTGCAAACACCTCACCTCCGTCTGTGACTGATTCAACTGCGCCGTTATCGTCGCTTCTTTCAACTCCCATTCCTGTTGAAAAGCTTCAAACTCAACAATTTGGTCACGGCGCTCACGCAATTCTTTGAGGGCGGCATCGTGGGAGGCTGTGAGTGCTTTGTTGATCTGTTGCAAGTTTTGGAGGGTACCGAGTGTAGTTATTTGGGTCAGCGATTGCTTCGAGAGAGTGGTGGTGAATTTCTGAATGGTGATTTCGTGATTCAGGAGTTTTCGGGCAACGGTGGCAGCGCGCTCTTGTCTAGTTTCTGGGATGCGGAGTGGGGTTGTGGTGGACTCTTCTTTGTCCTCCGAAGCCTGCAAGAGAGTACTCAAGCCTTCACGGTATTTATTGTTGAGGTCCTCGAGCTTCTGGTGCTGGGTTAGAATGAAGTTCTTAAGGGCTTCAAGCGCCTCCCTGCTGTTAGCGTCTTCACATCTCAGCTCCAGCTCGCGAAGATAATCTGTGAGCCCGACGTTTCGCTGCGACGCGGCATCGTTACCTAAGTCGTTGAAGAGGGACGTGATGGTACTGCGTACGTTCTTACGGAAGGTCTCGGCGAAATCCTTTTGCTCTTGGAGGAGAACAATGCAGGTTGCGAGAGCATGCATCTCCTCACCGAGAGCTGAACATGTTTTGAGGAGTTCTTCCCCAAAGGGCTGCAACTTCCTGCACAGTTGCGCAAGTTGGGAGATCTGGGATTCGATCGAGGCTTTGCTGATGTTTTTGTAATCCAGCAGTGCTGCGACCAGTCGACGTTCTGTACTGCTGTTGGGACTTCTGAGGCAGACTTTCAGCTTCTCAGAGGTATCGTTGGCTTCGGTGAGTTCAGCGTAGAGCATCTTGATGGTTTCAACTCGCTTGCCGTCGGTGATGACCATGCTTTTGATGAACTTGTGGAGTCCATTTACTTGCATTTTGAAGTGCGTGAGTTTCTCTTCTAGCTCCTTCACGACTTCCTTGTGCTTCTCCACTTCGGTCCCATGTTCGTCCATTGCGTCTCTCAAGGCAATGTGGTACTCTCTCAGCTCTGCTCGGATGATCTGCAGGCTCGTTCTAGTCCGCACCAGCTCGTTGTGTAACTTGTTGTTTTCACGCTGTGCTACCCTGATATCTGATTCGTGCTTCTCTGATGGCGTGTTTGGTGATTCTGTGTCCTCGAGTTTCTTTTTGAGGGTTGCGATTTCCTTCCTGAGATTCTCGTTCTCCAGTCTCGTAACGTCATGTGCCTTGCTCTCTGCTGCAGCCATCTTGCTGTACTCTGACTTGACCTCCTCGACAGTGTTGAGCAACCGAACGACCCGGCACTCGAGCCTCTCATTGTCCATGGCAGCCTTTTCTCTGGCTCGCCGTTCTACCTTTATAGCTTCAAGTGCTTGGAGGCGGCTGTTGCTGGTACGGCTGAGGTCCTGGGTCTGGGTTTGGTGAGTAGTGTTAAGCTGTACGATTTCCGCAGCCAGAGCTCCCTTATCCCTCTGCTCTGTCCTGATCGCCTGTTCGTGCACTGCTGCTTCACGCCTCAATTGGTGCTCGAGAACTTTGCGTTCTGACTCTTCCTTTTTAAGCCTCTTCTGAAATTCCTCCTTAGAGAATCTTTCCCTTCGCTGTTCAATCTCTGCCGCTTGAAGCGACACCTCATAAGCTGCGATTTGACATTGACGTCTTTCAGCGTCACGCTTCAGACCAGCTTTGCAAGCTTGGAGGGTGGCAATCTCCCGTAAATATGCGCCTTCTTTGACTTCCGTTTCATGAGCTTTGGACCGAAAAATGTCGAGTTGATGTTTGTAATCTTCGATGTTTTGCTCCAGACGAGTTTTCATTGCTTCGATAGCACTTATTGCACGAGTGGTTTCACTCTTCTCACGTTCGTGGCGTGCATTTGCGTCTTGGGCTGAACGAACAGCTTGTAGATGTAACATCTCGAGTTTGCGTCGGGAATGGACTTCGGTCACGATCCTAGCTTGGTAGGAATTGATGGTAGACTGGTGTAGCGCAAGATTGCTGGAGACCTGGCCATGGGATACCTGAAGATTCCGAATGATCTGCCGTAATTTCAAAACATCGTCGCCAAACATGGCTGCAATTGCTCTTGTGTGCTGGGGGACACCAGCCAACCCTACTGGGGTTTCGCCGAGATTGCCATCCAGGACTTGAAGTACAGCATTGACCTCTTGAAGGAACCGGTCTCGATATTCTGTGACCTTCTGGTCTTTTAGCATGTCGTAGAAATGCTCCTCTTCCTCCTCGATTGCTTGAATTTCATTGTCGCGATCCATTTCCTTGTAGTCACGGCCAGACCTGACACTGGTGACTGAAACGACATCACTATCACTGGAAGTCAAGTGAGCTTGCTTCGTCTTTGGAGCTTTCTCGGCGGATCCTGCTGGCTGTGGCGAACGTTTGTCATGCTTGCTTGTCTTTTTGTTGCCCTTCTCGTTGACCTTGAAAGCTTCGGAAATTGTCCTGGGCGTGCTTATTTCGTGATTTGGATTATTTGTGGGAATGGCATCCTCAGCCATGTCATAGCTGGCGTCTGACTCATTGCCAGACAAATTGACATTGTCAATGTCATCGGTGACCGTATTGGACTGCACAGGAGCCATGGTTGACTGCCTATGGCCGGAACTTGTGCTGTACATCTCAAAATTTGATTTTGCTGAACGAGAGTTCTTGTGTTGTCTTGGGAGTAGATCTGTGCGGAATAGGGCTGCTGGAAACTGCTTCACCGAGAATGACGTGCAACCATGACCAGACTTTCAGTCATTTAATGAGCACACAGGAAGCGTCCAGTTCACAAGGCCTGGGCCTTGGTCGCAAGCTCGGCTTCAAAGCATTGGGTTGCTGGATGAGTGATAGACTAAACCTCATGTAGAGTAATGCTTCAGAGGTGTACCAAAAATCTGCATCATCTAGCAGGTCCCATTGTGCGCTTGGCCTGAAGATACCATCCAGTAATTGCCCAACTTGGGTTGATCAAGGTATTTGGCCGTACATCTTAGAAGACATAACATAAAGATAGCTGGGGGTAGAGACCAGGGCAGCAATCTCGAGCAAAGTGAAGCAAAGTGGCAGTTGGCCTGGTCCTGACTGGAGACCGGGAATTTCGACCTGGATCCCCACACTTGCGAAGCCTGCATGTTCCGCTAATGCTGTGATCGTACGTAATCTTCAAACCCTCCGCCAAAGTGAAGGACGTAAATACTGATTGTACAAGATAGGCATGATGGAAGAGGAAAACTGAAGCCCATCCAGCGTTGAAAATTACGGGATGACTAGTAACCCAGCCGAGACCACGCCGGGCCAGATCGCCCCCATTAGCCTCGATTTTTCACCTGTGGTCGCTTTTCAGACGATTACGTCTCCTACCCACTGGATATGACAGCAGAGATTCCGGGACTTGGAGACGTAGGTGTAGTCGTATATATATGTCGGATCCGAAAGAACGGTTCGGCTTCGGCATGAGCACCCGTTCTGAGATGACCCGACCCCATCGCCCCGAACAATGTGGGGTAGCTGGTAGGTACAGCTGCAGCAAATCGGCCATGTTTTGGACCACTCGTATCGTGGAGATCTTTGCTTCGTGTAATTCATGATTGGTGAATGAGAAACAGCGCACTCTTGTCATCGGGTGGACTTCCTCAAAGTAGCTAAAGTTAAAACATTCATCAGCATCAATAATTGCACTGGGCAATTCGACTCACATACCTTACCACACTCCACATGTGATTGACTTTATCACTGTCGTCCAAGTTCTCCTCTACATAAGGGACTGAGTGACTCACGAGTATCATCCTTCAAGTATATAAAGATACATCGGTATCAGCAGAACCCTGTGTTGAGACCTCATATTTTCATTCTCGACGCCAAAGGCAACTAACTCTTTTGGATAACTTCGCCATGTCCGAGTCAGATTTCCCGACCTATCCAAAGTTACCTCGCAATACAGTTCAACGTTATGGCAAACCAAGAGGCAAGTCACCAATATGAATGCATATCAAGCACAAGTTAACAGCTGGCCAGGCAGATACGACTGCAAAACCATTCACGAAATCGTCAACACAACCCAAGTCCTCCACGTCTCATTTCCCACACCAGACACGAGCGACCCCTTTCCAGCCATGATTCCCATGCTTGGTTTCATGGCGTCCTTCTCTTCCCCGGACGCCCCCGTTTCCGAACCCCTTGACCTCTACCTGCATGGCTACATCTCCTCACGACTCATGCGTCTCGGCAAAAGCTCGCCCACAGATGATGAAGAAGGTCTTCCTTTGACCATTGCAGCAACTCATCTCGATGGCTTAGTGCTTGCTCTCACACCGAACCATCATAGCTATAACTATCGCTCTGCTATTCTTCATGGCTATGCTACACCGGTTGTTGATGCCAACGAAAAGCTGTGGGCTGTGGAGAAGATTACGAACGGGGTTGTAGATGAGAGGTGGCAGCATTCTAGAGTTCCACCGACGAAGACGGAGATGACTAGCACGCAAATCTTAAGGGTTAGGGTTGTGGATGCTAGCGCTAAGGTCTGCTTTTTTGACCTCTCGGGCATTCATTTTTATCAAGCTGAAGACGTTGAGAGCATTTAAGCATGCCACTAGATTGCTCGAAATATTCCAGAAAATGCAATAGCTAACTTTTAGATAACAGATCAGGAATGGCGGTCCCTCAGATGACAGGGCGGACATGAAGAACGATGAGTTGAGAGAGAAGACTTGGATAGGTGTGGTGCCGACCTGGACGACATATGGAACACCAATTCAGAGTCCAGAAAACAGGGTGAAGGAAGTACGTGCTAACCTTTTGAGAGTCAGTGAGAGTGTTCACTGATTGGTATCCTATAGGTCCCGGAGCATATAACGAGATTTTTGAAAAGGGAGAATGAGGTTGGGGAGAAGAATGCGGTGTTTGCTGTCAAAGGAGAATAAATCTAGCCTATGATCACTCGTGGGAAGTTGACATCTGCTGGTGAGAATCGGGAAGGGCAGACTTGTGGTGCAGATATGGAGCTGCGCATAAATGACTTGGCGTATGCCAATGATTCTGTACTTTTGAAACTATAATTGGAAGCATAACGTTGGAATTTCATTACTTTTCTCTACTTTGAGGCCGCCCTGCGCAGAATGCTGACAGACAGAATTGTTTCCTATACCAAGCGGGGGCTGATAGCAAGAGGAGTCAAGAAAGTCCGTTATGTCCATCGTAACTCATCTCATCTTCCAGATTTGAGTGCTCTCTTTATCCTCGGCGAACTTCCAGGTTATCCCTACGTTCAAAGCTCGAGAATTGTCTTCTGGAACAGCATACTCAAGCTCCCCAGTGATCTCCTCTCCAGCCTTATGGCTAGCGGGTCTCTCTTTGGTATTATCAATCAACATGACACCCTGTTTCCAGTGAGTCTCCTTTCCTCCTGGACCGGTTGTGAATGCAATTCCATTCTTTCCCTGCTTAGTCCATTCCTCGGCTCTGGCATTCCCTGGAACAACATCTTCTCGCGAAGGCATGAAAAAGGAGTCGAACCAGATGATGAATCCATCCAAGGCATCGATGTCTTCCTTGAGCTTTGCTTGCCACTTTCGCTTGAAGACAAGATCCTTGACAGTCGTTGTGTGTAGGCTCAGCTGCAAAAAAGGGAATGGCTCTGCGCACACAGTTCTGGCAGGCATATGAAGCACTTGAGCATCATCGTGGATCCCAGCTTGCATGGCTTTCATGTCGAATCCGTACACGTCGCGCCAGAACGCGATGTGATCTATGATATACTCTGGATCCGCGACAGGTGCCACCCACATATTCATATGACTTGGAATCATGAGGCCTTCTGGAGTGAGATACTTGTCTCGGGCATAAATGACACTATCAAGCATTGCCTCGTAGAGCAAGCAGTATCCCATCCACTCGCTGACGATAATATCAACCTTATCGACAGGGAGAGTGACCTCTTCGATCTTGCCCCTGAGACAAGTGATCTTGTCGGCAAAGCCGTTGTTGAAAACATTCTCCCGGGCCTTGTCAATAATCGCTGAGTTGTCTACCGCAATGACACGTGCAGCACCGGCTTTGGCACAGAACATGCTCAAAATACCAGTGCCACAGCCTACATCAAGGACTGTCTTTCCAACAAATAGAGATTTGTGGTTGTAAATGAAGTCTCGGTAAGCATCAGTCCGCACCGAGTCCTTTAACATGGTTTCGTGAATGTCTATATTGTTTAGCATCGCTGCGGAAAACGAAACAGCCAGACTAACCGTTGTAAGAGTACGAGCTGAAGTAGTGGCTATCGTCGTCTCTTTTCTCTTCTTTCTCCTCTGGCGAGTTCGATGGACCACTCGCATTCCATCGTTCGTCCAATGTTTGTGAAACAGTTGATCGGTAGTTGTCAAACTGTAGCTGCATCCTGCGCAAGTCCTCCTCAAGCTCAATGACGCGAGCAGCCAAAGGTCCAGAGTCAGCGGAAACAGCTTTGCCATTGTCTGCGTTTGCGCTTTGAACATCTTCTGTGACTTCTGGCAGTTCGTCCAGACTGAAGAGCAATGCATCGTCTTCTAGAACGGGCTTGAGGAACTTGTCATCCTCAAACTCGGCCTTGGAGACAGCTTGAGAGACTTTATGGCCACCATGGACCTGAGAGCGGATGTAGTTGACCAATCTGATGTTGCCATAGAAGTCCAGGCCAAGTTTTTGCCTGACCTCGAGGAAATCGAAGTTGTGCTTTTCTTTGCAGTGTTTCAGCATTGAATGAATATCAGTGAAGACCTCGTCATCCAACAACGAGATGAACTGGAACTCTTCCTGATCAGGCTCGGCGTCTTCCCATCCCTCATCATTCTTGAGGTCCAGAACATCCGAGTTCTCGGAGCTGCCAGACGAGGCAGGATACTTCTGGGCTCCTGTAGTGGCCGACATGATGGGTGTTTCTGACATTTGCAAGCAGGCAGGCAGGTAATTTAAGGTATAAGGTAGTATATTTTTTGTTTGCGGTCTTAAGTTCCTGCATAAATAAAGTGTCTGTGTGCTGGCAGCGGTTGGTCGAGAGAGCTTCGCCTGGCAGCATCCCTGTAAAACTCCTGTCCTGGCGCCTGGCCACTAGTACTTCGCTCCTCTCCCGACGTGCAGTGCAGTGCAGGTTGTGCTTATCTGGGTATCCTCACGTGGAGATAACAAAATGGAGCAGCCCTTCGATGCGGGCGCGGAGTGAAAGTAAACATAGGTAAGTCTACCTAGGAAGCTCGCATCTGATCTGATCTGATCTGATCTTACCTTACCTTAGCTGTGAGAGAGTTTTCTCCGTTTTCTTCGCAAAACACTCAGTGCGCGATCTGTCTGCCCTGTCCTGTTCCGTTCCGTTCTGCCAGCTCTGCCCTGCCCTGCCCTGCCCTGCCCTGTGTTGTCGGGCTCGTTGCTGTGCGAGCCCTGGTGCACCAGCCCGCCAGCCCGAGTGGCAGACACAGACACAGGCGCAGGCGCAGGCGCAAACAAGGGGCGGCAGTCCAGCGAAACGGGCGCGCCTGAACTCAACCTCCGAACAAAACATCCATGGGGGAACCAGACAATTGGAGCCCAACCCACTCGATCCATAAAGCAAACACGCCTCCTGAACTCACGCAAGGGACACCCAAAGACCTACGGCCGTGTTATGATTCTCCGCCGGCTTTCTTCCTCCTGCATGCTTACCTTTACAAAGTACTACCACAGCTGAAGCAACAGCATCGACAACCGACGTGCAGTGCATTGTAAACAGCTGGTCAGACACGCGGGAAACAAGCGCAACACCCGCCTAGAATGTCGTTCCTCTTTGGACGCCGTCCGCGGACGAATACGGTAGATTTGCCCAAGCAGGCAAAAGAGCAGATACTGAAGCTTGACGGTCCAGCTGGAGCTACGAAGGTGTGCAACACCCCCACGAGAACAGTCGCAGATAGGAGAAGAAAGCTAATCCAGGCATAGGCTGAGGAACTGGCAAAATCTTTGGGCCAGATGAAATTTGTTCTGCAGGGTACCCAAGGTAAATATTCGACGAATCCTCTGTGCCGTTTTCTCCTTGCTAACGCCGTTGACCAGAAACGGAAAGCAGTCCCGAACAGGTCTACTCCCTTGTTTCTGGCATGATACAGGAAGACCTACTCTACCTCCTCGCCGTGAATCTATGGCGATTACCCTTCGAGTCAAGAAAAGACACACAAGTCATTTTCTCTTACGTCCTCCGATTCCGTCCTCCAACTGCATCCCCGAAGAGCGAACCCCTTGCTCTAAGTTACGTTATAAACAACCGCCCAGAAGTTTTGGTAGAGTTATGCAACGGCTATGATCATAAGGAGAGCGCTACACCGGCTGGAACTGTACTAAGAGAAGTCTTGAAGAGCGATGCGGCTGCGGCAATCATTCTGTACGACGACCAGGCCGAAGGAAGCCCTGGACCGAAGGGCTTAACTGGTATAAATCCAGAATCGAGACAGAGTGGGAATGGAGTCTTCTGGAAATTCTTCAAATGGATCGATCAAGGTTCATTTGAAGTTGGTGCAGATGCATTCACGACTTTCAGAGTAAGCCGGGATGCCCATTCTACTATTGCGACTGGCTAACATGCGTAGGAACTCCTGACCAAGCACAAGCAACTTGTTGCGCAGTATTTGTCGACAAATTTCGACCTCTTCTTCGACAAGTACAACAACATACTAGTCAAGTCGGAAAGCTATGTCACGAAACGACAGTCAATAAAGCTTCTTGGCGAAATCCTCCTGGACAGGGCGAACTATGCTGTGATGACGGCTTACGTTGATCGTGGCGAGCACTTGAAGATTTGTATGAATCTTCTCAGAGATGAGAGGAAGATGGTGCAGTACGAGGGCTTCCACGTGTTCAAGGTCTTTGTTGCGAATCCGCACAAGTCGATTGCGGTCCAAAAAATATTGCTTATCAATCGAGAGAGGCTGTTGGTGTTCCTGAAGGAATTCTTGCAGGACCGGACAGAGGATGAGCAATTTATTGATGAGAGAGAATTCTTGATCAAGCAGATTAAGAATATGCCACCCACGCCAGTTGAGCCAACGCAGAAACCGGCTCTACTAGGGTCACAGACAAGATAGTAAGGTGTCTACACATCGCACGATGTTGAGATGTAGGTTTGAGACCTCTCAGCATTATATCTGGGAAGAAGTCAATCAATGGATTTTCATGACAACATGGACGTGGATGGGCAGAGCCAGCCTTTGGGAACGCCGCTGGTTGGCTACACGGCATAGCTGGTTACGAGCACGGGAGTTTTGGAGCATGGGATCAAGAATCGACAGCGGTCATTGTAATTAGGACGGCGTTGGTTGCATAAAGTCAATGGCATGGCGTATGATTATCAATATATCAGTTTCCGCCAGTGGGATGGAGCCGGAGCATGAAGTTCAAAGACATCAAGCCCAGTTGGAAATTTTGAGACAGTCGTCGAAGTTGACTCGAAGCTCAAATATGTTTGAGGAAACCTCGCCGTGGCTTCGTTTACACTGCTGTATTTGGGAATAGGACTGGCCTTATCAAGTGCATGGGTTGTTCTTATTAGTATTTACAGACCGCCTTACTCATGTCCAGTAACGTCCAATCAGTACCGGGGGAAGGACTAAGTTCGAGTTCCCGCATCGTGAGTCATGAAACGCACTTACTGAGATGCTTCAAATAGAACTGCACTTGGCATACAGAGATCGAAGAGATTAGAGTAAACGAAACCGATCCGCAAGTTTCCACAAGTGCAATGGTATGTATAACTGACCGTACCGAACCAACTTGACGAGGCTGAGAGGCTGAGGCGACCGGGCTGGGCTTTGTTATCGCCACTAGGCCGCATTCGGATAACACAACATCTTTTGTCGCATCTTCAGGTCGCTCGCGTACAAATTAAGTTGAGTTGGGTCGAGCTGAGTTCACCGCGACCATCATCTGGCAAACAGAAATCACAATATATTGTATCGTATTGTATTCCAGCGCGCATCGGCTTCCACCGGTCAGAAGCCCCTTTGGTGAAACATTGCTTCGCATTGCCTTTGTCCTCTGCATTCCACGCCACTACACTCCCACTCGGTCTCGGACATCTCGCGAGCGTTCAGGTCACGGTCACGGTCACGGTCACGGTCACGGTCACGGTCACGGTCACGGTCACGGTCACGGTCAAGGTCAAGGTCAAAATCAAAATGCAGCCCCAATACCGGCCCTTCCCCCAGCAGGCGCCGCAGCGTTCCCCAGCAGCTGCCGCATCGAGAAGAGGAATTGGTACGTGCCTCCCTCTTCCTTACTGTACACACTAGCACCAGCATCAGCACCGTACATCTCCATCACTGCGTACCTAGCTACCTAGCTATCTACCTACTGTGGACGGGATTTTCTCATCGGGATAGGGAGCTCCGATACTCAATCCGACCCTACACTACTTCGTTCATTGCTTGGCCTCACACAGCCGCGATCTGGGGGGGGGGGAAGAACTAACGTCATGTCAGGCCCAATGGTTTCTGGGGGCCACCCCCAGCAGCAACTGACGGCTGCGCAACACCAGGCGCAGGTAAAACTACAGGAGGCTCAAATGGATAAGGCAAGGAAACGTACTGCCAACCCGGTGGACAAGCATATCCCGGAAGGCGTCGAGGATTGTGTTATCGGCGACGGTGTTCAGCGGTACAGAGAGCTGAGAGAGCTGGAGCGCAAACTGGATTCGACCATGATGAGGAAGAGGCTGGACATCCAGGATTCAGTGAATAGAAATGTCAAGGTAGGGATGCATGATGTCTACTCCAGAGCTTGGTGCTGATTTTTTTGAAGAGGTACAGGACGTTACGGCTCTTCATTAGCAACACCGTGGAGGATCAGCCTTGGCAGGCCGATACACTTGATGTAGATGCCTTTGATTTCAGCACCAATATAGATTCCTCGTACCGCGTAAAGATTGAGGGCCGGCTATTGGACGAAGCATCAGATGGCTTGGACAGCGATGAGAGTGATGATGACGATGACGCCATGGACGAAGATGGGAAGGAGGAGACGAAGAAGGTCAAATCACCTGCAAAGCAATATAAGTTGTCGCACTTCTTTAAGGCGATGACTGTTGACTTCGACCGGAATAAGTCCAAAGACGGCTCAGATCAGAGTGTCGAGTGGAAGAAACCAGCGGTTGCGCCAAATGCTGCCAACCTCCCGAATGCGGCCGATTTCGACCAACTAGAGTTCAAGCGTGGAGGAGATGAGAGCATTAATGTCACCATCAACCTAATTCGAGATGAGAATCCGGAGAGATTCCAGTTGAGCCCAGTTCTGGCTGATATCCTGGATACAAGTGTCGCTACTCGCGCGGAAGCAATCATGGGTATTTGGGAGTATGTCACAGCTATGGGATTACAAGAAGAGGACGAGAAGCGGTCATTCGAGTGTGACGATCGCCTCAGAGCAGTAAGTCACTATCAGAATGAGGATGGAATGAGAACTAACTTGTATAGCTCATTGGCCGAGAAAAGGGCTATATCCCTCATGTCCCTGATGCACTCATTCCCCACATGACTCCACTTGTACCTGTCAAGCTCCCATATACTATCCGAGTCGACAAAGAATTCCACGAGAACCCACAGCCTACAATCTACGACATCCAGGTCCAGGTTGACGATCCATTGAAAGCTTCGCTTGCTGCCTACCTCACTAACCCGACGTATGCAACAAACCTCTTGGAGATTGCGAAGCACGACAAGCAGCTCGCGCTTCTGGTACAAAGTATCATGGTTTCCAAGTCAAAGCATCAGTTCTTTGATGCGTTATCGAAGAACCCGACGGATTTCATTGCGAAGTGGCTGAGCTCCCAAAAGAGAGATCTGGAGGTCGTATCCGGCGAGGCACCGAGAGGAGGAGGAGAAGATGCTACTGGTGATGAGTGGAGACGAGGTGGTCAGAACAGTATCTGGGCAAGCGAGAATGTGAAGCAGAGTGTAAAGTTGATGGTTGGGCCAAGGGTGAAGGTTTGATCTGGTCCTAAATCACGGCGAAATGGAGTCCAGGCGAAGACTAGGTCGAATGTGTACTATACTATATCAGGTTTTGGGAGTAAGAGAATACCAGGAGAACTTTGAATTTGTTTCATTGTCCTTTTCCAAACTTGAGACAAACCTCGTTGCCCCGCCTGGGGCTTCCAGCCCCACAAGCCAGACTCAACGTTGGTCTGGAAAGCGAATCTCAATATCGACTAAATCTTTACGCTCTCCATCCAATGCTCCGCCTCCTCCTTATACTCCTCTCTCCATCTCGTCAAAGGTGGTCTGCCTTGTACGACATCGTTCACCGTCCACTTCACAAAAGTCAGTAGCGATTCTCGTAAATATCTTTCGCTAAAGTTGCCTCCCAAGACTCAGTTGTTTGGAAATGGCTCGTATCCGTGTTTCCAGGAGAAGGGGGAGGCACAAGGGGGAAGGTACATAAAAACAAACTCCACTGACCAGCATTCTCTTTCGATCCATCTCCTCGCTGACATCATTATCTGGACAGATCACATAAAATCGTCCCTCCGTCATCTTCCGCTCCAAAAACTCCACCACTTGCTCCGGGCTCCACGCTCCCTTCGGCTTCTCCTTTCCGTCCATGGCAAACGGCTTGTTTCCACTCAGGCCTGTGAAGGTTCATCCCGGTACGAGCAAATGCACTGAGGTTGATGGTGAAGATTTTGCCAGGTCGTAAGAGAGGTGTTCGGCTAGCGTTTTGACGGCGGCTTTGGAGGCGTTGTAGGCAGGATTACCTGGGGGGTTCGTGATTCCTTGCTTGGAGCCAGTTATTATTATGCTTGATGGGGAGGATCCATGAGCGGTGACGAGGGGGAGAAGGGTATTGAGGCCGTGGATTACGCCGAACAAATTCACTGAGGATGTGTATTAGCATCTTGATGGTTCAGGTATGGTATCTTTGGAGGTGGGTTGTGACGCATCGTGTCAAGTGAGTATTTGGGGAGGATGAGTTTGGACATGGCCATCTGATTAATGGGGGACGGCATGGAAAAGTCGAATGAGAGAAATGAGTATTTCATACCGTCCATTATTTTGTGGAAGTAGGCCGAATCGCTCCAGTCGCTCTTAACGCCTATGCCAGCATTCAGAACAAGAAGTGAGATTTTCCCTCCAAATTCTTCTGTTATTTTTGCCTGACCAAGATTTTTAGTAGAGTCCTTAAAGCGAGTACACGAATAAATCCATCATCTGGTTTGTCAAATCTCAAGCCAATTCTCCTTAGCGCAGCTGGTATCACACGAGTAGAAAATAAACCAACCTTTAACCCCTCAAAATCCTCCACCTTCCCAACATCCATTTCGACGGTCTCAATCTTCCTACTTCCACCTTTCGTAAGCATCTCCTTCGCCCCTTTCAAATTTTCGATGTTGTTATCGGCAATCACAACGCTCATGCCGTAACCTGCACATTTTTTGGGCGAGAGCAAGTCCAATGCCCGATGCGCCGCCTGTGATTACAGCTGTTTTACCTGCCGCAAAAATTGGGTTTCTAGATTCAGACATGCCTGCTGGTTGGCGAGAGTGAGAGCTATCTGAGTATTGAAGTGTTGAAATAGTTTGTGTTGGTGACAGTGAGGTGGGTGAGGGACAGTGAAAAGATTAGATACCAGGGTCGTAAGAGCGAAGATATAGATAGTAATGTATTTGAAAGCTCGTAGCAAAGGTCACCGGGGACGGTCTGGGTTATGAGTATTTTGGACTTGGGGATATTCGTTTTAGTATGGTAAGAGAGATGCTTATTAGGATGCAGTGAATAACCATGTGGAGAGCTGGATGTGTGACGTATGAGAGGAGGGGGATTGGTGGACGTAAAGGTCTTTTTACGTTATAGCCGGCGACCCATCCTCCCTATATCGACTTCAGCAGGTACTTCAAGAAAAGATGAACACGTGTGCGTTTAAAATCCACTGTAATGCACCATTATCTTAAATCTCTTATATACACACACAAACTAAGCTTCCTCCTCTCATGCTAAACACCCTTTAATCTTCTCCATGAACAAGAGAAGGGGAAAAGACCGCAGGTCGCCATGCAATTAAATATTTTGACTACCAACCCATTCGGCTAGCCATTCGGAAAAGTAACCAACCAGGCGTACCATCGCTGCGACAGATCCTTTGTAGCCAAAAATCGAACAATGCTTTCTTTCTCTCTGTAACGCAGCCACAGGTCAAACACGATATAAGCGAAGTGCAAATAACCAGACGAATGTCTGGCTAGACCACGACCTTGGGCTTAGACTATTCCAACTCATGTTGACGTGAGGTCAAATAATGAGGTAGAGCCACCATAGAAAAGACAATACAGAAGAGTCTTGAGAAATCGTGAAAAGGCCCTATCATAGGGAGGGTATGAAAGAGATGCAAGAAGCGAGACCTTAAGGGGAGACCAGCGCCGCGCTACCAAATGCTCAACAAAGGAAAAGGGAATATGTGATCCATCCGTGAAGCTCCAGGTTTTTTTTGCATGGTATTATAACTTTGAACAGACATTTGAACTGCTCAAAATGGAGTGGAAAGTCCGTTCTTGGACTGCCGTTTGCTGAAGCGGTGGCTCTTCTTTGAAACAGCCTTGTCATTGAGCTCTTCCCCACCCAAGCTGGCTTGACTTTTGGTCAGATGATTCCGCCCTGCTCGATCTGAGATACTGAAACCCTCGGGGTAGATGGAACCTCCATGGATTGTGCTGCTCGGGCTAGAAACAGACGAGCCCATCTCAAAACCAGTCTCGCTGTTGTAAGAACCAGCCATGCTCTGTGAAAGAGCAATATCCTTGGCACGCTCCATTGACTCGATCCATTCTTGAGCCGAGCTTTTTGAAGGATCTCCTGTCGTGACAGATGATTTTGAGTCTTCGAAAGTATAATGTGTATTGCGCTGTATATGTTAGGCTTGCAACGGTATGAGCGGATGGGTAAACATACCGTGTCCACACACCACACTTCTTGGCCCTTGGCATCTATTTGTGTCCTCCACGAGCACTCAGACGCCAGTAGTGAGATTTCCGACTTTGTCTTCTTTTCGTCACCTCCTGCAGCGGCTAGTATTATTCGAGCACTCGAAGTGACCATGACAAGCCGTTGCCTCTTCTTGGTTGTGCTACCACCGAAGAATCTCGACAGCTTACTCTTCTCGTGACTCTCGTGCTCACCATTCCGAGAATTAGGGCTGTGAGGTAATGGGGCTGATAAGACCATCAGGTTCCCGAGCTTCAATATCCGCTCATTGCTCCTCGTTAACACAGGGGACCATTCAATATCCAGCTGGGTCGGGGGAGGCAGTTCAGTGATGACCCTGGGTTGTGGTCTCGAGCCTCCACTTGATGAACCCGGACCTGGGGCCCCCCTTGAAGTAGGGATTGGCTGGGGAGCACTAGAGAAACCGCCGCCGTTCAGCTTTATGAGGTTGGGTTCTTGAGTCGGCGGAATATAGGGCTTTAATCTTGGTGCCTTCATCCTCCACAGACCTCGCCCCCATTGCAGTCCATCAAAAAACTCGTGGTTTTTGATGTGCTCAATAGATAATCGTCGTTGAGGGTCGAGAACTAACAAGCGTTCTACCAGATCTCGTGCGGCAGGTGGAAACCCAGGCGGAAATTGGTAATCCAGACCAACGATCTTTTGGAAAGTCTGATACTCATTACCAGCCTTGAATGGAGGCCTCCCTGTCAGGAGTTGATATATGATACAGCCAAATGCCCACAGATCACTAGCCTTGCATGCGTTCTTATCTGTTAGCAGTTCAGGGCTGACGTACTCAGCAGTACCAACAAAAGAACGTGCTCGGGTTGACTCCTCTTCTTCGGCGGTAATATCGTAAGGCTTTGTTGAATCCCTCGGTTTCCTCGGGTCCGGAAGGAGTTTGGCTGTACCAAAGTCTGTGATTTTGATGTGCATCTGGTCATCCAACAGCACATTTTCGGGTTTGAGATCTCGATGGATGACACCCCTATTATGCATATGCTCAATAGCGTCCAGAATCTGAGCCCCGTAGAACCGCGTACATTCCTCGTCAAATGAGCCTATCTTCTTCAGAACCCCGAGAAGCTCACCACCACTGGCCACATCCAGTACATAGTACAGTGAAGAGCTATCCTGGAAGGTGTAATACAGTCGAACAATCCCCGGATGTTCGATCAATCGATTGAGCGTATCCTTTTCGATATTGACATATTTGATCTTCTTCTCCTTGATGATGTGCTTCTTGTCCAGGATTTTGACGGCGTATTCCTTCAGAGTTTGCCTGTCTGTGGCTAACATTACCGTACTGTAGGAGCCTTCTCCTAGTGTTCGGCCAAACGCAAAATCTCTAACTCCTTTCTTGACTTGCCTCAAGACCAGCTTCCCATTTGCATCATATTCTTCCCGAACGCCTACCGCTGCGCCCTTGTCTTTCCACTCCTCATTGCTAGGCACAAGGTTGCCATCGATGTCGTATCTCGGTGCAGATGAACTCGATGCGCCAGGAACATTATCCGTATGTCCACCTCCCATGCCCCGGGAACTCCTCCTAGGTGGTGCTGGCGCATTGCCAGTTGGTATGGGATTAGTCGACTTGTACGCCCTTTCTCTGTGGCTCAACTCTCTTGAGGGCACACCGGCTTGCATAGCAGTAGCTGCTGATCTCGAATCGCTCCTCGTTGGGACGCCGCCAATAGAAGACTTTGAAGACTCGTTTCTTACTCTATAAGAGCCGTGTTCGCGCGAGGGTATGGCATTCGGAGGTGGTTGAGCTGAATATACTCCTGAAACGGGTCTCGCAGATCCTGGAGGGGGGTAACCTCTGCCACCGTTCTGCATCGCGCCCGCTTGATATGGGGGAAACTGTGCTTGCTGTTGCGCTTGGTGATTCAAAGGCATGCTCTGACGGTATGCCTTGGTCGCCGCAGCTCGAGCTAATGGGTCGTTGGGAGGAGGTTTGAAAGATTCACTGCCACTGGATTCGGATCGGTTATTTCCAAGTTTCGATTCCGAGCCCTGGGATCCCTTTCGGGATGATCCACCGCTGTCGTCTGGTTCCCCTCGACGTAGGAGGTTGAATATCGAGTGCCGCCGGGTTTGGGACTGCGGGTCTGGTGTTGAACGAGACTCTCTTGGATTGGAAGTATGGGCCGGGATCTCGTCGGTGGTTCGTGATGGTTCGAGGTCCGAAGAGTCTATGTGAGAGTCTATAGGAACTTCTCGAGACGTGCCAGGAGACGTATCATCGGGATTAGTTAGGCGGAGAGGACCAAGGCTCAGATCGTGCTGGGCCATCTTTTCGTTTCTCGGTCTGCTCTGCTCTACTCTGCACTCCGTGCTGTGCTATATGCCTCTGACTGTCCTATGCTGTCTTGTCCTGTCCTGTCCTGTCTGTCGAGATGTGGTGGCTGTGCGCCGCGTCCCTTATCCTGGATACGGATCCCCGTAGCATCCCCGTGTGTGTGTGTGACGGCGACGGCTTTCTGCAGTACCGCGAATAGCAGGAGATGAGGTCCGACGACTTGACGGCTTCCAGTGGATGCGCAACCAACAGCAGGGCAGGGGAGCGACAATCTGGCGGGGACGGCGTTGTAAAGCAAAACAGGCCGACTCGGCTTAGATATAACCTTACAGTAATATGCTGACCTGGAGCCTGGCACAGACGACCTTGTTTGACCTTGGAAGCCGATGTCGAAATGGAAATCGAAATACTTCACACGAAATACTTGACACGCTGCCCTGAGGACTCTCCCAAGCTGCGCAGTGCAGTGCAGTGCAGTGCAATGCAGTGTAGAATAGTATGTAACGCTGCGAGCCGAATGAGGCGTGGTCTCGTCCAAGGTGGGCATGGTCCGCCAGCCACGCGAGGAGCCAGGACAGCCAGCAAGCAATAAATAAATACAATAACTACCTAGGGACTTACACATACCCAACGTAAACAACTTTAGTTCGTCCGAGCACGCTTCGGTTGAAGGTTCATCCCAATGGGATAGAATGGAATGGAATGGAATGGGATCCTACTCCCTACCGCACCAGCAGCAGTAGTCGCCAGCCGGAAATTTTACAATCAGCCAATCTCGGGGGTTTAATGAGACGAACTTGATTCGAGTTCTAGTAAGTCCTGACAGCACGATGAGGGTCGTCGAGGGCAGAGGAAGGAGAGAAGGAGAGAAGGATGCCGTGGCACGCAGCAAGACGGCCGGCTCAGAAGATTGGCAAGTGGTGGTAAGGGGATGGATGACTGAGAAATAGATACGACAGAGGAGTCATCGTCCATTCAGAAGAAGCCCTTCCTTCGCCTCGCAACTGAGGGCCATATTTGTGCCTTTCTCGTCAGTTTCTTGATTGCTTTCCTTTACTTTCTAAATGCCACCCGCTTGAGATTCCGCGCTGAGCCAGACCCAATAACCTATTTGGAAATCTGCAATGGCTACCTACCTAGGTACCTGCTTCTTGGCTCTGGATTCTGTCAACTGTATCTTAAGTGAGAGCACAGCAGCAATGTCGTGAATCTGTCACAGATTGTCACTTTTCTTTTGAGGCTCGTTCTTGTTTGGTACGTTCTAACTTGGCGATTGAACTTCCTCTACCTACATCATGCCGTTTCATCTAGTTACTTATGGAGCTGGACCTGCAAAAGACCCCTCAAAGCATTTCGAGCTTAGAAAAGAGAAGTGAGCTGTCTCTGCCACTAGAAAGGAAAAGGCACAGCAGGTGTACCTTCTTGATCAATATGAAGAACTTTGTTCCTTCCCGAGGACGAAACTTTGATATGGGAGGAACAAGGACCTTGGTTTTCTATGGTGGCCATAGCCTTCAACTTCCTCTAGGATCCTCTTTCTATCCATTCCACCATCATCTGCGTGCACTCGAAGAAGAGCCCACCATGATCCGCTTGCCAGCTACAACCATCGTCCTTGGACGTAGCGACCTGCTGGATTACGAGAAGCGCCCGCGAATTAGAGGCAGAGATAGAGAGTGGGTCAGTGAGACTGATAAGCTCAATGTGCGGCTTGCCCGTTTCACAGTCAGGTCTCAGCCTGATTCCATTGATCCTAGTCAAGAGGGTACCGTCCAGAGTAACTTCCAAGAGTACCAAGAGCTTCACAAACAAAGTCATGGACATAGACCATGGCTTCCAGTATTGGATACACCCCCAGCCGTCGAAAGTCCAGAATTTACTGACTGTTACGAACCTGGAATACTCTCACAGGGGTCAGATCTGCCACACGAAGATGTATTGGCACCAAGTTTGCCAGATGAGGAGCAATCATTCGTGAGCACGGGGATTGAGCAATCTCCTGAGAATGTAACCAGCGAGACGACGCGACCAGGCTCTCCATCGAAACACGATTTTTACTATGGAGGTTTCATCGAAATTGACAGCCGCAATTCGGCGGACTATACTTCTCTATGTCAGTTCCTGATGGCATGGAGTGTTCTTATGGTTAATATGGTACTTAGCTCCAAATGATGCTTCTCCCTCTCAGCAACTCCAACTTCCACGCTCGATCAGACTTCGTACTCGATTGCATTTGCCTCGTTCACCTCTTTACTTATCTCAGAACGCGTCGAGCTCCCCAGACCGTCGTCCGACTTCAGGCTTGACACCCCGTGTTGCATCACGTGTGGCTACTCAAAATACCCCTGGCATGATATTTGCTCAACCTCCGCGACGACCACGAACAAATACTCAAACGAGTATAAGAACCTTCAGGCATCAGACAAACAGTTTCTCGTTTGATTCGTCTGAGAGATCCAGTGCAGCCTATGAACAAGAGCGCGCGATTTCAAGCTCTACTGACGGCAGAGCTCAAGATGCTGGCAGTATCAATCTTCGTGAGGACTTGAGGGGGAGCTCCTTGCAGAGCTCCAGGGCAGGTTCTGCAGACCCTTATAGCATTTCGGAAACCACGGGCGAAGATGATTCCGCCATCATTCGGGTGGACAGAGAGGACGCTGATGCAAATCAAGATGTCAGAATCTCGTCTCTTGAGCTCCATTTGCCCCCTCCATTCTCAACCGTACCTCGTAATGTTTCAAGGGCTAATTCTCTACCATACTCATCCTCCCGCAGTCTAATTGCTAGTCATCCATCGACCAGCCCAATTAGTTTCACAATGACACCCCTTCAACGTGTGGTGGAAAGTAGACATTCCAGTCGTCGCTCTAGTCCAGCCTCAGCCGAATATGATGCGCTAGAAGCGAGCCCACCTGTAAGTCTTGTTTGGTTTCTCCTGTATCGAAAGTGGAAGAGCTGACTTCACTTCAGGCTAGCTCAAGATTCAATCCAGTTGCCTTTGTAAATCGCGCAATTAGTATTTATAGGGTCCGATCACCGTTCAGTCGCCGGGATACACCTCAGGCCGTGGCACAATCCGCATCCCCAACTCCACGCCAGGACCAGAGCCGCCGAAATTCAGACAGTGTGGAGCCTATTACTCCATCCAGAGGCAGCTACCAAGTATACAATGATGCAACGTCGCCAGAACTACAACCCCAAACGCCAGCTCATTTACCCGAAGCAAGACACCAGTCTCGGTACCATCCTTCTTATACAGCACCAGTCACTAGAGCTGCGGCTAGAAGAGCTCAGAATATTGACAATGCTGATGGTGAAGGGCTGCAACAGAGTTTGCCACGGCAACGTCAAGTACCATTGTATACCCCTCTGCGAGGCGGACGACCAGCATCTCCAATTGGATTGGTGCAGGGTGGCTTTCAAGGTCTTTACGGCGGCAGAGAGAACGGCGACGAGGAACAGAGCTGGGTTGAAGGTGTGAGGTTTAATAATGCTGAGACTCGACTCTGGGGAACACGCGACGCCCAAAACGAAGGCGGCAGCTTGACGCGAACTCCAGAGCCCGATGAGTGGCGAGTCGGCAGGAGAAGCTAGATAGAGAGGCAAGCTATTTGTCCTCTTTTCAGAGTAGGCGGCAAACATTATCAACTCGACAAACGTAGTTGCAGGACTCTTCATGTTCTCCTGAGAGCTGTCGACAGCTCCGGAGTCAGAGCGAGTAATGTGCTGGGAGGAGGCTTTGTATCTACACCAACGTACTGACAATATGCAGTTATTAGCTTCGCGAGTGTTGGTTTTGCTCATAGGGACCAGCCATGAGTATGAACTTTGAAGGCTTTACGAAAAGTTGGGACTTCGAGATAGCTGGGGAAGTATGAGGTAGTCACAAGGCAGGGTTAGGTCGTGATACAATATAAATATCCAGCTGTTGCTGATTCTTTCACGCCAGGGGCTGGTTTGTACTTGCTCGTTTAGGTAGGCTACAATATCATGAGGTACTCTACGAAGTTAGAGCTGAGGTAGGTACGGAGGTATCTAGGCAAGGTAGGTAGGCAATGAGCAAGATCGCGTTTGCTCTCACCACACAACACAAGCCGGAACAAAAGCTCCTCTCGAAGCCACACCCAGGCTCTTACAGTAAAGTTGGCAGCGCTACGCAGCACATTGAACCTGGCTGCTCCTACAGTAACAGCGTTGGTCTGCCTCGCCACAACAAAAATAAAGTGGCAATGCAATCTCGAGTGTGGCTGAAGTGGATGTTGATGTGTGTTTGTGGAAATGTATTCGTTATGTGTTTCAGATCATCCTGCTTCTCCCTAAAGCCAGCCACAGACGTCCAGACGTCCACGCGCGACGCTGGTATCACTTCTTCAGGGCTGTTGAATTTCCTATCAATTGCTGTGGACGTTAACGTACATGTTGATACAGTAGGTACAGTATTGACGGTACGGTAGGTAGGTAGGTAGGTAGGTAGGTAGGTTTCAACCGTGCCCTTTCCCCTTGGCTAGCCGGCCGGGGACAAGCTCGGGTGGCACCGCAGAACCAAAGACCAGCACAGCACAGCACAGCACGGCACAGCAGGGGCAGGGGCAGGGGCAGGGGCAGCAGAGAGACAGCTCAGACAGGGGCTTCCAGGCTTCAGGCTTCGGCTTCGGCTTCGGCTTGGGCCTGGGCCTGGGCTGGGCTTGTGCTGGCGCCAGATCGGATCGGATTTACTGTATCAGTAAGTTAGATTACTGTTACTGTGCAGTACCGAGTAGTAGTGACGACATTGTTATTTCGCAGTCAGTGCCCACTGCCCAATGCCCCAGGGGCTAGTGAGGTAGGGGAGGGTGGGTATTTTGGTGGTAGCATTGCTGCACAGCATAGCATATTCAGAAAGTTGTGATGCTAATGCTAATGCTGATTCTGATGATGCTGCCAATCTTGGCTTGAACTTGGACTTGACGCGACCTGGACTGGGCAGTGGGCAAGGCAGGGCAGGGCACGACAGGCACGTAAAGCACTCGAGTCAAAAGTATGGCGCGGATATTTTGTGCTACTCTACCTACCAACTTGCCTTACTCCATTTCCTTACCCGCCTACCTACCTCCCGACCTACTGACCTACGGAGTCAATGACTTCTTGAATACTCGACTTCTAAACATACTACCTACCTATCCCCTCTTCTAGGCATTTGTCTATTCCATTCACAGCACTCTTGACCCGTATTGCCCCTTCATATTGTCCAAAACCTCGACAATCCCACATTTCTCCATGCACACGTTTCTTTGACGCGGGCTCCTATATCTACCCTCCGCCATGACTACTGGCATGGCGACGAGAAGTAGCAGCGTGCCTCCCGAGTCTGCTGGCTTGCCAGAGGCTCATTCCAGCCACCGCCCAGAGAGCAGCGAAGAGCCCACTGGCCATGTCGCTGATCCCACGAGGCCTGCGATATCCAGACAGTGGCAGACTGCCAGAATTACCGCGGTGCCTCAGTGGGAAGCCCCGGAGCTCAAACGGTATCCTACATCTTTCTCAACAACAAAGAAACCATCGTGGAAGATACCAATCGCAGCCGACGACGATTCCACAACAAGCTCCTCTTCAGATGACGACGATGATGTTCCGGGACACAAAAAGCGCTTTGGGAGAGGCAGAGATACTTCTCGAGGGCAATATTCAAGATTTGATGTAGGGAACGAGGACTTCAAGACAAGGGGGAGGGTTTCAAAGAAGGATGGTCGACTGAATATCAGTGTAAACGAAACGAGTAATCGGGGCTACCTGGCCAAGGCGCTGGGTGCAACGTTCTTGAAGCACGTGGGATCCGATGCTGGCGAGACACCCGATTCGAATCATGGGAAGGGCTGGAAATCAGACGCTTCGTCGGAAACCATCACCACCGATATACCGAGACCAACACTAAACATCGTGGTTATGGTCATTGGGAGTCGAGGCGACATACAACCATTTCTGAAGCTAGGAAAGAATCTCAAAGAATATGGACATAGGGTACGGATAGCCACACATCCTGCGTTCAAGGATTTTGTGGAGAAAGACTCCGGACTGGAGTTCTTCTCCGTTGGGGGTGATCCCGCAGAGTTGATGGCCTTCATGGTGAAAAACCCCGGGATGATACCTACGATGGAGACTCTGAAAAAGGGCGAAGTCGGGAGGCGGCGACAGCAAATGGCGGAGATGTTTGAAGGCTTCTGGCGTGCATGCATCAACGCTACAGATGATGAAAAGGATGTTAGTAATTTAAAGATGATGGGCGCTAAATCTCCCTTCATTGCGGACGCTATCATCGCCAATCCTCCCTGCTTTGCTCATATCCATTGTGCTGAGAGACTAGGCATCCCCTTACATCTTATGTTTACCTTCCCGTACACGCCGACTCAAGCTTTCCCGCATCCACTGGCAAACATCAAGAAGTCGAATGTGGATCCTGGTTATGCGAATTTCATGTCCTACCCGCTGGTAGAAATGATGACATGGCAAGGGTAAGCTGTTCAGTCTTGGTGTGAGGTAAAGCTAATGATCGTTCCAGTCTTGGAGATTTGGTTAATACTTTCCGTGTGAAGACTTTGGGGCTAGAACCAGTTTCTACATTGTGGGCGCCCGGCCAATTGTATCGTCTTAAGGTACCCTTCACGTACTTGTGGAGCCCAGGTCTTGTACCAAAGCCAAAAGATTGGGGACCAGAAATCGACATTGCCGGATTCGTCTTCTTGGAACTCGCTTCTTCGTTCGAACCGCCAGAAAATCTGGTTAAATTCTTGGACGCTGGAGAGCCACCTGTGTACATTGGGTTCGGCTCAATCGTTGTTGATGACCCCGATACGTTCACCAAGATGATCTTCGAAGCAGTAGATAAAGCTGGTGTGCGAGCCCTGGTCTCCAAGGGATGGGGCGGCCTAGGTGATGATAACACTCCTGAAAATGTCTATATGCTGGAAAATACACCCCACGATTGGCTTTTTCCCAAAGTGTCGGCAGTGGTTCATCATGGCGGTGCAGGAACCACAGCAATCGGCTTAAAGTGTGGAAAGCCTGGCATGATCGTTCCCTTTTTCGGAGATCAGATGTTCTGGGGAACCATGATTGGAGAAGCTGGAGCTGGAGCACAGCCTGTAACTCACAAGGAATTGACAGCTGATAAGCTGGCAGATGGTATCAGGCAATGTCTGACGGTAGAGGCCAGAAAGGGCGCCGAGAAGATTGCCCAGGAGATTGCAAGGGAGGGTGATGGTTCGAAGAACGCCGTCACTTCCTTCCATCGTAGCTTGGTATTGAGAGGACATCATTCTATGCGCTGCTCAATTTTGGAGGACCGAGTTGCAGTGTGGACGTTGAAGAACACCAGTCTCAGGCTGAGCGCACTAGCTGCGGACTTACTTGTTGAGAAAAAGAAGATTTCTTGGAAGCAGCTCCGACTTATCCGACATAATGAATGGAACGATTTTGAGGGACCGGGTGAGCCTCTGTCTGGTGGGGCCACAGCAATCATGAGTACTGTGACAGGAATTGCAACTGGAGTTGGAGGTGTGCCTTTTAAGATCGCCAAGAGTTCCAGGAGACGCGCAAAGCATGAAGAGAAGAAGAAAAGGAAATCTGAGGATATGCGGCGAAAGTCTCAAGATGCCGGCCGCAGTGATGATGCAGGAAGAATGGTCTATAATGCGGATTCAAAGGATAAGACTCCTAACGAAAAGCCAGCAAACGGATTCCTTGATAAGGCTGGGATGACTGGTACTTCTTCGGTTACGGAGGAGCACCAGATTTTAGATGGATCGGCAACCAAGGGTATGAGAGACGAAATCAAGAACGAGAAGGCTCACAGAGCTGGCATGGAAAAGGTCACCAGCGGACCCGATCTCGGCAAGCACACCACGACAGGTGAACCGATCGCGGAGAAGAAGGCGGCGAAGGACGAGCAAAAAGCACAAGATGAAGGCGAAGCGGATGACAATGATTCCGTTCTCTCCGATGACCCCGAGGATAATGTTGCAGAAGAGTTCGGCAAGAACGTTACATCCGGGGTTGGAAAGACGGCCGGTTTCATTGCTAAAGCGCCGATGGATCTTGCATTGGCGATCGCTCAAGGTAATCCAGTACTTCATTATCGCGTTCCCGGCATGGCTTTTTTCGCAAATGGTGGTGTTGGCAACAATGAAGCTGACGAGAAACAGGCTTTCACAACGCGCCTCGACTGTACGGGGATACGACTGTCAGAAGGTAACTGTTACCCCCCTACACCAGTGGTATTATTAGTTAATAAAGAACAGACCAACTCGAATCACGGGCTTCAAATCTGGCCTCAAAGCAGCTGGCCAAGAATTCACTTTCGGTCTCTATGATGGTGTCACCGGTCTCGTCACCCAACCATACACAGGCGCTCGAGATAATGGCCCAATAGGGTTTGTTAAAGGCGTTGGTATGGGTCTCACTGGCTTCGTACTTAAAGACCTTGCAGCTATCGTCGGACCATTTGGCTACACTTTTAAAGGCATCCACAAAGAGCTGCAAAAGGACAGCCAGCCCACACATTTCATCCGTAAGGCCCGAATCATGGAAGGTCAACGAGACCTCCAGGCCTTAGATGAGAAAGAAGCAAAGAAAGTTGCAGAAGCGGTGAATCACGGCTGGCAAGTCGTTCAAGACGTCTTCACTCTCATGGAAGAGAAGCGAGCTCATGGAATGCGGGGAAGATTTCATGCGATGAAAGAACGTAAGACATGGAGGGCCAATGGAGCGTTTGAGAACGTAGAGATGGCTGAAAAGGCACTTGAAGCTTCACGCAGAGGAGAAGGATTGCAAGGAGTTTTCGCGCAGCAGAGGGTAGAGCTACAGCTTACGAAGAAGCCACGAAAGAACGTTGCCCAGGATCTCGAGCAGGGGAAAACTGGTGATGAGATTGAGGATAAGCAGGCTGTGCAAACGAACGTCACTGCGGGGCCTGCTATCAGAGAAATGCCGAAAGTTGCTGGCAAATAGTGTAAGGATACGAAGGCTATGTGGGTGGACTCAGGATAGACGACGGTAGATATCTTCGATTGGCATGTCTAGCGAAGGCGTTGGGAGCTGGGAGCTTTGATGTTTGTTTGACCTCAACAAGGGCAAGCGAGCGAGATACATCCTGAGACGAATAACATGTAATCTAATAGTAATTGACGGAAGCATTTACGTGACCATCATCTGCCTCCTCCTCTCCTCGGCTTATCCTACAGGGTTATTCAGCAGTGGCCTTGACGTATTGTATCATATCCCCCCCCTTCCATGACTGTTGTTTGGGGAGCTTCCTGCCTCAAGTGTCTTCCCTGTCCGGAGGCGTTTCGCGGAGACAAGGTAAGGTAATGTACTGAGGGTCCCTACTACTGTACCTGGGCGAGGTAGGATTACCTAGTAAATTTACCTAAGCTAGGTATCGAGTGTGTTCCATTATGAAGTGGCCGATTTTGGCGAGTCGCTGGAGTGCGAAGTTGTCGAGTTTCTCCTCACGACAATTTGATTGATTTCTGTAGGAAAAGCGCAAAACATCTTCCTAGCTATTTTCGGAGTAGTCTCACAGACGGATTAGATTTTGATTCCTTTTGCATTGTGAGAATTAGTAGTTAGTAATCTACTTTTGATGTTTCTGTTGGTTCCGCACATACAGTAGTACCTTACCAGCTTACCTAGGCGCTATGGAGGTACCTCAGGTAAGGTCCGTACATGCAGCATGCTTCGGGTGTGGGTCATGACATCCACTCTTCTCGCTTGGCATGGCGCAATTCACTTCAGTACGTACCTACAGTCCTCGGTAGTACAATATTGGTCAGCCCGGTACGAGTACGTGCTTTGACTTTGATTTACTCTACGTATTTCCACACAGCTTCGGCATTCTCGTTTCAGTACCATCATGTACGTTCACTTCACTTCCGCAGGATGGGACCCTACCATCCTTACCATTCACCACTGATATCCAGTTTGAATAGACATTGCGAAGATGGCTCCGGACAGAGGATCAACAGATATAAGTAGTCCCGACTACCAGTCCATTTCAGCCCCCCCACCTTCGACCTCGAACACCCCCGACGACAACTCCTCTGTCAATGACGGTGACGACACTCTCGAACAAGCGCAGCGTCGCCATAGCGATGCTCGTAGATTCATAGCCAACCGTGCCAGCGATGGGCAGAACTTCACGCTTCGGGGCATACTTGTTGGTCTTGGAGTCGGACTCGTAATCTGCTTCTCCAACATGTACTTTGGGCTGCAGACCGGATGGATATCTAGCATGAGCATGCCCGCCTCACTGATCGGCTTCGCGTTTTTCAAGACCTTTGCGAAACACCTGGATTTGCCCTTTACGCCTGTGGAGAATGTGTTGGTGCAGTCTGTGGCTGGGTCGATGGGGACAATGCCGCTTGGCTGTGGATTCGTGGGCGTCATGCCCGCCCTGAACTATCTTTTGAAGAAGGATGAGCAGGGCCCAATATTCTTGTCGCTGTGGAAATTGATATTGTGGGCTCTCGGGTTGGCGTTCTTTGGGGTTGTTTTCGCCGTGCCGCTTCGCAGACAGGTCATCATACGGGAGAAGCTGACGTTCCCTTCGGGTACGGCAACTGCGTTAATGATTGGAGTATTGCATGGAAAAGAGGCTACCTTGTCTGGGCCGGTCAGCCAGGCAGTCGCTAGGAATCCTTCATTGCGAGCGGTATCTCCAGCAACATACTCGGATGATAGATCTGCAGATGTGGAGGAGGTGAACAAGGGGCAGACTAGCAGTTGGAAGGCCAAGGTCAAACTGCTGACCATCTCGTTTGCAATTTCTGGGTTATATACTCTTGGGACTTATTTTTACCCAGCTTTGCGCAACTTGCCTGTCTTCGGATTCGCGCTAGCTGAGAACTGGCTGTGGACTCTCAACCCATCTCTGGCGTATGTCGGACAGGGAATTATTATGGGACCAGCTACGACTACACACATGCTTATTGGAGCTATTGTGGGCTGGGGTATTCTTTCCCCGCTGGCAAAGCAACGGGGCTGGGCACCTGGCCCCGTGGATGATTGGGAAACAGGAAGTAAAGGTTGGATAGTTTGGGTGTCATTGGCAATTATGCTAGCGGACTCGGTCGTCAGCTTGGGGCATATTGCCCTACGACCTGTGTTCATGCATGGTGGAGACTGGTTGGCCGATGTACACCGACTTGTCCGAAAGGGAGACTGGAAAGGTCTCCTTGGGATCGGATCCAGCAAACGCACCAGAGGATATGCTCCTATCAGTGGTGAAGGCGAGGGTGTCGCAACTCTTCTCGATGAGAATGGATCAGGCATGGCTGTTCTTGAAACTCCTGGTGATATCAAGGATGCTCCAGAGCCGGACGCGCCTCCTGAGCATCTCGTAAACAACAGCACTTTCGTGGTTGGGCTTGTGCTCTCCGTCGCATTCTGTGTTGCGAACATTCGCATTGTATTCGGCGCTCTGGTCCCATTATACGCGACTATCATGGCTGTTTTCATGGCACTGGTCCTCTCTATCATGGGAGTTCGAGCGCTGGGGGAGACTGATCTCAATCCAGTCTCTGGCATCAGCAAGTTGGCGCAACTCTTCTTCGCCCTCATCATACCGCAGTCGAATAAAAACTCTGTTCTTATCAACCTCATTGCTGGCGCAGTATCGGAAGCTGGCGCATTACAAGCAGGTGACCTCATGCAAGATCTGAAGACTGGCCACCTCCTAGGTGCTGCACCAAACGCTCAATTTTGGGGTCAGATCGTTGGCAGTGCAGCTGGAGCTATTGTCAGTGCTCTCATATATAAATTATACACGAGCGTATACCAAGTACCTGGGCCTTTGTTCCAGGTCCCGACAGGGTATGTCTGGATCTTCACTGCGCGATTAGTTACTGGACAGGGACTGCCTTTCATGGCATGGCAATGGGCCCTAGGTGCAGCGATCATCTTCGTCGCAGTGACAGCAGTGAGGATCGTAGGCACAGGCAAGGAATGGCATCCCTACATCCCCGGAGGCATTGCCGTCGCTGTTGGTATGTGCTCTGTTGTAAGCTCCGATGCATCTCGCTAACAGGCAGGCAGGCATGTATAACGTCCCATCATTTACACTCGCCAGGGCAGTGGGGGGCTTTGTGAACTGGTATTGGAAATCATACAGACGGCGAGAAGAGACGCCCATCGTGGTGCTTGCCAGTGGCTTGATCCTAGGGGAGGGAGTTGTCAGTATTGTGAATTTACTGCTTGCCAGTGCGGGAGTTCCACATCTTTAAAAATCTACAGTTATACCCACAGCCAGCTATCATCTTTACATGAAGCAAATCTCTCGGATTATAAATATCAAATCCTCTTTCCAATCCTCAGATCTGAACACTCGGCGGGCAAAGTAACTCCCGTGCACAAACTACGCTAGCCAGCTCATCTCAATTATAGATCACAACCCCTAGCCTCTACCCTTCGCGAGTCAGTGCCCAAGACGTCCCAGTCTCCATCAACGCACCACCGTCTATATTAACCTTTCATTGCACATCGCACTTTTTAGCGGAACAAACTACGTTGTCACCACGGGGCGCCGCAGTGCCGCCGCAAGGAGGCGGTCTCCAATTTCTCACGCTCGCTATCTCTAGCTCGCAATCTCGTCTGCTCACCATTACGAAAAGGGCGTTGACAGGGCTTGTCAAGGAACACTAGGGGATTGTGTTGCTCATCGCAGTTTTGGAGGCGCTGGTGAGAGGGACGCTGGTCCTTGTCTTGCGAACTGCTAATGCGCTGGTAAGTTGAGCTAGACTTGGGGGCAGGGTGTTGTTTGTCTGAATGCGGAAGAGGCATGCACGGAATGCATGGCTGTTACCGAGAGTTGCGGATACACCGGACTCGCGCAGGTGGCGATTTGTCAGATGTCGGATGAGAACTTGAACTTGTCGTTAATTTGAGTAAGTATCTCTCTGTCGATGAAAATTATCGTGGCTGTTCAGCCTCAGTGTTGTCAGTCTGATATTGTGATGTTCAACTCCTCCGGCTCGGTTCGTTTGTTTCAACCGAGCCGGGATAAGCATCGGATTTAAAGGGTCACCAGTCAAGTCAAAATCCGAACATGTGTTCTGAAACATCGTTGTGCAAAAGCTTCCTTGTTAATGAATCGTGAAAGCATCGAATGTAGATTTACTGTACAAGGCGACACCAGGGCCACCCATTAACCCTTCCAAGGTTGGATCGTATCATCTTTTCAAATGAGAAAGATTAAGGGGTATTATCAAAATTCCAGACGCCATAGACCATGCGACCCGATCCTAGGGACATGCTTCCTCAGATCATCCTCGCCTAGAATCCAAAACTGTCTAACAATGAGTTAGACTCGGGCTCCTCGAACACGCTTGGCGCAGGTTTGTGCCCTCCAGATCTCAGGTCGAGCGGCAATTTGGGCATGGGAAGGTCGGCTACAACGAGCGATGACCGTCTGCGTAGCATTGAACGTGGATCCGGGTCGCCGATACTCTTGAACACGGTGGGTGCCGGGAGGAGGAACTCCCAATTGCGAACTTGGAATAGTTAGTCTGATTCAAAAGGGCTTCTGAAATTTCGTACCAAGATCCAAAGCAAGCAAGTCACAACCCATGCGATCGTATAACCGAGCGTTATGCAAAACAAATGCCCATTCAACCTTCGGTGTGACTTTTGAAGCACCACGAAGTGTTTGTAGGGTTTTCTGTCGGAGCTGGGAATAGAGAACAACGAGGGCGGGATCGTCAGTCAGGAACAACTTAGAAGAGAGATCTGGCGTCTGCGGCGTCTCTAACAGAGTGTAAACGGGGGACTAGGACCGTCAGTTAAATGCTATAGGAAAGCATTCAACACTCACGATCAATGCTCTCACAGCCATATCCCTTCGGCGAAGCATCCAGAACGCCCAGGATGCCAACCATCGATTACCCTCTTGAGCTGCCAGTGGCAACACCTTGTCAGTGAGTAGCTCTTTCAGGACTGGACCGTTTTCTCCTTCATAAACTCTTGTGACAGCTATTGCCAATTGAAGATCTTTCAGCTGATTCAGCATGACGCTGACTGCATCTCTTAAGCAATCAGCTAGCAGGAAGAAGGCTGCTGCATATTCTGTAGCCAGGTCAGAAGTACGCCTGATGATCTCTCATTGAATTACTCACCATGGCGGTGCTTGCCCAAGAGAGCGTATGCATTCTTCATCGCTGCTATTTTCCATCTCCTCTCATTAAAATTATTGGACAGAAGTTTCAAAGTGGCGGCCTGTTCTCGGTTCCAGCTAGCCATACGCCACAGGCCCTGGAGAACTGTCTTCTTCTTCAGGGCTAGATAGAACAAGGTACAGTCGATCGGGTTCTTCAAGTCGCTCTTAGTGTATTCGTTGCGAGCAACGATCTCAAACTGGCCTCTCTGTTATGGACGTCAATAGATCAACCGAATCATGCGGCGGGAAGCTTACAAGAGCATTTGGGTCGGTCATCCACATGAATATGCCACTTTCTCGAGCATGCTCCCACAGCATCTTGCTGTGGAACTGGTGTGATACCATGTCCGCTAAAATATCCTGGCTATTGCTGTGATAAGCCCAGTTGATCTCCCGCCATGAGAGACGAACCTCGTTGGCACGGCCCCTGTGCAAGATATGTTGTCGAAAGAAGAGCATGAACCTGGCAGCATTATCATCCATAGACCGCCGTTGCTTCTCAACGATTGCAACGCATTCAACGGCATCGGCTAGATGAATTTGTTCCTGCCTGGAGAGCTGCGGCAATGCAACTTTAGTTAACTTGTCATTGATCGAAGCTGCCACACTTTCGGTCACAGTCTCCTCGTCCTCTTCATCATCACAGAAGGCGCCGAAAGACTTTGATCCTTTGCTGACAGCCGCCGAAGAAGATATCATCTTTTTAATTAGCGCCGATTGAGAGACCTGTACGGGAAACTTACATCGTTGTTGGTGTAGAATACCTCTAGATCCATACCAAGGTGATTATCGATGGCATCTCCTTCGATGTAGTACTTTAAGATCTTATGCAGAGCAAGCAGTATGTGCTGAACGAGACCGCTCTTTCCGGCCAATGTACACTGCCCCAGAAACTGGGGATGATATAGTGGGAGAGGTCCATTGAACCTTGTCACGACCTCGAAGAGATCCCAGACCTGCTTTCGCGGAGGGAGGCCAAGACTCATGACCGCAGGGGCGGAATGGTCGACCTCTTTGTCGTAAACAAAGACCTGGTTACCAGCACCTATGATGAGGTTTCCGCCACCGAGCCAAGTGGAATCCCCTATTGGGTGAGGTGTCAGATCACGAGTGTTAAACTCTCTGATGGACGCCCAAGCAGGCCCCTTGTTGAGGTAATCGTATCGCATTTGTGCCAGAAGAATTACTCTAGATCGAAAGCCAACAGCGAGAATAGACTGGTCGTCCGGGGTCGAAGTCCAATCTAGATCTTGAATAGTGTCAAGGCATTCGAAATCCTGCGCGAACTCCAACTGTGCCCCTCGAGTGTCCCAGATTGTCAGCTCGGATCTTCTGGAATCTACAAGCGCAGCTTTTCGTACCGAGCTCCCGCTCGCCAGAGAAGGCTCTGAGATGCCGGTCGCCACCGAGCAAGTCTCCAGCCAATCGACTTTCTTGGCTGTTATATCAAGTCTGGCAGTCCAGGAGCGAAGCACACCGGAATGAGTATAGGACAACGCAATGTCTCTGGCGAAGGTATCTAGAAACCCAGTGATCACCGGAGGCGAGCCAGCAGGGTCAACTGGTAGCATGTAAGAAAGGTCGTCGGAGCCTCCCAAGTCAAATCGACAGAATTCGGCAATGGACGGTTCATGGTAGCCATTCTTCTCGGTCTTGCTTCCGCCCCAGTGCGGTAGTCGTACCTCCCAGACAATTCCTTTCATCTTTGAAGAGATTGTAGCAACATGAGCTATCGGGCCCTCTTTTCTCGCCTCGGGCAGCACGAGAATACACAAAGGCTTACCGGCCAAGGAGTATTCGCAACTTGCTATGAGTTTTGCGTTCAAAGACCGGGCATCCCATACAGAAATCCTGCGGTGGTGTAGGAAAATGACAAAGTCTCCTCTCCTCATCACGCAGATTCTGTGGATGTGTTCCTGTTCTGTGATAAGACTTTGTCTGACTACTGAAGCTCCGCCCTCGTGATCCAAATGTTTCCAAACAATGCTCTCATTACCATCGGTTCGAGACACAACCGCTTGGCCGCTAACATTTCGGACGATTTTCTTGATGCTAGCGGAGTGTCCAGTCCACACTGCTTTGAGAACCAACCGGTCTTTCCTAGGAGATGGATCGAATAAATCGGCCACATTGCTCTCGAAGTATTCTATTCTCCCATCCCAATGATGCATAAGAATAGTCAAGCCAGCCCCAGATTTATTACAGAAATTGTAAAACTGGACGAAATTGGAATCATCTCGAGAATCCTTAGGAAGCCCTAAAGCTAGTCCTTCGAGATGTGCAACGTTGAAAATGTTGGCTTTCTGTCGTGTTTTGCTTCCCACATTCTCCAACCCCCAAGCGGACATATTTCCATACTCGTCCAGGACAACACATATCTCAGGGCTTCGATTTGCAACCTCTATCAGGTGAGCAAGGGCATGGTCATCATTTCTTTCAACTTCTTTAGATTGTACGGCATGCTCAGTCGCAAACATGAAATCGCGGCCGTCGATCACAAAGGCAAATCGAGTATTGGATGTCTCGGACAGACCACGAGGTTGTATAGACTCTTTCAGATCAATCTGACCCCAGAGCTGGAGATGCCGTAATGCATAAGGATCGTTTGCAGCCCATATACGTAGTATGTTGTCTGTGCATATCGTATAGAGCACGTTTTCGATTGTTTGGTCCGCATGGTATGGTCTCCTCCAGTGCATATTTGTGACCGTACTTGGATGAGGCAGATAGCTGACATCGAAGCGCGTATCCTCTGACCCAAACGACAGTCTCCTCCATATCTTCACCAGGCGATCGTAGTTTCCGGTTGATGCAATGTACACCGAGTCATGGGAGAAATTGGCATACTTGACGGAATTGGCAAGTTTCTTTCCCCAAACCATTGTCGGCGTGTCTGCAGTCGCGAATATCGAAAGCCAGGCGCCTCCTACCAGAACTTCCTCCGAGACACCCCATGATAACGTCGTCGCAGATCCTCCAGCAGGTTCTCCGATAGGAAAGCTGTGTTGTAAAGACCACTAGCACCAGTCAGCCCATTGAAAATGAGACCACTCTCTGTGGCGGCTGTTTCCAACCTTCAGCGCATCTTCCCCCTGCCCGTAAGGCTTGTATACACGTATAATAGTTCCAGCACATGTTACTATCTTCCCAGATGCTTCATCTATAGCTATTGCCTCCAGATCTTCTTCGTCGTCATCATAGATGGTTTGGAGGATGGAATCAGGCGCAGTAAGTACGACGAAGGCGTTTCCGGTAATGTATGCCTATGAAACAACGATGTGAGACTGCCAATCACCATCAAATTTTGAATCTCTGCTAGTCTTGCTTACGATGAGACGTCTGCCATTCCAATAGCCTGTACAGACAGCTTGGAGCTTAGCCTGAGGCTTTCCAGGAAGCACAGCTCGCATACTATCAATCAAACAACGTCGCCGATCATGGTTTAGAAGGTTTTCGTAGGCGAAGCTTTATATCGGCATCGACAGCATATCGGCGCCAGTAATATTTCAAGAGGAATGAGGGTTTCTCGAACGCGAAAGCTGTTGATGTGGTCGATCCAACGCCTTGTTGATAATCGTTTCGATGAGGCTACGATCACGCTAGTAGCGTTCGAGACGAGGCTGACAGGGGTATGAACGGAACCGAAGAGCCCAGATGAAGGCGAAGAAGCACAGCAAAGCAGTCAATGAGTCCCGTTTCAGAGGTGACGAATAACTTCCAAGCTCGTACGAGTATCTATTCGCTACCTACTTCTAGAGCAGTCTGCGTTCGTACTACGCAGTCATACTGAAAGCTGAGCCCTCCTATTGATCGATTACTCTCTCACAACTCCTATTCGTTGAACTCAGAACGCCCACCTCCCGAAGCCTATGAACAATATGCCCAGGTATCCAATACCTCCTCCAATGAAACGCCACGCTTGAAAGGCCGATCTAAATCCACAAGCCCAATGAATTCTCTCATGACTCTTGCTCATCACTCATATTATTCTCTGGTATATCGGCAAAGTCCTTTTCAATGCCTGACGCGCTTCGAGCCTTTGGCTTTCGAAGGGATGGGACGCCTCCGGACCACTGTGCCCGTAGCTGTCGTTCAAAGGGCGTTGAGAGAGGCGCCTTTGGAGTCGTTGAGAACCTTGCAGCCACGGCCATCACTCTCTCGGATCTTCTGGATGGGGTGCTCAGGTACCCTGGAAGTGGTGTAGACACAGCACCCGTCTCATCGAGCCCTTCCGCCCACTCATCCAGTTCAAGGTCTTCCTCAAATTCCGAAAATGCTTCGAATTTTGCCTTCGCACCAAATTGACTCGATTCTACGAAGATTACCCTCTTCCCCGGTCGGTTCTGGAGTGCCTTTTGGCGCCAGTACGAGAATATCTTCCTGAAGTTCTTCTTCGCATTCTTCTCACGGATATTGGTTGCGTAGTTGACTTGGGCTCTGACCTTGAGTGCAAGAAGACTCCATTGCTTCACAGCTCGACTTTCTCGATGCTCCTGGTAATTGAGGACTGCTTCCGTCTCCAGAGCCTGAACCGCGCTGGAACGATTTTTCCATGACGTGAAATGCTTCTGCAATATGTTCTCCCGCCACAAGCCGTCAAGTTCGGTAACCTCCTCTGCACGAGCTTTCCAACGGTCAAAGAGATCCATTGCAAGAATGACAGTTTTGTTCTCAATCACTTCAGCGGCTTGTGAGTGCAATTTCGTAGTTTGCCGTGCCTTATCTTGCCAAGTGTGCAATACACCTCGTATCAGGCTAATTTTTGCCGCTCGCCTGACTTGGGCATAGGCGGCCCTCCGCTTCTCTCTCCTTGAATGTTCCGCGGAGACTTTCCATTGTCTGAGTGCTTTCGTAAGAACAAGGTAATAGTTGGCATCCTGTGACCGTCTGTCCAGCTCTTGGAGGTGCCGGGCCCGCGTGGACCATTTCGTCACCGAGCCTTGCAAAAGACGTGGATGGTGATGGTCCATCGCTACAACTTCCAGTCGTTGCTTCGTGTCTGTGCGAAATGCCCAAGTGTGTAAAACATCGATCTTGGTCTTCTGAGCAATAAGTGATCTAGCCAGGTCTTCCTGTGTCAATCTCCGTCGCCTGGCGTCCTCCATTCTTTGCTTCCAGAAGTCGAAGGCGGCCCGAGAGTTCCTCAGCCTGTGATGCCGACCAAACAAAATCCTTGCTTCACGAAGGCGCATCAACGAGAAAGCCCCAGCCAAGACGCGATGATCGATACGGGCAGCAAGTATGGTTGACAGGTGTTTATAACGCCACACAGTCAGAGCTTCCTTCAATATCTTCATGCGATCCATTGTGGCTGCCTCCCTTTCCTGGCGAGCACGGTACTTCCAAATCCCAAAGGTGTCTCGAAGTGTTCCTACAGCTGCTTTCGATTGAACCGTAATGATCGCTGGTATAATTTTTGTTTCTTTGCGCCATTTGATCAAATAGGGGCGAAGAACATTTCCATGATAATGTGCATCTGCCTCTTGACCACAGCGCCACTGATCCTCCGCCCTAGTTCTCCAAAGTTTCCACGCATGCCATGCCAAGTCGAGCTTTCGTTTTTCTTCAGCAGAATTGCGATTCTCCCAGTTGTTATGCGAAACAACGATCCATCGAAATAAGACCCTCCTCCTAGTTTTATCTGTCCTCCACTTGGTCGCTTTCATCTCCCACAGACTCCGAACCCACAACCGGTAGACTTTCTCTATCAAATTGCCCTCGTACTTTTGGACGGCCTGTGTGAATTCCTCCACGGAATTTGCGTGCTGTCGCTTCCACACACCAAAGAACTTCATGAGAACTTGGCGGCGGACTTTGAGCTCATTAACAGCTGTGATGTCCTTCCAAGCATTGAGAACTCGGGTGCTTACTACCAGCTTTCTTGCGAGGGCTGTGCGGCGAATATGAAAGTTGGCAACGTGCAGCCAGTGATAGAAGGATGTTTGCAATAAATAGTTCCCTCTCGACTCCCAAGCTTGTTGTTCACGACGTGCTTGAAACCGTTCCAACTCTGCGGCTTTGCGCTTCGCCAGGAACGCATGGCGCCATGAATCAAAGGCTGATTGGGAAAGTGCTTTTTGGTCGTGATCTGTCGCTATCAACTCGAGACCAAGATTGTCCTGCTTGAGATCGCGAGCTCTGTCCTTCCAACTCCGCAATCGCTTCTTCACCAAAGCCTCGAGTTGCGCTTGGTAAAATAAAGCTGCTTTGATCGCGAGCAAGGCTTCGGCTTTTGGCGCGGGTCTGTGAACGACTGCCTGCGTCCAATTTGGTACAGTCTCCTCCTCGAATGCAGAAGTAGCAGCAGTTATTTCGCTGCTAGTTAGGTCGTATTCTGACAGGGGTACAGATGGAGTTGTTGCTCTATGGTGGTGCTGCTCGTGGTCTTGCAACGTTGATTGCTTTCGAGCTCGCATGCTACCATGGGATGAAACAGATCTGCTGCGAGGTGTGCGCGGTCTTTCGCAGCTCGCGTTCAGCCAGGCTCCAACGCTGTGGTCGGTATTCTTTGTCTTTGAGATGGGCGGTCTGGCATTATTTTCTTGGGTAGCGAGGAGTGCTTGCTGACCCGGCTGGAAGATCTCCTTTTCAATGACGATTCGAGAATGGTCTTTTCCAACGATGGAGAATGAGTTGCGCCGTGTTGTCGGTTGTGATTTGACATCGATGCCCACATCCCAAGCTGAGCTTTCTGAATTGCGCCTTTGCTTCCGGTGCGCGTTCTTGTCATCATTCGTGGCGAACCTTTCGCTGGCTGCGGTACCCTCAGTTCCAACGTGCGAGTCTGCCAGCTTGCTATGTTCCTGGCCATCCTCTTGGTTATCCTGGTCGTATTCGATCTCGATGCCCATCCTAGCCAGGACCGCCTCGAACTTCTCGTACATGGTCGCGGGACCCCTTTGTCCTCCGATCTTGAACAGAACCCGAGCATATCGATTATCATGATCCGTATCGACTCCGACACGGGAGAGCACATCATAGTATGCACCAAATAACGCGTTTGTTGGCAGTCTCTCGCGATCCGGTAGCTTTGGGAAGAGCTCTTGCGCCAACACCACGATGTCGTGCAGAATCGCGACATCTAGTATCACTGTTAGAAAGCATCGCGAAACAGAGGGCTATCCAACCTTCATTGCTGTAGTAGGGTTCCGTGGTCTCTGTCTGGTTCTGTCCGGCATTGAAGTGCGGAGCGCTTCCTGGTGGAGGCATCTAGAGGAAGGCATTCGGCGAAAACACTTGAGGCGAATTCTGTCTGTTTATGGCTCGTCGCATGCTGTGAATACGCCAGCAAAGATTTTCAGCAAGGTGCCTTGACCGGGATGCGGTGAGCAGCAATTCATGTTCGTGTTCATGTTGTTTTCGACAGAGCGCAGCAGACCAGATCAAGACCAGAGCAGGCCAGTAGTTCATGTTCAACGCGTCGATTCGCTCCGCTCCACCCTGTCCCAGTCCAGTCCAGTCACGGGCGCCTGCGTTTTCGCGGTTGGCACGGAAAAGTCGCCGTAAAATCTGGAAAAGGAAGCTAGCTTACTTACCAGGGCAGGGGTAAGGTAAATTTACCTAGCGCCTACCTTAGGTAAGGTAGCCTGGGCTTGGCAGTGCAAGTCCCGTGGTCCAATCTGATCCATCTCATCCCAACCTCAACTCTACCTGCATCTTAAGCTAATGATTTAGACGCAAAACAACTGGACCAGACCAGAACAGCTACCAACCTACGCCGGTAAATTGGGATGCCTCCTCGTACGCGGCCAATTGAAAAGTTTGCCCAGGCTGTTGGCAAATGCTCAGCGGAGGTAAAGTATACGCAGCCCAAGTCTCGGTCTACTGCTCACTCACCACGCTTCCAGGCCTCTGTCTACGGCAAATGCATAGTGGCCGACTACAACTCTGTTCACAAGGATAAATGCCTCACTGAATTCCTCCGGTTGAAGGATTGCTACATTGTGTGTTACCAACGATCACTCTTGCTATTATTCATGCTCACGAGGCGTAGGCTGCCGCGAAGAAACCATGACGCCGATAAAAAGTGCAGATGTGCAATAACAACGTCTAGCTACGTCCGTCACCTCGGGCTACGCTATCAAATCCGGCATAGATGAGTCGAGAAAGTCAGAAGGAGTGATCATCCACTGTCCGGGTACTCGAGCCAGGTTCTTGTTCATAGCTTCAGGAGTCGAAGTAGAAACACGGCTTTCGTAATCTCCTGCTCCTCCTCCATAATGACGCCTGCCTCTGGTGTCTCGGGTATCATGCCTTCAATTTCTGTTACAACGTGATGATCGATGGGCCGTCGCAAGGCCTTCTCGATGGTACTGGCTTGAGTGGTGAAGGCGTTTGCAAGACCGATATTGTCGGGATCAGACAGCACCTTATATTCCATCTTGACGTCGTCGGTAGGTTGAAGGCCGGCCTTTTTCCTGAGACGCTGGACGCGATTGATAATCTCCCTTGCTAATGCCTGGTCTGCAAGTTCTGGGTAGATCTCCGCATCCAGAATAGTGAGTACCTCGTCGTCGGTGTTCGTCTCCAATTTTTTCGATGACTCGTCGTCTTTCAGGCCTCTCTTGACAACGAGATCTCCGTCTTCAAGTGTGATGCCATCCACGATAATAGTCTTGTCGAGCACGAACTGATGCACTTGGTCGCTTGTCAATCCTGGCAAAGCTTTCTTCACTTTCTGAACATCCTTCTTCAGTTTCTTTCCCAGAACTGGCCAGTCCGCGGACACGCTGTATTGAACATTGTACCTTGCCTCGTCCGACGAGAGGACTAGTTCCTGGATGTTGAGCTCTTCGGTAATGTAACCCTCAAGGGATCGAACATCCTCCAGGTACTCGGCGTCAGGATGTATGACAATCAGGCTCTTGAGTGGAGTCTTGAGACCAATTGTTCGGCGTTCTCTTGAGACTCGTGCTAGTTCAATGACACGTTGCATTCGCCCGACACGACGCTCAATTTCCACATCAAAAAGCTCCTCTCTAACATCAGGGAACGATAGAAAATGGACACTGCGAGAATCTTCTCCTTGAAGGCTATTGGGAATGTGTGGTAGTAGACGCTGGTAGATGGTGTCTGTGATGAAGGGTGTGAATGGAGCGAGTCCCTTCACGAGGGTAAAGAGAACTTCAAAGAGGGTGTTCAGTGCGTGCTGGGTGTCGTCGACGCCGAGCTCGCCCTTGAGACGCTTACGGTTGAATCGAATATACCAATTTGTTGTGTTGTCAATCAGATCTAGAAGTCGGGGAACGACAGTGTAAAGACGATAACCTGCATCAAGTTAGCAGGAGAATGCTTTTGGCCTGACACTCGCACTCACCTGCCATCTCCTCGTTCACAAATTTGAGAAGACTTTGACAGCTTGCCAGAATCCATCGATCCATGACATTTGTATTGGTAGCCTCCGCTCTGGGATCGAAGCAGTAGTCAATCTTTTCGATCTTCTTCAAGAGTGCAACTTGTCCTTCGAAGAACTTGTAGCTGTTCCACAACGGCAACAAGACCTTGGCGACTACTTCTTTCACGCCAGCTTCTTTGAAGCGCAATGGCTCGGCTCGGACGACTGGAGAGTTGATTAGATACAGGCGCAGGGCATCAGAGCCATACTTGCTCATGACAATTGATGGATCAGGGTAGTTTTTTAAACGCTTCGACATCTTCTTTCCGTCTTCGGCTAGCACGATACCGTTGACAACGCAATTCTTAAAAGGGGAAACACCAAACAAGTGCGTGCCAAGGACCAAGAGCGTATAGAACCAGCCTCTTGTTTGATCGAGACCTTCTGCGATGAAGTCGCCCGGAAACGACTTCTCAAACTTCTCCTTGTTCTCGAATGGGTAATGCTGGCTGGCATATGGCATGCTTCCCGACTCGAACCAGCAATCGAAAACCTCCTCAATGCGCTTCAATTGGCCCTTGCCCATCTTGCTAGGGATGGTGATGTGATCAATATTGTCACGATGAAGATCCGTGATCTCGCCTTTGTAGCCACTGAGCTCCTTCAGCTCAGCAACGCTGCCGATGCAAACTTTCTCCTCCAGATCATCGCTGACCCAAAGAGGGATTGGTGTCCCCCAATATCTATTACGAGACACGTTCCAGTCCCGGGCTCCGCCGATCCAGTTGGCAAATCGCTTTTCCTTGACAAAGGATGGCACCCAGTGAGAACCCTCAATGTTCTTCAGCATCTGGGGTACAACCTCGGGAATCCTAATGAACCAAGATGGAACGGCTCTGTAGATCAAAGGTGTATCTGATCGAGGGCACATTGGGTAGCTATGTCGAATCTGCGAATCAACAATAAGTCTTCCGGTGCCCTTGAGATATTTGATAATGGCCCTATCTGCGGTTTTGACATGCTGATTTGCGAAATCGCGGACTACCGGAGTGAAATGACCTCTCTCATCGACCGGATTTGGGGGTGGCCGCTTCTCGCTGATGACACCATTCTCCATGGCGACATTGTAGTCTTCCTCACCGAAAGCAGGAGCTTGATGAACAATACCAACACCGCTATCATCCGTTACGTATGTGGCATTGAAAACCCGAAACCCATATTCTTTGAATTCCTCGTAGAAATAATCAAATAGCGGCTCGTATTTCCAGCCCAACATCTCACTTCCCTTGAGTTTCTTGATGATCTTGAACTTGGCCTTCTTAACATCCTTGTAGAGAGTACCAAGGAGCTTCTCCAACAGAATGAAGTTCTTTCCGGTGAGTTCATCGTGGATCTTGAGATACTCGAAGTCAGGGTGTGCAGCCAGGCCAGTATGAGAGGGTAACGTCCATGGCGTCGTAGTCCATGCGAGGAGGCAGGTGTTTGGGTCCTCTATCAGTGGAAATGAAACCACAACTGCAGGGTCAGTGATATCTTGGTAGTTTTGGTTTGCCTCGAAATTGGAGAGTGCGGTCGTGAGAGCTGTCGAGTATGGCATGACTCGGTAACCTTGGTATACAGCCCCTTTGTCGAAAATAGTCTTGAATACCCACCATTCGGACTCCATGAATTTAGGGTCCATAGTCTGACATCATGTTAACTCTCAGGACCATTATTCCAATACAGAAAATTACCTTGTAGTCATTGTCGAAATCAATCCAGCGGCCCAGTCTGTCAATAGTGGTTCTCCATTCTGCAGAATATCTCATGACAATAGCTCTGCATTCTGCGTTGTACTTCTCTAATCCTAGCTCCATAACTGCAGCCTTGCCCGTAATTCCAAGCTTCTTGTCAATCTCGTGCTCGATCGGAAGACCGTGTGTATCCCAGCCAAACCGTCTCTCCACATGGTAACCTTTCATCGACCAGTACCGAGGGATGATATCTTTTATCGTGGAAGCCAAAAGATGACCATAGTGTGGCAATCCGCTGCGAAACATCAGTAAGTCGGTGCAAAATGTACCCCGCCATCGCAATTCAAGGCTGCTCGAGATCTTGAAGTGCAGGGTCACCTACGTAGCAAATGGCGGTCCATCGTAGAAAGTATAGACAGGCCGGTTCTTCGAGAGCTCCACCTGTCGCTGGAAGGCGTCGATCTCTTTCCACCGCTGAAGAACATTCTCCTCCTCCTTTGGAAAGTTGATACTCATGGCGGCGGTGGGATGACGCTGGGAGCAGTATATGCGGACAAAGTACCGCGAATCGCAGATAGTGCGAGCGTGGGGTGGGTTGTCGAGTTTGGTACTGACGTGCGAAGACGTCGTGTGAAACAAATGCTGTCAATGGGGTTTGTTGAAGTTGAGTCGTTAATTGTCCCTTCGTGCAATACCCCGCGGTGACTCTTTACTTTAATTTTGCCGTGCCTGAGCAAGAAAGTGGACAGCCAATCACAACTCAAACAAGATTCAGCCCTGCTTCCGTGGTGGGCAGAGCTAAGTGAGGGGCAGCTTCCATTGGATCTAACAAATTTCATGATCCACTCTGTGGGCGAGAAGCAGATCGAGTCATTATTTATTCCTTCAGCCACTGTGCGAACATTACTCTGAGAAATCTAATATCCCGAGGGAATATAGGACAGCTAGCACTGGCATTCCATGCCTTGGCTTTCGCCTGCTACTGCCTGTTGTTCCAGCAGCCATTCCACGAGATGAATGCCGAGCGGTGCTTAGCAGAATCTCAGGAAGCGAGGCTCTCTTTTCCATTCCGTAGGCCAGACCCTAGTATATCTACAGCATGATACAAAACCGGAGTTCGTTCTCAGTCCACCCCATCGTCACCTTCTTCACCTTCATCGTCCTCTTCGCCATCCTCCTCGCCATCCTCTTCGCCGTCAGACACAGACTCTCCAAGGGCTTTCAGCCGCTCCCTGTATTGTTTGACCTTGTCCTCCATGTCGCCAAAAACCATCAACAGGTCATCTAGTTCGCCTTGAACTGTTTGCTTTTCCTGTTCCTTCTGAACCAGAGAAGCCGCGGCCTTGGTAGCGTTCGTTGTCGCGGCATCCACCCTAGTTACCAGATCCTTTGCTTTCTCTTCAGCACGCTGTAATCGGACTGCTTGCTCACTACTACTCGATTGATATTCGAGATGTGCAGTCTGCAAATCTTGTAGATGATCTTTGTTCGCCTATAGTACGTCAGCAACTTAGTCCAGCAAGACAAGCCATATCTTTACCTTTGTGAGATCAGCATTCAGTTTACCGATTTTAGTCTGGAGGTCTGCTATCTCGGCCTCGGTTCGTTTTCGAATTCTATCAGCATTAGCTTCAGATGTCTTCTGAACATGCTCAAGCTGTCGCTGGTGGCCTTGGATGAGCCGGGCCTGTTCGGTTTGTAACTTTCTATGGCCGGTTAGCTAGATAAGTATCGTCAGGGGTAGGATTTCCTCCATACTTCATGTCGTCATCGTGATGCCGCTGCAAAGCATCATTTACATTCTTGATCCGTGTCAATTCCACAGCAAACGTCTCTTTGTTTCTCCGGTGGTCGGCCTGCTCTTGTCCCAACTGCCTACCAAGAGATACAACTTCCTCCTGCGCCCTCTGCAACAGCTTCTCCTTCTCCTCGAGCTGCGATCGCAATGAGTCAACCATTTCACGAGATATGCCCTTCTGTACCCCGTTGGTAATGACAGGTATCTCCATACCAGGATCTCGGTCAATTACGCGAAGTAAACGACTGAAGTTGTCTTTGATGAAATCAACGAATGTAGTATCAAAGAAAACTTCTGGGAGGCCGCCCAGCCGCGCTGAACTGAGTTTTTGCGGGATTACTTCAAAGTCTCGAAGAAAAGGGTATCCTCTCAACCTCGTCAGCCTGTCGATGTACTTCTCTCGGCCCAGCTGAGATGCTATTATTGGATGTATTGTCGCTCTGGGAACCGGCGAGTCCTTTGTTGAGAATTCGTACACTATTCCAAGAAGTGTAGCACACAGTCCTTGAACCATGACTCCGTCCCCAACACCACTCGAAACAGCTTGCGCCAAACTTTGAAGATTGCTTCCTTCACCAAGGAAATCGTTGACCCCATCGGGGTCCTCAAACAACCACCCACAGAGTAGCATCAGGTAAGCGACCAGTATCCTCTCGTCTAAATTCCTTTGGATGCCGACAACAAGATTCCCAGTCAGCGTTTGAATGCAAGTCACCACTTCTTCTCCTTCAGCTGCGTCGCCCTCAACAACACTCATTGCCAGGCTTTTCGCATTGGCATCCTCGTAGACCAAGTGAAATAAGATTACAGCCGCAAACCAATATCGGTACGCATCGCTGGATGTCTGGGTATCCAGAGGTTGAAGAAGGGTTGTCAGGACATTGGCAGTTTCGTCGGCCCCTGCAGTGTGTCCATCAATAGCTCGCCGAAGAAAGTGCTTTCGTATTACGGGGTGATTGTAGAAATATGCTTTGATGCACTCGCACGCAGCAAGTCTGGAATCAAAAGCGCTTATCAGAGGCACACTCAGTGTCAGATCTAGTAGCCCGTCAATAACATAGACCTGCGGAACTCCATTCCGTACGGTATCCTTCTCTCCCTCACCCTCATCAGAAGGCTCGTCGAGGACTGATGTGACTCTGAATTGTGAAAATCCTTCTTGCAGCGCTGGGTTACCACGAATCAGATCTGCACATGTCGTCAAAGCCTATCTCAAACGTCAATAAGCTTCGATCCAGCGACAACTAATTGACTAGCATACCTCTGCTTTTATCTGCATCTCCGTTGATCGGTCGAAAGCCAGGTGAAGAACTTGGTCCAGGACACCGTGTTGCCAGAAGGAAGCCTGGTTAGCTTGAGTACCGACTCCGCCAGTGACTAAGAACAGCCTCAAGACTGCCAGCAAAGCATATATGTTCCGGTTCGCTTGGGTCTTCGCCCACTCTGCAACCTTGGGCTCGTGGATCTCCTTGGCAGCATCGGCCAATAACAATGCAACCTTGGGAACGCACCCAGCCTCTCTGAAGAATGATTGGTTGGATACATTCAATCTAAGAAGGTTCGCTAGCAATATCAGACAATCTTCCACTATTCTGTCACCGTGCACCAGAGAACCCTCCAAGTTGATAATTTTGAATATCCGATCGAAGGCATCTTCAAATGCAACCCGCTTCTGCAATTCCGAAGACGTCGGTGTAAGGTAGGTGAGAAGTGATAAGCCCTCGTTCCGAATGGCGTCTCTTCTGTCATCAAGTACTGCTACTAGTCTGGAAATTCCCAAAGGCGCTGTAAATATACATTCCTCTGTTCTCTCGGTGCGAGAGGCCAAGATGGCTGAAAGCAGCTGCAGTGAGTAGAGTCGAGAGTAGAAATCTTGTGTATCCAAAAAATCTAAGAGCAGTGTAATATTGTCTTGGCGCTGAGTGAACTCGTCTGCCAGCCAGAGAGCAATCTCTTCTGACGCTTCGGGGCTACTCTCATTGGGGTTGAAGAGCATAAGGAGTGTTTCGAGTGTAATTTTGACTGTGTCGACATCTTCGCGGTCATTGTTGAGACTCCCAATTAAGCCTCGTAGAGCATCTGAAGCAACGGAAGCAGGGTATTCTTTCGCAAAGCTTCGTAGACCCAAGATCGCAGCGCGACGATCTTCCAGTAAGGTTGATGAGTTCAAGCGGCCAGAGAGGGTTGTTATCGTTTCGCTGACAGACTGCTTTGCAGGCGGCGTTGCGATGGCGAACATGATTGCTGGGGCAAGTCTCTCTGCCTCGGGGTTCGGCTTTGGCTTGGGTTCTGATCGAGGAGCGGAAGGCCATTGACAGTCCTGGACGGCATGTTATGGTCTGTTTCTACGATACCCAGGATCGTCTCATATTGTGGAAAAGGAATGGGTCCTGTACGCCAGTTAGGTAAATTACATGGCTTGGATGACTAGATATGTATAGGTGGACTGGGAGCGGATTACAGCTAATCTACACGGTAAGCCAGAACAGTGTACGTGTGGTGTGGTGTGGCTTGATATGGTATGGCGTGGTAAGTATGCTGGGCTGAACTCGTACCTGTCTAGGTTGACAGTTGAGAGACTTGAACCACCAAGGTAGGATAGGTAGGTAGGTAAAGCGAAGAGAAGTGAAGTGCAGTGAGGCTCCCAGCAACTAATCTGGCCTTGCTGGACCCCTGCTCGCCCGAGCCTAGCCATGCCGAACAACAGCAGCCTAGGCAGCTAGGCAACATCCGCTCTAGCTCGCCCTGCCTTCCGAGAGAGCAAGGCAAGCGCAAGCTTCTGCTGCTGCAAGCATGCTCCCGCATCGCATCGTTTTCTTTCACCACCTTCACCTCCACCACAGCCTCATCCTCATCCTCAACAACTCATTGTCTAATATCGCAGTCATTCGAAGAAATACACGGTCGCTGCTACTTTCATAGTCTGTGGGCTAGCGCCACCGTACTTTCGCTTCGCTTTCTGCGACCCGTGACAGCGCCAGGCTGCAACACATCGTGCCGCGACACTTGTCTGAACTCAGCTTGCATCTTCCAACCCCAACTCGAAGCGCTCGCGGAGATGGGTGTCCCAGGTACGTCTTGCCTCCTTGCACATATTCTCCGTCGCTAACAGTCTTGCTATCAGCTCTTTTCCGATGGCTCAGCCAAAAATACGTACGTTCATGCGCACTTTGCCCCTCTCAGCTGCCAATGCTAATCATCTCAATAGCCGAAAATCATCAGTCCTGTGATCGAAGAAAAACCCCATGAAATCGATGGCCAGGAGATACCCGTTGATACAAGAGGACCAAATCCGAATGGCGAAGAATTCGATAACCTTTATCTCGACATGAATGGCATTGTCCATCCCTGTTCACATCCTGAAGATCGACCACCTCCAAAGGATGAGGAGGAGATGATGTTGGCCATTTTCAAGTATACAGATCGGGTCGTGAACATGGTCCGCCCTAGAAAGCTACTGTTGATTGCCATCGATGGCGTCGCGCCACGCGCCAAGATGAACCAGCAACGTTCCCGACGATTTCGGTCTGCCCAGGAGGCTCAGGAGAAAGCAGCAGACAAGGCTGAGTTGCTGAAAATGCTGAAGTCGCAAGGCGGGCACATAGAAGAGCCCGAAATCAAGAAAGCCTGGGACTCCAACGAGATCACTCCAGGAACGCCTTTCATGGATATTCTAGCTGCCAGCTTGCGATACTGGATCTCTTACAAACTCAATACGGATCCAGCGTGGGCTAAGATGAAAGTCATCATTTCTGACTCTACTGTTCCGGGTGAAGGTGAACATAAAATCATGGAGTTCATCAGATCTCAACGCTCTTCCCCTGATCATGACCCCAACACACGTCATGTAATCTATGGTCTCGATGCAGATCTGATTATGTTGGGACTGGGAACCCACGAGCCCCATTTCCGTGTTCTGCGAGAGGATGTGTTTGCGCAGGATAGCAAGCCTCGTACTTGTCACATGTGTGGCCAACCAGGACACGAGGCCAGAGAGTGTACAGGCAAAGCAAAGGTAAAGGACGGCGAATTTGACGAGAAAGACAGTGCGCCAGCATTGAAACCATTCATTTGGCTTCATGTGTCAGTCCTCAGAGAGTATCTAGCCGCTGAGCTCTATGTCCCAGATCAGCCCTACAGGTTTGACCTTGAGCGAGCTATCGATGACTGGGTGTTTATGTGTTTCTTTGTTGGCAATGACTTCTTACCGCATCTTCCCAGTCTTGAAATTCGCGAAAATGGAATCGACACTTTGATTGCCATTTGGCGCGATAACATTCCACACATGGGCGGATATCTCACCAAGGATGGCCATGTTGACCTTGAGCGAGCCCAATTCATTCTCGACGGATTGGCGAAACAAGAAGATGCCATTTTCAGAAGAAGAAAGCAGACGGAGGATCGCCGGGAAGCCAATGCAAAGCGACGTAAGCTAGAGGGCGACCGCGGTGGGCGGGGAGGCCGAGGTGGCAGAGGCGGCGGTTCCCAAGATTCTCCATCAAACGGAAGACAGAGCAGGCCTTCTAACCTTGCACCAGAAGGACTTCCCCTTTTTGCCCCAGGCGCAGGCATTAGTAAGGAGGCAGCTGCTATGACACATGATATGGTTGTCAATCGAGGCGCCATCTACAAGGCAAACTTAGCTAACAAGAGTGCTGCGGCCGCATTGAAGAGTCAAATCAACGGATCGGCTCCAGCCGAAGACGCCAAAGACATTGCTACTGATGGTACCGCCGAATCACCAGCATCTGCACTTGGGAAGCGTAAAGCTGATATGCTTGACGATGACAGCAGCACTCCTGGACGTAACACACCCCAGCCCGGAACACCCAAGACACCGAGTGACGAGCCGCCACCCGACACTGTGAGACTGTGGGATGAGGGTTACGCTGATAGATACTACGAGCAAAAGTTCGGGGTCGATCCCAAGGATATCGAGTTTCGCAACAAGGTTGCAAGAGCCTATGTCGAAGGCCTTGCATGGGTTCTGCTCTACTATTTTCAAGGGTGTCCATCTTGGGATTGGTATTACCCATATCATTACGCTCCTTTTGCTGCAGATTTTTCCAATATCGCTGATATGAAAATATCTTTCGAAAAGGGTAGAATTTTTAGGCCATTCGAGCAGCTTATGGGAGTGCTCCCAGCCGCTTCCAGGCAAGCCATACCCGAAACATTCCACGATCTCATGACCGATCCGAATAGCGAGATCATTGATTTCTATCCTGAAGATTTCGTTGTTGATCTTAATGGCAAGAAGTTTGCTTGGCAGGGTGTTGCTCTTCTTCCCTTCATTGATTCTGAACGTTTGCTTAGCGCAATGGCTAAGAAGTACCCGCTGTTGCCGCCCGAAGTTGCGGCTCGCAACGGCGTCGGCAAAGATGTTCTTCTTGTTGCAGAGGCTCATGAAGCGCTCTATGCAGATATTGCTACAAACTTCTACTCAAAGAAACAGGGTCCCCCGCACTTTAAATTGAATCCAAGAGTCAGCGAAGGCTTGACTGGAAAGGTCGAGAAAAATGAGTCTTATTTACCTCATGGCACCCTGACATTTCCTCTATCGAGTGGAGAGATGCCGAGCCTAGACGAAGATCGTTCAATCAGGTAAGTCAACATTCCGCCTGTCGAAGAACCGGCTGACATGTTGAACAGTGTCCATTACGAGATGCCCAAGTCAAAGCATCTTCATAAATCTATGCTCTTGCGAGGTGTCACCTTCGCTACTCCAGCACTTACCCCCAGCGAAATTGAAGAGACGAATAATAAGGCCGCTAGGTCAGGTCGATCTCATGGCGGCGTTCCACTGAGAGGCAATGGCCGGGGCCGAAATTCGTTCAACTATGCGTCATCCAACCAATATCGTGGATCACACAACAGTCAGCAGGCGCGTGGACCCCCACCGCCACAGTATCAAAATCCATTTCCCCCTCCACCCCCAGGCTGGACTCCACCTCAGCCTGGCATGGCTGGATTTGCTCGTGGACCTCCCCCACCACCTCCTGGCTATGCAGCGTATGGTAGTGGCCCACAGTCCAACTACTCTCAGCCGCCCAGCAATGGCTACGGAGGCCAGCAGGTATATGGCGACTCTAAGTACAACGATCGTCGTGCGGGCGGTAACTCCCACCGAGGAGAAGGTGGCTACGGTCATGGGCGAGGGGGTGGAGGGTCGTATCGTGGAAACTATGGCGGTCGCTGAGAATGCATGCCAGCCACATACACAACGTTTTGCTTTATGGCAAGTACTGCTCTTATCTCAGCTGGCCGGACCGTCCCATCCTTTTCGTAGAATTGTACTCTATATCTCGTGTATAACAGTCTGGAGGGTCGAAAAGACCTTAAAATGGGAGCGGTCTTCCCTACCACTTGAGTCTAGTCTAAGATCTGTGACTTCTAAGCATGTCGAGTACCTATGTATAATGAGGAGCCGCTGTTCCAGATTTTGCAGTTCGGTTGCCAAAGGACTTGGCGCGATTCACTCAACCATGCTGCGATGTAGACACTCCCCTCACTCTTCAGGGTTCTATCTTCTGTGCACACCATTCACTATCCAGGCTGTTGTGGTTGGTTCTGTTGACGAGGTGGGTTAATAGTCTGTTCTCCTGTGTACTGTAAGTCTGCGGGCACTCGCCTACAGGACTGGCGCATTACTAACCGGTCCACCTCCTGTTTTGCTTGGGGCTCGTACCTGTAGGAAGGGAGCAGACTCAGCAGACCACCACCCTACATATTAGCCTGCCATGCCATCCTTCGAACAGGAGGGAGGTAGGGGAGGTACTTATAAGAAGGTGGGTACGGTGTGCGTGCTGTGCCCGCGGATAGATACTGCGTACGAGTACCAGAGCTACCTACCTAGGTACTACACCTGGAATTTGACGCCCGCTGGTGACATGACGATAATGTTGATACTTATCATGCCAGTGTAGCCACACCAACCAGTCGTAAACCCCATTGGATCAGCCCAGCCTCCAGGCCAGGTCCCGCACTGTCTGCTAATAGCAGACTCTTCCGATAGGAACCCAAGCTCCGAGCTGCCCAGTACCTTTCCCACGGTAACTTTCTGCCTAAGGTACATACCGATTACTTATACCTACCCCTACCTTTCAAACACACGTCCACTCACCTCTCCGTGGTCGCGTCGCAGGGCAGCGTAGACAGTGCAGCCAGATGTCCGAGGATCTGGCGGGGCAATTGGAACCCCATTGAGCTTCGTTGTCTCGACACTCCAACACTACCACTACCACTACCACTATCCTCACAGTCACTGTCACTGTCACTGAGGAGCCGCATGTCTGGCGTCTGCTTGCAGTCATGAATGGGGATTCTGGCCTAGTCGTCACTCTTGTAGACCGGCTTACAACACGGGTACCTCCTACCCCTACTATTCTCGCATTCTTCAACTTGACCACTAGCTGACCTACGTGCCTCTACTCTACAGCTACCCCATCGAACCGGATCACCCTTACATGACTTCAGTCGCGATGAGATCGTCGTGCTCACTCGTGGCACGCTTGTTGGCATCAGTGCTTCCTGTATTGGGATTGTAGTCGAAGCCCTTACCCAACTCCTCGAGGAGCTGTCCCAACCCTATAAAAGCATACAGGCGCACCCAATCCATGTCCTACACTCCGAGCTGTATGTCGTGGAGCTGTTGGCAGAATGTTGTTCGATTCATTGGGCGAGCGTAAACACAACAGAATCCTCGTCTGTGGAAGAAGAATCACTCTCTGATTCCGAGGGTTCTGAATCGGAATCTGGGAAAAGGGTCTCTTCTTTGACTAATGCAAAATACGCTCAGAACAGGCGTGCGTCTCGGAACAGGCTTCTGGAAAGAGGCAACCCACCCGGACCCCTAACGGATGATCTCGTCAGAAGGTTGATTGATGCCGTCAAGTTATTTTCTAGGCCTGTACCCGAGAGCTATGTCCTTCCTGCCGCCAATATTCTCGATGATATGTTTACTGGACTTCCTGCTGGAGAATCATATCTCCCGGATAATCCGACAGCTACAAATGGCCACCTCGGTGGGAGTGAGGTTTCCAAACTTCTCGTCGACAAGTCGGATGCCATCGAGGCTTTCACGAGAGGCATCATAGAATACGTGTCGTGTTCAAACTGGTTTCGTGTACTTGAATATTTGAAGAATGCCCTTCAGCAAGCCGCTCGTCAACCTACGGGGAATCCTGGCCAGACGAACTTCGTAGGCGATGATGACAGGAACGCCCTGGTTTCGATTCGGCTCATTTCTTCCTTCTGGGTCGATAGCCGCAAATTGAGTGTCGTCATCCAAGAGCTTTGTGGAAGTTTCTTACATCTCCGCAAGGCTTTTCAGACGACTGTGGCAATAGTTCTGCCATTGCTCATCACGCGATGGCTTGAGCGTAATCCGGGAGAGTTCATCGACCTCCATTCCATGCACCAAAGGCTGGACGGTGGCGCAGAAACATTATTTGATATGACAAACACCATGTTCGACGGAGGCAGGCGGAAAGCTCTTCTTTACCCCTTCCAGACCTCATTACTTCTACTGCTGCCTGATGTGTTCGAATACGCTAGCAACATGAGGGAGGTCAAAAGCAGTAGCAGTATTGCCAAAAAGGTATCCTTTCTCGAAATGCTGAGAAAAGCTTTGAGGAACAGGAACGAGACTGCTATACACTGTTTAACCACCGTTTTGAGGGTTGCCCGGCACTTTCCTATGGACAGCGACGCTGCTATTCTTAGTTTTGCTTTGGATGTTCAGGAGGAGGTGAGGGAGGCTGTCTTCCGGCGTCACAATCCTGGTGTGGATGCTGCAAATATAGACAATGCTCTCATGTGTGCCGCTTTCGTCAGTCTTGCACATCTGGATTTTGACTCGTGCGTGGAAAGTTTGACTCCATTCTGTCTGGCTTCGAATGCACCTCAGGACTCTAAGATTGCAGTCATCTCTGCTTGTTCCCATTTTGCAAGGCAATCCAACGCTGATGAATATCTACCGCTATTCACAAAAGTGGCAGAGTTTATTCGTGTCCAGCTGAGTGTATGTAAAATCTACAGGCCAGATAGCCACAGACTGACGTGCGTAGGCGACGACATTGAGAAGGCGTGATTCTTACGCTGATGAACAATACCCTTTATCAAAATCCCTTGAGAATGCCAACTCTGCAGATCTAATATACAGTATCCTATTATTTCTCGATGCATCGTCCTTGACTCTCTTTAATGGAGCCCCCAGTTTTGGCCCGGAATGGATCGTATTCTTTGAAGACACCTTTGCAACTTTTTCAACGTATCTGGCTACTGATGATGAACGTATCAGATGTCTGGCCAATACAGTTGCACGGAAAATCATGTCGGAAGGGACACTATCATTCTGGCGCAAGAGCAGAGGTGTAGGCTCACAAGCATTTAAGCAAAATTTCTGGAAAACAACGTAAGTTGGATATTCCCTGACGTTTCCAATGGAAAATTCTGGGATGTGTCTACGATGTTCAAAGCTCAAGCACTCTTATCCTACAAGGAAATCTTTCATTGCAATTGTGCTTTCGGGGAGCTGAACCCTCTGTCTTTGATTCGAGTGGATAGGCTAATGATGGTACCTCAAAACAGGTCTTCGATTCTCGCCACAGCGGCCGACAAACTGATTACCATGGGAAATGATGACAAGGGAACTCTGCGATTCGTCCACGACTATCTAGACTCCCGGCTCTCTCTCCTGAAAACCATTGAGGTGTGTATCACTATTTTCACGGCTTTGAAAACTTACAATGTCGTATGGCTACTAAGAATACTCAGGAATTGACAGTGGTTGCTGATGACATGCCTGAGCGGATCATTGCGTGTACGAAACTGGAGACTGCTTTCTTGATTTCTCTCTGCTCTGCAGACATCTCTGTGTGCCAGCTGGTTACCAAGTGCATCTCTCTATTCTGCGAAGAGGCTCGTCTTGTAGATGCGTCGACCACAGCGACAAAATCATCAATACCGACCATTCGGAACATTGATATCTACCTGGAGATTTCAACGAGACAATTTCGTTTCACTGGATTGGTGGCATTCCAGAAACGTGTTCGTGGCATTATGCGACAGATACAATATCCTGCCGCGGGCATCCTCACTGCATGGGAGACCGTCTTCGAGTACTGGCTCAGAACGTCGAAGCAGATATTTTCTCGGTCGTCTGATATGCTGGAAGAAAAGTTGCTAGTAGAATGGCGAAATTACTCGGGATTCCTCGCATCCCTTGGTGGTTCTTGTGTTTCCGATCTTGCCATGGTGACCGAAGATACGAGCTTGGCCGGTCTGAGATGGATTGACCGGGTGTCTCCAGATATCTATGACGAGACTCTTCTAAGCAAGTATATGAAACAGAGCATTCAACTTCTGGCAAGCAACAATGTCAGAATACGCGAAGCGACAAGAGAGACGCTCTCAACAGAGCTCTCTCCGTCGCTCTACTTCCCGCTGTTCGAAGCTCTTGAATCGGAGCTTGGCGTGCTATTCGACACTTCCCGCACGAACACTTCTCTGTCAATTGATTCGCGTGTCATCTTTGCCGAGCAAGCTGCTGCTTTGCTGAGAAGTATTGTCGAGCGATTAGGGGGACCTGCAGAAGCTGGTTCAGCATCATCCATCGACGTTGGCGCATTGACCCTCAACTTTGCAAAGTTTTTGGATGACTTGGCGGAAGGCGCCAGTATACTCAGAGTCAAGATCAAGATATGCCAGCTATGCGAGACCATCACACAGAAAAAAGAGCTTTTGAACCTTAGAAATGATGTGCGCATCAGGAACCAGCTGCTAGAGGTCATATTTGGCTGGATAGCTCGTCCAGGAACACCTAGAGACGCTGTGGTTCCTTCCGGTGCTCGGGTCGAGGAGCTTCATAGACTCCAGCGAGATTTGGATCGGGCCTGTCTGAAGGCCTTGGCCGATCTTACATATCGACTCCCTCTGCAGCCTGCAGAAGGGCAGACTGATGCCGACACAAGCGATCTGAAGTCCCAAATGTTCCACACTTACTTCAACCGCTTTCTCTCTCTACTAAATTATGAGGCCGCAGAAATCGGGAGGAATGAGATTCGACTCACAACCATTGCAAGCGACGATTCCATGACACCACCCGAACTTGCAATCAGCGCGCTGTCAAACCTGTTGAGCGCCAACATCGATGTTGGTCTCAAGCACTCTTTGGGGATTGGGTATCATGAGGACTTGGAAATACGAACCGCTTTCGTTAAAGTTCTGTGCAATATCTTGATTCAGGGTGCAGAGTTCAACAACCTTTCCGATACGGCCGTGAACGAGAAATACGATGAACTACTCGAGGTAAGTGGTTGACAAAATCATCGTGTTGAAACTTTGAATTTAATCTCTCAATAGCTACTCATCAACGACATGGCATTGACCATCGCGCTTTGCGATGCTTGCCCGAGCACCGAAGTAGACGAAATGACCATTTCTCTGCTCAATATCTTTGATTCTAGAGGTCTAGGCTTCGTTTTGTTGGAAGCTCTCATTGAGCACGAAGTCGAAGAAACAGGTTCGTGTGTAGAAATCGACTCGTGATGGTCACGCACTAATAAGTAGTAGAAAACGAGGCCGAGCTGTTACGCAGAAACTGTGTAGCCACCAAAATGCTATCAGTCTATGCGAAATGGAAGGGGGCTGCATATCTGAAGGCTACTCTTCAACGTGTCCTAGAGCGTCTTGTTCTGACTTCCAAGGATCTCGATCTCGAACTCGATCCTGCCAGGACTTCGTCTGCTGAGGAACTACAGAAGAACGCTCTTCAACTCCGCGTTGTTGCTAAAGTTTTCATCGATGACATATGTAATTCTGCCGCACATATACCCGTTTCGTTCAGGAAAATATGTAGCATTGTAAGTTTGCCGTTCTCCGACGATCAAGGCATAGTCTTATGTAGCTACCTACCAGATATCGTCTGCTGTGATGAAAAGATTTCCTGAGGCCAAGTTTACAGCGGTTGGGGCGTTCATATTCCTCCGGTTCTTCTGCCCAGCTATTGTAGCACCCGATGTTGAAGGGCTGATAACATCAGCACCTTCGAAGGAAATGAGACGTGGATTGCTTCTCATTGCAAAAGTTGTTCAGAACCTGGCCAACAATGTACTGTTTGGTGCCAAGGAGCCATACATGTTTCCCCTGAACGACTTCCTCACGCAAAATATTTATCGTGTAACAACATTCCTGCGAGAGATCTCTGTAAGTCCTTGGTCGCAGAGTGGAGCGATACTGTCTAATTCCAACAGGTGCCGCCAATTGTGATCGAACCCGCCATCGAATCGGAGTCTTTCGATTTTGGATCGTGCGTTGCTTTGCATCGATTCCTGTACGACCACTGGGACCATGTTCGACAGAAGATTGTCATCAGGGAAAGAAAAGGCGCTGTCCGATCCCTTCTCGACGTCACAAAGGGCCAAATTCCAATACTAGAGGCTCTGCGCAAACTCATCACTAATCTAGGTCCCCCCCCTATGGATGTTTCCTGGAATCGGCCCGCCATCTCCTCCAATAGTCCCCCTTCGTACTCGCGCTTTCAGCACTTCATGCTCAGGAACGCTGGCCGAAATACTGAATCTCTTGTCTCAACTCGTGCCGTATATGATGGCGGTGAAAGCAAGGTAGCCACGGCCCAGGTTTATCCTCAATGGCACCGCTAATGTAATCCAGGATGGGCTGCCGATGATCTGTATAATCCTTCGCAACATCGATACCGAAACTACGGATTATGAGCTGCTCCTTTTTGGCTATCTCAAGGTGTGTACCAAAACCGATTTCAATTCTTTGCTAAACCATGATCATATAGATCGCGAGCCGCATGTGGCATCGACCGTTTGGCATCCTCATCGATGCAACTTGCTACAATGGCCAGAATGAGCCTCAGGACGCATTATTCCGGAAGTTAGATCTCCTTACTCCATCGGAATTGTCGAAACAACTGTCGAGAGTCTATGTCTACAATATGAACAGTGCATTCCGGTGAATATATGGCCATTGTTTGCCCGAAAATTGCTAATTATTTGGTAGGAAATGCTTTCGTCGCATTCTGAGACTGGCTGCAAAGAGTGAAAACAGTGCATTCCACCCAAAGAACGTGGACTATCATCTCATCGGCAGTCTTCAAGATCTCCAGGTGCATTTTCACCTCAGTCAACTACACTTACCCAAGGAGACGATAAGCGTCGTCACTGATACCAGATATGTGTTCCAACCCATTGTGAGGCTGTCAAAGACCAAGGGCAAAATCGAAGTTGTCATCAAGGTGGGAAGCCAGTTCGTTCAGGTGACCACGACCAAAAAGCAAGAAGTCGTACCCGGCTTGAGGCTTCATGCAACTGTCAATGATATATTCCGCCTCTCTGAGGTTGACGAAGCACCGACTTCTATTCAAACCGAAGACGACTCCGCCTTCGGACTTCGGACGGAAAATGGGAAGATTGTAATGTACTTCACAAGCCCTCGAAAACCAGATGTACTTCAAGCGATCAGGGGAGCCAAAGCTAAATACGGCAAAGAATTGAGGACCTTGAAGTCTTTTGAAAGACTCGTGCGACCGCAAGATGTTCCTGGTACGCTTCTCAACATTGCTCTCACGAATATGACAAGTTCCGACCAAATCCTAAGACTGGCGTCTTACAATCTCCTGTGCGCTCTTTGTCGAGCCTTCAAATTCGCTGCAGATTCCAAGTTCTTGAGCACGAAAGGTATGATGACAATGGCTATCAACACAACCCCATGCTAACTTAGAACCACAGAGCTATGTGTTCCGCTGAATCCCTGCCATTTCGTTGTCGATATAAGTCAACAGCTTGCTCAGTCCGAGCCGCAGCTTACGGCCGATTTCCTGAATGAGTTCTTCGTTGGGTGGGAGAGCTTCCCTTACTCACAGCGGCCAATAAGTCTTGCATACATGGCTCCATGGCTACCAGGACTGAGGACAAGCCTCATACCAAACGACGTAGACAGCGATAAAGCACGAGAAAAGGTTGCCGCTATCTTTCGAAGACTTATCGAGGTTGCAATTTCCGATATTGCGCTTGGCACTACGTTGGAGCAGAACATCTGGCCAGCTATCACCAGTGATGAAATATATACAGACATTTTCTTGGACGAAGTTGTCAAGGCAGCCCTGAGCTTCGGCGTGATAGACGAACGTACGGAAGTCTTGGGATCCATAGTAGCTTCGCTCGGGACGGTCAGTATACGCGGCAAACTCCTTTCCCGGCTTCGCAAAGCTCTGAACCGGACTTCATTGCGGCCTACCAGACACTTACCAGAAAATACTGTATGGGGCGAGGTTTGTGTGCTCATTCGACTATGCCTTTCGATATCCTTTGACAGTGGCACGCAATCCCAGCTGTATCTGCCAGAGCTTTTCCATCTCGTCACCATGCTTGCCAATACTGGATCTTCGGATGTGAGACTCATGGTGCACCGTTTACTGATAAACACGGTGCATGCTATGTGCACCACCTTCGGGCTGGAAGAGAGCAAGCTCGCCAGGCTGAAAGTTCTCCTTGCATCACTTTCCGAGCCGAGAGCCGATTCGCTCTTCAACATTTCCAGCAGAGACGGAGTTTCGGCTGCATCTTCACAAGACTCGGGGATCCCCTCTCTAGTAGCAACCGAATCTTTGGCAGTCCTGCTTTCTGAGATCAGCACGGTTGCTGCTTTGACCGTTGATATGTCAAATGCCTGGCGCTCCCGTTGGATGAGCTTAGTCGCCAGCACCGCATTCCAAAGCAACCCCGCAATACAACCCCGCGCATTCACTGTGATGGGCTGTCTGGCGCGCGAAGATGTGGACGATGACCTCTTGTACCAAGTTCTTGTCGCTCTCAGGAGTAGCATTGGACGCTTCATGGAAGAAAATGATGGCGAAATGCTCATCGCCATCGTCACCTCACTGACAAAGATGATGGACAAGCTGCCATCAGCATCTCGCTACGGCATGCAAATGTTCTGGCTTGCACTATCACTCGTCAGGCTCGTTCCGTTGATGCTCTTCAACTGCACAGCCCTGTTCCTAGATGCTGTACTCAACAATATCGCCACACCGGGCGATTTCAAGGGTGGGCGAATGGTAACAACCTTGCTCCAAGGCAGAGTACCACTCGAAGACGCTGCGCTGCAGCTTGATGAGATCTACGGAATTCACTTCAATATCGAAAACTTCCATTTCGCAGTATGTGCTTCGTTAGTCAAAGGACTCACCGACTCGGTCACCAAGGCGACTGCTATACGAGTACTATCGACATTCCTAGAAGTTACCACGTCAAACCTGGCACTCGAGACGAGGTCTCCAAAAGATCTAACCGCATTTCCCTACCTTGGTCTACTGATATCTCGAGCGATGACCCCAGAGGAATCGAAAGAAAACCTCTGGCTCGCAGGCTGGACCTCTGTTGATGATGAGGAGGTAACCGCTGAAGGCGTACTGGACATGATAGACCTGCAACAGGTCAAGGATAAGGAGCTACTACTAAACGCTGCCATCGGAGTGGTTGACTTTCACTATCTCGAAGACACTGTACAGAACCGAGGCTTGCTCTGGCTTAACAGAATTGCCTTGAGACGGCCGACAGTGGTTCTGCATCTGTAAGAACTTCGCCGAACACTTTGATATACTTTCTGACGTATGTGGCACAGTTGCGGTCCCATCATTCGTATTCTTGACGATATCTTGATTTCATGCCAGAATGCCGTAACTCTGGAGTCCGCTCATCTATTGATGCGGACTCTCACATCGAACCCAAAGTTTTCAGACGGAGTCGATACATCGGAAATGCTAGAAGATGTTCTCGACGGGATTGGTTTTGGCGGCCTATGGCGCTCGTCCACTTTTCACTCGATTAACGAGCATGATAGACAATGTACTGCACTAACGGACCGTCTTATTGAGGTACCCCACCCTCTTACAAAATTTACACACAAGCAGCTAACCATCCCAGCTCATCATTGCATGAAGATAACCGGTGCAGTTACTTGACGTTATTGTTGATGTTTTACGAAGGATGATTTACGAAAAAGCGCGGTGGTACTCTCTTTGCTCGATTCTTTGAATATGATACCCTGCTTCCTGGCACTATTTAGAATCGCTCTTGTATGTTCTATTCTGGTGATGAAAGAAAGCCTTCATTTCACAATACCATAGAACTGAATCGGCATTAAATCACTCTTGTGTCTATCACGCGCCAATCAGAGGTGTGTAAACCCGATCCCTTGATTAACGAGAGCAGATCAGGTCTTTTTTTTCTAAGCTACACAGCTTTGCCTATCGAGGAGGAGATATCCTCGGTCTCGATTGCAGTTGCTTAGCCAGTGAGTCTGCCAAGGTCAACGAAAATCATGTCTTGCCACGCATTTGTGGCGTCCATCATGTTTTATTCCTTGAGCGTGACTTGGACAGTAGCAGCATACCTTTTCGCTCGCATACTTGTTGATATCAACGTATGTGTCAGCTTCTAGCCCATCCTGGTGTACCATATCCATGATGTCTTCTAACCTGTAGGCAACCAGACCCGGTTCGGTGAGTCCTAGACCAGCGGCAGCACTAGACCTACGAGGCTCATAATCATTGATCGTGACATGATACTGCATCCTAGTATTGCAGCTGCCTTGGCGCAAGAAATCGCATCGTCTCGGACCTTCTCACATCTGCTATATCCAGTCGACCTGATCCAAGAAGTTTCCCGTGGAACAAAGCAGCACGTTCCCCGCGGAGGGCTTCAATGGCCATCACGGCACATGCGATTTCCGTGTCCTGTGTTCCAATGACGAAAAGAGCTGGATTGTGGCAGTTTGTCGTGCATGGAATTGCTCAGGATTCGAGACCAAAATTGAGACCAAATCCGATACCTCAAGTCTTGGTTCTATGGTGCTGGCCAATCATCTCGATGCCGAGGACTTCTCTGCCAGTGTACCCTTCAACTGAGCCGGACGATAATATGAGAAGCATATTATGCGTAGCCCGTGTGAAGAAGCCATCATCAATCTCCATCACTAGTACCCAAGCCCGCTTTACCTCTGGGGCTCAACAAGGAACGCCGAGACGATCCAGCAGAATGGATCGATGCGTATACATTTGGAAACGAAGCTGGGGACATTTCTCGGTTTCGAAAAGAGGTTGGATGTTTTACGCGTCGATTTCTCCATCTACTCCAACAACGATTGGGGGTGTCCGGTGTGTTAGTCCTTGCCATAGATCGGAGAATGTGTTGGGCGTTTCCTAACCGTGGTTCTTTCAGGCTATTTTACATCGGAAATCTGCTCATGTTCCAGGTGTGATGCTTCTAGTGAGGAAATCCAGGCGAAAATATGATGTCATGTTCATAGTTGCTATTCTGGTGACTACTATCTGAACAGCGCGATTGTCGGTATATCCCTCCCTGACCAGGTCTTCTTCTAATTTGTCGTCTACGCAAAATCACATTTGCCTAGTCCTTCTTTCAATATTGCAATCTCGCCAAAGGCACGCTCGGTGTTCCAATCATGGAAACAGTCATCATCTTCTACATGGTTCCCTCCAACCGGAGCCTCTCGGTCACGACGCGGTGTCGGTGGTATGGCGTGGCATATTGTGCCGCCAATTCCTCTTGCAGCGTATGCCCACAGGGGCTCGTCCACAAGCAAGGCGGAGTGTCATGCGAACGCTCTCCCGACATACAGAGCAGCAGACTGCCATAGAGCATACGCGAGATCCTGTGAAAAGGAGACATTTCTACAAGTATTGCTGCGGTTGATTAGGATACCAGTTTGCAAGCTCGGCGGCCAGCGCTGATATTCCGCCAAGCTCGGTTTCGGGAGGATTACTTGGTATCTTATGAAACGCATGCCAGATAATTCGAAGCGGCGTTGATTGTAGCCAGCACGACGCTGCTTCTGATAGCTTTGAGCTGCCGGGTAGAAGAGACTAATGTTGTCGAGTCGTCCAGTCGTCGTCCAGCAAAAGACGGCCGATCTGTAATTTGCACCTGCGAGAACGGTAGTCATCTCTGGTGACACGCTTAGTCTGGCGAGGTCCTCAGGAACGAGCTTGGTATACTCGGTGACTCAAGTCATCAAAACGGGCCCATCTCGCAGCCTGTGGACATTGGATTGGTTCACCGGGTGCTGTGAGTTCCATTGAGTGATGGGAAAGCTTCGATCTCAGTTTATGTAGTCGCCTGGATCGCGAGGACAAGTGGTCAAATAAGGGTCGAATGGAGAACACGGTGTTCGGAAGTCTCAAGCAGAACATGTCAGACCATGATCCTGTCCTTCCAGAATACCAAGAATGGCCCACGTACAACTGTAAGTGGCGACTACTGTTCCACGCTCGAAGTACAAGTCATTTGTAGCTGATTTTCTCCTTCACGTCATGACTTATCGGATCTCGGATGCATTAGCTGTTCCAAACTAGAGCATTGCCTCGCCATTCTATACAATTGGACTGTCGTGGAGGTTGGTTCTTGTGGCCGTTGCAATTGTGCCGCCATCAACGCACTTGTTGGTGTGTCATGTATCCTGGGTCACTCTCTGTTTCAACAACTCGATTTCAAATCTATGGCACATTCATTTGGGAGTTGCTGTCAATATTAGTAACATACAATGGCTTAATCGGTGCCATGCTTCACATTTCATATATAGCACGAGGTAGATGACACTACCAGGTCACTTAGGTCCCATTAGAGCATCAGTCTCTACAAGAAGTGCATGTGGATTGCATTTGCCGGTTTTATCATTTCTGTGTTTTGTTATAGAGCTGCCAAACCTATCGTTCTAAATAAACAAAATCGATACTTTGTGCTATCTACCCAAGCTTTCATAATATCCCGAACTCGCTCCCCGAAGCAGCAAAAGTCACGACCAGATTTGTAATTTTATGCACATTCTCCAACCTCATTTTTCCCAACACCTGAAGTCTCATGCCAAGCCAAGGTCATTTCTCGGGACAAACTTCTACGAGCTTTGAGCGGGCTCTCGCAATTTGAATTCTACTATGGATTACTTTGAGATGCTATGTCTTGGACTGGCTTATTCGTCTGTGATTCGCTATATCCTACCTCGGCATATTCGCTGATATCTTATAATTCAAATTGTTGTTAATCGAATCGTAGGTTCTGCAAATGTTGGGTTCTCCTTGTGTCCGGCACGGGCGAGTGTTCTTCGATCGTATTACAGATTCAATAGTTGCATCCAGTTCAGGGGGAGAACTAGCCAGTTTCTTACAAAGCAACCAGGTCCATACTCTAGAGTTGATATGTGCTATGATGAGCGGCATGTGTGGGATAGACGGCAATTTTGCGATGTTGCCTCGCTTAACTTGTCAACACATGGTTCACGTCCACAGCATCAATTAATTCTGCTTGGTACTCCCTCCTATCTAGGTACCCCCTTAGCTGCTAAATGCATGCTCCCCACAGCACAGGTGCCGCTAAGTTGAGAAAAAAAGGTATAGCAGACTCCGCTGAGGCTTCAGTGGGTTTTCAGGTGGTCGTACCCCGAGTGGAACACCTGTTCTCGCTTGCCAGGGGCTCACCACGTGAGCCTCACAGGGCATTCAGGAATGTGTTCTTGGTGGCAGCTAATGGTAGACTCGACACATTCGATTGGTTGTGATTCTTCTCATGTTTCTACTTAGTTTCATTTAGGTCAAGCGGTCCAGGATATGGGGAGCTTCTCGGGGACTCCCCTGCTCCTTGTTGATGTTTGAACTAGATGTTGATGATTGAACTAGATCGCAAAAGCATGATGACAGAAGCGCTGACTGTCAGGTACATTTGCCGCGCTCTTCTGCGCGATTGCACTTTTTCATGCATCTATTGGTGTTAATGTAACTGCCAACTCCACCTTAGCTGCCACAGATCTATCTCCCTCGTTCCCAAGGGATGTCCATGATCGTGGCCATTTCTATATGCCCTAATTGATACCAGGAGGGGCTAGACACCACAGAATATCTTGGTCTCTGCTACAGTGCTAGGGCCGATCAAATTCGTATTCAGCTGCAGGATCTGGCCCAAAAAAGCCGATGAACCCCACTACAGGGGTTCACCCAAGAGCTGACATCGGAATTGGACCGATGGATATTATTACTTTTGACAATCCCTCGGCATTGGGATTTCTTCCAGGTTACATGTTATGCTTAATAATCCTGGCGAAGGATACATGCTTCTGGACCAATACAGATGTAGTAGCTTGAATCTGTCTCGAAGAATTATAATAGTTATCAAGGTGTAGGTATGGGTACTGTAATAGATCTAGCTTTTACTTACTTAACGTGTTACGTGTGTTTCGCATCGTGGCATGACTGGTAGATACCTAACGATACTCTCAGATAGCACAATTGTGACAGTAAGAGACGTTGCGAAGTTCATAGATGATCTCCAACATTTGCGATGCAGAACCACGTTGGATGAAACACTATCAACTTTGCCTTGACTGTTGAAGCCGTCTCATTTGGTTCCAAGCCAGCCATGTTTCGTCCTAGGCTCAAATACCCAAGACGAGGTTCTCCAGGTCAAGACGAACCTCTCCCATACCACCCTTTCCATCGTCTATTCTTTTAGACGACTCCGTTTCGCATGAGGTAGGTCGGCCACCAAAAGTCAGAACTCCCAAAAACACTCCACCTCTCTCCCTCATCGAATCTACCTGCCACTGTTGAGTTGGCACCTGCAAGTTGAACTGTGTAGCCTTCGTGCCCTCAACCTCGGTCAATCTATTCAAATTGAAGATGCCGCGCGAGTCATCCGCGGAGGACTTGTGTACTCCCGTGATGGCAGAGTAGGCCAGGGAAAGAGCCCCAATGTGGAGTTCTTCGACAAAGATAGTCAATTGTTTAATCCCATATGCACCGCTTGGGTGTGTAACTGCCTCCTCGGAGACTGGAACTCGAATTGAACGTGGCGTTACGTCGTGACAAAAGAATGGAAGCTGTCCACTCTGGTATCCGGTTGCAGTGACCGGCACAGTGACAGTCCACTTGACTTCCTTTCCATCTGGCCTTTGTCTCCCGCCCGCAGTAGGTGGCTGGTACTCGACCTTAGCAGCGCCTTCCTTCCACTTCACGCGCCCAAGTCGTTTTTGCAGCTCCGAGAACAAGACGGCAGCATCTCCAGTACTATGCGTAAGGGCAAAGTCGATAATGCCGAGCTGCTTGCCGCCCCAACGATGACCCTCTCTGTTCTTTGGATCATCATTAACGAATGCTATCAATTCGATATAGCTGCCATCACGGAAGCAAATCAGTCGATTCTCGGTTTTCTGGTCTGCGTGCTGGCCACCGGGCGTGATTTTGAAGTTGTCGGTTATCCAAGTCGGAGGGTTCGCGAGTGAGGCATAGGGTACGAGCACGATGATGTGGTCAAGGTGCGCCATTCTGAGCTGTTACCGCAGAACCGAACCGTCGAAGTGGCTTTAATGCTGCTAACAGGTGGCAGCTGACGAAGGCCTATATCTGGAGTTCTGCAACGGCCCTTGAATCTATATAGTCAATCCGGATCTGGGACAATAAGATGTCGTTCAGGACTCTTGCACACCTGGCAGGGTAGTAGACCTGTGCCAAAGGTGGGGGTTTGGGGGAGGTTCTTAGGTACAGTACTGCAGGCAGAGCACTGGCGAGCACGCAGCTACAGTACAAGTATAAATCGCAGAATATTTCAATCACTGGAAGACACGAGTATCCACACAACCAAGGTCAAAGATACATGGTGACTGGCTGTCTGGTGAGAATGCATGCTGCTGCTGCTGATTACTTGCCCAAGCCACCGCGAAATATCTCGATAGGATCAAAACAGAACCAAAGAGCCAGGAAAGGGGCGCTGGGAAGAAAGTTAGTTGACCATATCTAGGTGGCGCGGAGACTATCCTATCAGCTCCGGCGAAGAGAAAGATACCTACTCATTCTGCTCCAGTTTTTCCTGGAATCACATGACCATGAACTGCGGGAGACAACCCACCTACGTAGGTAGGTAAGGTAGGTAGGTAGGTAGGTACCTTAAGGTAAGCACCGCACCCAGTACGACTTCGAACAAGAGAGTGACTGCCTGCCACCTTTCACCCAGGTGGCGCATTTTCCCGGTTTAAGTAGAACGAGTTCAAGATCAACCGCCAAAAGTAAAGTGGACTGGACTGGCTTCTTGAGGTTGGTTATATCAAACGTAGGGTCGAGCGAGCTAATTCGACATGCCATTTTGTCTAACAGTGTATAGCGCAACCTTGTCATATGGTACTAACTAGTATAAGGTAGGTAAGGGAGGTTCGCCAATGCACACCTGATTTTCCGACCGAAGGTAGGGAACATGTCAATTTAGATACAAAAAAGAGATAGGAAAGGAGGAAGTTACATACCTATAGGTAGGTAACTTAAGGAAAGGAGAGGAACAAGTACTAATAGCTACATAGAATATCACGAGTGCTTCAACATAAACGAAATATTCTTTACTGAATCAACTACTCTACTACTACTGTAACTACTAAGACGTAGCAGTGTTCGAAGTCCCGAAGGGGGGCCGACCAATTGCTTAGGTAGCCGGAGACTCGCATTTTCACAAGTACAAAACCCAGACACAGGTAGCCCTCTAGCCCCTTAGTATTAGTATACCTAGTAAGGTGAGGTTGATAAATGCACAAGCAGAGTCACTCTGAAATAAGCGAAACAGGGAGTACCTTGTATCGATTTGGACCAAATGGCATGTTGATTTAGCTAACACCAAAGAATGGAAGACAAGGTGACTTACAAGACAGCCAACCCACTATTCGCATTGACTAGACCTCCCCGGATCCCACCTCATCGTATCGTCGCGCGCCAACCCTTGCTGTGAAGCACAGGAAAGGACCAAGAGCTACCTGCCGCACCGTACCGTGCCGTACCTGCAGCGTCCGCCATCTCATCTGGAGTTGACCCGACATTATTGGAGGCCGAAGGCACTGCACGGGCCGCGTCATACTATGGTGTTAGTTTAGAGAGGTTTGGCCCGGAACGATTTTTTGCCTTACTAAACCCACCTGCCGCAGTGCCCCGTACTACTGCACGACCTTTTGATACTCCTGTAACCTTTATAGAATATGAAAATAGTATTTAAAACACAGCGGATCTTTCTATCAAGTCAGAATTAGTATTAGAGGTACGGCTGTAAAGCTAGAGATAGGTACTTCAGAGAAGGACACGATACTACTAGCACAGACTTAAGCGATGCCGCTGAGGGTGCGCTAGGTACAGCTATTCTTTAGTTTGGCGTGATTCTTCGGTAAATAACGCCGACTCACCGACTTTTGCTGTAGACCCCACTAAAAGATGATGACCTAGAATTGTAACCTCCATAACTCTATCAAATCTCTATCGATTTGCCTCTAAATTAGGTTATTTTAAAGCTCTTAAACTCCCCTCTCTGTTTCCACTTGATATTCTCGAATATGCCTCTAAAGAAAGCTCGAAATAGTCAAGGGAAACCTTCTAAAAAGAAGGCTCTACGCACTCTACTTCCCCCACCGCTAGTAGCACCTAAAATAACCCTTAAACTCAGTACGAGTTAAGCTAGTAGTTCTTCTGTCGGTTCTACTATTAGTACTTCAGCTTCTATACCTAATTTAAGTGTAGGAGTAGTTATGCTAACTATAGGATTAGTAGAGCTTCTATCGCTACTCCCCCCTCTACCTTCTAAGCCTTTATCGATTCTGTAAGCTCTTCCCCTGCTAGAACCTCTTATTATACAGTCTCCTACACCTCCGCAGATTAAAATATAAGCTATAAACTTTAAGATTCGGTAGTACCTTAATAGTAAGCGAATAAGTAGTATAATAAAGAAGGTGATAAATAAGCTAAGCGTTAGAGTTACCTATAAATCTATTAAGGAAGCTGTAGAGACGTTAGTAGATACTATAATTAAGTTAAGGGGTATTTCTCTACTACAGAGAGATTATACTTACTAGTATAGCACCTATAGAAACGTTTAAAACCCTACGGAATATAATATTATTAATAAGGCTGATTTTAACTACTTTATTAAACGAGCTTGAATTATAGGGAAATTAAAGTAAGGAAAGCTTTAAATATACTTTAGTATTATATAGATACCTTAGAATATAGTTCGACTACCTTAGAAAGACCCTCCTACTCTAAAGGCTCTAGTTATTACTATTCCGAAGCGTGTGTATTAAGAGGAGGAAAGCTTAATAGTAAAGAAGCCACGTACTGTAACGACTTATCTTTTAGAGGAAGTTGAAAAGAATTAGGAAGCTGAAAAGGGAACTATATATAAGATTATAACCGCTATTTAAGTATAATAGGCTTATAAAGTCAGTTCCTATTATTATACTACGAAGTTTTGCTTTATTAACGATAGTAAATACTACTACCTTTCCTTAGACGATTTAAGGCGTTAGAGACGTGATATTAAAGATAAATTAACTATAATCGATAAACCTTTTATTCTCTATCGAGTTAACCTTTTAAAAGAGCTTATAGCTTGTTCAGAGCCTTAGTTATTAAAGGCGCAGGGGAAAAAGAAGTACCGGAAGACGTATTATAACGAATTGTTATCTCCGGAATAATATTAATTAGCTTAACACCCCTCGTAGATACTATATTAGCCTCTAAATGCCTTCTTATATTAATATCCGCTAATACCGCCCCCTCTGATATAGTCTCTATACGCTAGTAACCCTCTAAGTAGCTATTCGCTAGCCCCTTACCCTCAGCTAAATATAGCTCCTCTAGCATATGAATATACGGCTTTAGAGCCTTAATTACCACGTATTCGACTGTAGGAACGAGTTGAAAGTGACTTTATATCGATAGCAGATCTGCGGGAGTCGAGTCTATTCCGTAATAGTAGTTTAGAGGTAGAGGAGGTGTTATTTACTTTGAAATCATTCTTTCGTTAAGTTATACCTCTAATTATAGCTTCAGTAGCCTCTTACTTCGATTTCACTATTAGAACCTTCGTGGAATAAGAATATAATATTAATATAGTTAAAGATATATCGATTTCAGAGGCAATAGAGCTTGGAATAAAAAGTAGTATTTTAAAGATAATTCAGAAGCAATTAAAGCTATTTAAGAAATAGTATAATTAATAGGCTCTTATTCAGGAAAATAACGAACTCGACGAAAGCGAAGATAAGGGTAATAATAGAGAACACGAGGAGTAAGTTTCAGTAGTATTTACAGCTATAGTTTCTACGTAGTTTCTGTTTAATTAACCCTTATTCTATATCAATTTCGTTACTTTCTTTAATCGGTACGCCTTAATAGCCTAAATAGCGAAAGTAGCCTCTAGCTCTATGTTTAGCGTTAGCTCCTACTCTAACTAACTTTATAGCTGTTATTAAAAAGCCTTTAAATTCCTCCTAGGTATACTTACTCTAGCGCTAGTGTCTCCTAATCTACGATTTTAAGTCTGTGAAGCTCTCTTCGATAGGGTTAAAAAAGGGGTAATATAAAGGGAGATATTTAAGTTAAAGACCGAAAGCTATATAGAGAGCTAATACTTAAGGGTTACTATAGATTAACGCGTTATCTATTATTACTACCTTAATTCTAAGCTCTACGTATTTAGGTAAGATACTCTTTTCTAGCTATTCGGTGAAGATTTCAGCTATAATCGAGCCTTAGTATATTAATAGCTAATAATAACTATAAAGTAAGTACGCAGGGAGAATCGATTACCTTATCGACTGTTTAAGTACTCTCTAAACCTCTATAGAAGCTCCCCTAAGAGCTTATCCTCTACGCCTATCTGTTGTACGCTTATTACAGGCTAATTCGTCGATAAAGTATAAGTCCCGGGCCTCTTAAAACACTATCTTTCGCCTTTAAGCCGCGATTAATTCGTTGTTCCTTTAACTCGCAGAGACCTTAAGTACTTTCTTAGTATAATTAAGCCTTTAGAGAGCCTTAAAGACTTAATTAACTAACACGTTAATTTCGTAGGCCTCCTATAGATACGCTACGATTTTATCCTAATATAAATCTAGCTCCCTCTTAAGTAACGCCTTGATATATTCGCTTATATTATTAGTAATAACAGGTAGAGGGCTATAGCGACGACGTTCCGAAAGTGATATCTAACGATCTAGAGTCTGTTTCTGCTTATATATTATCTTATATATCGTTCTAAACTCTCTAGTAAGAGCTCGTAAGTTAATATTAACTTTATAGGATAATATTTAGTTGATATTCGATACTTTCTAAGCTAGTAGGTTCGGAGCTATAATGTCAGATAGCTCGTAGGCTTAGGTTCGAATATTCAAGGCAAGAGCTTTAAAATAACCTAATTCCGAAGAAAATCGATAGAGATTTGATAGAGTTGTAGAGGTTACAATTCTAGGTCATTATATTTTAGTGGGGTCTATAGCAAAAGTCGGTGAGTCGGCGTTATTTACCGAAGAATCACGCTAAACTGAAGAATAGCTTATACCTAAGTTATTAAATTATCTAGGTAGCTTCAGTTAAACACTACGTAATAACAATATCACAGAAAGACTTCAAAGTTTTAGAAACAATAGAATAGTATATAAATATTAGTTTGCAATATAAAAATAGCCTTGCGCCTGTGTAGATATAGGATAATTTGCCTCAGTAAGCGCTAGTAGGTGGTGTGCAGCTGATTTTAGAAGTTTAGTGAGGCAAAAATCGTTCCGGGCCAAACCTTTCTTAACTAACACCATAGCCGTCGCGTCCGCCGCGTCTCCACGTCCCCAAATGGCTGCCATGCCCCTCTCGTCCCCGACACACCCCAGCTCCTCATCGTCAAACTCCTCCTTTCACACTGCACTAAGATCACCAATGTCAGTCACGGACGAATCTGCGAAAACCTCGGCAACACCGAAGCCTAGCTATCGAAGGCCTGTGCAGGTGAAGGCAGAGGTCAAAGAACACTGTCATATATACTTAGACGAGCAGATATGTGTGTATCATATTCCCAGGTTGCTTATTCGCTAACAAGTCTAGATTCTACTGCCTTAACTCTGCTCAATGATCTCGTTGTTACAGGTGCATCTCATCCCGAGCATCAAGACAGACCAACTGTCGTGCCAGATCCTCATCACATAGAACTAGCCTGCGCTCTTCTGATCCATCCCCGACCTACCTCTCAAGAAGCCACGAATGTTTCTCTACCATCTCAGTCCATACTTTTCCTCCGGAACGTTCTAATACACCAAGGTTCCCGGAACGCAAACCTAGGCGAAGCTTTCTCCTTCTCTTCCCTCGTCAATAATAGGAAGTCTCGCTCGAATCGGATAAGACACGAGGACCGATCCAGCGGCTCTGATACAGAGGACAAGCAGGGGCAGGTCAATGGGATTGTCGCAAACAATGGCAGGATGCGCAGGTGTGCCAGGGACTTCTGGCACATGGTTGGATGGGCTTTCAACTGCAGTGTGAGATTTCCTAGGAGGTGGAACTTGTGGAAGGTGTGGTTGGACTTTATGCTGGATGTTTTGGAGCACGACTGGACGGAGCGGGAGCAGGAAGATCTAGCCGAAGATGATTGCTGGAAGCTGCGGCGGCAGTCGCTGCTTGTCAAATACCTTGCGGATGCTGTCAACAAGTCTCATGCCGTGAAGCGAATTGTCAGATCTGCATTTGCAGATGGAGATGCCGAAAGCTTGAAAGACTTCCCGGAGGTATTCTTTAACGAAACTCGGAAGCCAAGATATGGGCAGAAGAGGAAAAGAGATGATCCGCTGGGCGAAATGTTTGGTTCCTACAACAACGAAGATGAAGCAGAATTTGAATCGGATAATACTCCTGAATCGTCCCAAGAAGCCGATGAGATTGAAAACATGTCAGGTAAGATCTGGCTAGGAGACATGGAATCTACGGCACTTCGACAACGTGTCATTATGCTGGTAAGTAGGGTGCAAAACGAGATTGCTTTGCATACTAGTATACTAAGTTCGTCTAGCTATCACGAGTATCTGCTTACCTGCCTGAGTGCTTTGCCGACTGCGTTGACGTCTACGATGAGATTTACCAGTGCACCGTCCGGCTTCCTCTGCCAGCGTTCACTCAGTTCACGTCAACTGCCGACTCGTCCCAGATGCCCTCCTTCGTCTTTGTCACGCTTGCCCAACTTCTCCTTGTTCGGCTCTTACCCCTAAGTGCTCCACGGCCGCAAACTATCGAAGATCGAAGCGATGACGGCGTAACACAAGTAATGCTGGAGCGGTGCTTCCTACCTTTCGCTTCTTCAAATACTTCGGTTGCAGATAATGCTCGTGTCTCAATCCTTGCCGAGAACTTCTTCCGGTGTCTCGTAAAAACAGGTGGGTGTGAATTTACCCAAAGCCTGAAAGCAGCCGTGGAAAAGGGTATAATGGCACGGGAGAACAAGATCAAAGGAGATAGGAGGAGAAGGGAGCCCGAGCCAAGGAACAAGACGGAAGAAGGCGAGTTGTTTGCGTTGAAGGCGAGTGGGCAGAGGATGAGATGTCTGCTTGCAGTGTTGAAGCAATATAGAGCTGATTGAAATCTGTGCTCTGGGAGGTGCCCAATCAAGCCATGTGATTGCATTGTACAGGGTTGTTAATTGTCTGAAGCGTATCTACTCTGTTGTGCAGCATAAGCAATGAGGCAGGATAACAGGAATGGGGATGGCGGTTCAGATTCACAAGAGTCTAAGATAGAGCTTGGACCATGGCTGAGCTCACCATCTCAGCCACACAGGCTGAACTCCAATATATCATGGTTACATTTCACCATACTTGATTTGAATCAGCTTCTGGCGAAAAGAAATGAGCAATTTGCTCCAAAAGACCAGAACATGCCATCTGGGTGCAAATAGGCTCAGTTGATGAGCGCAAGCCCATATCTCTATTTGAATGTCGAGACCCCCTCGACCCCCTCCCTCACTTCCACAGTGTTGATCATACACAGCCCCGAGCCAACCCTCCAATCAGAGGGTGGGACATAAAGTGCCAGCTCTCTTAACAATACGGACACGGCAGCGATCTCACAGCTACACAGTACAAATTTCCTGGCGCAACGGCACATCCAAGATATCAATGGCAACTGATTCATCGATTGCACTCAACGTGTCAACCTGAGATACCACACCTCGACAACTCTTCTCGAATAAGATAAGGTTCCTTCCATCTTGAGACCATCAATTGCATCACAGGTCCAGACCCTGGTGACTGATCGCCGGGAATGATCACTATTCAAGCGCGATTCTATCAATAGCAATCATAGCAAGAACTGATTCCTGCTGCATCTTGCAACCGAGTCGTGTGAGGTACTGCAACGTTGCAGGGCGGCTGTTATCATGGAGGCCATGGCGTTGACAATGGTCTCAAAGCTTCAAATGGCAGGAATAATGTCCATCTTTCTCTTCTCTCTGTCTTTCCAACGTAAGATTACCAAGGTAATGGCTGGCTGCGGCTTATGGTAGCTTGGAAACACGCATCGCATGGCAGCAACTATGGAAGCGCCAAAAATTTGTTCTGGAAGCTCATCCGAGCCCGACGCCCTGATCAGCGTCTGGTCTTGGTAGAGGACTGGGCAGAAACTGGGGACCTTAGGTAGGCGAAACCGATATTTTACCGCGACGTGCTTGCTCGCGGCCTTTGGATGTCCGGATGAAAGGTTTCTGCATCCGAGAGAGAAAACAACCATGGAAGTTCGCCGAGCGGCATTTGAACCAATAGAGTGATGTGATGTACCAAAAGTGGTGCGGTATCCACTGTACTGTACTGCACAGCAGCAAATGTTGGCAATAATATCCACGCAGCGTTGGGCGACCGAAGAACTTTCCTTCACCCAGAACGGCTTCTCCGAAGCGGTGGAGCGACAGATCCGTCGGCATTTTGCAGGCTTTTGAGGGTTCAGTAAGGGTCGCACCAGGTCTGCATGGTCCTCAGTTGGAACAAATGGAAGGGACCCCACTATCCAAGGGTCCCAGAATGAGGAAAGGGAAGAGTTCAGCCACAGAAGAGATTTTCTCCCGACCTTGGTCCAGCGTGGAGGTGGCTTGACAACTTGGCTAGTTTCAACCTTTCGGGCGTAGTCATACTCAGCCCTAGAGATGGGTCAAGCCACAGGCCCACAGCTGCCGATCCCTTTGACTCCCGCACATGTGGCATCCTGGAAACGAGAAGATCTGTGTCAAAGCGTCAGGGGATCCCTTGCGGGCACTTGATGTGGGGGAAAAGAAATCGTGTTGCCCTCGAGCTCGTGGCAGCAACCATGTCCGACATTTCCAGCTGCCAAGGAGCGCAGTAGAGGCTCGGAAATGACTCTACTTTGTCCTGTTCAAAACAGCAGAACTGCCATCAATTGACCTTGAACGCCTTGAGAGCGAGGTTAGACATGGGGAATCGAAGTCAAGCCGCGGTCGCCAAGCGCTACCTTGGCCCCTTCACGGCGGATTACCTGGTAGGCAAACAGAGCTCTAGCTCTGGTTCTGTGTAGCACAGCAAGAATCCACTTTCTGGTTATCCGAGCGGATTACAGGATTGCCCGGGCCTGTAAAGACTCCGTCGAGAGGACACCAAGCTGTGAGTGTCCACTGTCGAACCACGGAGGTAACGCACCTCGGCGAGGAAGACCGATACTTCGCCGAACAAACTCATATTATGACTTTGCTAGAAACTCTCCAATTGAAGCCTAAAACCGATCATGTAACGCAATTGACAAGCGCCAGGAGTATGGTACTGTATTTGATTCCTACGAACTGTTCTCAGTTTGTACGCGATTCAACTTATGGTCTGAGATTCTTGGCCATGAGTCAGCCACTCGAGCATTCGTCGTTTGCTTACGTGGTCAGGAAAAGGCAAGCTTGGCAGTGTGACAAATGTTGCTCAGTAGTGATTCCGGGGCGTATCGCAAAGTGCGAGAACCCTGCTCAGGTCACTACTCATAACGGAGCGAGCGGTCCGAGGATTTGGGTGCATAATGGATTGGATTTTCGATCTCTAGCAGCTCCTACACTGTTCATTTACTGTTTTCGAATGGTCCTTATTTTTGGCCGTGTAAGGAGAGGAGATACTGGCGGAGATGACAGACAGGATGTTAGCAATCATGAGTCTAGTGTACAGAGGTAGACAGCAACTCAACAGTTTGTTGTGCAACTCGTACGACTACGACTGCTGTGGGGAACGGCACAGCAGATACCACAGGACTTGGCTCCAGATTCTTTCGTACCGGCTGTCTGGGTCTGGTAGATAGGATAGGGACCAGACAGAGTAGCCAAAAGCCAGCAGCACCAGCCACACGCCGTGAGCTGGGCTCCGTGCCAGCGTGCAAGTAGTGAGCGGCTATGACCGTTAGTATCAAGGTTTAACTTATCGCCGGGGAATTTCTTATCGTCGCAACGACTTCGGGCACGAAGATGCAGATCTCTCACGATTTCGTGCCTATGTTGGGGTTGGGTGGACACTGGTGTATTCAAAGGTGGACTTCCGTGGAGCTGCAATGGGCAATACCTTAAAAATACATGGGGTTGAGCAGAGCAATGCAAAATAATGCAGGTGAGGGAGACTCGCCACCAGCCTCAGCAGCACTAGGTACCTATTCTTGGAGTTGGGCCAGTGCAGTCCACCAGGACGGTCAGATCCGAGCAGGTGCACCAAGTCGCTTGTCAGAACTTTCTCTGCCACAGGCCCAATGAAAATCTTTGCCTCCCCATGCAGGGCAGAGGAGAATTGTGGCTGAGCTCAGCACACCCGGCGATGGAGTGACAGCGATCGGCCCACCACGGCCCACCACGGCCCACCTCAGGCTGGCCCACCTGGGTACCCTGGCCCGGGGTCCACTTCGGTCCATCATGGCCCACTATTTCTCTCGAATGTTCCAGGGTCGTCCTGCCTGAATGGGCTTAGAGCGGCAGCTCTGTCGTCATTGCCATCTTTCCTCCGGAGACCCCTGCCGTCGCTGTTACATGCCTTTTGGCTTCTCTGGCAATTTTCCTGCCCTGCGAGCCTGCTCCACCACCATCGCAAGCGCAAGCAGCCGGACAAGGGAGGACAATTAGAAAGACTGAATGATGGATGGGTAATGGTTACGGTGATGCGACAAATGCCGGGATACCGATAACACTCCTTGTGCTTGCGCTTGACAATGCCGTGAATATAACAAGATCTAGTCGCCATCCGTGTTGCATTCTCGCCTTCACCAGAACAGACCAGAACCCGCTGACAGCAACTACCTACCTACCGTCCGCCTTTCTCTCCCGTCTACGACAAAGAAGAACGCAATACAATACAAAGAAAGTCGCACACTACACCACACTACATATTCCTCACTTCCGTCCTTCCTTGCAAGACATCGGCCAGATTCTGGTTTATCTGCGACTCAACACCGAAATAAACCACTCCGACTGACATACACTTGCCCATCTCGTCAGTACGAGTACGGGTACGCACTTAACTTCTACCTCCTACCTAGGTCGATCCAGACACACAACGGTTTTACCTGACGAAACAGTCACTCAACCCTCGGAACTCAGGCACATGACCAATTGATTACGAACTCGAGCCAGCTTAGCCACACGCTTCGAGTTCATTCTCTTACCCCGGACCCGACGTCCTGCTCGAGTCACCCTCGCGTACGATCCGAGACCGGTACTATAAGTAAAGGCCCTCGCTCGTTAAGGTGGCGATCGATACCCACTACGCAATGTTAGCACTACCAAACCATCGACGTCAGCTCTACTCTCAGTCCATCAGCATACCACAAGAACATCAACATTGGCCAACATCAACAATTTCATCAACATCAACGCCGCTCATATCGACACCACAACCACAGCACAACAACACAACCTCGAATATCTTTTCCTTTGGCCAAGATCAACCGCTCTTCGACTACCAACCTCAGCAACAGTTTCCCTCATCTCAATCTCGACCACTGATGCAGTCTGAGCATTCCAACAACAGCTGGCTTGAGAACGGTCAACTCACTCCTCGATCTGCGACACGGGCTCACCACCGAGAGTCTTCGCTGTCTTCTCTAGGATCTGCGGGGCCCTCGTCACCTTACACTGCCAATACCTCGAATCCTCAAGTCGTCGAGGACATCTATCATGAGTTTCATGACTATCAACACAACTCATCGAAGCCTTTGACCCCAGCGCATACTCCCTCACAGGAGCATTTCCTTACGCCACACTACTCAAACTTTTACCACAACCCGAACTTAGCATTCGCCATGGGGCACGATGGCCTTCCAAAGCAAAGTGGACCTTCCTCGGAATTGATGTCTGCCCCGGAATTTAATAACTCGGGGAGGCCGTCAGTATCATCTACGGTGGCAAATGACTCGCCATCCACGCCACCGTCATACGAGGAAGAAAGGAAAAAGAATGGTGAGACCTCGCGGTTCGATTTATGGCTGTCTGAATACTTACAACATTGCGATGATGAAGCATACAGGAATACGGTTCCCAAACTCAACAGAACAATGACAGACGCCTATACTGATGAACTCTACAACCCGAATTTTTCACTCACATCGGCGCCTTCTTCGACTCCTGCGCCAAGCGTCAATTTGTCACCTCAGAACGATGTCTTCTCACAAAGACTCCAAGCTGCGAACTCCCAGCACTTGAGTGCCAATATCCAGACACCTCTAACGATACCTTCACGAGAGCGATCGCCCTTCAGACAAGGATCTCCTCTTGCGCCTTCAGGGAATGCTTTCGGGCCGCAGTCACCAAATGTTCGCTTTGGAACCGCACAGCACTTGAGGCAACAGCAAAAAGCCGAGAGCGATGCGCGAGCACTACAGCAGCAGTTGGATAGGGCGTCCTCGGAACACTCGACACCGAAGACAATCTCACCAAAGGATGTCGATCTAGTGTATCACGAGAGTGAAGAGGATGCAAATACCCCACTTTTCCCACAACACCAGACCCAGCGCCAGACTTCAAATTATCGCCAACAGCCTGTTCTGGCACAAGATTCATCGGAGGATGACAACGCGTCCCAGAGGAGTTATGGCAGCATGGCGACCACGAGAAGGGAAAGTTCGTCAGCATACTCGACATCCTCTCAGACTACGCAACACCAGGGCTCATTCAACTTTGTGCCTCCGGCGGTTGCAGGCAGTGTTCGGCAGATTCCTCAGCAATACCCATTCGTCCCGAACTCCCGACGTCAAACAAGCAACCTTTCGAACGTCAGCGAGGACTTTCCGTCGACGCTGACTTCGATGGAGTCCAGTAGCAGCGAATATGCCGGTGACTCCTCGGAGCTCAAGAAACCATCGGGTGCAGCAGCCGACACTGGCACATACACCTGTACCTACCATGGCTGCACCCTCCGTTTTGACACGCCGGCAAAGCTGCAGAGACACAAGCGCGAGGGCCACCGGAATTCAGCGGTGATCGGCGGCGGGGATGAAGGCGGGATGACCTCAGCGGCGCAACGCAACTCGCAAGCGGGACCTCACAAAGTAAGTTTGTTTTGGTTTTACACAAAAACTCTGTTCACATTTTTGTGCCCCTGTCCTATCCTCTGTGATGTGCTGTGCTGTGCTGCACGCACACTATGTGACGAATCAATGCTAACAGGACACAGTGTGAACGCATCAATCCGTCGACCGGCAAGCCGTGCAACACCATTTTCTCTCGGCCGTACGATCTCACGCGTCATGAGGACACCATCCACAACGCACGCAAGATGAAGGTGCACTGTCCGCTGTGCACCGAGGAGAAGACGTTCAGCCGAAACGATGCACTCACTCGTCATCTGCGCGTGGTGCATCCTGAGCACGTTGACATGTCCAAGAGCCGGCGTCGGGCAGGTGGTATCCACGAGTGATGTGATCTGATCGGCTCTGCCGGTCAAGGCAGCCAGGGCGCTTCTCATTGCTGTCTGTCACCACAACTCGGCGAGAACAGTACGAACAAGCTACTTTACCAAATACCACGCCAACACTAGGGACCCTGCAGGAACTCCGGCACTGTGCCATGCCATGCATCGCGATTGACGAACAGATTGTCACAAGGTGCCAACTGCGAATGGGGGAATATTACCTGATTTACGTGCACATGTTTATTCACCACCCGGTGCCAGTGTCAGTGTCATTGTCGTTACCAGTCCTGGGTCCTCCCGGTGAGGCAGAAGAGAGGGCGGGGCATGCCCGGAAGCGGTCGCCAGCGCTGCCCCTGTTGCTCTTGTTCCATTGATTCACCAATGGACCGGGAAAGGATCATTAGGTACCTATTTAGGTACCTAAGGTACCTAGAGCGAGCCCCTCTCACCTCTCCCCACTACTGCCCCACTGGGTGGTCCGGCCCACGGAGGGGTTGAACACCTGCACCTGCACCCGCGGACCCGACAGCAGCATGACATCACCAACGACATGCGACCCTTCCCCAGGCGGAATGTGGTCGTGTCTCGCAACTGGAACTGGAACTGGAACTGGAACTGGAACTGGAACTGGATCTGGAACTGGATCTGGAACTGGATCTGGAACTGGATCTGGAACTGGAACTCGATCTTCAACCACAACCTCACTGCTCTCGAACCCTCCCTGCTTCTGTCGAGCATTTCACGAACAATATCACCGTCATCGTCGTCGTTGTCGTCATTTCATATCTAAAAATACCTCGTTTGCATTGTTGCATACCCTCTTTCCTTGGCGCCGTGTCTCTTGTTCTGAAGCTTGTAGATTTGTTTTTGGGTGCGTGTACTAGCGTCATTCTTTACAAGCGATGATATGTTCTCTATGTCCTTGATTTCCAGAAAAAGCTTGCATTTCTTCTCCTGCCCGGCACAAACTGATCACGTGTGCATCACGCATGCTTTCTCATTGTACAGCCATGGTGATCTCATGGAAAAAATAGGTTGCTGGGAAATAGCTGGGTTGCGGATTAGACTAGATTGTACATTGTGTCCTTTTGCTTCATTTCATACCTGTGTCTTTGAACTTTCTCCCCTTTCGGTCCCGCTATGTCTTGTGGCCGTGTATTTTTATGATGTATGATTGGTACGACCGCAGCGAATGGATGATTGGACGAGTGATGGATGATAAATGGACTGGATGGGAAAGGATCGCGGCCCAAGTCCCGGATGAAACGATGCCCAAGAGGCAATTAGATCGGAGCAAATATTGTAAAATGTATTGTTAATGAAGAGTTGCTTGCATTTGCCTCCATATCTCTAAGAGTTTTGGGATCTCATTAGATATGTGACCATCTGCATCCACTCCGAAAGACTGACGTGCAGATGAAGGTTTTTCTCCTCTGCTGATTGAATATTATGCGAATTCTGCTCACTGAATTTTGGTACATCCCTCCTTCCGGCCCTCCGGGAGGAGCGCAATTGTCGTATATCAGGATGGTTTTTGCCAGTCGTTCATGACGTGACCCTTACAGATGTGTATCCCCTTGCAACTTCCCGCCATCCACACAATTTCTCCCCTACCCTGGTTGCAGCAAAACATACGGAGTTATGAATCGCGAAGCACGTCGAATAGAACTGTGTCAAATATCCACTTTGTGATCTACTCCAACTGACTATAAGACAACAAAAGGTGGATGATTCGTCCTCGCCTCGCCTGAAAGCACGTAAAACAATGTCAAGCATTTTGCAACACCCAGGACATGAGAAATAGTTCCAAGAAGATTATGATAGACAAACACCTGGAGCTTTTATGTCATCTAGCCAAGCATGAGTGCAAATGTGAATTCCATAATACCAAAATTGGCCTTCAAATACTCCAGTACCAGATTCCATGATGTGGATACCTAGATAGTAGCATGCGCCGAATTCAAAGGGTTCTCCTTCATTAAGATTCCAATGCTCTATTTTTTCTAAAAATAACAATGCCAGTCTTTTTTTCTCCCCATCCCCATTCGAGGCTACCGCCTAGGTCCGAAAAACACCTAGACAGCCATCACAGCAGCTCTTGCGTCGTCATACAAGGGCTTGATACCCGTCCACTTCTGGAACTGCGAAGGTATTAGCTATTTGACGACGAGAGCAACGGAATACTTGTGCTTACTTGATACCAGCCTTGAGCACTGAGCACCTCCAAACCAGGAATAGTAACCCAGCCAGCGTCCTTGGCCATCTGCATCAATGCTGTCTGACTAGGCTTGTACGCCATCTCAAGCAGTGTTCTCTGCTTGTCTACCTCCGCATCTGGATGTCGCAAGAGTGCCGCTAGAATCTCGCGCATGTTTTGCTCGATTGGCTTATCTGCTGGAATCGTCCCAATGGCAACCCGTGGCACCTGAGTGATCCTCTCTGCATTTTCTACCTCGGAGAGTGGCACAATGTTGAACTCAGCCGGGAATGTAGCAATCATGGCTGCGAGTTTGGAAGGTGTACGGGACACGATGTAGATAGGACTGTGGGCGAGAGATTGTAGAGCATAGATGGCTGCTCGAGCAGTTCCGCCGGCTCCAATTACAAGAGCACTTCCTGGAGATCCGGAAGATACGGTCGTGTAGGAGGCAGAAATGAGCGAGTGTGTCATTCCCATCCAGTCTGTATTTTCCCCGACCAAGCGCGGTGGCTGTCCTGCTTCGATGGAGACAGGCACGATCGTGTTCACAGCTCCAATAATCTTGGCAGCCTCGGTAATATCATCGAGAAGAGGAATAATATCAAGTTTGAGAGGTATAGTGACAGAGGCACCACCAAACTCTGCCGATCGAATTATATCGCGCACTTCTTCAGCATTGTCAGTCTCAAGACGCGAGTACTTGTGTGGGAGGCCTGTTTGCTGGAAGAGGGTATTATGTAAGGCTGGAGATCTCGAGGCTGAGATTGGCGTGCCGAAGAGGAAGAAGGATCTTGGGGTAATCTCGCCAAGAAGTGAAAGCCCCTGTCGTATTTCAGCTGCAGAGAGTTGGCCAGGAGCAGCCTTGAACGGCAAGGCTGGATGTGAGACTGGAGTCATGAAACCATTCAGCACTCTACTCAGCTTGCCGATAATGCCCATGTTAATAGCAATCATAGGGACACTGTGTGCAGCACTCATGTTGGATTTGAATCTTGCCAGGGAGAAGTTGTCTTCCATACTGCCTGCAGAACCAACCAGCTTGATAATATCACCGTACTGAAGCGCTCGATTATAATATTGGATCCACCCACCATTCTTCCAGGATAGGCAGCCACGAGGATCATGATGTGAGGCGATGATTTTCGAGAATCCTTTGGCTTCCGTGACGGTCTGAAGTAGCTCATCTGTGAAAGCGATCTCTAGGTCGATGTACTCCATTCCCATTCTAACGGCTGCTTTGTACAGTTTCAAAGCCTCGTCTTGAGCATCATCTGGAAATCGACCGCCTTGGCTAATTGTTCGAATCGTGAAAATGAGTGGCAAAGGAACAATAGATCTCAGATGTGCGATCTGGAGACTCAAGAATTCCGGAGTTGGGATCCCGCTTGTCGAGCTTGGATCATGCAGGAGATCAACACGTATTTCCACGGCATCCGAACCTACCGCGATAGTACGAAGGGTATCAGAAGAAGCTGCCGTAATATCTGGCATTGTCAATGACACGAAGAAAGACTGTTGCTTCTTTCGTATCTCATCGAAATGGCTACTCTCTCCCGAGATGAGTGACAGGAATCTTGCAAAATCTTCTCGCGCAACAGATAGAGCTCCAGATTCCCCCCCTTTGCTATGATACTGGAAGTTACTGCACTCCTGGAACCATGGTTTCCGGCGCAAGTACACTCCCATCATATCTTCGACGTAAGCCGGCCGTGTCTTGTCTATCTGGAGATACTGCATGACTTGTTCGGTGTCCCGATGCACGAGGAGAACGATGCCACCAGCTTTGTGGTATGTGGAAAGAAGCTTCCGGGCCTCGGGCATCTCTACCACACCACCACCACAAGCAAAGACATAGCCTCTTGGCTTTTCAACGATCATTCGCTTGAGCAGTGAGAGTTCGGCATTTCTAAACCCTTCCCATCCTTTATCCTTGATGAGTTCTGGAATTGTGCGCCCAACGGTTCGCTCAAGTTCGATGTCCAGATCGATATGTGGTCTGTTCAAAATCCTTGCTGCCCATCCTCCAGCAGTCGTCTTCCCGGCACCGCGCATTCCAATGATGAAAATGGATTTGTTTGACGATGCCGGCTGGTTCTCGGATGTAGCATGCGTGCTTGCCACAGCTGTTTCTCTACCGACCAGTGCTACACTGAAGGACAGCGACATGATGTCCCACCACCCTGGCCAGGTCTTTCCAACACACTCGCGCTCCGTGATCAGAACAGGCTCCGGGGTCGCGACGGAAAGCACACTGAACGACATGGCTACTCGGTGGTCATCGTAACAATACACGCCATCGCGTGGACTATTCAACGTTGAGATTGGTCTCCCGTCAACCTCGATCCCGTCATCTAATTCCCGACACTCAACACCGAAATTTGCAAGCTGGGTTTTCATAGCTGAAATACGATTACACTCCTTGACCCGCTGGTTGGCAATTCCCCTAATTCTTGTTGTGCCTTTTGCCACAGCAGCAAGCACTGAGGCAGTCAAGAAAGCATCTGTCATAGGCTCCATATCGATCTCCTCTATAGCAACCAAAAGCCCTTGGGGTGGACCTGTTACAGTCGTAGCGTAATCGGTCTGGACTACCGTGCAACCCATGGGTCGGAGAACATCGAGAGCAAAACGGGCATCCCCCTGAAGCGACTTTGAACCAATGTTGGGTATCGTACAGGTCGTCCCCGAGATAGCAGCTACAGCCAAGGGATATGTTGCAGAACTTGCATCACTTTCAACGGTATATCCCGGTGGGTTTTGATACACCCCCAGCGGGATATGATATGTATGTTCCTCGGTTTTTGACCTGACAACACGAATGCCAAACGAAGCCATCATGGCGGTGGTCATATCAATATATGGCTGGGAGATCGGCTTCCCTCCAACCAGGCGAAGAGTGACTGGTTTCTTAGCATATGGCGCGCACATAAGAAGTGACGACACGTATTGGGAGGATACTGTGGCAGCAAGCTCGATATCCCCTCCAGTAAACCCACCAGAGGCAGGAACTTCGAGCGGCAAGCTGTGCTCTTTCTCAAGGTATTTGATGTCGACCCCATTCTCTCGAAGGGAATCAACGAGCGGGCCTATGGGTCTAACCTTCATGCGAGCATTACCGGTGAGAACTGTTGATGTCACCGTGGACGGTTTGCAAAGGGACACGACGGTGGTCAGGAATCTCGATGCTGTCCCCGCGTTACCAATGTATAGCTCCGATGGGCTGGCTCGTAGATCACCTCCTCTTCCCTGTACAAGCAAGACCTCCCCTGCATCTTCCCATGCATACGAAGCACCTCCCAGCTTCGCAATTGCCGTTAGCATGAATTCGGTATCATCCGAATGGAGGAGGTTCTTGATTCGACAAGGGCCAGTGCCAAGCGCGGCAAGCACAAGAGCTCGATTGGAGACACTCTTTGATCCGGGAGGAACTACCTCGTTCTTTAGACCCTTGGGGACTCCAGAAGAGACCTCTATAGAGTCTGAAAGTACAATCCGAATCGCACCGTCTTCTACCACGCTAGCCTTCTGCTCATAAGTTTTCCCAATGGCCGACAGTAGGACGATCTTCTTCTTCTTCCCATCATTCTTTTTGTCGACTCCCATTTTCTCTAACAGGATGTTGACTGGGCAAGCTTTTCCTGCTGTAAGTTTCTGAATCCGTTTGTCCGCAAGAGAGGTCGGAAGGCCATAGCTTGATATACACTTTACCAGACGCGCCACTGCACCGGGTTTCAGAACACCCAGATGGCGAGCCAGCTCTGCCTCCTTGACCATACCAATAGCAACAGCTTCGCCATGTAAGACTTGCGGGGTCAAGATTGCTTCGTATGCATGACCGATTGAGTGTCCAAAATTCAGTAGGTTTCTCAGACCACCTTCTCGTTCATCTGCAGATACAACCTCTGCCTTTGTTCTTGCTGAGCCAAGTACGATTCTCTTAAGAATATCTCGGACAGGATCCAACCGTGTTGATGAGTCAGATGATTCCGCGCGGATCGTGGACATGAGGATGGCTGCATTATCCTCCAATGTAGCAAATTCGGCTTCGTCCCAGATCGCCGCAGTTTTAACAACTTCGGCCATCCCATTGATGAACTCTCGTACTGGCAAGGTTTCGAGGAACCTCAGATCGATGTATATTCTTTGTGGTTGCCAGAACGCACCAATAAGATTCTTGCCCAGTGGTGTGTCAATAGCAGTCTTGCCACCAATCGACGAATCTACCATGGCTAGCAGAGTAGTTGGAACCTGTACGAAGCGTACGCCCCTCATAAAAGTAGCAGCCACATACCCGATCATATCCCCTATGACCCCGCCACCAAGCGCGATTATGACTGTGTCTCTCGTGCATTGTTCCGAGAGCATCCAATCTTCGATCTCGGCTTTCGTTTCTCGACCTTTTGAGCTTTCTCCTGGCGGAATTTCGTAAGTGAGGAGTCGTGGAGGCGCAGGGGACGCTGAGGTGCGGGTGCTGAAAGCTTGTGCAAAATCTGGAACGTAACGGGGAGCGAGATTCGTGTCAGTGATGAGGACATATGTCGACGATGGTAAATTAGATAGCAGGTCTTCCACTACGAAGCTCCGCCATATATTGAAGTCCACAACAATATCCTCCTTGCCCAGAATCGCAATGCGCGTCGGAGTGTGGGGGGTTGCTGACCCCATCGTGTCGTCTTGTCGCAGAAATAGCGAAGACCAGGGCTCAATTGAGGATTAAGTAGAGTACATCAACAGCCTTACTCTGGCCACGGATGAAACACTACTCGGCTTGTTCGTGAGACGTGGAGTTAAAAATGAGCACCGGTATGACTCCTTCGACGGGGACGAATACGACTCAATTGATGCCCTGCTGCTGCTCCGACTGCGGTGGGAACTTTTTTTGTGGGACCCGTGTAGGGGTCATTGCTAATCACGTGATGCGTTATTACCTAATCCGTAAGGTTCCTAAGCAGCTAAGGTAGGTATTTTCGCTTAGAAGGTACGAAAGTACCTACGAGCTGTCTTCAGTCAATAAGGCTGCGGCCCCTCTTGCTACCTATACCTGTTATACACAACATTCTCTGTCAATACGTAATTACTATTGTCTTCTTTGGTTACATCGGCTCAAATTGTGCCATTCACTCGTCGTCTCCAAAACTAGCCGCTTTTCAACCCGGGCAATTCCCACTTTAGAGGGGGCGAGAATTGTCGGCTGTACCTGAGGCAAAGCGCGGACAACCTCCATCCATTGAGGTTCACACCCACGTCCGGTTGGCAAATCCCATTCTCATGTTTCCGTAGTCATGAACAACAAAAATGGACTGCATAAAAGGGATAGAGAGAAATACGTATGTATCTTCCTCTCTACTCTGGATCCCTCCTATGCAGTTGATGCCATCTGGAAGATTTGTCAATATGAAATTTTTCCCGGCTACCAGAATTCGAGAATTCCCAACTCCGAAGGTGAAATTTGGAAGATTCGCTTTGCAGGGGAAAATCCAGGCTCCATCCCCCTGCTTATAGCTGCCAGCTACTAATTTATAGTACCGGTTTGCAATGGACTCGGGGAACATGGAAATGTTTCCTCCGGTGTCTGTCATAACTTGGATGTTAGTACGATTGAATTTGTCTGGGCCTATCGCAAACCCCGTCCAATTGAACGCCCAGAACGCCCCACCACCTGGAATGATTGTGATAGGCGTATAAGCAATATTACCGATGAACTTCTTTTGGTCAATGAACCCGAAGTCGATGGTGCCGATGCCATTGTGGACAAGAGAGACAGTAAACACGGGCGCTGCTTGAGTCAGTCATCTGCAGGCTATGTCTTCTCGGGCACCTACAAGCAAGTAGTGGTAGGATATACGTTATCCATGTTTGTTGGGGCTCTGGCCTCTCCGAGTCGTTGTACGCATAGCTCAGTCCAAGCACACCGTCAACTCCCGGCAGCGATGCAAACCAGTTCGAGACACCTTGAGAACACTCTATCGGATTGCCAGCTACTCCAATGGCATCTACCCAGACGATATCCTGCCAAACTATGCCGTAGTTGCTGCCAACTGCGTAAGTAGCCCCCCAAGACTGGCCGTCCCATGGCGTAGCATCCGACGAGCCCGAGCCGTTGTAGCTGAGAATGATTAGAGATCATTTGGGTTTCTCCTTACACACCCTCTGTCTGCCTTGGTCAACTCACTATTTGCGATTTTGAAGCATATCTATCGGCATTAGCCAGGACCATACCCAAAAGTCTCCTGACGCTGTATCGAATATCAAGTTCAAGGTCTGTTTTGGGGTTCCGATTGTTACAGGAAAAACGTATCTATGGGATTGAAATCACGTCAGTTATGGTCCATCTTATTCTTGCGGGTGCCTACGTACTGGCCGTCACTGTATCTCACGAGTTGGCCCCCAACTCGGCGGTGGATCGATGAGTCCGAGCCTTGATGATCGTGCAATATGAGCGCCTCCCAGGCGATTCGAAGGTCTTTGGGCATACGCACTTTATGCTTCAGGAACTCTGCAGCGTATACTGCAGTTGTGGATACTTCCTGTGGTTTCCATTTCGGATTTTGTATCTGGGTCAAGGAGAATGAGGCGTTCTGTCTTTGGCCGCCCAGTATGAATCTTCGTGGAGAAGATCTACCAAAAGCATCGGGTGCTGCAGCAGAGGTCAGGAGTATCGGGGAAACTAAAACCAAAACACATGCCCAAACAATGTCCACTAATGGAGGCATTGTGAGTTACTGGCCAGGATTGCGGCAACACAAACAGACTACGAGATAATATTAAGCCAGAGTCCAGATTGATTGAACATATGCCGGACCAGCTCACCCTTATGTCAGTCAGCGGTAGTGGTTAGTAGATCGTTGGGTTTTTTGCATGCGGCAGTCTCGGCGGCAAGCACTTCTGGGAGCAGAAAGCTGAGATGAGCAGACACCACAGCCAACGGTCTAGGCTGGAGCAGGTTCCATTGGGTCTCACCAGCTGCGTTGGATTTCTGAGGTCAGCTGGTTCAGGCATCTCGTCTATACAAAGACAACATGTTGTCCAGCTTGACTGGCGTGGTGCGTGGTGGGAGATGATCGCATTGAGAGATTAAATAAGAACTCTACTAAGCGAGACTAATACTCTATGGACACCGGATATGACACTCCGAGAATTTCTTCGAGCGTTTCAAAGACGGAAACCTAGTTCCACCGTCTTTTATCCCACTATCCAAAGCGCGTAACTTTCTGCGGGGAGAAACATCTCCACTGCTGTGAATACTGACATGATCCAATGAAATTCGAGCGATTAAGAGGTTCAGAGGTGATAAGAGTCTAGACTCGTAACAGCCTTAATAGGTGCATATAGATTCAATATATACTTTAGGCTTAATAAGGAAGAATACAAGTAAGTACTTAGCCTTAAGAGGTAGGACTTCTGATCTATTTCTATCTCGTTCAAATGATATAATTACTAATACTTAAAAATACTTAATTAATTACTTATATAATATCTCTTATACTAATAGTCGGTTCTCTTATATAAGGCTATAGGCACTTACTTATAGTTAGTAAAAGTAAATATTATAAGAATATAAGTATTATATAAAATATAGCTAAGGTATTACACTTATACTAAAATTACTACTATAGTATATATCTTTTTTATTATAAATATAACTCTTTATACTTAATTATATTAATTCCTTTACTTTTATTATTAAATAGTAAACTTAAAAAGTATATTTTATAAAATCTATATAATAAAAGCTAATTATAATAAAGCCTTTAATAAGGCGCGCTAGTAGGCTTTTAAGTATCTTAAGGAACTACTTAGCTATATATATATATATATATATATAATCATTATTAAAGAAGACTTATTATAATATTTAATATATTATATAAAGAAGCTTAAGTAAAGGAACTAGTAAGAAGAGTTTAGAAAATATAATAGAAATAATAAAATTCTCTTATTATAGTAAGAAGAGGCTATTTAGTAATACTATTATAAATAATAAAAAGCTAACTTAATTACAACTTATAAGATAGTTTTAAATAAAGTTATATATCTATAAGCTGTAAATCTTCATATCTTATTATATAATTTATTATTAATATTAGAGAAGGAAATAATACCTTTACTACTTTTTTTATTAAAAAATTAGTTTAACGCTTAGCTAAAAAAGAACTCTTCTTTTTTATATAATTTATATAAAGCTAATTACTTATACCTGAGTTAATTATTATATTAAAAAAGATATAAAGAATTAGTTTAAAGAGCTTTAAATAATAATAAAAGAATATAAAATTGATTTAGGTAAAAAGCTACTAAATATAGATAAATATAATAGTCTGGTATTTACTTACTATAAATATAAAAGGCTATTATTAATCTTTAATAATTAAAAAGTAAGTATATTATATAAATAGGGAAAATAGTTACTAATTATTAGAATATTATTTTAAGTTAAATATAAAACTCTTATTTAATAGTAGACGTATTAGTTTTATATAAAACCTTTATTTTAAAAGGATCTTTTAGATCTTAAGATCTTAAGATTTATTATATAACTTATAATAAGATACTAAATAATATATAATCTGATTCTAGTAAGTACGCCTACTTTTAAGATACTTCTTCTTAGGCCTTAATAGATTCTTAGAAGTATTTATAATAATGAATTAAAAGTATAAGTTAGTTATCTTACTAGAAAGAGTATTATTGTTTTAATTAAAGTAAAAGAGCTTTATATCTCTAGTTCTAAAAACTATAAATCTATTATAGTTATTAAGACTATATATACTAATAGCTAAAATAGTTTTCTTTTATATATTATTATACTAGAGAAGAAGATAATAAATAAGTAAGTATATAAGAACTTAAATAAAGATAAGTGAATTAATTGTTTTAATATAAACTATATTAATAATCGAATTATAATAGATCACGTAGACTACTTAATTTAGTACTTTTATACTAGTCTAAATAAGCTATAGAAGCTTTTACTTTATAATAGCTATAAGTCTTATTAATATAATCTATTTATACTAAAGCTAGTAAAAAACTATATTAAGATATTTTAGTTTTCTTTATATTTTATATATATCCTATATAATTTAAATATTAGTATCTTCTAGCTTTAAAAGTATTTCTATAACTTATATATTTAGATAGCTTTATATGGTTTTAAGTTTAAATATATTATTACTTCTTTTTTCTATAAGCTTACTAAAATAAGAAAAGATATAATAAAGAAATACATAATTAAAAACGCTTTTAAGACCTTTAGAATATAACTACTTTCTTTAAAAGCCGGCTTATAAAAGATATAGTTATATAATAAGAAAAGAAGATTAATTTAAGAGATAAAAAATAAAGATTAAGACTTAGATCTTCTAAAATTATATTTTTTATAACTAAATAAGCTATAGTAAGCTATATCTACTATTTAATTATTTATTAAAAGAGACTTTACTTAGTTATTTAATACCCTTCAAGAGCTCTTCTAAAAGACTATAATAAATATAGCTATGAGCTTTTATAAAACTTACCTAATAACTATTAAGTATATAATACTTTAAAAAAAAACTTAAATCAGATAATTAATAAAAGAAGATATTATAATAAAGTATCTATATAAGAGACGCTTTAATAACTATAGGTAATTTAAAGTAAAAGATATAAATATATAATAAAGTAAAATATAAGGAAACTCTATAAAAGACTTATAAAGCTCTCTAATAAGTAATTAATTAATTAACTAAAGCTTTTTATATCGCTAGGGTTTAAGCTATAGAAAAATAAAAATAAAATAAAAAACTAAAGAAATATAATAGTTAGTTTCTTCTTATAAGTCTATAAGTACTTACTTATAGTTAGTAAAAGTAAGTATTATAAGAAAGAAAGTATTATATAAAAATAATTCAATGAATTTTATAGCTTTTCTAATAGATACTAATAATTAAAAGAAGATAAATAAATTAAACTAATTAAGTACTTTTATATATTAAATATTCAAATAGTATTATTACTATATAATACTTTTTCTAATATATTTATTACTTATAGAATTATTTAGTAAGAAAAGCTTTAATAGTTTTCTATAAGAAACTTATAAGAATTCTTTTTATATAATACTTGCTTTCTTATAATACTTACTTTCGCCGATTATAGGTAATTACTTATAGACTTACAGAGAAGAACCGATTATTAAGGTGAATAGTATATTTTTAAAAGTATAAGATTTAATTTCTTATAAAAAGCCTAATAAGAACTCTACTCTACTTAAAGCTATAAGTAAAACATATAAAAGTCACTTTAAATACTTTTATATTATACTTTAGCTTAAAGAGAAGTATAATTAAAGACTTATAGATAAAAATATAAAATTTAAGATAAAAAATATATATAAAGAAAAAATAGTTAGTATTAGATATCTTAAGTCTAGCTTTATATAATAGGTTTATATGAAGAATTCTAATATAAAGTCAGATACTAGCTTTATTAACTTAATTATATAAAATACTAATTTTATTATACTTTAGTAAATTTAAGAAATATCTTATCTTAAATTTAATCTAATAATTTAATTTTAGTAGAGTTTATAATAAAATTTTAACAAGGTTATTAAATCCTTAAGTGATACTTACTTTCTTATAACACTTACTTTTATCGACTATAAGCGAGTGCTTATAGCCTTATATAAAGGAACTAACTATTATTCTACTTACTTTTTTATTTTATAATCTATTTTCTACTAAAAATAATAATTTTAAAGTACTTATATCCTTTATATATAATTAATAAGAATTAAATAAAGGTTCTAGTATTATATTAATAACTTGCTTTTTACTTAATTAACTTACTTATTTATAATTCAAACTATATATATTATTATTAGTTTATAGACCTATACTATAGAGATATAAAAGGTAATTAGAAGTAATAAGTAATTTTAATTAAAAGATAAACGTTCTTTAAAGGCTAACTAAGGGCTATTAAAAAGATAGTATATATTTTAACTCTTAAATACTTTTTATAATATATACTTTTAAATATCTTTGAACTAAACCTTTAATTTTTATATATATTAATATATACTTATTATTTATTTACTAGTATAATACTGATAATTATAGCTCTTAAAAATATAAAAATAAAGTATTATAATAACTAAAAGAGAATAAAAATTATAATAATATAATAAAGATTTATTAATAGTTATAATATAAAGTAGAAAAGATGAAAAGAAAGAGGTTTTTAAAAAGCCTTAAGTATAAGTAAAAGAGATATAACTACTAGTAAACTCAACTAGTCTTAGGTTTAATATATAACTTTAGCCTTATAGCTTTATAATATTAGCCTTATTTATATAACTAGCTTATTATAATTAGTTTATTATATTACCTTTTCTCTTAAAAAAGACCTATTTTCAATTTATAAAAATTTTCTTATAATTTACTTAAAAAATTGTAGTATTATTTATAAGTTTGCTATATTATTATTATTATCTGCTTTGTATATAGTTAGTTATTAAAGAAGTAGCTTAAATAGTATATAGTTCTTTAAAGTAGGCTTAATAAAAGTCCTAAAGCTTATATAAATAAGTTATAAAATCTCTAGTAAAATAAAACTTAAAGTTAAAGTTAAGTCTTTTTTATTTAACTTAATATTATAGTATTTTATCTTATATAAAATATACTTTTAAAATATCTTAGACTTTTTACTTTTATTTTATATCTACTTA